CGCGAGTGAGCGACCGATCCGGCTCTCGAGTGGACAACCGATCCGGCCCGCGAGTGAACAACAGAACCGGCTCTCGAATGTGATACCGGCCCGTTGCTGCTGCCTGTTCGGAGGGCGGCCTCAAGTTGATCCAGTACGTCAAGCTGATTATCGAAAGCATCTGCTTTCTCGGTACTCGCTCGAACAGAATTGTCTTGGTGATACGTTCCCTTGCGTCGACTGCAGCTACTAGCTCTCGAATCTGTCCGAACAGGTGTGGGCTCCCGAGTCAAGCCTGGCGTTGGCGAGCGTGGGCCTGCAGCCCATTCCGCGTCGAAACGTTGTTTATATTCAGCCAACAGCTCCGACAGGCTGATGAGTTTGTGGCAGACCGCTGGGAACTCTTTGAAGATAAGACTATGTTTGAGCTCAAACCATGCTTCAGTCTGGCGAACGCTTAAAAGCGGTCTTTCACCATCACACAAAGATGACAAGCTTCTCCCGTTAGCTTTTGTGGCTATGCCAGGTGCAATTGCTTCCAATTCAGCTTCGCCAAATGTAGCAGGTAGTGCTGCCTGGCCTGGTACTGGCGCCTTCCAAAGAATGGAGCCCAGGCTTAGGGAAGGGTCAACCTGTTCGGGATGCCGCGAGTAGAAGCACTCTTCGTCGAAGTCATGCTCCAGAGCGATGCTTTGTAGCTCAGTCTCGGTCGAGGGCGACATGGGATCGCCATTGCCATCGAGAGTGATGGCAGGAATCGATGGAGCAGAGTAATGTCGACCTTGGAGGACACCCTGGCTGGACATGGGCGCAGAAGACAGAGATTGGCTTCGGATATGTTGGTGTTGCAACTGCTCCATCGGTTGGCTGTAGGTAGTAGGGAGCCCATAATGAGGGGCATTGACGGGCAGTTGCACATTCGGGTATGGTAAGGCTGATGGAATGAAGTTCTGGCCTTGCCAGCCGCCGGGCAGTCCGTAGCTTGTCATATGCGGTGGCTGAACTGGTGGCCTGTAACCCGGCGGCGGAGGATAGCGAGTGATGATGGGATTTCCCTTGACCTTCTTGGCGGGCGGCGGACTGATTCCAATGTCAGCTGGATCCAAGGCAGCCACACACAACATGACTCTGCGCAAAGAAGAAACGCTACACATACCCGCCATAAGAAGCCGAATGACCATGGGACGGCCTTTGGTAAGGCGCTGCGGTGGCATTCATATCGGAGGAAGACCAAGTGGAGATTTTCTCGTCATTCCTTTGCAGAGGCTGCTCTCAAAATAGAAGTTCGGGGAATGGGCAGTGAAGCGGAGAGGTTCAAGGCGCGGAGGGCGCGATGCCTGAGAGGAGAGGGGATTGTGGCAGGAGAGAGGGAAGGCTGATGAGGTTGGAAAAGTGGTAAGAGATATCTGTTCGGGCCTTTGCCTTGTGTTGTGCAGCCGAACGGCAGCAAGAAGCGGTGTTGTTTGGTAGCTGTAATGTTTGCAGGGCCGTTGCCTCTGCCAATGGACGGCCGCCAGAGCCGCTCTCCGCGAGCAGTGGAATTAGTGTGGCGGCATCTGGTATTTCGGCGAGATCGAGGCGGACGAGCTGCAACGCTCGAGCAACGGCAGAGGCAGCGGTGGTCGTGAGGGCGGTCGAATAATGTGTTGTTCGCCGAAACGGTGGATCACAACAACAAATCTCGCTGTCGGCCCACCTGCCCACCCCTGCACGCGTCTTCCCTCCACGCCACGTCCGAAAGAGGCCACGACTAAATCTCACGCACGTGCCCGACACCACGACGACGACCACCAGCGAAAGCGCCGCGTGCAAAGACGAACCATACGCCGCAGTCAGCAGTATCGCCACGACGTCGCTTGCCGCTGCATGTGCTGGGTTGACGATGTTGGCGCGCAGCTTTCTTGCACCTCTCCTGCCCTATGCGCCGAGCCCGTCATAAGCACCTCCGTCCATCCTCCGCTCCTGCTGCGGAACCATCCCTTCGACGCCGTTGAGCAATGCCTGGCCTGCCTGGTATGTGCTGCCCTTCCGCCTCCGCCTCCTCGCGCGACCGCCACGCCGGACACTGACGTGCAATGCAGCCAGCGTTGATCTCGACGAATGCATCAGCCGCCTTTACAAGAAAGAGCTTCTCGCCGACTCGGTCATCGAGGCAATATGCGCCAAAGCGAAAGAGCTGTTGATGAAGGAGAGCAATGTCGTGCACGTACAAGCACCCGTCACCGTGGTCGGAGACATTCACGGCCAGTTCTTCGACATGATAGAGATATTCAAGATTGGGGGATATTGTCCTGATACCAACTACCTCTTCCTTGGTAGGTCACGCGAGTCGTACAGCTCCTGCTCTAGAAAGACAGGATGGCGATGCATGCAGAAAGAGCGCGATCTGACGTCAGAACAACAGGCGACTATGTGGACCGAGGGCTGTTCAGCATCGAGACCATTTCTCTGCTGGTCTGCTTGAAGTTGCGCTATCCAGAGCGAGTGCACTTGATCCGTGGCAATCACGAGAGCAGAGGCGTCACGCAATCCTATGGCTTCTACACCGAATGCAGTCGCAAGTACGGCAATCCCGCAGTGTGGCACTACTTCACGGACATGTTCGACTACCTCAGTCTGTCTTGCGTCATCGACGACAAGATCTTCTGCGTGCACGGAGGCCTCAGTCCGAGCATACACAGCATTGATCAAATCAAGATCATTGACCGATTCCGAGAAATACCTCACGAAGGTCCTATGGCAGATCTAGTCTGGTCTGATCCGGACGGCGAGCGAGACGAATTCAGTTTGAGTCCTCGAGGAGCCGGATACACGTTTGGCGCACAAGTGGTCAAAAAGTTCCTCGAAGTGAACAGTATGAACCATATCCTACGTGCGCATCAGCTGTGCAACGAGGGGTACATGGTAATGTTTGACGATCGATTGTCCACAGTCTGGAGCGCGCCAAACTACTGCTACAGATGCGGCAATTTGGCATCTGTGCTAGAAGTAGGACCCGGCGGCGAGCGAAAATGGAACGTCTTTGAAGCTGCGCCCGAGAACGAAGTCCACAGAGCAGAACAACAAAACCAGCAACAGCATGCGGGGAACGACCCAGTACGAGACTACTTCCTCTAGATGGTAGAGCAAGAACGACTTTCAGATTCACAGCGCGAGAGATACCACAAATGTCAACACGATTATTCAGTCTTCGAACTTCGAGTACGTATCGTGTTACGTACAGATCCCCTGGTCGCACACTCACGCCTCTTACTACTAACAGCACTACTCACATCTCTTCAAAAGCTTCCTCGATCGTCCTCAGATCGCTCTCCCGTTTCCTCACAACATCCAGAACATTATCATCTAGCTTCACGGTCTCCTCCCAGGTCAGTACAATCGACTGTCGCAACTTGTGTCCGCGATCATCCCCGATTTTGACGAGAGCGGGAAATACCACTACCTCATCCGACATCAGCGTCGACCATGCGAATTCCCATTCCGTCTTTTGTGTGAACAGCTTATACCCGAATCCAGCAGCGCTTTTGACCACGTTCTCGAGATCCCGGACGCGAGCTCCACCATATCCTTTGGCCACGTAGGGTTGCAAAAGACAGACGAGGGCCGTGACAAGCTGGTCGATGTTCTTCACGCGAGGATCTGGAGACGTGGGTATTGTGGGGCTAGTCGAATTGGCGATCTTGCCAGTGCCGTAGATGGGATAGAAGAGCTTGCCCGACATGCTGCGCCATTTGGCGAAGCCGAGCCGTTCGTCTGCTATTGCCATCGCTGACGAAGCTGTCGCCGGGTCTGAGGTCACGGAAGGTGCAGGCTGGCGATTACTAGCCCCAATGCCTGGATTGGACTTCAAAGGTGAGGGCGATCGCGCGCCTACGCTCCGTCCTCCAGCCCTGGACTCGGATCTTCGACGGCCAGCTTCTTCTGTTGCACTTTGCGACGCTCTACGAGCCATGGCTTGCGCGCATTTGACCAGCTCTGGAGGCAACAGAGTATGTTCTAAGGGAGCATCTGGCTGTATGAAGCGAAAGAGCACCCATGCAAGCAGAAAGCGTATCGTGTCATGTCGAGTCTCTGGGGATTGGAGGAGGATGTCTGTTGCTATGGCATTGATCGGCGCGTTGGGTCCTAGGAGGTTGTTGAGTGTTACCACGTTTGTGTCGCAGGCAATGTTCTTGAAGTCCTCGGGACTCTCGATCGGCCGGAGATTGTAGTACAACTCAGCATGGCCTTTGATCGCGACGTTGAGGCAGTGAAACTCTTCTCGAACCTCATGATCGATGGATTCGATCGTGCCAATCGTGGCGGTAGAAGTGGAAGAGGTGGAGTGCGAGTGTGAGCGCTCTCGCGTCCTAGGCGTAGGAGAGTCGTTGAGCCGGTCAGCATCGAAGTTGCCGCCTCGATGCTTCTCAACTATCGTCTCCTCTAGGATGCCTCCGTCGCCGTCACTGGCGCCTTTCGATTTCTTCTTTCGAAGTAGATGCCTTCGACGGCCGTAGAGGTAAAATGCCAGTCCACACAGCAGGACACCTGCAACGAGACATCCTATCGCTATTCCCACAGCTCCTCCAGTCGAGACTCTGGCCATGATACTACACCACTGGATCCGGAGACTCTTACAATGCTCCTTCCAAACGAAGCGTTCAAAGACTGCTCACACACGGCTCACCCTCTCGCAGTCCCGCGGAGAATGAGTCCGGCCGTCAGCATTTAAAACCCTGATGCGCCGTCCGAAACGAGTCCGAACTATTACTACTGCCCGCGCTCTTTGGCCTATTCGATCCCAACTCCTTATCTTGTCCTAGACGACTATACGACGTTGCTCTCGCGTGACTCCTTCGATCACCACCAGCGTTAGGAACTGTCACGTCTTGGTTCCCGCCAAACCGATCAAAAGGATCCCTCGCGACAGCTTGCGGCGGCAACGGCGGACCAGGAAAATCTATCCCGTGTGCAAAAGGTCTTTGTTGTGTATGTGGTGGCGGTGGTGTGGTAGTAGACGAAGAACCACTTTCGTGAAAGTCCCGATCGAAAATTGGTCGGTTTTTACTCTTTTTCTTTAGTTTGTTGAGGTTGTTCCGCCACCAGCGTTTCCATCCGGATGGCATTATTGACTTTTTTAGAAAAGAAGAGCGGAGCAAGCAAGGTGGGTAACTACCGAAAAAGAAGGCGAGCGAGATGGAGAGGATACGGGCGGATCTGTGCGTTGTGTGTGACCAGGGTCGGTTGAGGCGGAAATATCGTATCGTCGAGCTGGCTGGGAGGTTGGATGTTTTGTTGATTTGATTTGATTGACGCCACTGCACTCCACTTGTGTGCTGTGATGAGGCGAGAGGCGGCAGCAGGGCTATGGTGGACTATCAGGCAGGCTGCAGGAAATCTCGTTTCTTCGAATTGGAATGAAGTTGGTCAGTGTGCAGGATGTCCGTGTGGTGGGTACGATACAAGATGGGAGTATGAGGCGGAAGATGGCGAAGGCGACGACCAGATTATTCCCCGCTATGCAGGAGCTTGGACGGGAGGACGTAATCTGCGGTTGGCGAGGTTGTGGTGTCGTCAGCTGCTGTGCCAGACAGGTTTGAGGCCTTGTCAGAATGGTGAGGGAGGTGATGTCGTGGCCAAGGACGATGCGCGTTTCAGGCTTTAAGGTTCGGAAGGGACTCCTTGTGAAGGGTGTGGTGTACTAAACTTGGATGAAACGTCGAAGGGTTCTTTGAGCCGCATGAATTTTGAGAGATCGCGGGATGGGCTGGTGGATGAGATGTGGTCAATTTCCTTGGGCGAGGTGGAGGAAGAGTGTTTTGCTGTCACGAGTGAGGTTGTGATGCTGCAAGCGCAAACGAATGATTGTGGCTGGTATAAGTCAGTTGAACATTCCAACGATCACTGATTCTTGAAAAGCAGTACACTGCATCCATAGCTGCGGACGATGACGGAAGCCGGGATTGTAAGCTTCAAGTCGCGATCTAGACGTCGATTTCCAGGATAAGATGAAGCTATGGTCTTACAAGAGCGGTCGCTAGCCTGCTTCTTCACTGGCATCTGCGATGGACTCCTTGTAGCACTTCAGGCAGGCATTGTTTGCACTGCCACCTTCGCTCTCACTAATCCGGATGCACACCTCATCATCAAGAACTTTCTCGAACGCTTTTGTATTCATTTCCATTGATGCTGCTGATGAGTATCCAGTGTGTGGAATGCCGAAACGCTCATCATTCTATCCTCTATCCTCTATCTTTCATCATTTTCATGTCTTCGTGGCGCGCAGTGGCGATTTTCGAATCCGTTCCTTCCACGCCTTATCTTACAACTGCTTCAAGATGGCATCGACGCCAGAGACGGTGACAGCCTGGAGCTCGGTCTCCACCTCGGCGTAGGTGACCTTTCCGTGGTCGATGATGGCAGCCCAGCGGCCGTTGCGGTCTCCTGGAGCCGTCCAGCCAATCTGGTTCGCGAGCTTGGTTTCGAGGTCGCTGGCGAAGACGACGAAAGTGTTGTCGTCGTCGGTACCGCCGACGTTGACCTTCTGCCAGCCAGACATGACGAAGGCGTCGTTTGGAGCGATGATGATGAGCTGGTCAACGCCCTTCTGCTCTATGAGGATGTGTCAGTTGCCAAACCAGTGGCGGAATCTAGGAGCTGTTTGTCTTACTCAAGTCGGCAATGTGCTCAATGAAGCGAGGGACGTGGTTGGCGCTGCAGGTTGGCGTGAAAGCACCTGGAACGGAAACGAGGACGACCTTCTTGTTGGCGAACTCCTTGTCGGTGTTGTAGTCGACAGGAAAGCCGCAGACCTTAGTGTCGGCCGTGGTCCATGGGATGTACTTGAACTTGACTAAACAGCTCGTCAGTGGCCATCAACGACACTCGAGGATGTGACTCGACGCACCGCCCTCTGGAAACTGCTCGCCAGCCTTGAGTCCAGACATTATTGAGGTGCTGTGGTTGTTGTCGAAGGGTTGTATATCTGTCGAGTTGATGTTGGTCGATAAGTGCAGCTGAAGGTGCTTGAATGAGTGGGAAGAAGAGAAGAAGCGGAAGTGAGGTTATGGCGTGTTCACTGCTCGTCGCTCAACACGTCACCGTCGCCGACCGATGAGCCGTGAGTCTGTCTTCTCGAAAGCCCTCGACCGAATAACTTCCATTGATTGATAAGATCGCTTCCCTGCAATCAGATCCACTTAGCCCAGGCCCGTGCGTCTGGAATGGAATGATTTTGAAAACATGCTCTGCGATCTCGGACCTCACTCGATAAGAGCTATGCGACATTGATGAGCGGAATGATCTCATTTGTTCAAGGAATCGTAAGATGATGACTTATCGGCGACCGACTCTGTTCCTGGGTGACTTCTGCATTAGTATCTATATCGTATTCTGTCTGCAGGACCTCGAGTGCTTTGCCAAGCGCAAGCCATCAAAACCCGTCCGATACTGGCGCACTTCCTCAGTGCTACGAGCCAGAACGTACCCCGGAGCAGTCGCATAGGGCTTGTGACGACCGTTTGCAGGGGTTCGTAATCGCTGACTTTCGTCAATCATGATACCTCGATATCCGATGCTTCTCACAGCGCAGTCGGTCAATTTCGCGTCCCAAATATGCCTCTGTCGTTGCCGTATACGCACCCATCACGCATACGATCTGTGTGTAGCCGCCAGGATGTTGCTGAAATTCAGGCCATCTTTCAGCTGGATATCACTCGTAATCATAAGGTCAGTCCCCGCCGCCAACGAACATCTCGATGTAGAATCTGCCGTGGTTCTAGTACCATATTGAACGTGTCCTATGGTGCGGGATTGCAGGTAAACCTACTCCAATACTTAGTCGCTTGATCGAAAGAATGCAATGAGCTCCCAACAGAAGCAAAGAACTCGTCTTGGGAGAACATAGGAGGATGCTCTTAATTCGTCGGTGAGTCAAGACTTACCTTGCGCTTCTTTCTCTTTGGCCAGATCGTAGAGGAAGAAATCGATCAAAACAGCGTTCACAGCAGTTGCTTCTGGATGATTTCTTAGAATCTCCCGCCGAATCAGCTCAACAGCCCAGATGCTGCAGCCACTGTCACCGAGTCAGCTTTCTATGCACTGCGTTTGGAGGGAACAATGAGGCAAAATGTGACGCGTACCGCAACTGTACTTCCCGAGAGTCGCCTAGCTCGATTGTTCTCAAATCACGAACATGGTGCTCCAATGGGGGACTATATGTTAGAACGCCAAGCGAATGCAAAGACTGTGGCACACGATAATCTGATGAAGTCTCCAGCATTAGCACTGATCCACACACGATTGATATATGGAAAGTGGCACTTGCCTGCGAACATGGTAAGGTGGTCAATATCTTGGAAAGATCCATAGCCTGTCCCATTGAATGCGGCCCATAGGTCTGCCACAAATATCTGTGCGCGCTTGAGGAGTCGCACTTTGCGACCATCGAACCTGCTCTCGTCTTGAAAGCATCTGAAGTGCTTTGCTAGAAGATTGACCAACTTTCCCGCCGATTGTCCGCTTTCCTCGATCAAGCGAATGACCGCATAGTCTGGTCGCGAATCTGACACGTTGTGGCCGTTTGCTTGTGCGCTAGAGTCCGCTGCTTGGATATTGTCTGCTGTGTCGGTAGGACGGGCTCCGTTCGTAGAACCCTCAACGTGTCCGTTCGCCTCACCAGTTGGGGTGCAGCCGTTCAATGCTTTGGTATGACTATCGACCCCTGTAGTCTCTTGCATTTCGTTGGGCTTGCCATCAACGGATGAGGAATATTGCTGCTTGGCAGTGCCATTGGCAGGAATTGAGCCTGGACCATTCTGGTTCTCGGACTCAGCAGCGTGGGAATTGTCCTCGTTCTGCAAGGCCTCAAAGTGGAGTGGTGTTTGAGTAGTCGTGTCTTCGTGGATCGCATGGCCGTTCATGGCTGGCACCAGCTCAGATGCTTCATCGAAAAATTGATCGTCATCGATTTCATCAGCAAATTCCTAGCAAATCAGCGGCAGGTCGTTGAGCGAGTGACAAAAACCATTACCTCCTGTAGCACTGTGCTTGCTTCCTTCAAGATAGCGATTCGCTCCGAGAGAAGTGGTATAGGTTCTGAAGTTGCACTGCGGAACACATGGGTAAACGTCTCTTGGGTGCAACGCGGGCTAGTCCAGAATCGAGGGGTCGTGATCGGTATGGCTTCATCCAAGGCCCGCCTCAGACAGGCTACGAGACTGTTGTAGCCAGTCCAACGCTGTTCTCTATATTCGACTTGAAATCGATCATCACTAGATAGCTCGGACCAGAAGCTACGAGACATCAGCACCTAATTGTTTCTGTGGCGTGGAGTTTCACGCACGAGAAGTTGAGCAGATCCATGGTGAAGACAAAATTGACAATGTCCACTTCAGAGAAACCTTCGCTGGGTTTTGGGTGCAGCTCATGAGTGCTCCAGGTCTCGGTCGAGTAGCCTCGTGCCTTCATGGCGCGGTAGATCTCCGCGGCAGCTCCTTTCGTGCCATGCATATCGACATGGACGTCGATTGCATTATTGTAAATGAATTCCGCATCTTTCAGAACACCTGCAGACAGACAAATTCAGTAATGGTAGGACTAGAGATCTGGAATGGCCAAAGTGATGGGCGTGCAGAGATGGCAAAGTTGGCTCTTGCATTGCATGGACTACACGCACCTGTTTGGCGAGGGACGCCATCTTGAGGCCCGGAAGAAATGCCAAGCCTTTGGCGAAGGAGCTCCAGCAGCTCGGGATCTGCTTCGTCATCGCTCATCGTGCAGCCACGTGAACGAAGAATGGATTAATTGATCTGTTGCTCGCCTGCATCGTTGACTTGCCTGCCCTGATTTTGGCATTGACTTTGCAAGTCGCACAGTGGAACATGACTAAGAACGGCTCGTGCCGTCAACGGGCAGCTCTTGCCTTCGCTCCACCCCTGAGATCAACCAAGCCAAACTCTTCTACTGTACCTCCATATCGTATTTGGCGGCGTCCATCACGAGCTTGTCTGGCCTCACGAAGATATGTGGGGCATGATGAACCTGATCTATCGTCTAGATGATGAGCGATTCTATGGCCGAACTCGTGCTCAGACATGACTCAGGCACTGCAATATCTTGTTCGGCGGCACGATTTGGTGCAGGAGGCGCGGAAAGCGGATCAGCTACCGCCTGCAAGACCCTGTGGTGATCGACCTTTTATCTGGCTACAATCGACGTCTAGAACTTGCCTTGCACGATTATTGAGGGAGCAGTTGAGCATGAGAGCTGCTCGAGCGGCGTACTGAAGTCAAAGGGCTCAGAATCGAGGTCAGGGCTATCTCCTGCGGAGCCTGCATGTGACGCTCCGTGTGAAACGACCAAGCCCTGCTTCCCTCAGGCAACAAGGCATTCGAGACTTATCCCTGCTTCTGAACTTCGCGCTACGGGCGAGCTGTCGTCGGGTCATGTTTGAGCTCTGCTTCGCACGCGTTAAGTGATCAAGTGAAGTGAGCGTTCCGACGTTTCTCCTCTGCAGATCGCTTTGCTTCTCGCAGACGGCATGCGCGGCGCATCGGCCGCGTGCAGTGAGGGGCCCGCACGAGAGTGACGAGGAAACCGATCAACTTTATTAAGAGGCTCGCTTACCTCGCTTTGCTTCACCGGCCGCGTCCGCCGCGTAGTAGCCGGACACGAACAACGACGTCAAGAATCCTCCAACCACTCGCTCCACTCTCCTTCCCTTCCACACCCGACATACACGCAACCCACACACCGTCCTGCGCACGCGGCCGCAACACCGTCGCCATCATGCAGCGGCGTGAGCGAGGAGTCGCGCAATCGCTGGGCATCCACCTCACGCGCAAAGTGAAGGAGAGTCGCGTGCTGCTGGTGGGCGCCGGCGGCATTGGCTGCGAACTGCTCAAGAACCTGGTCTGTTGCGGCTTTGGCAGCGGCTTCAAGACGCCTCGGGTACAGAACAATGCAGGCGCGGCGCAAGCGGCGCAGCACACTGATCTCGCCGAACCGCCGAATACCAAGAAGGCGGAGATCGTGGTCGTAGATCTGGACACCATCGACCTGAGCAATCTCAATCGCCAGTTCCTATTCAGGAAGCATCACATCAAGAAACCCAAGGCATTTGTCGCGAAGGAAACGGCCAGCGCATTCAATCCAAGCGTGAACATCGATGCGCACCACGCCTCCATCTTCGATGCCCAGTACGATGTCGAGTTCTTCGAAAGCTTCGACATCGTCTTCAACGCTCTGGACAACCTGGCTGCGCGACGGCACGTGAACCGCATGTGCCTGGCTGCCGATGTGCCCTTGATCGAAAGTGGCACCACAGGCTTCAATGGGCAGGTACAGGCCATACGGAAAGGTGTCACCGAATGCTACGATTGCAATGAGAAGCCGGTTCAGAAATCCTTTCCCATCTGCACAATCCGATCGACTCCGTCGCAACCCATACACTGCATAGTCTGGGCCAAGTCATATCTCCTTCCCGAGCTGTTTGGCACGAGCGAGGAAGATTCGTCAGATGTAACAGTCACGGGCGAGGACAATGCGGAGGAGGTCGCCAAACTGAAAGAAGAGGCCGAGGCGCTGAAGAAGATTCGGAGTCTGATGGGCAAGGATGACTTCGCGAAAGAGGTATTCAACAAGGTCTATGGGGATGACGTTGATCGTCTACGCTCCATGAGCGAGATGTGGCAAAGCCGGACACCACCGAACCCATTGCGGTTCGAGAATGTCTGCATCGACAGGAACCCTGAGCTACCAGGCGCCGAATTGGCGACTCAAGATCAAAATGTGTGGTCATTATTGGACAACCTCAAGGTCTTCTGCTACAGCATCCGGCAGCTGAGCAAGCGCGTCGCAAGTGGTGAGAGCTCCATCGAGTTTGACAAGGACGATAAGGATACCCTCGATTTCGTTGCATCGGCCGCCAATCTGAGATCGCACGTATTCAGCATCCCAGTGAACAGCGAATGGGAAATCAAGCAGATGGCCGGCAACATCATTCCTGCTATCGCCACCTCAAATGCATTGACGGCATCGCTCTGTGTCCTGCAAGCTTTCAAAGTGATGAGGTCACAAACGCCCAAGCCACAAACGTTCCAATCGACAGCGAACAATCATGTTCCTGATACGGTGCCACCGAATACGAATGGCAACACTGGTCCGATCATGGGTGGCAGTAAAATGGTTTTCCTCAACTCGAAGAGCACCGACCGCATGATCACCACGGAACAACTACTTCCACCCCGGAAAGATTGTCCGGTGTGCTCGCCGGTCTATGCCAAATTAACGATCAGAAGCGGTGCGGATCCGAAAATGCAGAACCTGGTTGACGCATTGAGGAACAGCTCAAATTACGAAGATCTGTCAATAGTGTACAATGAGCAAGTCATCTACGACCCAGACCTCGAGGAGAATCTGGAGAAACCATTGTCGGAATTTGGTATCGATGGCAAGGGCATCAATTTCCTTACAGTGCAGGACGATGCCGATGAGCCAAAGGTGGACCTCGTCCTCAGTGTCAAGTTGAAGACAATAGAAGGCGATGATGATCTTGTGCTCTCGCCAAGTACGCTCGTGCTTCCGACAAAGCCGCCGAAGGCCATAGAACCGACGAATGGAGGAGTTGACGATGCTCCTGAACCTATGAATGCCAGCGCCGAGCTGCTTAACGGTAAACGCAAGCGCGAAGCCGAGGACGACATCGAGGCCCCCAACAAGAAGGCGAAGGCGCAGTCACAGGCTGAAGCATACGTAGTAGAAGACGACGGCGCTATTCTACTCGATTGAGTCGAGTGATTCTCCAACTGAAGTACCCCCAGATTCGGTACTTCAGGCACTATGCGATTGTAGTATGCGACACGATACCCTCGGTGATGATTTGCATGGCGTAAGAGGCTATTCGCGATGCATGGAAGCGGCAGGCGTTTGGGTAAGGGAACACATCGGGAAAGAGGACCTGCGTATCTGAAGTGCTCAGATCGCCTCTCAGGTTGTCTTTTTTGCCCACTATCCTTTCGGCATTATGGCCAGATTTTCGGTTTGCTTCCGTGATCAGGCGCAAGGTGTGCGCAGCACAGTCCGCCACCTTGCCATTGATCCAGTTCAGGTTGAGCTGATGGATGTGTTAGTAGTGAAGAACAATGAAATCAAAACTTCGAGCACTGCCAGTTTCCAACTATCATCTTCTCAACCATCACGGTGCGCCACTTCCGTGCCACAGGAGATCTCTCAATACTCGCAGTCATTTGAGACAATGTCTCACCTCCGCCTAGCCCTGCGGCCTGCGCGTGGAGGATTTACACCAATGGTATGCCGTCCGCAGCGTGACCGAAGATCAACCAAGAGCAGAACACCCTTAGCACGTGCGTGCATCTTGCTTTCGCAGAACGTCACGGCTTGGAACTGCACGACTCCGATTCTCAAATCACCGAAGGCATCAGTTTAATACCTACAGGGCAAATACGAAAGTGCCACAGACGATGCCCTTATGCCACCTCACATCATCGATTGTTGGCAACCGCCTTCCCGCCATTCGTGGACTCCATCAACAGCGACGACATCGGCGCGTCCTCCGACCCCACCCCCAAAACACCGAAGAGGAGACGTCCATCTGCAGCCATACTCCGCTGTAAGATGTGACGACCGTCTAGACTCCACACCTCTTACCACTGTCACGACAACATTGCTACGACCTCCGAGTCCACCGCCAAAATACCGAAGAGGAGACGTTCACCTACGGCCAAACTCTATTGCCAAATGCGATGAAATCCTAGGCTCCACACCCATAACCAACACTCCAACAAGTACAACCACAACCTCCGGCGATTCTTCTTTTCGCTCCTCATATTACCGACCACGATCCGTGTACATTCCCTCGTCCACTTCAACACTCACCACTGCCACCACCGCTACTTCGTCTTCCGGAGGCCGACCATCTTCCTCTATCGCCAGTCCCACCGTACCACGTCGCGCCTCCCAGCATAACCCAGACTATAATTACAACATCGTCTCCGAGGCACTGCGACGTACCTACAGCAAAGCCAAATCTCACCGACAACAAACTGTACAGGAGAAATCCTCCGCTAAAAACCGCAACTCGGCGCATTTCGTCAACTCCTACAGCTCATTTCCTCGCTACCGTCGAGACAGCATGGATATCAAAGCACAATACATGGACGATAGATCATCTTCTCATCATCACCTTCCAAGCGACAAGGCTTCTACACTCCTCTACGATCACGGAAATTCAGATGATGCTGCGCATGTCTATGATGCGGATCCAATGGCTCAACGCTCCGCCGCACCATACATCGTCGCGAGGAAATTCTTCAAACAGTATGATGTGCGAAGCACGAGTAACATGTCTGCGAAGAATTTGGAAATTTGCCAAAATGGAGTGCCGATCTTGCTCGTGAATACTAAGGTGCCGTTTTGGTGGGGTACGCCAAAGGTTGAGATTGTCAGGGCGCTTGGGAGGACAGGAGGTGGGAGAGGAGGGCCGGTCGTAGCGGTAGGTTCCATTATAATACCCGTTTAACAACTCGTCCTTGGTATTTGGCACTGACATTCGAGTGTGCGTTGCTTCTAGGCCGCCAAAGCCAAATCAGTCGGCAACGCAATCTACATCAACATCGGACATCCGCCCGATGCTGTTCCAGTGGAACAATGGCCGCAGCTTACGTATTCTTACTGGAATGACAAGGAATATTTCTTTGAATTCGAAGGGAGGAGATATGCTTGGAGAAGGTAACTTGTATCTTACCACATCATCTCTTTCGTTGATACTGACCTCCTTCCTCTATAGGGACGTGTCCGGCTTCGCCGACTATGTCAAAGACAATGGTGATTTCCAATTCGTCGATCTCGAGAATGGCACAGTCTTGGCGGCATTCATTAGATCGAATAAGAGTTTCAACAGAGATCTTGGGAAGATCGAAGTCTTGGTCGAGATGGATCAGAATTTGGAGCTGATGGCACTGATTGCGATCATGGCAATTGACGAGCGGAGAAGGAGAGCTTTGCTCGGTGCTTCGGTTGCGGCGGGCGCAGGAGGTGGTGCTGCTGGTTGAGTGAATAAGATAGAGGCTGATGTGGAAGGTCTGTACGATAAGTGGAGGAGGGTCGGTTGATGATGAGAGTTTCGTTTATGTGCAGTCGCGAGAGTATATACCCCAAGGAAGATTTTGATAAAGCACGATTTGGTCCGCCGCAATTGACGGTCCTCAATTGCTTCGCAGCAGGCCGTCAAAGTCCTCAAGGTGCCGATGTCTTGTAAATCTGATGTTTGCAGCATCTGACATAGCCATCGCGAGTCGAATTGTGTCAGCATTCGCGTGGGAGTTGCTCGAACATAATGTTAGGCTGCGCTGCGCTGGCCGGGTTACGTGCCGCTTTGCTTGATAAGCAGTAAATCTGCCGGCTTGGTCATGATAGTGATCAACCGCGGAAGGACAGTCTTTTGAAGTTGAATGGCGTGTCTACGAGCAGCCAAGAGAGGAGAGGAGGTGCAACTCGCTTGACCTGTGGATTAGTGATTGACGCCAGCGAATCGGAAGGGGGCGTGCAGATGCCGACAACGCTGCTCGCACCTCGTCGCAGTCGCTCCTGCCTCACCCGACCACGCGCCGATATGAGTGAATGGTTTGGGGAGCGCATATCGAGAGTGGAATGCGAACCTCCTCGCGACGATGCGGAGCACCTTGTTCAATGCCAGGAGGGAAGTCTCGCAGTCCAGGGCGCGAGAATCGACGGGAGTCCGAGGTCACATGGGCTGCACTTCTCGACTCTTCTGCGATGTCGCCTTCCTCGGCAACACTGGCGCTGACGGCTTCATGTGTCGGTCGATATGTCTAGCCGTATCTCCGCCACCTGCATGCTAATCAACCATCCCCATACATCTCCACACTCTCCTCTTCGCCTACGCAGACGCATACGTGTGAGACATGCTGTAGGACCATATATTGACCCAGTCGAGTACGGACACGACACCCATACGCATCCATCATGGCGAACCGATCTCGCACCCTCCCACTCGTCCCGCTCCCACACTCGTTAGTCCTCCTGCCGGGAGTGACTACACGTGTTCCTCTCCAGAACCGCGCAGACATCGCCGCCATCCTCGCCAAGCTCTATAGCACCGCTGCTACTCCACGCGCAGAGACCAGCAGTGTCACCGTTGGCTGTGTGCCACTCAACAGCCAGTTCCTCTCTCCCGATGGCAAACACTTCCTCGAGGAGAAGGATGCTTCGAAGCAGAAGATAGAATCCGAGCCCACTAACGTACGAAAGAAGGATCTGTTCCAATATGGCACCATGGCTAGAGTCACGGGTGTGCAAGGACGGCGGGCCGGAGAGTTGACACTCGTTGTGGAAGGCATCACACGCTTCCACATTGACAAGGTTACGCAAGAGCGACCATACTTCGAAGCCAAAGTGACACTTCACGAGGAGCAGCGCGTGGCCGAGGATAACGAACAGATTCACAACATGTTTGCCAACCTCAAGCAACTCAGCAGGGAGCTCATCGCTCTGATTCGCCTCTCTGCCTTGCTACCACGAGGTCCCCAGATGACTCTCTCGCCCATCCTGGCCCGTCGTCTGGAGCTCTACATTGTGCGCAAGGATGTGCAGGAAGCCGGAGTGTTAGCGGACTTTATGACCAATATCATTGATTGCACACATGCGGATAAGCTACGCATCCTCTCCGCCACTGATGTGGGCGAGAGATTGGCTCGGATTACCGAGATCCTGCAGCGACAGATCACCACCATCCAAGGCAACAGCCGCATATTGTCAGTGACGACCCAGCAGAACCCGAGCCAGACGGGCGTCATCGATCTCGAGACACTCAACAGACTGAGGCAGGATCCACGCTTACGGCGCATGGGCAATGGACAAATCCCTCCCGTCGGAATGGGCCCAGGCATGGGAGGCGGACAAGGACAGGATGACGAGGTCAACGAGATTGAGGAGCTGAAGAAGAAGTTGGATGAAGCAGGCTTGAGTCCAGAAGCGAAAAAGGTGGCCGATCGCGAGTTGAAGAGGCTGGCGAAGATGAACCCGGCACAAGCAGAACACCAAGTCTGCAGAAATTACCTCGAGAACTTGGCCGAGATTCCATGGACCAAGATGACCGAAGATAATCTGGACACGAGCACAATGGCCAAAGCGAAGAAGCAGTTGGACGATGACCACTATGGGTTGGAGAAGGTCAAGAAGAGACTGTTGGAATACCTGGCAGTGTTGAAGCTGAAGCAAGCCGTCAACCAAGATTTGGACAAGCAGATTGAGCAGATTGCAAAGGCGATTGAACCGGCGAAAGAGCAAGCGTCAGCCGATGCAGCGATCAATGGCGATGAGGACGTGGCGCCATCAACGCAGCTCGTCAAGAAAGATGCTGAGGTGAAGAAGGAGCCAAGTCAAAAGGAGATCAGCTTGCTGAAGCACAAGAAGATGGTCGATAAATCGCCCATCCTACTCCTTGTTGGCCCTCCAGGTGTTGGAAAGACCTCGCTCGCCAAGTCCGTTGCCACAGCCCTGGGCCGACAATTCCACCGCATCTCGCTTGGTGGTGTCAGAGACGAGGCTGAGATTCGCGGCCATCGGAGAACATACGTCGCTGCCATGCCTGGACTGATCGTGAACGGCTTGAAGAAGGTCGGAGTTGCCAATCCTGTCTTCCTTCTTGACGAAATCGACAAGGTCGGCTCTGCCTCGAACCACGGCGATCCATCAGCTGCCATGTTGGAAGTGCTTGATCCGGAGCAGAACTCCACATTCGTGGACCACTATGTCAACATTCCTATCGATCTTAGCAAGGTCCTCTTCATCGCCACTGCCAACTCGCTCGACACCATTCCACCACCGCTACTTGATCGTATGGAGACCATCCAGCTCCCAGGATACACGACGCTTGAAAAGCGACACATCGCCAATCGACATCTCATTCCCAAGCAGATCACAACAAACGGCCTCAAGCTTGAGAATGTACTCATGAAGGATGAGGTCGTAGACAAGGTCATCACATCATACACACGTGAAGCAGGAGTGCGAAATCTGGAACGAGAAATTGGAACAGTATGTCGCTCCAAAGCTGTGCAGTACGCCGAAGCACGCGACACAAATACACTACCGGCCTACACACCTGTCGTCACAGTCGAGGATCTCGAAGACATGCTCGGCATCGAACGCTACGAAGAAGAAATCGCTGCTCGCTCCTCCCAACCCGGAGTCGTCACTGGTCTTGTGGCCTACAGCACCGGATCCCAAGGCAGCATTCTCTTCATTGAAGTCGCCGACATGCCCGGTGCTGGCGGCGTCAAACTCACAGGCAAGCTCGGCGATGTGCTGAAAGAATCCGTTGAAGTCGCCCTTTCATGGGTCAAGTCCCACGCGTACGAACTCGCTCTCACGGACAACCCGAACGAAGACATCATGAAAGCACGAAGTATCCACGTCCACTGCCCATCAGGTGCAATCCCCAAAGACGGACCTTCAGCCGGTCTCGCACATACCATTGCTCTCATCTCGCTCTTCAGCGGGAAGCGCGTCCCACCCACAATCGCCATGACAGGCGAAGTCGCGTTGCGAGGAAAAGTCATGCCTGTAGGCGGCATTAAAGAGAAACTTATTGGTGCGCTAAGAGCTGGTGTGAAGAAAGTCCTGCTACCGGTGCAGAATCGCAAGGACGTGAAGGATCTGCCGCAAGAGGTTTTGGATGGGTTGGAGATTGTCCATGTTGGACACATCTGGGAGGCTTTGCCGCAGATCTGGCCAGAGAGTGAGTGGCCTGGTCAGAGAGGCTGGACGGGTGCTGTTGAGAGTCGGTTGTAGGTTATATGAGGTATCTGATTTCTTCATTAAAGTTGTATTTAGCGTTGGGTGGGTGTAATGTTATCATCACTCTTTTCTCCGAATCTTGACTGTCCTGCCCTGTCCTGTCCTGTGCTGCTTTCCGTGTGTGCAGATCCAATGAGAGTGATGCACTCGATGATCCGTTCAGAGCTGGACCCAGCCGCGGTTTTTGTAAATCTCGTTCAGATCTTCGTGCATCATTTCTCGTTTCGTGTCACATCGCGTGCTACTTGCAAGTAAGTGACCTACCTCAAATGGTCCAATTCAGCCTGAATCTCTATCCTGTGATGCAAGTTCTAGATTGTTTGCTTTGCAAGCAGACTTTTGTACTGCAGTCTGGGGCGCAATCACTGCCAGCAGACTTTACCGGAATCTGCTGCCAAGCCCTTTGGTTCGTGGTCTGGCTGTTTGGAACGATATGCTTCGCCTGTGAGGAATGACTGCGACATGGCTTGCGCGATATTTGGCGGTTGCTCGGTCGCACTCTTACTACTGCGCTTTCGTTCCGAAGCTAGTTCGCAAAAGCCTTGGGCTTCACGCCTTCTTGTTGCTAGTATTAGACGCATAAGCTTCTATCAGTGTGTCAGAGTGTCCGGAGGGTGAAGAAAGTGGATATCTTTTCTGACAAGACGGCTGTGCGTCTCGTCAAGGCTTCTTCGCTCGCTCGTTTCGTTCGTGTTCGGTCTGTTCGGTCAGTGCACGTGGTAGTCTTTCGGTCCAACACTTTCCGTCTTGCTCATCACGCTTGCAGCGCGTTTGGCTCCCTGCATGTCCGGTAGTGTGATTGCTGGCCGCAGGGCCGAATCGTGTCTCCAGAAATGATTTTCTTCCGGTTGTCCAGGTTCGCTGAAATGGAGGAACGAGATCAATGCTTCGCAACGTGCACCGAATAAAGGTTCTAGTGACGAAAATCGTGGTTCCGAGTGTCTGTCATGGAAATAGTGTGTCGCAAAGCAACCTGCTCTCGTTGAGGCGTTCCTGGTCGCAGTGGTAGAACTGGTTGAGAAGCCATAATGTACGAATGGCCCGACACCAGCTGGCCCGCGTCAACTGTCCTCCGGAAGCGATCGGCGCCGAATATGTGGTTGCCTTTCGTCCAGCCGATGATGCGTGTTATGCTTGTACCTTGTCAGAGGATTTCAGCTGTCAGTTCGTCGTGCACAGCTACTGGTACCGATGCACGTCCGCCAGCTCGTCAGCCTCCAATGTGTGAGTTCCGGCACGAAAGCTGTGTTCGCCCCGCAGAACACGTACTTGCTCTTTACTTGGATGAAGATCATCACAATAGTCAACGTTCATTACTTGATAGCTCGCATCCTTGAGGTCCAGCTTGGACCAAAGATTTCGAAGCTCTTATCGATACTGGCCTTTCTCCGCACTCTGTGCCTGACATCTCATACGACACTCTCAGCGCTAGAAGCTAGCTGCAGCGGCTCAGCGGGCTGATTGACCTGCATTCTTGTCGGAGTGCGAGTTGCATGCAGGCTGAGAGCTCCAGTTGCCATGCTTCGGATTGTTCGTTCCGAAAGCTGGGGTTTCGATGGCGTCGATCTAGACCCCGAACGATCAAGACCCCAGATTCTTGTGGCTACGGCCACTACCGTCAATGTGTGCAGCACTCGAACCTAGTGTTCCACCATCTCATCATGCACAGCATTCCTTCGCATCCCATGCATTGTGCGTGCGGAGGTGTCTGGTACAATCGCGGGGAAAGCTGCTTGAAAATTGGAGATCGCAGCAAAATAGAAAAGCGATCATGAAATGCGGCGAAGATCGATGAAATAATGTGCGGCAAGCCATTGAAACTACAAGCAACATCGTTGCATTGCCTTACCTGGTGACTGGGCCTCGCCCTTGCTGGTATCAGCACGCGCAGCGGACAGCTCGCCGAGCGAACGCACGGAGAGCAGGTGTCGACATGGGAGCTCTACAGTACTGCCGACTGTGGCGCTGGCAAGATCCGCGCTTCTCGGCATTCTTGGTATCACGTCGAATGGAGTTCTCGACAGTTGCTCCGTGGCCTCAAAGCACTGTCAGAAAGAGGAATTGCGGCACTCTTTATGAGACATTCAGGTCTCTCGAGAGTGAAGTACTGGCGTCAGAGCAAATGAGAAGACGCTGACTGCAGTCGCTGTGGCGGTAGAGGCAGATTGGCGAGTGCAAACACGAATCTGCTCTGTTGTGTTGCTGTGACCGACGTTCTCGGTCGCGTTCGCAGCATATAACTCTTCACTGTGTCGTGCAGTTGCACACTCCGTGTGTGATCGGTCTCGTGCTGTAATCGTAATATGGTACGACCTCGTGCCACTTCATTACTCGCCATCCAACTTGCAAGATGTTGTTCTGCTTCGGCATAGTTCCGGGAACCAAATTGTCTCAGGTGTAACGGGACGCTCAAAGTAGCGACAAGCACACGTGGGCGCAGACAAGGTGGACTGGAGTGCCTTCGTGGGCAGGAAGATGTTGAGTCGTGGTGCTACGTGGCTCGCGGGGCAGGAAATGTTGCTTCGTTTGCACTGCGTTCAAATTCCATGCGCTGATCGGCCTGTGCTTCGAATGCGTGACTGTTTTGCCATCGCCATTAAGGTGCCCACCTTGATGTCCAGACCAGCTGCGACTCAAATAAAAGACGTTGTCTCCCGACGCGACAGCAGTTGATTCATCAATTTGCTTGTTTCCATGTTTCTATGCCGAGACATTGACATGGCAGCCGTTCCCATTGCGTGAAAGTGTTGCTCTGGCTCGTCATGCAGAGCAACGACGAAGGAAGATCCACGAATACGGCCGCATAGGATTCTGATGACTTGGACATGCTGGTCGATGGGAGAAGATGTTCATCTTTTCCACAGACCCGAGGATTGAAGCGTTCTGGTCCGACACATTTGCTCACTGCGTGGACGGAACAATGGATATTGCTGACTTGCGACGTTCAGAAGCGCCAAGGGACAGCCGTGTAACCGCGACAACAATTGGCCAGCACCGCCGCATCTTGGTGCAATAGCAGGGCCGGACGAGAAGCTTAACAACAGCTTTACCGAATGCGGAACAGCCACAGTGAAGAGCTATCAGAGCTCCCCTTGTCAGCTCTAGTCAGGCTAAGAACCTTGAGGTCCGGCTGCAGACGCCGACTCCACAAGCGGTCGACCGAGATCATGGAGGGCCAGTACTTGCTCGTTCTGCGCCGCATGATCCTGCCTACGGTGGACGATGTTTGTAGCTGAATCCGAGACCAAAACCACATTTTGCCCCGCAAGGTTTCTGAAGATTGTTTCAAGCCTCCATGTTCCGTCAGGCCGAGGAACGTCCAACAGCAACGCTCTGCATGGCGGTGGTCCGACTCTGCATCCAATGCCCGGCTTAATCACTCCACTATTGATCGGCGCACCGCTCGTAGATCTGCCAATGCAGTTTGGCGCAAGACTTCTGGGCGGCCTGGGGAGCGGACATCTGGCTTCCCGTGCAAGCCCTGCGGACGGAAAGATCCTTGGGACCTTGGGGCAATCCGCAACCCCGTCTAGACTCATGCCGTTTCCAGGATGGCTTGCGTGGTGAGTGGGTGTTCAATGCATCGACCATCTGTCCGACAGGCACGAGCACCAATGCCCCTCCTTTCAAGCGTGCGACAGATGTGGGGCTCAAGGCATCGAGTGCGCGTCCCACCAGAAGCCAGAGACATGATAAGTAGGCCTACCGGCCCTCGATCGTAGTCCTCTCAACATTCAGCCAGCCCCAATCCGCAGCACAGTACACCTCTTCAAAACTCGTATCCACATTCATCCTTTGCTACCACATATTACCGCAAACATGGCTCCTCAAATCCCAGAAATGCAATGGGCCCAGGTCATTGAGAAGACTGGCGGTCCTGTTGAGTACAAGCAAATTCCCGTCCAGAAGCCAGGACCAGATGAGATTCTCGTCAATATCAAGTATTCCGGTGTATGTCACACCGACTTGCACGCTGTGAATGGAGACTGGCCACTTCCAACCAAGCTTCCACTTGTTGGCGGACACGAAGGTGCTGGCGAAGTCGTGGCCATGGGCGAACTCGTCCACGACTGGCAGATGTAAGTGCAACTCGGAAGTGGGCATGGACCAGCCTCACTGACGTCTCAAACAGTGGCGACTATGCTGGTGTCAAGTGGATTAACGGATCTTGCTTGTCTTGCGACTTCTGCCAGACCTCTGACGAACCTCTGTGCGGCAAGGCCCTCTTGTCTGGCTACACCGTCGATGGCTCCTTCCAGCAATACTGCATTGCCAAGGCAGCACACGCAGCTCGCATTCCAAAGGAGTGTGACCTTGCCGCGATCTCTCCCGTGCTGTGCGCCGGTATCACCGTCTACAAGGGACTGAAGGAGTCAGGAGCCAGGCCAGGTCAGACTGTCGCCATTGTAGGTGCCGGTGGTGGTCTCGGTTCGCTCGCACAACAATACGCCCGCGCTATGGGCCTGAGGACTATTGCCATCGACAGTGGTGATGAGAAGAGGAAGATGTGCTTGGAGCAGCTCGGCTCCTACGCATTCGTCGACTTCGCCAAGAGCCAGAACGTCGTCAAGGATGTGCAGGCTGCTACCGAAGACGGTCTTGGCCCACACGCCGTCATCCTTGTCGCAGTAAACGAGAAGCCATTCCAGCAAGCCGCCGAGGTGAGTGCATGCCACATGAATGATACCTGTCCAGCTTTACTGACCCGTGATCCAGTACGTCCGACCTCGTGGTACAGTCATCTGCATTGGTCTACCAGCCGGTGCTTATCTGCGCGCACCCGTGTTCGAGTCTGTCATCAAGATGGTCACCATCAAGGGCTCCTATGTCGGTAACCGCAAGGACAGCTCAGAGGCCATCGAATTCTTCCGCCGCGGCGTCATCAAGGCACCATTCAAGATTGTTGGTATGTCCGAGCTCCAGAAGGTGTACGATCTTATGCACGCGGGTCAGATCGCAGGCCGATATGTCTTGGACACTTCGAAGTAGATTAATATACCGGTCTGCCTGTACATAGCTGCTGAGTCGAAAAGAACAATGAATATTTTAGCGATGTTTACGTTTGATCCAAGGGTTGTGTGAGAAGGAAGTTGAGCGAGGTGGGTGCAAGATCAGAAGAGGTGTGTCTCTGCCTTTTGTGACGATGCGAACTCAAGACATGATGTTTGCGGCTCCGGCGAGCTATGGGGTCGAAAGTGCAGCGGTGTCCGCCGGCTCGCTTCATTCTGCTCATTATCGTTCGTGCCTTCCTGGAGCCGCCGAGGTCCAAACTACATTGAGTAAGTGCCGAGCGACAATTTTCTCAGATGGAAGGTCAGGCGAGCGAAATGTGTGTCCCGTCGGGAAGGTCAGGAAGTCGAGTCGACGACCTTTTCAAGCATCGCACGACTGCGCGAAATTGTGTACTCTCGAACTTGAAGGTCTGTATTGCTGCAGAAGAGGCTCGATCGGGCCATTCCCTGAGGAAAAGGCACCATCTTTGCTCCACATTTTGCCACCGTCCACGCAGGAATCTGCTGATAGTAGCTAATCAGGGAGAGGAGAGTCCTCTCATTGTTCACAGCAGACCGTTCTGAAGCTGTGGATCGTCGACCTGACCTGCGTTTAGAGCTGCTCTTTGTCAACAACAGCCAGCTCTAGCTTGCCGGCTCCATCCAAGGTGGCATCGCTGGCTCTAGTAATGCGATTGTTCCCTCCATGGTTTTGAAGTCATGGTCCAGAGGTGCCGATTATCCTACGACGCAGCGACCTTTTGCTAGCAGCAGTCCAAGCTACCTCCGATGTGAAAATTGCGGGTGCCCTCTTCGTGCTCGCCTCGATCTTGCCATTCGCGTCGCCGGTTTCGCTGAAGCCGACTTCACTCATGGGAGCGCCGCGGGCAGAGTTGGAGTACCGGAAGATGGTCTGTAATGATTGTCGTCGTACGCGTCGCTGTTTGCCGCTGTGGGTTCTGTGCTCGGGATTTTGGCCCGCAGCCAATCAACGGCTTCCGGCTCGGCAGCTTGAGAAGTTGCACGGCTTCTTCTGAAACGAAGTTCTTCACTTCCCCTGCCAGTCGCAGTAGCGACAGATTGACAATACCGACAAGTCTCATACATGATGCACTGTGGATCGCGGAAGAGAGCGTGCAACGAGGCGCGGTGACGTTGCGGGAAGACAATTGTGCGCGCTGGTTCTCTGGAAGCTGGACGCGTGCGACCTCCTGAGACTCGGCGCAGTCTGCAAGTGCGATGATGTGCTGTACCGCGCCTGCGATAGCCGCCGCGGCTGCAAGAAGATTCAGCAAGATGACGAGGCAGGGTCGCGCGCAAAGTGAAGCTGCTGCGGGTTGTTGATGGGCTCCACCAGTGGTGCGGTACTGGCGACTGCACGTTGACCAGCTGCGTTTTCGCCTTCACATGTCCGCATATCCACTTTGTCACAAGCAGACGACACACAAAATGCAGCCGAGCCCTTGGCCATTTGCTTGTGTCACTCTTATTCACTTCGCGTTGCTTAACTTCTTGTTTGCTCACTTCGTTACCTCCCTTTCCTGTTCACAGTGCCTGGCTGCACTTGCTTCGTCACAACGCTCATTTACAGTCACTCCTTCCTGATATTCTGCCGAGCAGGTGCAGCTTCTCTACCCTTTACAACTTCTCGACACTCTCTTGAGACTTTGGTGCGCCCTTCGCCAAGATGGCCTCCTTGCTCTTCGTCTTCCTCGTTTCTCTGCTGGCAGTCGCTACGGCCATCCCATCGAGTCTCCACGAGCGCTCATTCCGGCCAAAGTTCGACGTTCAGAAGAACGCAATTCAGAAACGCTCCTTCAAGGCTCCAGTGCCTGGCCGCGCCCACCAAGGCGCCCTCAACGAAATTCTTCGCGTTCACAACAAGTACGAGTGGACCATCGTCGTCGCGGAGAGCGAACCTCTCTACCCCATCAGCGTAACCACGAGTCATCCTGTCGCCACAGCAAGCACTATACCGACTTTCAAGACTTTGACGACGCTCTCTCCGGTCCCAAGTAACTCCCCTCCCACTTACGGTCCCTACCCGAACTCCACCAGTAGTGCATCACCCACGCCAACCAAGGGAAGTGAGGATGGGGAAGTTTCTGCAATCCCGGAAGAGAATGAAATCCAGTACCTCGCCTCTGTTTCGATCGGCGGCCAAAAAGTATGGCTCAATTTTGACACTGGGAGTTCGGACCTGTAAGCTCTCAAGATACAACGTGACAGAGGCCGGTACTAATTCCTGAGGCAGGTGGGTGTTCTCAAGCAAGCTCTCGCCAAACGCCATTGGCAACCACTCATTCTATGACCCATCGAAGAGCGACACATTCACCCCTTATGAGAACGCCAGCTGGAGAATTTCATACGGCGACGGCAGCTCTGCAAGTGGCATCGTTGGCTATGATGTAGTCGACGTCGGTGGGTCAACAGTCCAAAAACAAGCTGTTGAGCTAGCGACATACATCTCAGCCAGCTTCGCTACGGACCCCAACAGTGATGGACTGCTCGGCTTAGGTTTCAGCAACATCAACACGGTACAACCTGAGCGCCAGAAGACCTTCTTTGAAAACGTTATGCCCGACCTCTCGGAGCCACTTTTCACTGCCGACCTCGAGGACAACATGGGTGCTGGCGAGTACGAGTTCGGTAAAATCGACAGGGCCAAGTACAAAGGCGACATCCACTACGTTGACATCGACAGTTCCGAGGGCTGGTGGCAATTCCCGATTCCAAGCATCAGCATCGGTGATGAGTACACATTCACGTGCGACCAAGACTGCCCCAAAACCATAGCTGATACAGGTTCGAGTCTAATGTGAGTCTAACCTCCAGCTTCGCTCCGACAGCCATGCAAGATGCCTACCACCTGAGGCAGAGATCGACGATCATCGCTCAGAGCGACGCGGGCAGAGAGTGTCGAGAGAACTATGCTAACTTTACCCACAGATACCTGGACAGCGAGGTTGTGACAGCTTACTACAAGCAAGTTGACGGGGCTTCCATCTGGCAGATGAATACCTATATCTACCCTTGCGACACAGCGCTGCCTGACCTCAGCTTGCAGATTGGAGACTACAACATGACCATCAAGGGTGAGGATATCACCTACCTTCAGTTTGATGGAAATGAGGGCCCGGCTGGTCACTGCCTCGGCGGCCTCCAGGGTAAGAGTAGCCCGCAGATTTTGGGTGATGTGTTTCTGAAGCAGGTCTTTGCTGTGTTTGATGGTGGAAATCAGCGCTTCGGAATTGCTGAGAAGAACTAACCCGACTTGACTCCGTCTGCAGACTGGAGATGAGGCCCACCAGGATGCAGACGATCGAAATTGAGCTGGAGATACAGCTCTGAGATGCTGAGCGGTGAGCCTTTGCAAAGCCACATCTATAGAATTACGACAGTACGCATGGCTCAGCAGCTTGAGTCGTCATCAATGAATGAATGCCCTTTTCTGACACGGCAGGCATCTCAATCTGTATATTCCATTCTCACTACAACAGTCCGGCCTGCTTCATGTACGACGTCACATTATCCGCCACAATTAACGTGATGATGGAGTGAGGAGCGATTCGGAAGAAGTAAGTCCCAAAACCCCGATAAAAGCGAAGCAGGCCTTCTTTCCGATACGCTTGTACAGCACAATCAATCATGCCACTGTATTGCGATCCGCCTCTCTGCAGCCTCGTCTTCAAGAAATCGAATGGCAGACTGAAGAATGACGCAAAGAATCCCGCGATACCAGATGCTGCGAAAGTGATATTCCGATCAGACATTGCAGTCCTCTGCTTCAGTTGATGCTTCGACTCGGAGAAAAACGCCAATTGCCCGAAGTTCGTCGCCATCGCCCTCACAATCGTCGGATAGGAACCTGACCAAAGCGCAGTGATGCCTTCACTTTTGGCGATTCTCGTCAATGCATCAACCACGGATCGATAATTCGCTCGCTGTTCTCGCGGCTTCATCCCATCGGATTGCAAGCGGATCAGAGCGACTTCTGCTGGATTGGCGATTGCTGCTGCGAGACCTCCTGCGGATAAGCCTGCCATTGCGCGTTCGCTGAAGCCTACACTGCGGCCTTGTTGTTCGGCTCGACTTGTTGCGAAGGCGAGAAAGCGATCAAAGAAGCCTAAACGGAGTGTTGCGTAGGATGCTTGACGGAGCCAGGCGGCTGAGATGCCGTTGTACAAGCTGAGGAAACCATCTTCGGCTACGATCTTTTGGGCTACGGCTAATGGCGATTGTCCTTTTCCTGCAGCTCCTTCACCGCTGGAGACAGTAAGTATCTGTCCTGGATATCGACGTGATTTGGGAGGAGAGACTTACAGCAGCTGCAGTCGGACCTTGACCATATCTATTGGTTGAACACATGTTGTTGCTACAATGCCCGAACCTCCTCCAATCACAAAGGGTAAGAGCTGTTTCCCAGTTGCGGCAAGAACCGAGGATGATCTGGACTCATTTGTCGGATTTGAGGATGATGATGAGCCGTCTACGGCTTGCTTCGACTCGGACATTGCATGGCATCCATGATCAAAGAAAACAGCCGCCGAGTGCTTCGTGCCTACGGAGCACAGAGTGACGTTTGATCAATTGAGTTTCACGTGGCCCTCGGCATGTACGCCCGCCATATTTCCTAAGCTGCCTGGCTCGGCGACGTTTTTAAGGGTTGAGGGCTTCCTTTGTGCGGGGAGGATGCAACGTTATACCCGACTATTACCGATGACGACCTGTCTATTGCTAAGCTCTGATCCGTATCTGTGATGGTTCGTCATTGAATTGTGGACGTATGAGCAGGTCTGGCGAAGTTGAGCTCAACTGAAGAAGACATTTGAAGCATGTGAAAGTGCATGGGTCGTATTGTCCATGTCTTGGCGTTTAGCAACAACATTTCCTCTGACTTATTGAAATATTCAAGATGTCTTTTCTGGCTAAGAGAGTTGTAAGTCATTCTAAGCGTATGGTTTCGAGTGGCTTATCTGACTAATTTGTACAGTTCACCCGCCAACTAGCAAGACCGACGCTGTCGAACCTGAGATCATGTCGAAGCAGGCTGCTGAGTGAAACCGGAAGACGAAGAGTGCATGCACCAGCAACTGAATTTCTTCAAAATGGCAACGTCGACTGGACTGGGTCTCAACAAATGGTCCGAGAGTCAATAGCCAAAATCGCGTCGAAATACGATGATGAATACTGGAGGGACCTGGACAGCAAGCACAAGTTCTCCCTCGACCTCCACTCTGACCTGGCTGGAGCTGGCTGGCTCGGAATTTGTATGCCTGAAGAATACGGAGGCTCTGCTTTGGGTATCTCTGAAGCCTCTGTGATGATGCAGACGCTGTCCGAATCTGGTGGAGGAATGGCAGCAGCTTCATCAGTTCACATGAACATCTTCGGACTAGAGCCTGTCGTAAAATTCGCCACAGAAGAGCAGAAAAAGCGATGGCTCGTCCCTTTGATCGCGGGCGAAGAACGAGCCTGCTTCGGTGTCACAGAACCAAACACTGGCCTTGATACTCTGAAGCTCCAATCCCTCGCAAAGAAGAACTCAGACGGCAAAGCATACTCCGTAAGCGGTTCAAAAATCTGGACATCCACCGCCCAAACCGCCCAAAAGATCCTCCTCCTCGTACGAACAACTCCTCTCGCCGAAGTCAAAAAAGCCACCCAAGGCCTCTCCCTCTTCTACACCGACCTCGACCGCTCCGCAGTCCAAGTCCAAGAAATCGAAAAACTCGGCCGCGCCGCAGTAGACAGCAACACCCTCTTCTTCGACGGTTGGCAAGTCCCCGCCGAAGACCTCATCGGCTCCGAAGGCGACGGCTTCAAACAAATCATGCACGGCATGAACGCCGAACGCGTCCTCATCGCCGCAGAAGCTCTAGGTCTAGGCTTCGCCTCTTTACGTAAAGCCGCACTCTACGCTCAAGAACGCGAAGTCTTCGGACGTCCGATTGGAAAAAATCAGGGAATTCAGCATCCTTTGGCGGATTCTTGGATGAAATTGGAGGCTGCGAGGTTAATTACTTATCAGGCTGCGAGGATGTATGATCAGGGACATAGTACGGGGGAGTATGCGAATGCGTGCAAGTACCTTGCGGCGGATGCGGCGTTTGAGGCGGCGGAGAGGGCGGTTTTGACGCATGGTGGGATGGGGTATGCGAAGGAGTATCATGTGGAGAGGTATTTTAGGGAGGCGATGTTGCCGAGATTGGCGCCTGTGAGCAGGGAGATGATATTGAATTATGTTGGGGAGAGGGTGCTTGGGTTGCCTAGGTCGTATTAGAGAGGGAGAATGTATTCGGAACAATTGGAATTAATCTGATTATGATGCTGGTGCTCTATTCTTGATCACGCCGCTCTCTTCTAGCTCGGCAAGATTCTCTATTCCCAGGTCACGCAGAACCTCATTTGTATGTTCGCCATGCAGTGGTGGGACGCTCCGTATTGATGTTTGGGTATGGCTGAATTTTATGGCAGGGCCTAAGATCTTGATCTTGCCTTTCACAGCTGCTGGCAGGTCTATCTCCGTGACCATATTTCGCGCATCTGTCTGCGGATGATCGAATACCCGTTCCATGGTGTTGATGGGCGCATATGGCATGCCGGATCCCTCGAATTCAGCTACCCATTCATCTGTCGATTTCTGAGCAAACAAGTCGTTGAGCATGGGATATAGCTCGTCTCTGTTCGTTACTCGATCGCCATTGGTCAAGAAGCGTTTGTCTTCCGCCATCTCTGGCTTGCCTAGTGTGCTGACCAATTTGGCGAATTGCTTGTCGTTAGTAGCGCCGCATACGAAGTACAAGTCTTTCGTCTTGAACGCGTCGTATGGGACGACAGATGGGTGCTGTGCTCCCCAGCGTTCTGCCTCAACGCCAACATTCAACCAGGAGAGAGCCACATTGGTTAGCAAGGCAACTTGCGTCTCAAAGAGTGACCCATCGATCTTCTGGCCTTCTCCTGTCCTTTCTCGAGCATACAGCGCGGCCATGATAGCTCCGTGCATGTACAAGCCAGTAGACATGTCTGTCAGACCCAGGCCAGGCCGAACCGGTCCGCCACCTCGCTCGCCCGTGAGATGTAGAAGACCTGCTTCCGCACCAGCAATCATGTCATATCCAGCGCGTTTCTCGAAAGGACCACTGGGCCCATATCCGCTCGTACTGGCAAGGATGATACGTTTGTTGATTTTCCGGAGATCTTCGTAGCCAAGTTTCAGCCTGTCCAGCGCTCCTGGACGAAGATTTTCTACGACGACATCGGCTTCTTCGACCATGCGGCGGAAGATCTCTTTGCCCTTAGGATCTTTCAAATTTAGAGCAACACTTTTCTTGTTACGATTCACAGCCGAGAAGTAATTGGACTATTCTGCTTAGTAACAACCCGTAAGATATGTGGTACTGGAATAGCATACCATAGGACCAATGCCGGACTTCCACATGCGTTCCTCGCCTGCTATCGTCCAATAACGGGTATCGTCCTGCGGGATTCAGCTCAGCCTTACGCCCAACAGCTGAAGCTCGGGAAATGACATACACCACGATCCGGGTCTTCGATTTTGATGACCTCTGCTCCATAATCGGCGAGGATCTGTGTACAATATGGTGCCTAGAACGATCAGTCTCGCGCTTCAAGCGGCAGGCCTCGACCAACTCACAGCCAACACGCGAGACAAGTCCAGAATCTTGACGCCCACGAGCGGTCCTTCCGTTTCACGTGGACTTGAATAGCTGCGCTTCGGTATCCGCGGGGCCGGTAAGACAAACACCCCGAGATGGCTATGACGGCATCCTGGTCGAGTGAAATGGTGTCTGGCAAGGCTGAGCCGGAGAGCGGACATGATTAGAACGACTCGTGCTCACCAGAGCCTTCATTGCAGCAGAAGTGCCGTATATCAGCCAAATATCAGCCTCGCCAGCCTTCAACTCGGTTCCTCGGGACATGTCGCTTACGGGCGCCCTTCACACGAGCAGCAGAGTTCTGAACCGCTCAGGATGCACCCCAAACCCCGCTCGGAAATGCGACGGGCGGAAGCATGTGGACCGACTGCGTACTTTGAGGACCGGGAGGCCGATGTCAACACGCTCATCGGGCCGGGCAGCGACGCGACGAAGCCGCGGCGAGTGAGGCATGACTTGGACGAGATGGCTGCCCGATTGGCGTCGAGTGTGTTGCGGACGGCAAGGACGACGCGGCGACACCGTGGGCCGGTTGCCGTGCGAAGAAGGTCGCACTTGTCAGCACCGCGTCCTGATGTGACGATCCTCGAAGTCGGGCCTCGCGATGGCCTGCAGAACATCAAGACTCAAGTGCCAACATCAACGAAAATCGAGCTCATACGGCGGCTTGCCAATACAGGTCTCCGCAACATTGAAGCAACCTCATTTGTCTCTCCCAAGTGGGTGCCCCAATTAGCGGACAGCAAGGATGTTATCAAAGAAGCCAAAGCCATTGGCGAGCCGGTGGGCATCTGGATGCCCGTGTTGACCCCAAACATGAAAGGTCTGGAGTTGGCAGTTGAGAATGGTGCAAAAGAAGTCGTTGTTTTTGCATCTGCTTCGGAAGCTTTCAGTAAGGCCAACACGAACTGTACGATCGAAGAAGCACTGGCACGTTCGGAGGAGATCGTACAAGCTGCAAAATCACATGGCATTCGAGCTCGTGGAGTGATCTCATGCATCGTGGCGTGCCCGTACGATGGCCCTACAGAGCCTTCCAAAGTGCTTGAAATTGCCAGGCGATTCCTGCAAATGGGATGTTATGAAGTTGGCCTGGGCGACACAATCGGCGTTGCAACTCCTCACGATATTGAAAAGCTGTTGAAAGTACTATTGACAGAGATACCTGCCGAGAAGCTGGCCGGACACTACCACGACACGTATGGACAGGCCATCGCAAATGTTGTGAAATCCTACGAGATGGGCATTAGAGCGTTCGACAGCAGTGTTGCCGGCCTTGGTGGGTGTCCTTTTGCCAAGGGTGCAAAGGGGAATCTCGCGACTGAAGACATGGTGTACACTTTTGAAAAAGCAGGCATCAAAACCGGTGTGGACCTACAGCAGCTGGCTGAAATTGGTGATTGGATCGCGCGAGAAGTCAACATTCCTAACAATAGTCGAGCTGGCTCAGCCATCGTGGCAAAGACGCGTTTTACGAAGGAGGCCACTTCCAAGCCGGCCGGCAGACCAAAGTAGGGTCGGACTTGGTTGGAAAGATCCGGTAACACAGAACAGCAGCAACGTGTTACCAAGGTCCTTACTCCAACGATGAAACCTGGCTCTGAAGGGGAACATAGGCTCAATACCGCAAATAGGTCAAAGGTGTGGACTGGGGCAGCTTCGGGCTGGTAAAGGTGCTCCAGTAACAGCAAAATGAGCGAACTGCGCCGCTGGCCATTCTTCGACAGTCGGCATATGCATTGCTACAGTCGAATACCAGGTCGATTAGTTGCCTGAGGTTTGGGCGACTCCAACCAATCTCATACACATATTTCCGGTCTATTCCCGGTGCGCCCGTCTGAGCTCTCCCAAGTCAAACAGCAGCAATTGGCGGAGGTGACGCAAAGCTCCAATACCGAATTGGGAAGATATTCTTAGGATGACCCCGCCTCGCCGCAGCTTGGGTAGGCTCTCAGACTGCAGTTGCTAGACTACTCACGACCTGAATAAATTTATTCGTACGACCGCTGCACATATTCTGCAGAACAAGGACGGGATTGGACAGCAAACATGGCTCCCGAGTACAAAGCCGAAGACTTCACCAAGCTCTACATCAATGGCGAGTTTGTGTCTTCCAAGTCTGGCAAGACATACGCTTTGAAGAATCCCAAGAACAACACCACGGTCTGTGACGCCGTCCCTATTGCGAACGAGGAAGATGTCGAAGCAGCAGTTGTGGCCGCAGAAGCTGCGTACCAGGGAGAATGGAGAAAGTTCTCCGCTATGCAGAGAACCGAGTGTCTACATCGATTGGCAGCCCTGATGGAAGAAGAAATTGTTCCGATCCTGAGCCTGGATTCTCTGACAAGTGGCAATCCAACCAGCATTATCCCAACTCGCGAGAAGACCTATATCAAGAACTGTATTCTCTACTTCTCAGGTTGGACGGACAAGCAAGCTGGCGACTTCTTCCCTGACGATGATGGATTTGCTAAGATTGTCACCCATGAACCACTTGGTGTTTGCGCTGCTATCAATCCATTCAATGCACCTGTGCCAACCATGATTTTAAAGTGCATACCAGCATTGGCGACAGGCAATGTGATCATTGTGAAGCCATCAGAGAAGACGCCACTGGGAACGTTGGCCATGGCACCGCTGTTTGAGAAAGCAGGATTCCCGAAGGGAGTGGTGCAAGTACTCACCGGAGCTGGTGAGACTGGTGCTTTACTTGCGACTCACATGCGTATTCGAAAGATCAGCTTCACAGGCAGCATACCTACAGGCAAGAAGATCCAGGAAGCTGCGGCAAAGAGTAATCTCAAGCGTGTGACATTAGAACTCGGGGGAAAGAGTCCTGCTGTTGTGTTCGAAGATGCGAACCTAGACAATGCCCTCACGTGGACCGTGAACGCCCTCCTTGCCCGGTCTGGTCAGGTCTGCGTCGCGGCCACAAGAGTATATGTCCACTCGTCAGTCGCCAAAGACTTTATCGCCAAATATACCGAGAAGGTGAAGGCTGCCGTGAGCGACATTGGCGATCCTCAAGACAGCACAGTGAAAATCGGGCCTCTTGTCGATCAATCTCAGCTCGAGAGAGTCAAAGGCATGATCGAGCGAGGAAAGGGTGAAGCCGAGCTCGTAGTCGGTGGCGTCCAGTATGGCGAGACAGGATGTTACATGGAGCCTACAGTGTTCTTGAACCCCAAACCAGATGCGGAGATCTACAGGACAGAAGTCTTTGGCCCGGTAGCAGTGGTCAAGACGTTTGAGACGGAGGAAGAAGTGCTAAAGCTGGCCAACGATACGGAATATGGTTTGATGTCTGGTGTGTTCACGAAAGATATCACGAGAGCGTTGCGCGTGGCTAAGAACTTGGATACTGGTGTTGTTGGAATCAATTGTGTTAGCTATGTAAGTGAATTTGGTCGACTGTGGTCGGGAGAAGGGCTGACCACGTCTACAGATGAACATGCAAGTCCCATTTGGTGGCAGGAAACAGTCTGGAGTTGGAAGAGAATTTGGAGAATATGCTTTGCGTGCGTATACGGAGCCGAAGACGATGTTGATCAATATGAACGCATAGAATATCTGTACAGAAGAACCATGAACCTTGAACAACAAAGCGAGAAGGCAGAAATCTTCTTCTCGCTTCAACGAGAAAAGACTCGAGTCGATCGACGCGCCCCGTGAGTTCTGGTCCGAAGAGCAGCAAACGTTGATTCACGCGCGCTTGAGCACTATTTAAGCGCGACCTGCGTTCCAAATCGTCATCTTTCCTCCCTACACCTATAACACGATACACAGTTCTATACTATCGACTTTGGCAGAGATCCCAGCGACTTTGCACCCGCGTTGCACTGACTTACACCACCGCACGGCGTCCATCACGAACGAGACGATGGACAAAACTACTTCACTCCGCGAATTGATGCAATCCCTGCCGCAGGAGCTCTACGACGAAATCTATAACCTGACCTTCACGGCGAACCAGAAAGTCTTGTATGTCACCAGAACTTACCATCCACCACACCTTACACGCATCGACCACAACTCGCGCACGAAGTTCGTAGCTTCGTATTACCGCAACACCACCTTCCTCTTCACCAGACGCCGGACGTTCCGAAGCTGGAAGAGGGCCTTAGCGCATTTTCCTGACACTGCATTTCACAAGCTGTATCTGGCGATTGTCCCGCAGAATCGCTCATGGTATGCTGGTGAGCCTGAGAGTCTGTGTCCTGAGCTCGGTATCAGGCTGGAGTATATTGAGGCTGAGGGCATCATGGTTAGTCATTCAACAGGATCAGGTTGTTGAGATCATGCGGTTGCTGACTGGTGAAGGAAACGATGCTTATGCAGGAAGCAGAGGGTGATCTTGACCGCCTGCCTTGATTGCGAACTTTTTCGTGCGGATGACAAGGGCGAGATCGTGGTTGAGACCTTGGTCTACACGAGAAGGCGGCCACCACTCCACACTTGCGGCAAGTCGACTCCGTATACGCTTACAGCACGAAAGACTTCGTCAGTACATGCGCGGCGGTCTCTGAGGGTATGGTGAGGCCAGGCATAGTGTAAATCGGTCCGGAGAGCTTCTCTTCATGGCGGCGACTACGCGTCGGTCCCATGTTGCATTTTGTTCGCCGCAGATCGGAGTACAGCCTGCTTGACAGCATTGGAAATCATGCTCCCGATATCGAGATACCCCGTGTGCAATTGCTCAACCCTACAGCAGGTATTTCTGTTCGGCTGTTTCTGGTTTGCTTCACTTCACTTCCAAGGCTGGCTGCTCGGCACGGTCCGATGCAGCAAACATCGTTTTCACGCATGCCCGTTCGCCGTTCGTCATTGAAGCTGGACTTACATGAGATACTTCACGAGCATTTCTCCTTCTTCACACCTATAACACGAGAACAACTGTTGAGCCATAGACTCGAACCAAGTTCGAGCCACCAGTACAGAGTACGTCGAGCCACTTTGCAGCCAATTTGCGCCGTCCCAGCAGCCGCCCAACATCTTTCATCGAACGAAAAGATGGACGAAGTCTCCTCTTCACTCCGCGACCACTTGGAAACCCTTCCACAAGAGCTCTATGACAAGATCTACGACTTCACCTTCACTGCTGAGGAGAAGGTCGTCTACATTTTCCACTGCGATGATCGCCCTCCACATCTGCTCCAAGTGGATCGTCGCTCGCGGCAGAAATTCACGGCCTCTTACTACAGCAGCACCACGTTCTTGTTCACCGGCGCCGGCACCTTCGGCCTTTGGGTAGATGCATTGGGACACGTGCCCAGCACCGCCTTTCGCTCTCTATACCTGAGGACTCCAGTGCCAATGGACCCCAGTCTCTGCGCCAACATGCTCGGTAGTTTTATAGAACGCTTTCAAGAGGTCGAGGGCACCCTTCGAATTTGTGATCCAGACGATACTGAGGTCAGTCAAGATTGTTGAGTCAATGAAGCTAGGCCGTTGCTGACTGGATCAGTTCGAGGAGCTCATGAGCAGAGCAGGACATGCCGCCGGCCAATCCTGATCACGCAGTGTGCCGTACGAGATAAAAGATCAACATTGTGGTTGGAACTCTGGGCAATAAAAGGGCAAGACCGCTCTTCTTCGCATACGGCGATATCGGCTCGACAGATCTTTGCGACTCGAATGGGTGGATACGAGGATCGACAGATGAGGCGCGATGAAGACCGTATTTGAAGATGAAGTTCTGCAGTGGCGAATACGCCTCGTGCTCGCGATAAGGGCTCTTTGGACGTGATATGAGGCCTGAACACATTAGAAGAAGTGCTGGCATCAACGGTAGATCTTCCGAGTAGCCAAAGTCGCTACGATCCATGATTTCCATATTCTGCTCCTGCCTGCTTGCCTCTTTCACATCCACCGGTCTCGCAGAATTGAAGGTAGATGGTCCACCATGCGATGGGCTCTATTGCGCATCAAATTTGGTGCACAGTGCGCTCTATCTTTGCGCGTAGTAGTCAAGATTGCGAGTTGTGAAGTGAAGTCAACGGAGTCAAGTCGTGTAACAGAAGTGTGTGCAAACATGCAGTTACCCACACTCGCCGCCGCGCTGCACTTGCCTTAACTTGCGTTCTGTGCTAGCTTATCTTGCGACTGCAACTCCCTCCCCTCTGACGCAAACACCACCAACCACCACTCGCGTGTCCGAGAAGAGATGTCGAACGAACCGCCAGGAGCTTCGCGCGACCTGAGCGAGCTCCTACAGACCCTGCCGCAAGAACTCTACAGCAAAATCTACGATGAAGTCTTCAACGTCGTTCCGAACAATGTCGTTGTACTCGATCGCTCGTACAGGTGGCCGCACCTACTCCATGTCGATGCAGCTTCTCGTGAGGCATACGCGAAGTCCTATTTCGGTCTCAATACTTTCTTCATCCATGGGTCCTCCGAGTTCCGCTGGGTCAGGACGCTGTGTGATCAACATGTGAAGTTCATCAAGGGGCTGTTCTTCCTGTGCATCTGCGGCGAGGAGGATCCGCTCCGGCACTTTCTCAAGACGATGGAGACTCGCAGTAGGCTGCTTCCATTGGGCATAAAGAAGGCAGATACGGTGAGAGTCATCACTTGGTACGAGGTAAGCTCATCGGTACGCGTAACAGATCTCATGGGGTCATTCTAACGTGGTCAGGCCCGGGAACGCTTCGGCGTCTGAACGTACACCGGCAAATATGCGACAGATCAAGAGCGGGAGTTGGTAGAGGGGCACAACAGGCAAGAGCGCCACCTGAAAGGTCTTTGAAGTCGAGTACACACGCCAGACCACTTCATTGAAGTCGTTCCTATCATGAGTGGCTTTTCTCCCATACCCAAAAATGCAGGACTCGATATCATAATAGTCATCAAACCACGACAGGGTTTGCCTCCTCTCCATTGGCAAGAGCCAATCGCTCCTCTTCCTTCTTCTGCCGCAGAGCTTCGGTCTCCTTTCGTAGAGCCTCAAGGTTGAAACCACCGTCTTCATCGTCAGAGTCTTCATCAGAGTCGCCACGCCAATCTCCCTTCTCGAACATAGCACGACCTGTCGCCTCCTTCATGGTCTGTGCTTCATGTTCGGCCGCCTTCTTGTCTAATCGTTCCTTCTTCCACTTTGCGAAGCTCTCGGGTGTGACCGGTGTCAGCTTGCCCGTGAGCTGCAATCGTTGCGATTCCAAGAAGTCCTCCAAAGTGAGCGTTGCCATGGGTGACTTGTCCATAAGGGCCTTCTCTGCTGCTCGTTGTTCCTTGGTCTTGAGCACGAATCCAGGGGGCAAAGAGTGCTTATATTTGCATTCATCTCCGCCGTTCGGACATTGCCAGAACCAACCATATTTCTGGTTCTCGACAGCTTCAATGAAGAACTTGCAGACCTTGTCCGTTGTAGTCTTGGGATTGCCGTGTTTCGACAAAACGACTTGTCGCAGCTTCTCTTCATCCCACTCTTCCATGCCGTCCTTCTTCTTCTCGTCTTCAGCCTCGTCGCCACGCACATCTTGATACAAGTCCTTCTTCGCAGTCTTGCGTTCGACGTCCAAGTCGTGAGAGAACTTGCACTTCTTGCCCTTCTCACAACCGCCCTTTTTGAAAAATTGACAGAGAATAGTCTTGGGATCCACTCCCGGGGGCACTTTCTGTACGGCAACAGGAGCGAATAGTTCTGCGGCTTCCTTTCGTGCTTGCTCTGCTGCCAACTTCTCCTTCTCCTTTTGCAGCTTCAATGCTTCCTTCTTCTTGTCCTCTGGCGCAGAGTTCTTCGATGCGGACATCTGCTTGATGGCCTTCTGAGCAGCACCACCTTTCTTATTCTTCATACCAAAGGACTTGTCCTCAACGGTAGCCTTCTTCTTCTTGGGTTCATCCTGCTTTCCTTTTGGAGCCATATTGGGCGATACAACGGGTCGCTTCTGCGACGATCAAGGGCAAAGGTGGGTTTCTTCGCTCAGTCTTCGTTGACTGAGGAGCGGGGCGTGGTCGGGTCGCGTGCGCGGGGCGTTTCGATGGGCGGTCAGTGTAAAGGCGAGGGAAAGCTCTCCATGTGTAGACTTTTCCGTACGTCAGCCGCCACGGGTGCTCGTTTCGAGAAGCGAGCACGTGAGAGATAGGGCACTGGTGGGCGTGGAGTGAATGTGTTTCTGCTGAAGTCGAACTTTCCATCTGTGGTCACCGAAGTGGCGTCACTGCCAAGAGTTCGGGATCGCCAAGCGCATGGGATTCTGCCGTTGCTGCTCGTCCTCACTCCTTTCCACTCTGCACAATGGGTGTTTTCACTATCCTTCTGGTCTTCCTTGCCTGCTTCGCGGTCTTCACACTGGCCATCTTTGCCCTGTCTTCATGTCTAGGAGATGAGATACGGGCAGCTTGGAGTGGAAGGCGCACAAGGCACATCCCCACCACGTACGGCCTTCAATATGCCCAAGCCATGGGTCAAGGTGGCCACGCAGGGTATTCGGAGCACATCGAAATGGAAGACATGCTCCACAGATGGAAGGAGGACGATGAGAATGAATGAGTGATTGATATTACCTTTCTCCGAAAATCCTTCTGAACATTGAGCACATCCGTGTGACTTGCATGCAGTAAATTGTCACTGCGTTGCGTTGAAACGAGGATTGGACCAACGCCTTGCCAAAGCTCACGTCAGACTTCGATTCTGCCTTCGCGACAGATGCCGAGGATGCTTCGTCTGATGTAGAAGCCGGGTGTTCGAGAAACCGCAAGACTCTAGGAACCAGCTGTGGGTGTGAGGGGGATGATGAGACCGGAAATGAAGACGAATACCAAATGCGCTGCTTCATCATATCTCGTATCTCATACAATGCAATGTAACGCTGCAAGATATTCATACAAGGCCACGCCGGGCTCTGATCCCCATGCTACCATCACCACCAACGCCACCAGCAAAGCAAAAATACGAGCCCATTGCAGCCAACCTCTTCCCAAGCCATGAAGCTTTTCATGGCAGCTATTCAGGCCACACACCATCAACCATCATCCAACCCATTCCGATCGCGTCCCAAACATCATTCTATGGTGACGCGGGCCCAGCCTCCTTCAGCCCAACTTTTCCAGACTTCTTCATGACACCCAACTCGACCAATCGATCCCAAATTCGATCCTTGACCATGGGAGCCTTCTTATCGAAAGCAGCGCCGTCAAGGGTAGTCAACTGCGGACAACTATGCCCAAGCATGAGGTGACAGACCCTCTTTCGCAACTTTGTGCTCTCGTCCAGGCGGTCATGGTGGATGCTGTCTCTTCCAACATCTTGGGCGGGAAGGATGTATTTCGCCACCTCGTTCTTTTCCGCCTTGATATCCTCCTCATCGATGTCGCTGTTTGTAAGCCGCTGTTGTCGGCGCACGATACTGGTTGGCATATGATGCGACTGAGCGGACAGAGTCGCAATGGGGGCGTAAAAGCCGTGAGACAATGGATTATCGCGTACATCGAGAGACGTGAGCATGGACATCTTGGAGAAAGTCGCGACGCTCTTTCGGAGACGGTCAAGTCGGTTACCGCAGACCAAGAGCTCTTCCAGCTTCTGCACATTGAGCAAAGGTCGAACATCCTTGAGAGAGTTGAAGTTCAAATTCAAGGTGATCAGGTTTGGCAGCTTCAAGCCAAAGTCATCCGGAAGCTGATGGATGCCACATGAGGCGAGCTCGAGATGCTGCAGGCTGAGGAGGCTGGCTGTCAAGCTGAGAGGCGGGAGATCACTGCCCGATAGTCGAATCGTACGGGCATGGCAAGTTTGTTCCAGTATTCGGACGGTGAGACCCTTGCTGAGCGTCTGTCTGCGCATCGAAAGAGTGTCGAGGGATTTCAATGTCTCCAACCCCCCGACGCTCCGGATCTGATTTCCGTCCAGAAGCACTGTTTGAAGCGCTGGCATGTTTCGGACGTCTAGTTGTGTCAAGCCACAATTCTGTATTGACAAATGTCTCAAGTGTGGCAGCGCATGGTCAAATGCTAGAGGTCTGGAGATTAGGTTGTCATCTAGCTTGAGGCTCTTCAGAGATGTCAGTCGATCCAGTCCGTCAACAGCCTCGATCGCATTGTAGCACAAGTCCAGCTCCTCCAATCTCTGCAAGTAGCTGTTCTCGACGTCGACAGCGCGGACGACGTTCCGTCGCAGTCTGAGTTTCAGAAGGCCATCAAGTTCGAGCACGCCGTCAAGGCTAGTGATTTGATTATTGTCTGCCTTGAGCTCCCGCAGGTGTACCAGGCATTCAAGCCCCTTCAGGCTGTCGAGCTGATTGTCGGAGATGTCCAGATACTGCAGGTTCGCGAGATGAGCCCACGATGTCAAACTAGTGAGCATGTTACCGTTGGCGACAAGCGTTCTTAAGCTGCTTGGTACACCGTTGAGGTATCCGAGCTTGTTCTGAGACACGTCCATATCTCGAACGCGACTGCAGAAATCATTTAGCCCATGCAAAGTTGCAACGGAACGATTGCGAAGGTCCAGTTGCTTGACGTCGTCCCAATATGGTTCCTCCGATTTTACATCCACAAGAGTCTTCACCAGGTCCTTGACAGCCAAAGCATAGCGGTCATCAACCTCGTCAGCAGCATGTCTGGCAACTCTGTGAGCCAAAGCACGCTCTGATGGCCGTTCGCTATCCTCCTCGTGGACGGTGAATTCTGGTAGATCACTGAGAATATGGCTTGGATCGTACTTGTGCGGAGAAGAGAGTACTTCAGAAACGTGGCTCGTTGTCTGACGGGTGCTCAGCGGGCGTGAGACGCTGAGAGCCACGCTCATCATACGCTCTCCCGGCAAGGCGGCCACGAAAGACAACTCGCTTTGTTCCATTCCCTCCATATCGCCGAAGTGGCTAGTGAGTGTCTGGCGACGCATAGACACATTTCGTGTGACATGGCTGTGCTGCGAAGAGAATTGGACTTTGGCCGGCGTCTTTCGCACTTTAGGCGCTCTGATGTACTGCTGAGATTGGTCGTCGGGAAGAATTGCCGTGTCTTCTCTGAGATCCGCCAGCTCATCTGATTGTTGATTGACTTCGTCGAGAGTGCTATCTCCAACGAAGTCGTCATCGGCGCCAGATGGCTGTTCCACCAACACAGGCTCAGGAACAGCAGAGATGTTTTCCTCGCTTTGAACGATTGGCTGTCTGGACAATGTGACTGCGTTGCTACGTTCAGCCAGAGCTGCGCGGGCAGCGGCATACGCCAAAGGTTGTTGCCTGGCTTTACCCTCGGTCGCTAGCTGCTGTAATTCATCGTATCCCCACGAAGTGGCGCGTGTCTCGTTGGTCTGCTGTTGGCTAGACTGGAGGGCCGTTGACTTGTCTGGGTCTGAACTTGAGTACGTGTGTCGAGATTTGGTGCTACTGCCATGAGTCGATGGACGCGCGAGAACAGTCTCTTGCGATGTGATGCGAGATTCAATTTGCTGTTGCGAGACATCTAGTGCCTTTGACCCAAATTTTGTGGCGACATCGTTTGGCAATGCGCTCAATCGCCGGCCTTGATTGCTAACTTTCCGAATCTCTTCTTCTCTTTGCTCATCCACTGGGAGGTCCGAGATCTCCCGGAATGGATCATCGTCGCTGGTGATGTTGCTTGGCGGTTCCAGAAAGCTGCCGTAAACCGGCTTCTGCGGACTCTTTGTTTTCACCCATTGCTGGCGGTCCTTATCATATACCATGGCGCCCACTTGCTCTCCGATCAAATGAGCAACGTGTTCAGGCGCCAAGACACCCACATTGTCAGATTTGCGTGTCGACGCAGTGTGTATTGTCCTGCCAGTGCTAGTAGCCGCCGATGTCTGCGTCGATACTGACTGGTTCGATCGCTGAGAGACAGGACGTGAAGAGTCATCGTCAACGACTACGTTAGGCATGGGTCCTTTGATACGAATGTTGGAATGTTCGTCGATTGCCACGTAGGCATTTTCGTGCAATGAGGCCTTTCCCAGCTCTGAGTCTTCATCGTCCGGTACGCCCGAGTCGGCGATGAAATCGGTATCTTCAGTCTCGCGGAACTTACGCAGGTGGCTCATCACTCTAACATCGGTCTGCTCAGATGTCCTCGGTCGCCAGCCACTAGGCACCTCTCTCGAGGGAGGACGGGACACGCGCAGTGCTGAAAGCTGCTGAAGCGACTGATCCATGTCCTGACTATGCCCTTCTTGGTCGGATTCAGCAACACTACCAAGCCCACTTTGCCGGCCAGCTTTTTCCCGGATCAGTCGCATCACCATGACTGCTTCGTTGAAAAAATCTTGAGTTGTCACAGAGCGCTTGCGCTCCGTCTGATCCCCCGAAGCTTTTTGTACTCGCAGACTGAATTTGGCAACTTGTCCAGCCACCGCTCGAGCTTGCTGCTGAATGGATGGTGGGCTCTCAGAAGCCATTGAAGTCTCGACTTGCCCCATCACTGCTTCCAACTCTTCTGGGGCCTCGGCAACGAACTGCTCGGCAACCTCCCTGATTTCGGCTTCGATCTGCTCACGCCGCCGTTGGCTCGGGGTAGGGTTTCGCGGACGGAGCGCCTCCAGTAGCTTGTCTATTTTCTGCTCGCTCCCGCCCTGCTGATTAGAGATCGCTTGCTGGAGATTCTCGTGGAAGGACCGGCTATACTCAGAGCCATCTTCCTGAAGTTCCGAAGCATGGAGCGTCCTTCGCCGCTTGGGAGTTGGCGCTTTGTAAGGGGAATTCGGCGGGCGCTTGCTCATGGCAGCTCCTGTATCGAGTTGAGGCTGAAATGCTCGGGTTGGATTCGTGGCGCAGTCTGCAGCGGTTTGGGTATACATCGGGTTCTTGGGTCCCATGTTCAATGTAGATCCGGCAGAAGTGACGGCACTACGTCGTCGCTTGAGCCGGAATGTGCCTCGAGCCGCGGGCGAGGATTCGGCCTTGAACATGAGAGGCGATCTGGCACCAGGAGGAGGGACATCAGAGCCTGGAGACCCATCACTTTCGGCTTTATCTGAGTCAGAAGCGCTTGTGATCGTGATTTCAGCTGGAAATTTGTGATGATTCAGCTCGCCACTGCCGAAAGACCCAGAAAAGACATCGCGCCTGTGTTGTGCCGCTTGCTTCGATTCGTTCTCTTCATGAAAGTCGCTAGCGTCTTCCGACCGTATACCAGATAAGTCTGGGTCGAGCTGACTCATGCGTCGCAAGAGTCGCTTGCTTGTAAATGTGTCATGGGGACCGAACAGCTTCAGAGGACTTCCGGAAGATCGGGATCGCGCTTCTGAGCTTGCCTCCGCATGAGTAGGAGTGGCAAGTTCGCGCACTGGTGATTGGACCTGGACTTGCCTGCGAGCCACTGGAGCATCAGGGGAAAGGAGAAAGCCGGCGTTGCGAGCCCTCGAGGAGCTTGGTCGTGAAGGCGAGGGGCTCTGTGGTCTCTCGTTGAGTGAGCTCTGGACAGAGTAGCCACCTCTCCGTGTTTGGACGTTGACTGTCAGCCCAGCGATCGAAGGCGGTGTCCCGGTAGGCAGGTTCTCTGATAGAGATAGATCAGGCATGGCCGGCAGCTCACTTTCTGGACCGTCTGTGAAAGTAGACTGCTCTTGTTGCTCCTCAGAACTCTCCGCCGCGTACGACGCATCCTCCTGTGTCTCATGTAGATCATTCCGCATAGCTTGTTGCGACATATTGTGGAATTTTCGAACCAGACGGGAGTCCAGTGCCTTGTAGTCCACCTGCCCATTCGTACTCGTGTGTTTGGAGATAAACACAGGGCTGAAATCCTCACATTCTATTTGTCCGCTAACCGTCCTATTACCGTTCATGAAGTGCTCGGTCGGTTCCAGCCTTTCGGGACTTGACATGGGATGCTTGCCAGGCTCCTTGTGCATGTTGTGCTCCTGCCGTAGCTCAGAGTCATCCAGCTCGAAGGGATTGCTCTCGAATGTCTCATCTTCGGTGTATGCCTGACTGTCCTGTCCCTTATATTCTTCAGCCTCCGTGCCCTCGGTCTCCTCATCGACTGCGGTGAATCCCTCCTCGTATTCAACTTCCTCCTCGTTGGGGTGATTCTGAACCTGATGCGGAGGCCAAGTCGGCGGACTGGAAGGTAGATTGTTTACAGCAGAGTTGTTCAGCCAGCTCATGCTGCCTCTGGTGTTCGGTCTGGCGTCCGTATCGCGTGGGGCTGCAAAGATGTTCTCGAGCCCGGATGGACCGAATAGATCTGTCTGATCGCCATATCCCACCTGGCCCTTTAGTAGTCTCTTTTTCCACTCGAGAGTCTCCTTCTTCGCGGGTGATGCGCTCTTCGAACGCTGCAACATGGTGCCATACTGGACCACTGAGTCCTCCGATGTCCCCGAGAACGAGCGCGAGGCGCTCAGCTTAGTCGTCCCGCTCGCTCTTCGCAAAGAGTTGTTGTTGCTACTGTTCTGACTCAATTGCGCCAGTGGGTCTCGTCGCCGCTGTATCGAGTTCTGCGATGTCGTCACTTTCTGGTGGGAGATCTGCCGCGTCGTGCGGGTGGTGTTGACTCGAATGGAATGAGCATTGTGGGAGGCGGAAGAAATGTGTTGTTGCTGTTGGGCTGGTGGTTTGTAAGATGATGGCACCTCCCAATTCTCATCTAGGCCTTCCAGCCACGGCGCAACGCTCTGGGCCATGCTATTGATGCTGCTGGCCGCCGATCATCCGCTAAGTGCAGCGCGTTGTTGTGTTTGGTGCTCGTATGCTGTGAGGATGTGTCGGACGGTGATGGTGCAGAAAAGGCCCCCAAACTGCCAGAACGCGCAGCACCCGCCGCACGAATGGTATACGCTCGCGAAATCAATGATGTGCGCAATTGGTGGGCGGTGCGTGCGTGTGAAGTCAGATGTGTTCATAGCTTCGCGCTTGTGTCGTCGTGCCTGCCCTGTGCTTGGATCACCAGCTCCAAAGCCGTTGCCGCAGCAACCACTTCCACGACCCCTGCTGCCTTAACGACTTCGCATAGCGCCGAGATGTTCGCCACTCTGGATGTCCAGAACATGTTAACATAATCGAGACCATGAGAGCTCGTGCGCGCTCGCTGATATCCTGCCATCGACATGATCCGCACGCATAGGCCTCGCGGATATCAGTGGACGACGGCCAGCGAGTTTCAGCAAACAGAGCTCTTCCGGAATATACGCTATGAAGATGCAGAATGCGTCGACGACGAGGTGCTGCGCTCGGACTCGGATGATGAGTTTCCACTATCAGACCGCATCTTGAAGCGTCAGCGGGTGGAGAAGTTGGCCGATGGACTTCTCAATGGCGAAGAACTCCATATCCATTCTGCGCGAATCGACGCACAACACGTGCTTCAAAGTCTGTCTTGCTGCTTTCATAAGCCGAAGTGCATCGCACAGGCGATCGCTGAGGCCGACTGGGACGAAGGGTCGGACGATGAATGGCATGATGTAGAGGACGACTGGGCATTCTTGGAACGACAATTTCCCAGGCCCAGGAGCGCTGCTGACCTGCCAGGCGAAGATGTTTCTGCATCGAGCGAAGAAGAGGTGTCTATCGAGGTGCAACAGTCCAGCTGCCAACGCCGCAGAAGTCAAAGAATCGCCAAATTAATTGCTATCGCGCCTAGCGAGGATGCATTGCGCAAAGCAGCCACTCTACGGAACAGAAAGTATGATATTGCCGAGCCTGTCGCTGTCGAGGAGTCTATACCTCAGCCGTGTCCAGAATCTGTCATTGCGGACAGCCAATTCGATTGCTCTCCAGACGAGGAATTGGTCTCCGAATGCGGCCCTTCGCCTACACCAGCATGGACGAGCGCGATGTGGCGTTCAAAGGGTGGCTTCAGACCAGCACGAAAGCCTCGTCCCGTTCTCAAACCTGTTGATCAAGATTGCAGTCGAGATGAGCTTGCTCTGTCCTCTTTCGGCGCTCCTTCACAGCCTGTTGGCAATACCAAACCTTCAGATCGGGCTACTGAACACGATGCCGTCGCGCATGACAGTCAGAATAACGCAGTCGTTGCTCTGCTTTCCAGTTCTTCAGGCTCAGACGACCAATACGGCAACGATTCGCGAGCGATCAGAGAGACCAGATCCGCCGGAGGAACACCAGTCATACCCAGCTTACAGCTGCAGCAGGATGTCAACCGACGGCGCTCTGCCCCTTCACAATCTCAGAAGATTGCTCAGATACATGGCGACTCCACGGAAGGGCAACGACAGAAAGTCCGTGGTGGCGCAGCGCAGTATAACGAATCGGTGGGCGTTAGAGGCTGCTCGCCATTCCTGTTTCGCAAACGTGCTTTGCGATCCAACAATGGCTACCAGTCTCCACTCGACGTGAGTGAGCTACGGCAAATGTCTGCACCAGTACCAGCTCCTGCAAAGACGCCTAGCAAGCTGGTTCACTTCGAATCATGCGTTCTGCCTCCATCTCCGCAAGAATCGCAGACCCCCTTGATGGATGAGCATGTCAATCACCGGCTGCCGCAGGAAATCTCCTCTGGTCGACGCTCGGTCTCGCTAAGATCGTCGCTTCGTCAAGAAATGATTGCTTCGGGTGCCGAAATTTCTCGTGTTGAAGCAGATGAGTCCCCGCAGCCTGCCGAGTCAACGAGTCCAGAGAGTAGGCAAGAACATCTGGAGCTCAGTGTAGTGGAGGATTCGTTTGCAGGCCTTGAAGAACCGGGCAATGACAATTCGATGGTGGCGCAATCAGTAGATCAGCAACCCGAACCTCAGCAGCTATGGCCCGGGACTCAAGCTATGCTCGCACAAGCACAGCACGAGCTGTTCACGTCTCCTGAGAAGACCGACTCTGCCATCTATCTAGGCGACGCGACTACTCCTCAGACGCAACCCAATACCGGGGTACGTCGACGCCGTCCACTGGGTGCGCTTTCTCAAGAGCCCATGCCCAGCACTCAGGCCCTTCTGCAAGACTGGCAAGGTTGGTCAAGCATCAAGAAGCCAAGGCAGCCCGGCACGACAGGAGATAATTTTCAGTCGCCGACAGTCCTCAAAAGTACAATGAGCAAGTCTGCAATTAGCCATGTGCGCTCGTTCGAGGACAAAGCAAAACGGCGAAGCAGCCTTCGATTCGCCATGTCACTGTCGCAAGACTCACCCGAAGCTGCTATCACCCCGGCAAAGCCTTCTTCCATGCCCGCCCAGTCCGTCGATATGGTGCCCCGAACTGCAGAACAAGCTGCACCAACGACATGGCCGAGGCCAAGCGGAAAGATTGCCTCTTCAGCTTCATTCAGTGTTGGCGTCTCGTCTCTGGCAGTGGCATCTTTCCGATCGCAGCCAAGCTTGGACACGGATAGAAACGAACACGACCCGTTCAAGGATAGAACAGTCCTCGCTGATTCGACCACAGTCAGCCTGAGCTTCGGCGCCCCTCAAGAATCTTCTGTGCACAGCATACGAATCAAATCGGCCTCGCAGCCAGCACCAGACCTCGAGCCAATTGCCCAGTCACACACAGAAGACAAGCCAGCATGGCGTTCGCCTGAAGCTGTCAAGATGCCGGAGCCTGCGGCGCAGAACGAAGAGACTGTGTTCAGTGAGTTGAGTTTCGGTCCACCCAATGTTCAGCTCGACAGCTTTGGAGAGCCTTTGCCCAGCTACTTGGCAGTGCAACACGCGCAGCAAATGTCAGATTGCGATTCACAGGAGTTGCGATCAACAATGAATAGTATTGTGGAGAATGTGCTTGGCCCTGCTGCGAGTTTTAGTTTCTGAGCAGAGGAGAGATAATTTGGTGATCGCTTGACTTTCTAAGAGCCGTTTCTGGAAATGTTAGCTCGAATGAGACAATCGTGGTTAGGTAATGCATCAGCGTGGAGTTCTATCGTGACTGGGTAGTATTGTAACAAACGAAGCAAGAGTTGCTATGGTTCTTGTGCCACCGCACTTTCTCCTACACTTAGCACCATGCGAGCTTGACTCTAATTTCCCTGAGTGTCCTTTCTCACTTCTCTTGCATGCTCACTCCACGGAACTTCTCCTCGCTGCTCGCAAAGCAGAATCTTCCCAGATCAGAAACACAAACGCCGAAATCTCCCACCCAACTCCTCGCTCAAACTCCATGCAAACCCATATCGATACCATTCACCTTGATCTCACCTCCCCACTCCCATCCCTACACTCCCCGCATCCCCAAAATCTTCATCCTCCGCCGCATCCCGAATCTCCTGCTGCAAAACAATCGAATAAACGCTCGCCTTCAACAACGTAAACACCGTCGTCGTCTTCCTCTCCAACCCTCGCAGAGAATCTAAGATCTCAGCTGAAGGCTTCGCTGCGAGGTCGTTGAGGACATTTGCTAGCTAGATGTACCCAGTCAGTATTTTTGTGCAGTGGATGTAGGCTCGCGAAGGGAGATGTTTCTTCTTGTGTAAGAGATTGAAAGAAGCGAGACCAGGGACGCACATCATCCAAGTTTCCGACGAGTCTTGCATATTCGTCTAGGACTTCTTGCTCGAGTGGGGAGAGGAGTTCTTCGGGATTTTGGTGGGAGGTTGATGAGGAGGGGCGGTAGTCGTCCATTTCTTGTAGCAGCTTGCTTGATTCGGGTACAGAACGACCTTATTTGCGGTATGCGTACTCTCACTGGGGGAGTTTGTGTCTCGGGTTGGATTTTCGGGCGCGTGTTGAGCTTTTGTGTTGATATATTCGTCCGGGAGCCGGCAAGAACGCGTTCGCGAACGCAAAGCTGAAGTCGCGTCTCAGGTCTTGGCATTCTAACTAGCTCGACGTACATTTCAACAGCTCTCACAGATATACGTGATGGGCTCGAAAAGGACTATGTGGTTTGACACAGGGTTACGCTAGACTTGTGAAACAATTCAATACTTCCACTCATATAGGATTTCATCATCAACAGTGCTGGCTCTTGGCGGTCCAGCTCCGATTTCACAACTTTCGCCCGCTGCCGTGCCTGACCTGACCTTTGAACTCCTGATTTTGTCACACAAATTCACCTCGCCCCTGGTCCAGTCCCACACGTTCCCTCATAAAAACGCCTGTACCTGTGCAAAGAATATTTACAATGATGAGCGGACCTCATTCTGAGGCTCCTCTAGCGCCGATGGTCCGAGACGGTCTGCTTTTGGGGCTGTTCGGAAATGCAATGAGCGGGAATATTATCATCTTTCTTTTCCCGCCGTGACGCTCTCTGCTCTGTAGTTCGTCCAGCGAGTGTCGTCAGCTGCGAGCGCCAACGCTATCGATGGCCGTTTGTTTCTTCAAGATGAGGCCCCTGGTCATCTCCATCATGATGTAATGTAACACTGTTGAACTCTTCGAACGGGTCCGCAATCTCGCCACCTGGTGTCTCCAAGCCTGAGTCGAGAGGCACGCCCTTCATCTTGCTCGCACTCACGCCAAAGCCCTTATTGGTACCGCCGCCACCGCCCAGGTCAATGCTCTGAGATTCTTTGACGTTCCTGAAATTGACAGTATCAATGCCGCGGCCCTGATTCGGAATGATCGGTGGTTTCGAATGTCGGAGCAGTGCCCACGAGGTAGTGCGGAAGAATGGGTGGGCCTTGACATCGGATGCACCGGCGCGAGAACCAAGTCGTCGAAGTTCGTCCTTGATGAGGAGTTTGCGAATCAATGATTTGCAGAGGCTGAAGCTCGGTGTTAGCAGAGGTATAGAGGTGCAGGGCTTCCGCAAAGACTCACTTTGAAATGTTCTGCGCTCCGTTGCCCTCGGGAAACGGAACTTCATCGCGAAGAATATTCGCGAATGTGGCATTCCTGTTCTTGCCCTTGAACGGCGTTGTGCCAAACAACATTTCGTATATCAGGATTCCCAGCGTCCACCAGTCCACTGCACTCGTGTGTCCGCAACCCTTAATTACTTCTGGTGCAATGTACTCTTCAGTACCGACGAACGAGTTGGTTCGGAAGTTGGCGATACAACTTTTCGTGTCGATCGTAGGCATGTTGCTGGGATTTGGATTGCTCGAAATGCCGCCACTCGCGCCACGGCCACCAGCCATGATCATGACTGGGCCACCACCTGGGTCGGACTGTTTGGAAAGATCGAAGTCGCTCAGCATTATATGTCCGGACTGATGCAGGAGGATATCTGTCAAATGTTAGCGTTTTCACTTGAAGCCGACGCTTCTTACGCTTACTCTCAGGCTTCAAGTCTCGGTAAATGAAACCCATAAGGTGCAAGTACTCCAGCGCAGCCGTGACTTCAGCGGCGTAAAATCGTGCCGCATCTTCGTCCACACATTTGTTCGGACGAGTTTGCAAAGCTCTGAAGAACTCGCCTCCGCTACAGTACTCCATACAGAGATACAAGTGGTCCTCTGACTGGAATGAGTGGTACAAGGTGACGATGAATGGGTGATTGCTCGTCGCCAGGATTTCCTGTTCGGCCAGTGCGCGCTTAATCTTGTTGCGCTTGATCATCTCCTTCTTCGAGAGCACTGTGAAATATTAGCAGCTGTCCAATGCATTCGCAACTCACTCCTACTAACCCTTCATGGCGTATAACCTCGAGCTCTTCTTCTCTCTCACCAGGTACACTTTGCCGACATCTCCCTTTCCAATCAATTTAATCTTGTCGAAACTGCTGGGCCCGACCTCCACATTCCGGACCTTAATACTGTTACTACTGTAAGTCCTTCTGAAGGCGATACTGTTCCGGAGCTTGCCAGGGGTGATGGCACCATCGATGCCAGGCACGGGAAGGAGATCGCCATTGGCCGGCATCGTTTCAACCATACTCAGCGTACTGGCATTGGCGTGCGACCCCATACCATTGATTTTGGGCATAGGCATTTCCGCAGTGTCTGCTGTAGGCGGTCTGTCCCCGTTCGCATCCTTGCCTTTATTGAACAGGCCTTGTGCATTTGGTGCACTCGCCACTCTGCGCAGTTTCCTCGCTAGCTCTTCCTTTCCGCTGGTTCCATTGGCGTCTTTACCGGCGTTCTCGGGGGAAATCTTTCTCGACATGGTGGGCGTATCGGGAGGAGAAGGCGGGATGCTACTGTCGTCATGGTGGCGGAGAGCGGGAGGACCTTGGTGTTGAAAGTATGGGTTGGCATGAGCAGTCGGACTCATGGCATCGTCGAGTGGATTGCCCTCGCTGGCGACAGTCGTGCTCCTACTCCGACCGATGTGAGGCAGGAAGCGGCTGTTCCGGAGACTGCTTTTGTTGTTCGTGGACTGCGGCGTTCTCGCCCCATCTTGCTGCCCTTCGGCTAGGGAGCCCTTCTCCGAGTCGATGCCATTGTTGGCATGAGACTTGCTGGGCAGGCGGAAGAAGTTCTTGATCTTCTGGCCAGTGCTGTGTGTCCCGTTCGCCGAATTCTTGCTGGTGCTGCTGAAGACCCGCTTCCCGCTGCCCGGCTCTGATGTGGCGGACGGCATGCTGGCAGAGGTGTGTCGCTGGGCCGTCACAGCCGACATGCCATTGCTGTCGTGAGGATGCACTCGGGTGCGGCTCGGAAAGAGCGAGGAGTGCGGAGGGCGGCGATTTGGGGGGACGGGTGTGGTGATATGTAAGCGAGCTCGTGAACCTAAGGGTGGGGATGCAGCTCGTGCTGCAGCGGCCGATGCGAGAGGATGGATGATAAGGGGTGGCAGCTCACGAGCAGGTTCACTGCCAAACAGCGGAGCAGTGAAGGAGGATGATGCAGATGGTCTGCTAGTCTGCCGGACACAAAGTGGTCGGCGGATATCCGCTCCCTGGTGGTCGAGTCGTGGGTGACAGGGCCCGTCTCAACTGTGGGAAATGTGGAGCTGCTTCTGCTTGCTTGCTTGCTCTCGACTCTCTGGCCAGCGGAAAGGTTGCCGTCAACGCTGCCGATCACCGCCGCGCGATCCAGGCCAACGTCTGCTCGCTGCGCTTGCGAGGTTGTATTTATTTACATGGACACGCGTGGCACACTCGCCGCTGTCATTGCCGTCCGCCTGCTGATATAAGCGTTGCACCGGTGACGTCTCACTCTCAGATGCTGCGCCTCAGGTTTGTCGCTAAAACACACCGCAGCCAAGAAACACTTCATCCGCACCTCCCACGTCGGCGAGCGGAGAGCGGGGAGATGCACGACGCTGCGGCAAGGATCACACTGCTGCAGCACACAAAAAACACAAATCCCAACGCGGCCGACCTGCCAGCTCGAGGGATGCGAAACACATGCTTTACTGCTTTGCCTGCTTCCGCCTCCTGAGTCCCAATACGTATAGCATCATCTGTGCCATGCCTGCCAGCTTCTCCTTGCACAAGTGACGGACAACTCACGATGACGGTGATGATCAGAGCGAGGCATCCGACATGAGGTGTCTACGGTCTGGCCCACGGGCTTTTGGGCGTTGGTGCTGACATCTGTCAGTATCGTGCGCTATTCTTCGCCGCACGTTTCACAGTGCCAGTTCGGCCGGTGGCCACTGTTTACGATCTCCTGCCGAATATGGAGCGCCGCACCTTGTACGAGAAGCCTTGAATGGGGAGGGAACTCTATACAAAAACAGCCGGTCTCGCGCCCTAGAGTCGCCCCATCATCATCGTTGTTTTCGGTGTGCAAATGCCGTTTGCGCAATGCGAACAGTACTTTCGCATTCTTGACGTTGCACTACTCATTACTGATCACATCAGTTAGAGACTGAAGACGGTGCGGCGAATTCATGGCGACCAAGCTGACATGCAGTTTCGACTTCAAGTGGCTTGGCAGCTGCGAATATACCTGAGATCACGGAACGAACCAGGTCCGAGTTTCCATTGCGTCTAGTCTGGCGTGCGAGGTAAAGCAGGGCGGCACAGCTCACCACAAATTCTCAGAGATCAACTGATCTTGCTCAAGATTCTCTGGAAATCCAATGCAACTTTTGTACGGCGCAGAGTCAGGCGAGGCGGCACTGTACGTGGCGTATTTCCAGAGACGAATCGGTCTTGTGCAAGACTCTCTAGGCATCTGGTACATTCTGTGTGTGGTGCAAAGTCAAGCAAGGCGGCACAGAAGAATACAAATCTTCGGAGAGGATCTCGAGTATTTCTCTTGCGTCAAATCATTTCATGTCTAAAGCAGCTTATCTTAATACACAGTCTCGTAGAGCGTTAAAAAAAACCAGAGAAGCGCTTTCCAATCATATCATCGTGATCCTGTGACCTCACGACACCCAAGAAAGAGCAAAACCTTCTCACTTGGACACAGGAGTGTCGCCCATCAACACCCACAGACCCCAAGCAATCAACATCAGGAGCGAAATGGTAAATATAGCCCACTGCCACCAAGAGCCAAATCCTTTCCACGGCCCCTCTTCCTCCACGAACTCCTCTTCGTCGGGATCTCTGGCTGTGACGCTCCAGTCTTCCCTCGCCATAGGGGCAGTGGCGACCATCGTTCCATATCCCTTTGTTGGAGCGATGACGGCAGCCTCCTCCTCCGGGACCTTTGATGAAGTCTCGCCTGAGGGCCGTGTGGCTTTCCAGAAGAAGTTTCCTCTCCAACCTCTACCACCCAACCTCGTTTGCTGAGCTTCCACATCAAGCATCCACGCCGAAACCCGACATTCCACTCCCTGTGGCCGCAGGTTTGCCACTGCGCACGGAAGCACTGGTCGTGGGTTTTCACGCAGTTTGCCCACTTCTTCCTCGATGAACTTGAAGCGGCTGGAGAGTGGGGTGCTGGGTGTTCCTCCAGAAGAGCTTGACGAGGAATCTGATGCCGAGGAAGCGGTGGACGGACTTGCTGCGCGCTCAGGAGGTGAGATAGTGGCGCTATCGGGAAGGACCCAGGAGTGGAAGACCCCGATATGCTCTCGATTAGTGCCTCCTTCAGTTCGTGGGGCGACTGCGCGGCCCCGTTGTTCTTCTTGATCAGGAGACATGTTGAATGTAGCTGATTGGTGAATGTGGTCGATGTGGTGTCTCGAATTTGCTTCTGCTTTGATCCCGAAAATGTTCGAATATGTCGGCTGACTGGATGGGCACTTCTCGCAGAGGCGCGAGTAATACATATAGTCTGCGTTGGCCATTTTTGAGGACGTCCCCAAACAAGTCCTTAGAGTTGAAATTTTATGTTCATCCAGCGGTACGGTGAGGCCACTCCATGTCTATTTTCATGTCCTTAAAGTCTATCAGAGCCCTAGATTTTGCCTTTGGTTGGAGGCTGCGTGTGCTGTGCTAGTGAACACGACAGGAACATGATTAGCGAGCTTGTCAGTCGTTATTGGGAATTCAAGAAGCCATCGTGCGGTGAACGCTGGGACAAAATGGAAAATCTTCTTGGGCACATAAGGTGCATGCAGGTGAGACAAGTCCGCGCCTTGCATTCGTGAGGAAGTACCTTTTTTGATGCTGTCACATCGTGCCACCACAGATATGATCTCCAAATCTGTCAACTGTAAGCGATCGAGAAATATGAGCCACGTTGCGTTTGGCGGCGTTGGTGGAGGATTTCTTTTGCGGCTGTCTATCAGGCGGTGCTCTGTAGTCTCTGATGGCCTTCACTTTGCTCGTGCTTCGACCACTCTTCATCAGTGTCCCTGCTGGCTCACACGTGTCACGCTACGAAGGTTGTTCCGGCACGTGAAGTGGATCAGGTCAGGCAATGTCGCCATACGCCGCATCTTCGGCATCGCGTACTGTCGCATCAAATGGCGGTACGTCTGACCCCAGAACGTCTTGTTGTGCGTGCTGGATTTTGTGCGTCACCGGTGCCGAAGAGGTGCCTACGCTGCTGCCGATGAAGGACTGTGAGAAGCTTCTCATGCGGATAATGGTAACAATACTGTTGTGGATGTGCATTGGAAGTGAAGAGAGATTGATCAGTTGTGATCTCCAAAGCCAGCCAAGAGCGGGGTTCGGAGTTGGACTTCCACCTCGTCGCCGACGACCCTCTTCACATTTGATTCACACTGACATATCGAGATGGCGTTCAGGAAGCGCAACGTAGCCGTCGGTCGGCAGCCTACAGCTGGTACAGGTGATGCTGCTCCAGCCAGCATTCCAGGCGTCCGGCCGTCGCCTGTATCATCGTACACTGTCACATCCACCGGCACACCTTCGCTCGACGGTCTGCTCGGCGGACATGCGGGACTCGCGCTCGGCTCGAACCTTCTGATTGAAGAGAGTGGAACGACAGACTTCGCGGGCGCCTTGTTGAAGTACTACGCTGCAGAAGGCATTTGTCAAGGTCATGTTCTGCACGTGGTGGGCATGGGCGAAGGATGGGTCAGAGAATTGCCCGGAATAGCGGAGGAGAAGAATAGTAGGAGCTCTGCCTCGAAGTCTGCCGCAGACGAAGAGAAGATGAAAATTGCATGGAGATATGAGCGGCTTGGGCAAGCGGGAGAAAGAGGTGCGTGGGATGCGCCTGTGCACCGGTTCTGATTTTCAGATGCATGGCGTTCATGGAATGTAAGTACTTGTCAAACTGACGGTAAGTACAGCTCTTCCTGATCGAACGGCCGTTGTCTCTTCCAACAACCCGTTGCAACCAAGTACACCCTTTTGTCATACGTTTGACCTTACCAAGCGCATCACCATTCCCCCGGATGCAAAAGTCAATCACATCCCAGTGTTGCCATCATCGAGCCTTGACTCAATCGTACAGAACCTATCACGGAATCTTGCTGCATCTGCTCCAAACAGCAGTCACAGGCTCGTGGTGCCGTCACTGCTCAGCCCAGCACTTTATCCACCACTGGCAGGACGTCCAGACAGCTTTATAGGCTTCTTCAAAGCACTCCGGACGCTTCTACGACAGTACAACAACAAGCTCACAGCTATGATTACCTTGCCACTGGAGCTGTACCCACGATCGTCAGGCTTAGTACGCTGGGCCGAGATCCTCAGCGATGGCGTCCTCGAATTGACGCCCTTTCCACATCTGATGGATGCCTCGAACAGCCTGGCTGAAAGTGGAGGCGCTCGAGACAAGGACGAGCAGCCCCAGGGCCTTGTTCGATTTCACAAATTGCCCATCAACACCGAACGTGGCGAAGGTGGCGCAGGGGCCGGAAACAGCTTAGGTGAAGATCTGGCTTTCACTGTTAGCAGAAGAAAATTTGTGATCAAGCCATTTTCCTTGCCACCCCTGGAGGGCGATCAGGAAGCCCAGCAGGAGGCGGGCAAGGTCACTGCGAAGGATATCCAATTCTGATCAAGAACGTGTTCGAACGATCTGCTCACTTGCCCGAACGCAGAGCAAGATTTGCGATAGAGGTCAAAACTGGATGGATGGGCCAGGAAGATACCTCGAGCGACTATACGGCGCTGGCGGATGCATCAAGACGACTCGATACAGCCTCTTGCAATTGTGCTGCTATTCCGGAACCGCTGGACACTGGCCTGGCATCTTCGTGCGAAAGTCTCTGCAATGTGCACCATTCTCTGCGAGCAAGGATTATCTGATGTGACTGGCTACAGTGTTTAGATACCTCGGCTACTCTCGACAAGGTTCCTTAATTCGTTGCCATAATGCAAAAGATGAAGGCATTGCTGGCTACTCGAAGATAGTTTGGAGAACAGGGACAGAGCAACTGCTTGGGCTCTGACATCTCCAAGGTCACAGATCGTTCAGGGAATCATAGCTTGGAGGCCGCAGGCCGTCCTTACCCAGTTGCTGATGATAGAGGATTCGGGGAAGGAAACTAAATACGGCGCCAGAAAGATGTTGGCTTGGACAATTGTTGACGACAACGGGCTCATCGCTGTGCTGCAAAATACTTCTACTTGCAGGCCCGCTACGAAGTGGTTGATAGACAGACAAATACAAATATGTTTCCCACCTTCAAAGCACTATCCCCCAGGGAGAAGTCGAGCAGCGCTCTGCAGGCAGGCTTACCATCAAAATGGTTCACTCTTCGCTATGCGTATAACTCCTTTCTGCCAGTGATGAGGGCGGTGAAGTAGATATCATAGCGGTAAGAAAGTGGAAGGTGAGACAAGAGTATAAAAACCAGCACACCGTTCTGGGCACGGCGCGTGGTGATCGAAAGAAGTATTTCGATGGGTATGAAGCGTTTTCGATTGTGTCGGCATCCGACTTCCTTTGCATGCGCAATTCCGCCATGCCTCTGACCAGATTGCCCAAGCCAAGCCTGTATGACACATGCCGTCGCATTTATGGTATCGTGGAATTCGTGAGCTTTCCCATCCATGCGCCTCTGTTCTTCCCTTCAGTCCAACATGCCTTCATGATGGATGATCTAAGCCTTGCGCTTCTTCTCGTTGGCGACACGGCCAGCGGCGATGCGCTCAATGATCTTTTCCCGGTCCTTGTCGAGCTTGAGCTTGGTGATCTCGACCTTGCTAGGAGCGATACCAAGAGGCACAGACTGGCCGTTGGACTTCTCACGCTGCACACGCTCGATGTGGATCACATACTTGAGACGGTAGACAGACGTGACCTTGCCCTCGCGACCCTTGTTGGAGCCACGCTTGATGACGACCTCGTCACCCTTGGTGATTGGGATGGCGCGCACGTTGTGCTTCTCGCGCAGTTCTACAATTCAGAAGAAAGACCTGTCAGCAATGCTCCTGAACCGGAGATATGCTTTGATTGACAGGTATAGAAATACCTTTGCTCAGAGGCGCGGACATGATGACCCGGCGCACACTGGAGGGAGCCTGGAAGTGAGCCTTGCGGCTCTTGCTCCGGCTGGAGTGCAAGTTGCTGTTGATCTTGGTCATTTTGGCGGTGGGCGGAGATGTGTCGATGGGTGACTTGACGGTTGGCGAGAAAGTCCAATCTCTGCTGAGAAGGAGAAAACAGCTGCGCGTGCGGCTCGGTTTTGCAAATTCGACGGGCAGGTGTGGAGGACTCTTGGCATGCGCGGTTCGGCTCATGCCGAGACCCAGCCGCTTGTTTCCCCGAGGGCTTCGATGCGACGCGATGTGATTGTGATGATTGAGCAGGCGTTGCGCGTGTTGTATTGAAGAGACGGGACACAGTGAGGAATACACGGGGAGATTGGGCATACTGAGGCGACAACGCAATACCGGAGGCGAAGTGAGGAGAAGCACGCGACCGCGACAACACGCCTCCCAACCCAACGCCGACACACCTCCACCATGCGCATGCACGCGGCGGTCTTTGACCACATACGATAGCCAGGCGCGATCGCGATGGCGCCCTATCCGCACAACAACTTCTACGATCCGGTGGGGAGTCAGTCTCATCAGCCCTCAGGCTACACATACGCAAACACCAACTCGCAATACCCCAGCCAGAATACGGCGTACCAGAGCAGCGCTTACTCCCAAAATTACGGCACGAGCTATGATAATCAGTATGCGGGTGCAGCTCAACAGCAGCAGCAGCAGCAGCAACCGTCTGCGAGCAGTTCAAATGTGGCAGCCACGGGACTGAGCTCATTAGGCAACCAAGGCTACTCGCAGCCTGTGTCAAGCGCCACTTCTCGCAGCAATGTGGCATACGACACTTCCAATTCAACGTGGGCACAAAACTACGCGTCCAATGCATATCAATCGACGAATCGATCGCAGGCCAATCAGTCGCCGATCTATGCCACTCAGTCCACGGGCAGCACATTTGGTCGATTGAGCTTGCCAGACCAGACTCAGACCAACACATATGGTGCATCTCAGAATTATCAGACCACTTCCTCAACGCCTACTGCGCAAAGCAGCAGCGCTAGCCGTTCCTATCGTAATGCGCCTAACAGCGCGGGCTACAAGAACAGCTACCAGCCACAGCAAGACCAGCAGGCGCAGCAGCCTCCACCCCGTTATGCGAGTCCTCTTCATGCGATGCAGGCCCAGCAACACCAGCAGCAGCAACAGCCAAGCCACAACAAGCAGCCATCACGAACTTCCAACCACGCGCACCCGTCGCCACGAGTAGCAGCACAAAATCTGCAACAGCAGCGTCAGAGTACTTCAGTCGAGCCGATGCCTACCACAGTCGATCCCTCACAGGTCTATGATATCCGCGCGGAGCGAGAGAAAGCAGCTCGGATCGAGGCCGAGAAGCGCCGGAAGTACGAAGCCGAGCAGGCAGCTAAAAAGGCCGAAGAAGATGCGAGACAAGCCGAAGAGGATGCGCGGAAAGCGGAAGAAGAGAGAATTGCAGCCGAGGCGCGTAAGGCAGAAGAAGACGCGAGAAAGGCAAGTGAAGCGGAAGCCAAGAAGAAAGCTACAGCAGAACGAAAGAAGGAAGCCAGAAGAAAAGCGAAGGAGGAAAAGCAGAGTAAGACCGCTGCTACTGCTTTGCAGCAGATGGCCTCAGGTAGTGGTGGCGGTAGCATGATGGATATGATGGGCAATATGATGGGCAACATGTCTGGCCCGCCAGCCAATGACGAGGAGGCAGAGATGCGCGCCATGTTCAAGAAGATGCGCGAATTCAATCAAAAGAATCCTGCCATGCTTGCAAAACTATGGGAGGAAGAGCGCAAACAGCATGCTGCACAAGCGTCGCCTGGACCATCTCAGCCTACACAGCCAGCACCAACTGTGACACCACAACCGGCTGCTCAAAAGTTGACCAAAACGCAGCAGAAAGCGCTAATCTCTGTCGCTGCTCCGCCTGTGCAGCCATCAGTCAAAACCGCCAATCGACCCGCGCAACCTTCGCCTACGACCCCCGGTACCGCAGGCACATCACTTTGGCCTCCGCAGAAGAAAGGCACCCTTGCTGAAGCTGCCGCCAAATGGTTATCTGAGCTACCAGCCAACCAAAGCAACGGGAGAGTGGTGAGTCGCGAGCAAATCTTGAAAATCCTCGACGCGAATCCATCATATGTGCAGCTGTGTGAGGCCATCGAGCGGACTGGCATTTACTTCGAACGATCAGCACTGGCCAAAGAGCTTCTCAAAGCTGTACCTGACGGATTGAGAGGTGGTCAAAACAGTGTTAAGGCAGGCGCGAATGCAGCCCCTTCGGTGGCAGCAGGCAGTAACGGAGCCAATGCTAATGGCACGCCTGCAACTGCGCCGTCGAAAAGGAAAGGCAGGCCGAAGAAGGACGAGCCTGGGCGTTATTCACTGCCTGGAGGGAGAGGCTCCACAAGTGGTGGCACCGTTTCCTATTCGGCGCCCACCTTCACATCGCTCACGGACGCAGCGAGAGCAGTGAACGCTATGAACACGTCGGGTGGCATGTTTCCGGGCACCGTGTCCGACTCTCTAACCAATGCATATATTCCGGCTACTCAAGATCCGACATTTTACGACTTCACGCCAATGATGATTGATGATGATCCGCAGCCATCTATGTCACAGCCACCTGAGATCAAGCCAGAAGAAAAGCCAAAAGAGCCGCCGCCTCCTCCCAAGGACAAGGAAGAAGCCGCACGGAAGCGTGGGTTCGGCGATCTTGTTGATTTGACAGCTGGCGATTCTGATGATGAAGAGCCTCCTCGCAAGATTGTCGTTCCCTTCAGCGGACCTGGCAACGGAGTCAAAACAGTACCGTCGAATGATGGGCTTAGGCAGCCTGTATCGTATCAACAGTTCATACAAAACAAGGCACATCCACCACGGCCGCCGTCCTTTGGACCTGCCTTCGGCTTCGGTCAGCCTGGGTCCAATTTCTCTGCGCCTAATAATCGCAGACCTACGTTCCCTCAGCAAACATGGAATGGTCCAAAAACGCAATCGCCAGCGCCCCCGGCGCCGGGACCACAGCAAGTGCGTTCGAAGGGTCCGTCGGAAGAGTCCAAGCAAGCTGAGAGGATCCGGGGGAGGATGCTTGTTGAGCCTATTATGAGGGATCGCGTGGCTCGCAAGTCCAAATACGATAGTCGGACAATCGCTCGGGACGTACTGCTGGCTACAGGCCGTCATCCAGACATGCGCGCTCTCAATGCACATCTCAATGTCATGCAGAAGTTGCTCGGCGACCATGGAGGCGTAGTTGATGGCGGGGACAGAGGTAACAAGAGTGATCTGTCGACGATCCGCTGGGACCTTATTGACCCAGGCGATCCAACGGAAGAAGCAAAGACCAAGGCAAAGTCAGCTTCCAACCGCGAAGAAGACGTGGAAGATGGAGATGGCGACTCTGCTTCTTCAAAACGAAAGCCTTCGCAAGGGCTCGAGCCTCGGGATCGATTGCCGAACCCTAAGAAGCCTGTCGGTCGGCCACCCAAAAACGCCGACCGCGATCGCGGCTCTGCAGTTCGCGACGCGTCGCCAGTAACCATTTCCGCCAACGAACATTCAGAACTCACATCCGACTTGTCGCCTCGTGTATCACGTGCCACTCCTGTCGCTAGACGCGGCTCTGTCGCGTCCAACTACACACCAAAAACCGGCACCAGCGGTCGCAGAAAGCCATCAGGCATGTCTGTGGCAACTCCTACGCAGCCGACTGGCACACCAGTCGGGTATGCTGCCTTCCGCCAGGTTGATGAGAATGGCAATCCGATCAAAAAGAAAGGACGACCCGTTGGTTGGCGCAAGAACATCCACTCGCGAGAAGCTCAAGGTCTCACGCCAAAGAAAATCGCATCAAGTGAGCCGAAGACTACCTCGAAGCTGAGGCAGTCAACTGGCACCCGAGAGTCTTCTGAGGTCATCGTCGAGCCGCATTATCAAGTCTTCCCGTGCCAATGGAAGAATTGTAATGCAGAGCTCGACAACCTTGAAAAGCTCAAGAAACACACGCTCAAGCTCCACGGCGAGGCCAATGACGAGGGCGACTTCGAGTGTCAGTGGCAGAATTGCGGGAATGGTGTGCATATTGACGCTCACGGCAACGAACGCCCTGGAGATGCTGGTATTTCGAGCTTCGAAACACTGGATCATTGGTTCAAACACATTAACAAGACCCATCTCCATGAGATCGCCTGGAAATTGGGAGACGGGCCCCGAGGGGGCAGCGTTTCAGGTGAGCAAGAACAAGTAGAATAGATTGATTGCGTTGAGCGTTCGTCGCAGTCCTTGTACATTATTGCACATCATGCAACGCGATCTTCGTGACGATCATACACGCTACTGAGAACTGACACTCTTGTGTCATGACAGAAATCCGCAGTGATAGTGCAGCATATTTGAGCGATGCCTCAGGAAGAAGCGTTACGCCTCTGATACTAACACCACAGGAGCTCGCACAGCAGAAGGTGGAAGCGGAAGTTGGAGGTGGGGCCGAGGACGAAGTGATGGAAGATGTGCGAGCAAGCACGTCAATGGCTCCGCCTAAGCTCAAGCGAAAGCCCGGTAGGCCTTCGAAGATTCAAGAAGCTTTTGGCTTGCAGACCATGAGTCTAGACAAAAATGAGCGAGAAGCAGCCACAGAGCTGAAGAAGCTCGAAGATCAGAAGCGGCGCGAGGGAGTGACGATGGGTTTGGAGGGCAGTCGGCTGGTAAATGCCAAACGAAGACGTGGGTTCTTGGACGACGAAGACTTCGAGGATGTGATCGAGGACAGCGAGCCAAGCTTGTGAGCCTGCTACGAAGCCACGACAAAGGAGCAGCTGATGATGCCACGACTGTGGGAGCATGTAGATGAGGCCATGAGATGCAGGTTGTAATACAACAAGATATGATACAAACGACCAGGCCGAGGGTTGACATGGTAGCCGAACACAGCTACCATTGCGTCCTTCCGGTTTGCTCTCGGTTGTTGAGCCAAAAGCATAGCCTAGCCTCTTGCACTTCCTTTTATCTTCCCCTCATGTGACGCTTCAAGCGTCGTTCCATCACGCTTTGACATTGCCCTGTCCCGCAACCCATGCCATAATACACGGATGTACGGCACAGTGGCGCAAAGTTCTATATCCTCATTCCACGTTGTGATCTCTCTCTGAAGCTCCACTCCTCAGTCCTCGAGCTCACTGTGCTGCGTTTGGTATCGTGCTGCCCCTCCAGCTCCATTCTGCCAGGTCGCCCTTATAGTTTGGAAACCCCTTCGGTTCCTTCCAATCAAGAGACAACGGCATTATTCAGTTTCCCGGCCAGTCCTGCTGCGCTGTCCTTTATCGTCCCGGTCGAACCTTTTGTCGATGTTGCACCGGTAACGGCTGATGTCTGAGCGAGGAGAGATTGATGTTCATCGCTGTTGACTTCGAGAAAGTGGTATACGACGATCATGAGGACTGCGGCGAAGCCGAGGAAGAGCGCGAGCGTGTAGAGGGAGCCATCGGATATCATTGTCGCTGGTTTGAGATTGAGAGGATCGCTCGGTGCGGCTTGTTGTCAATGGGTTTCAGGCGCTTCTGATGTATTTGTGGTAGGTATCTCGAACACACGAAGGCTCAATCGGAGTGGTGGCGCGGTGTTGCGATATTTGATGCTGTTGTTGGACTTCGGAGCTCAGTTAGATAGCTGGCCAGATGGGGGTGACCTGTAATGGGTAATGGGCTTGGCGCGAGCTTCCACCTTACACGACGCGTCTCGCCTTCTGACACAGCTCAACTCAAACTCCTCGAAATACTCTCGGCTGGTTCTGCGCTTTCAGCTTAACCATGAGTTCGACAATCCTCGCTCTGCCGCCGGAGCTTCTCGAGCATGTTCTGCGGTATTTGCCCGTGATGGACCTGGTGCAGGTTTTCAATGTCTGCAAAGAATGGAGAGACGTAGTTTTGAACAGCCTGCATCTCAAAACTACGCTTTTCCTTGTTCCTGAAGCATTGAGGCGTTGTCTGCTCTGGAAACGCCGCACTTTCTCACCCCCCGCTCGAGACTTCTGATGGCTGTTCTTTCTCCGAGAGTGTCACGCTCCGCCTAACGCCAGCAACATCACTAGATCGGTCGCCAAAAGTCGCTCAACGGTCTGGAAGACATAGAAGAGGTAGATTTCATGAGTCTCGGCTTCACGTTTGCACTATCAACGAAATTTCCTTTGAAGATTTAATTCCGCAAAGCCGCCTCCCGGACATCGAAAGTATGGGAAACTCCAATGAGCATATTTACTTCAATAGCAATTTTCGAGCTCTTGTGGAGTCATCGAGAGTGTCTTACTGGCGCAAGATGTATGTAACTCAGCCTCCATCAAGATCCGTCCTGGTATCTGGGACTTTTCGCACACCTGCCGACAAGCCGACCAGACGTCAGCGAGCCCCTCCTCATCAGATCGAACATCACGCGGTCGAGGAAATCACGCACGAGCCAGGAGTCACCGTGGGACATATAGTCGACAAGATACAAGAGCTTGAGAGGCAGTTCGGGGCCACATTCTCGTGTGACCCAGACTTACTAGTGCCAGGCCCCGTTTTTCTCACAGAAGACAACATCTCTGAGATAGAAGCAATGCGTGGTGACTCAGACGAAGACACGGAGTGGAGTGACTCCGATGCATCAACAGAATCTGATCTGGAATCGCCTTTGGATTCCGATGAATGAACTGAGATACCCGGCCAAACAATGCCGTGGCGCGTCACATCATGGATGGTCTTGAAAACGAAGAGCGCGCCAATGCCGTCTTCAATGGACTTTGGCTAATGACATGTCCATTGTTGAAAGACACACCCAGGAGCCAGCGCTGCAAGTGTAATGTGCCAGACGTGCCCACTGTACACACAATGTCTTTGCAGGACGCTGTCCATTGGTGACTACAGAATGTCGATCCTTCGCCATTGATTCCAGGTGCGGAGTCGGCTCTTTTCTCTCACAGAACGTGCCTGCTCGGTTCCGGTTCGTTGCAGCGAAGACGGAATCTCTTCCAGACCAACAAGTTCAGCCATGAGTCGCAACCACTCGGCATGGCTGGACTATACGCCCTCGGCCAAGAAACATTGAGCAGCGAAGCTTGTGGCGTTTGCTTCCTCGATGCAGGCCGCGGCCTGACCAATTGTTCGCATAGGCCATGTTTCCTCCCCCGGCAACGAGGCCTAACATTCCGATGCGCACGTGGAATCGAATGCAAATTCGCTACCATAGGGCGGCGCGTCCGATGAGGCGCTGGCTAGATCATAAATGTGGCTTTTGAGTTTCCGTGGCGCAAAGAGTCACAGCACTGGACGTCCGCCACTTCACCTTTTGGGATTCTGCACGGGTTCTACGTGACGGTCTAGTAGCCGTTGAAAAGCACGTTGTCCGCCTTGGGAGGTTTGTGTCTGCCAGCCAATTTCTACAGCATCACACAGCTGACCATGTTCAAGACATTGAGCCTCCTCCTGTGTGCTTCGGCTGCATGCGCCAAGCCCACGATTCTCAAGAGGCAAGATGTTGCTGGCGAGGTGGTTCCGGACAAGTACATTGTGCAGCTCGCACCGAATGCTGTGCTCGATGACAAGCTCATCCAGAAGCTCAAGGACGAGTCCGGAATCAAGGTCAACAAAACGACATCTTTCAACTTGGATGGCTTGAAGGGGTTCACCGTCAAGGCCAACGACAGTGCCATCGACTCTCTTGCCGAATACAGCAGCCTGATCTCTGTCGAACCCGTGACCGTCATTCGAGCAGCGATCATTCCACGACAGGCTACCGCAGGGACGCTTGTTGCAAAAGATGGCACTTGGGGCCTTGATCGCATATCCCACAGAAGTTGGACATACACGAGTCGAGATTTCCCGGAGAACAAGACGGAATATATCTACAAGTCTGTTGCGGGTGTGAATACGGTCACTTATGTCGTGGACACTGTAAGAGAATCTTCAAACCAACGTCTTGTTTCGGTGAACTGATCGCCAGCAGGGCATTTATACTGCCCACAGCGATTTTGGCGGCAGAGCTTCGTACGGAGCCAACTTCATCACAAATGAGGGACCTGAAGACAAGAACGGCCATGGTGAGTTGTCGATCGCTTGGGAAGCGTCTCAATTGGGGTCTTATCTGACTCGTGCAGGAACACACGTTGCAGGCACAATCGGCGGCACTAAATTCGGCGTCGCAAGGAGAGGGAAACTCGTCTCTGTCAAGGTCCTGAATGTCAATGGTACTGGTGACCTTTCAGGAATCATCTCGGCTCTCGACTGGATCAACAAGGACGTCGCGGCTAATAAAGCCAGTCGTCGTGGCTCGGTTGTCAACATGAGCATCGGAGCCAGTTTCAGTCAAACTCTCAATGATGCTACGAACGCCCTTGCCAACGCTGGTATACTCGTAGTTGTTGCCGCTGGCAACAGTGCCGTGGATGCAAGCACACAGTCTCCGGCTTCCGCGACTGGAGCGTGTACGATTGGATCCATGTCATATTACAACGTAAGTCGATGGGCACATTTCGAAAAACATTGACTATGTGGCTGACTGTCTTGTGCTCTGATCAGTCGGCGAACACCTACTCCAACTTCGGGCCAAAAGTGGCTTTACACGCACCAGGCTTCCGCGTGCGATCAGCGGGCATCGCAGGTCCTAATGCCGTGGCTGAATTGTCCGGCACCAGCATGGCATCTCCACACGTTGCTGGAGTTGGAGCATACTTGATGAGTGTCAGCACTTCGTACACGGGAAGCAATTTGTGCAAGAGGATGCAGCAGTTTGCTACGCGGAATCAGCTCAAGAAGGACGACGGCACAGCATTGGGAAACAACACACCGAATTTGATTGTTTGGAACACGGCTACAAAGCCACGATGAAACGACAGAATTGATGGTATCAGGACGCTATGACTTAAGATGAATGTAGACTACGACAGCAACGAATGCAGCAACGAGTTTTACAGCGAGTTCAAAGAGTCATGGCACTTCACACGCAGCGAGTCCAGCTCCCGCGGGCGGCGGCAGCACGACGTGGAAGCCCTCAGCGACAATAGAGCAGCTCGCTGCATGCGGTTTGAAGTTGCCGGACCGATTGGGGCCGCAACATTGGAAGTGTCCGATTCACAGTACATCCTTAAGCGCATATTGCGGCGCATCTGAATCGCCTCTATTCCAACTCGAGCCCTGCGAGGTAGCAACAACTGTCGCGCTCTCTTTATCAAAGCCAATTCCCAATGCTTGCGGCGTTCCCGGCTCACTCTCGTCTTGCCCTTCCGGCGTTGTGATCCAGTGCAGGACAGCGCAAGCGATCAGAGCTGCGATCACGCGTCAGCGCTGTGAGACTGGATCTAGATGTGAAAGAGTGTCTCACCGTCAATCTTGCAGGTCATGCAGCATAACCAAGCTGGCTCCCCGTTGAACATAGTCAGGGAGATCTTGACGGCCAGCGTCGACAGCATAGTGATGCCAGTACCAATTGATGTTCGCATGACGACTCGTCGCAGCGGTAGGAGTAAGCCCTGGCCGCCAAAGTGGACCATGAGCAACGGGAAGAGGAAGCGAAGCGTCAAGTAAAGCTCGAAGGCTGGTCAGCAAGTCGGACTCTGTAACGGCAGTCGCTCTGATACTCACATATGACAAGACTTCCACTACCAATAGCGGCACCAGTGCGTACATCTGAATGCCAATGATGCACACCTTCGCGTCGTTTACAAATGCGATCGAGCTGCAGTGGTGTAAGTTCATGCCGCAAAACAATCTGAGTGTGTACACTTACTATTTGATCGCAAAGCTTGTGACGATGAGATATGGCACGAAAAGCGCAACACAGCTGAGGATATACTCCAGTGTCTTATATCTTGGGTTGACTGGCCATGAAATAATGTATGCGCGCTCGATGAGAAATAGAAAGCCGGCCATCTTGCTCACCACGTATAGTGTGAGACCTGTTGAAGCCTATCAGCGGTTGCCTTCTACGATCAAAACGAAATTCCAAGCTCACATAATAATATCGTCGATTCACACAAGCTGTGATTCTCTGCTCGAATATGCAGCACCACTGTGAGCACAAATACGAAGAGGAAAGAAGTCACGTATGTCCGCCCGGGCAGTCAGCCATGTTACAACGGAAATTGTGGGCAGGCAAACAGACATACCAGTAGCAGACAACATGATGCGACAGTGAATGCTTTATGCTTCGCTTGTTGCAATCGCTGCCAGAAAAATACTGCGATGAGTGGCAAAGACGCCATCGAGGTTACGAGCGAAACAACCTCGCCCTCCAGCAGAAACTGGCTCTTGACGGCATTGCTGTCGCTCACGACCGCTCGGATGGCCACCATTTTGTTCCAGTTATGATCTTCTTCACACCTGCATTAGTTGACTCAAGGCTGAGAAGAACATAAGACCAAGCGTTGTATGCATTGTGAAGAGTATCGGTGCTTAGAGCACGCGATATTAGGTAGAAATCCGGCGACATGTTCCAACTTGCACATCGTCGATTAGCAAAGCAATCAGTAGCCGAAGAAGAGCCTTGCGGAGGGTTGTGCCTGGCATTGCGAGGAGGCGCGGAACGAGCGTGGGTCGGTGGTCTCTTTCTGGCTAATGTGCCAGGGCATAATCGCAGACGCCCTGCGTTGTGATTTGAACAGAGCTCTGTAGAGTTTTCGCCCGGGCCATATCACATTCAACTGACATGGATCAGTCTGTCGGCATGATTTCACAACATCTGGGGTGTACAGGCATTGCGGTATGATCTGCCGAGACCCACTGTTGACTAGAGTGTATCCTGGCGACACATCCAGGTGAAGAGGGCAGTGGTCTGCAGGCTGCGGGCATTCCTTGCACAGAAAGGAAAGGGCCTTACATTGGATAGCCGTTCATCCGACTGCAGCCATATGATCTGAAGCAGGACAACAAGTAGCTAAAGCAAATGTCGCAGTCCAGAATGCCACACCAAGCAAGACACTGTCGTGCCAAGGTTGACATGTCAATTTCGACCCAATCCGGAAGTTCCGATCTCTCATTTGTCGAGGCTCCTCCGTCATCCCGGGAGGTGTTCGCAGCTTGACTATACAGTACAGTAGTCTTAGGTATCGATACTGAGTACTTCGAAACTGGCGACGTAGGCCCTAAGGAATACTCGTGGAACCCTAAAAGAGTTCCTGGGCATTGTAGAACTACATCCCAACCGATGCTAGGGGTTTCGTTTCGAGGACAGTGCGTCTGGCGATGGCATCGTAGACAAGCTCCATTTCCCCGGACGGAGCGTGGAGAGGACAGCAATTATGCCGTGGGGCGCTCTTGCGTCTCCGGTATAAAGTGGAAGCGTACTGGCACTGCTTCTCCTTTCTCCGTTTGGTAGAACTGCTGCTGGCCGCGCTTCGTCGATCCTGTTGGTTGCCAGTCCCGAGCGCGCTCGAGTCGGTCAGTCGTTATTACCAGGCACGCGCTGCTGCGTTCAGCTGGGCCTTCGTATGGCACTCGTCAGAATACGAGTGTCCATTTATGGGCTCTGCGGCGGCCTGCAGGCGTTCGTTTTTACCACCCCTCGGGAAATGGCTCGGCGATATCCAGTGCAAGCGGCTCTACTTTGGTCAATGTTCTTCAGCATGCTAGATCGGGTTGCCGCATGAGTAAGGAAATGTTCTCGAGCAGATGAAGTGGCCCTGTGGAAGAAGTGGAGTAGTTGGCAGCAGCACAAGTTGCACAACGCGTCACAACGCGTGGCTACTCTTACAGGTACCGAGGGGCCGAAACGCTCGCTCTCCAATGACAAACCCTGTCCAAAAATACTCCACCGTCCGCCGAGAGCTCCGGCTGTGAAGTCTGCACTTCTTCACGGCAAGTGATAAGATGTCGACAACCATGATGAAGAGGGGAAGATCGGAAACACTCCTTGGGTAAACCGCCAGCGCTCCGATTTCGCGCATTGGCTCCTCTACCCGGTTCAACGACACCCAATGGCCAACGGCAAGCTCTGGGATCAGTCTGCTTCGCAGTCGATCCTCGGATACTGGGGTCCTCCAACCAGTCATGTCAAGTAAGGCAGTTGCACAGCAATATTTTTGAGTAACGAGTACCAGAACTGACCTTTCGATGCTATCAGCTTCTGTGAAGAGGTGCATATTTCTTGGCTTCATATGCGCCAAGACAGCCGCTGACTGAGATGTTCTTTTCCAGGACTACATATGGACCTACTTTGTTGCCGAATTCATCAATACAGTGACTAGCTTCGCCTACAGTATGCTACACAAGAACTTGGTTCGGCCGAAAGCTCACTATCTCTTGCAGTTGCATATGGCATCCATGGCATTCGTCGATCGAAACGCCATGATATTGGCCTCCTCTCGATTACCAATTCTTCCTACTTTGCTCTCATTGGTGTTGGAGTCTTCAGTGGACTTTATCATACGACGCTGAAGTACCATACTCAAATGTGTATGTTCACTCTGCAATTTCTCGATGCTTAGACTGACCAAACCGTAGCCGATGAATTGTCAATGCATGTAGGTCGTGTTGCATGCCCTTCAATTGGGAGCACTCATTATAGGATTGTAGCTGTGATTCAAATTTGATGCTAATGCCAAGATGCCCAGGTCGCCATCGCTACAGTCCTGTTACAAGTCTACACTTTCGAAGAGCCACTCGCCATCCAGCGCCGAAACACAGCTATTATCCTCGGCATCATCATCCCATTCGTGATCTACCACTGCCTGACAGATGAGTTTATCCTCCATGTTGTCCTCTTCTTCGGCATGTCCATCACAGTTGCAAGAAGAATCCGGCACATCATCCGCATGCGAATCAAAGAACAAGCCCAGAGAGCAAAGTTACGTTCGCTTGTAACCTTCGCGACATCAATCTCGTTATTCGCCTTCTTTATCTGGACTATCGACAATCTTTTCTGTCCTACGTTGACAAAGTGGAAACACCAAGTGGGTTGGCCGTTGGCTATATTGCTTGAGGGTATGTAATCCGTACAGCTGAATGCTGAAGCTTGACTGACTTGTTCCAGGTCATGGATATTGGCATATACTGACCTCGATGGGCTCGTATACCTTCATGGCGCTTGTTGAATTTCTTACCAGCCCAGAAGGGAGTCCTGACTTTGGCTTCGCTTGGCCGGCGAAAGCTACGTTGCAAGATCTGGCGCTCACGAAAAATGCCAAACCAGATTCGAAGAACATCTAGATCGAAATGATTGAGAATGGAGAGATGGGAATGACTCTTGGATAGACGTAGAATTTAGAAAGACGGCAGAAAGCCCACGAGGTGATTTATCAACCCAGATTGGCCTACAGTCTGCTTGAAATGATGCATACCTGCGGGTTTGGAGCTCGTTGCTGGCGGAAGCTATGCCTCAAATATCGTCAGATGGAGCGCAGAGCCTGGATGCTGGGCATCCCAAGGTGCGACATCATTGTGCGCAACAGCTGAATGCATGTTTCGATGTACAGTTCCACATGCTGTGGGCGCTGCGTAATTAGTGCAGACCGTGCTGAGCTCTCATTGCTACAGAATCGGCCGCGATCGTCTTCTTCGGGTCCTTGGCGAGGATGTTCCGTCACTGTGAACGTGCCCAGGCATACCAGCGAAACTTTGCAGAGCCTCGTATGGAATAGGCATGTTAGTCAAGTGGTCGAAGGCCGTCGAACGCAGGTACGAGACTTGTCGAGCTGTGACTGCTTGCGTGGCAGTGCGTGCATCTTGAAAACTGAGCTCAGTAGGGCATGATTCGGCGCTTTTGCAGCCGGACTGGGCAGCCATTTCCAGTCATTGCTCTCAACGGATCCTTCATGGCTTGCGTGAGGAGCGATAGTGTGGATAGAGCATCGCAGACTGCTCTTGGTACATTTCGTGTCTGATGGTGGGTGTTGGCTGGTCGGCGAAACACAGCACTGTCCCTTTAGGTCATTGACCAGGCTCAAGTACCATCTTCCAGCCAATTCATGCCTGTATCGCTCTGAATCATGGGCCCGTAGAAATTCCTGTGTGGAAGGTGAAGAGCAAAGGATGGAAATGAAGAATCGACGCGTGGAAGTCGTGTCGAGAGCAGGTCTTGGCAGATTGGGATGCCGAAGTCTCTTTCGGCGACACCAGCTCCTCGCGACACAACCTCATCTCCATCATCAACTGCATTGCAAATTCCCCATGTCCCTCGACCACTAGGCGCCATGTCTTATCGGGAATGCCGTTCAGTGCCGGTCATGTCAGCGCGGCTGCCAAGGCATATGCAATCGGCAACCTTGAACGCCATGTTTGGAACTCGCTCGAGCATCATTTCAGCCTCGCTACAAAACGACGGCTAGGTATGGCAAGCATGCAAAACTCTCAGCCAAATCGCTAACATATAATAGGTCTAGCGGTCAGCGGTGGCGTCGATTCGATGGCACTGGCCAGCATCTGCAGCAGTTACAAGAAGCAATATCGGCATCACAATTTCACTGGTTTCATCGTCGATCACGGCGTGCGGCCAGAGAGCAGTGACGAGGCCTTTAAGGTCGCCGAAGAACTGCAACGCCTCGGCATAGATCCGGAGATCCTGAAGCTTGACTGGACTGCCCACGGAGACCCAAGAAAGTTGAAGAATTTTGAGACTCTTGCACGCCGCTTGCGATACCAAGCGCTGGGGAAAGCGTGCTCCCTACAGAGGATTTCGACGCTCCAGGTCGCTCATCATGCCGATGATCTTGCAGAAACAGTGCTATCCAGGATCATCGCTCAATATCTGGGCGAAGGTCTTCAAGGCATCAGAGAGATCACGCCCATCCCTGAGTGTCAAGGCATCTGGGGTGTCGATGGCAGTGGTGCTAGACGGGATCTTAACACGACAGAGGATGATGCATCTCTCTCTACGCGTAACGGTCAATTGCCTGCGTCCAAGCACATGCTCATCGAGAATGGTGGTGTGTACATCACCCGCCCTCTCCTATCATTCGCCAAGGAGCAATTGGTATCAGTGTGTCAAAAAAACAACGTGAGATGGTTCGAAGACAGCACGAATGCCGACAAAACTTTGACAGTGCGAAACACCATTCGGCACCTACACCGCAGCGGCTCTCTGCCAAAAGCTCTCCGGCGTGAGAGCCTATCTGACCTGGCTCATTCCGTACACGACCGACACAGGATGTTCGAAGCACGAGCGAAGGAGATCTACTACAGCATGGCTATCAAGCTGGATCTCAAGACTGCCAGAGCCAACTTTTCGCTGCCACAACAATACGAATTCGGGTTTACGGTAGACGGCGAGCCATATCATGTCAAGGCCCTGCTGGCTCGAAAGCTACTCAGCCTCGTATCTCCCAAGCAAGACATCTCATTGCAGGACTTGGATCCCGCGATGAAAGTACTTTTTGAGACCCCAGAAGCCTCAAGATCTGATGCCCAGCTTCAAGGCACTATGATTGTGAAGTGTCCGCAGCGGACGTCAAGAAAGGGTGCCGATAACAGCCAATTCACACTCTCTCGACAAAACCCCGAACGCGACATACGGGCGAAAGCTATGTCATTCAGCGAGCTTGTGTTGGATCCTTCTCACAGTAAGATTCCTTGGACCAACTTCCTCCTTTGGGACAACAGATACTGGGTTCGAATTGGCCGACATCACTCAGACCCCCTCTCATCTACACCTTCTGAACATCTCCGTTTCTCTGTTGGTTTCCTTCATCACACCGACATACGCGACCTCCGTATGTCCTGCTCGAATTCCGCCTCCCGCCGGGCACTTGATGCCATTTTGTATAGTATAGGCGAGGCGAAATGGTCGCAGCCCCTCATAACTATGACAATCGATGATGGAAAAAGTTCTACTATCGAAGTCAATCAGTCGAAAACCATTGTGGGCTTGCCAGCGTTGGGATGGTCACCTGTGGGGAAGGCGAAGGAATTGGGAATAGTATGGGACATACGGTACAAGAAGATCGAGTTCGGTGGCGGGGATGGACATGTCCTGGAAGCTGTATCCGATCCCAAAGACAGGACCCAGCGAAAGTCATTGGTGCAGCCTGCTTCGAAGAAGATCGAGCAGAGAGCGAAGCAGAAAGCAGGAAAGAATGATCGCGCGCGGCTACCGATTGGAAAGTCGGGCAGGCTATCATAAGAATATGCGGCTTTCGAAATACAGTCACCAAAGTGCATTTGGATTCGTCCCTCGACTTTCGCCCTATCGACACTCACGCCCAACATACGATTCCGCGCACGCCTGCATTAGCACCTACACGATCTCCACCCATGCCTCCGACTTCCCATCGTGCAATGGAGCGCAAACTGGGTCGTCCAACAGCTCACCATGCATGACGCCATGCAAATATGCGCCTCTAATGAGGCTGTAGCGAGATTTGCCTCTCTCGTCATACGATCCTGGAGAAGGCCGCAGGATCAAAGGAACGCGAGAACCTGGCACAAGCCATAATGTGTCGTTTGGGAGTAGGGCATCTGTACCGAGTCCTAGGTGTCCTGTGTTGGTGAGGAACAAGCGGAGTAGCACACGATGAGAAAAACATAGCTCAAAATCATGGTGAGCAGTCGAATGTATACCGATTCCAGGAAGTGATGCGTCATGACTGTGCCTTGGATTGATGTATGCATGCATCTGGCTGATCGGTGCTTTCAGAAAACTGTCGGTTTTCGAGCTTTTAGCGCACATTGCCTTGAGAGAGTCGCGAACATGGGGGCTGGAGTCACCATGCAAAGCGCATAAAGCTTCGAAAAGGGTGGTCGTTCGCAGTGCTGAACCTGTGCCCTGAGGAGTGTCTCTAGAAGCTCTTTGGCTATCGCTTGGACCCTGGTTCCTTCTGGCTAGTGCAACAATCCACTCCCTGAATGAAGTACTAAGTCGCCATTTCCCGTTGTCTGCGGGACACTTTCCCTCCCTATCAGTATCCACTATAAGAGTGCGCCAGAGAGTCTCAAAGACATCGGATTCATCAGAAGATTTCATGGCCGCGGCGCGCTCTTGAAGCTCTTCTAGCAATGCAAGCCAGCCAGGAAACTGCAGCGGTTTAGCATTCTCCACTTCTTTCTTCGTTTCGCCAGTCTTGCTAATGGTTGCAATTTGGCTGCCTTTCAAGATCAAAGTCTTGCCATCATCAGCAAAGTACGGTTGCACGATTGGTAGGTCACCAGCTGCTGCATATCTCTGGTAGCTCGTAATACCTAGGCCTATTCCACCGGAACAACTCCAATCTGGTACCCACGATGGCAGATCCTGGTGTTGAGGCGCACGCCGACATTCAACTTGATGCAGAATATGCAATCTCTCGTCGTCCACCGAGTCCGTGAGCAATTCTCGTGCGATCGCTGTGTATGTCTGCTGAGTTGATATCTGATAATTCGCTGTTGCAGATATGCGGAAGTTTTCTCTGGCAATGGATAACAAGCTGTAGATCTTGTCTCTCGGATCACTACTATCAAAATCGCGAGCTCGGATGAGGTAGGGCAAAAACGAATGGGTCTTGTAGAGACCTCTCGCAGCACTTGCTAATTTCGCCGGACTCCCGTGGGACAAAGACACGGCAGTTTGGTCATGGTCAAAAGGATATACTGTCGGATCGCTGAAATGTCTGCCGAGGTCTCCAGTGATGAGGAGGTCGGAAACGAAAGTGAGCTGAGTCCAGCTTAATGTCTGAGGCCCACATAGAATCAACAAGCGTGCTTCATCTGACTCAAAGGCTGACAAACTATGGCCATCCACTGGGCTCAAAGCTGATGACTTGCTTTCGGAGTGAGGTTGTGAGTTGGCCACAGTCAAGATCACCTCCTGGACTACCCAAGCTCTGGAAAACCACGATCTTCGGAAAAATAGAGCAAGCGATTTCCAATGATCAAGACTCGAACAGCCAGGCAAAAGCGCCTGAGCAAGCTGGCCGTCCAAATTCTGAGGATGCAACAATCGTGCCTGTTCACGTGAAAGCTTGCACAAGGCGTTGATCAAAGGTATGGCCTTATCAGACGCTTCATCGCTTTCTCCTAACCATGCCACCGTGCGCTCAGCCTGCTGGAAAATTCTTCCCATCTGCTCGACCTGTTTCTTTTTCTCTTCTAGATTGCTCTGATCGATACATAGATCATCGGCCCATAAGTATTCGACCGGCGGTTGTAACGATACGATATGCGTCAGTGCGGAATACAAATTCTGCAGCACAAGCATGCGGTGACCCTGCCACCCTGCCTGGTTCTCATAGACCTGGCAGATTATTGTATGCCATACATCCTTGGAAAATTCGACGGGTTGCCTTTGCCTCAAAGGCGACCTCCAGGCGTAGGACAATGCAGTGTAGGATGGAGGTATCGAATTCGCATCGATCGCGTGAAACCGAAAAATGACACCACTAGGTGTACGTACAACCTGGAGTAGTCGAAAAGCCTGAGGGCTAAGAAGTCGAACGCTTTCCGCTTCATAAACAGCTCGTCGATCTTCGAGGTTGATGGCGCCAGTTGTCGTGGGGATATTCACGCCACATGAATGCTCGCTGTACTGCTCATCGGCCATGATCAGTAGCTAACGCCCATCGATAGGTTCAAGTTGTAGACTGCCGTCGGTTTGTTCGTGTCAAATGAAGGAAAGCTTGAGAGTAGTGAGAATGCTGAACGGGAACCTAGCTGCAGGCAAGGATGCCACTGGATGTGCGAGATCGAGAATGACAAATGAGCTGCATATAGTACGTGGCGAAGCTGCCGAGCTCGTTCTGCGTGTCAGTGTGCTGCAAAGATCAATGCATAATCGGCAACAGCCGCACGACACATAGGCCCTCGTTAAGTCTGCTGATCTTCACCATACTTTGGTCTCTGTGCCCCGCCTTCCAGAGCATGAAAATCGTGCTGGTAATGAGCTGCTTGTTCAACATTCGAAGTATGTCGCCCAATTTGAGGTTCGAGTTCGTTCCAGGCTTTTTCGAGCATGATGGCCATCCAACTGGTCCAGAAGGGGGTTTCCGAGCAGTCCGTGAGGTCCCGAACGTACCACCTCACCATTTGACATTTATGACTAAGCAGTATCCAGACGACACTCCCCGCTCTCGGCATTCTGCAACAAGATTATCCTGATCAGACTTCCACTGTTGGCGATCAAGATCCGCAGTGGCAACGCCTTGAGAAGCATCTTGCAGTACTCAACGCGGGACCCAAAGACTGCCCACACAAAGTCTTCTTCGTCACCCGCCATGGCGAAGGTGTCCACAACGTAAAAGAACGTGAAGTCGGCCGCCACGAATGGGAAGCGCACTGGGCTCGCCTGCCAGGAGATGAGAAGACGACATGGCTTGACGCACGCTTAACTTCTAAGGGCAAACAGCAGGCTCAAGACTTGCGGTCCTTTTGGCTCCACGCTTCTCAAGTTGACAAGGTCCCGCTTCCACAGACAATCTACTCCAGCCCTTTGATAAGAGCTCTGCAAACAACAAGCCTGGCATTCCAGGACATCCCAGAACTGAAATTCAAGCCCATTATCAAAGAGTCCCTTCGCGAGATAACGGGTGTTCACACCTGCGACAAAAGAAGCTCAAAATCCAGTATCGAGGCTGAATTTCCAGAGTATCAAGTCGAATCTGAAATGACCGAAGAAGACACCCGCTGGAAAGTTGACAGGAGAGAAACGCTGACAGAACGTGTCGAGGTAATAAATGACTTCCTGGCGAAAGTTTTCAGCGAGGATCCCAGTACGTTTGTGTCTTTGACGACACACTCGGGTGCAATTCGCGCATTGTATCAGGCGATCGGACACCCTGACGTATGGGTTGCGGCGGGTGCTGTTGTACCAATTGTGATTAGGGAAAATTCGTGAGAGATAATGTGCTTCGATCAGCGATTAAGTCTGAGTTCCTCCGCTCGCAAAGCAGCACAGATCAGATCGTGAAGCAGGCACATACTCCCTAGCGTCTCCTCACTTTAGCATCCTTCTTCGGTGGTGGCCTCTTGGCATCGTCCGGCTTGGGCGTGGGCGTGAAACCCGGATACAGTATTGGCAGGAAGCGCTCCGCTCCATCCATCAGTCTTTCCATGCTGTGCACCTGCGTTGATATATCATCAACGTTTTTGCGTAGCTCAGCAATGTCTTCGTTAAGCGAAGCAATCTCGTGATCAAACTTGTCGATTTCCTGCTGTTGACGCTCCAACTCTTTATCGCTCTACCTGATCATTTTCCAATTTTCTTCCGTCTGTCGTTCTGTGGCCTCGGATCTTCGCTCTAGATCATCCAACCTTTGATCTCGAGATTTTAACATTAGTTCTAGATCATCCAACCTTTGGTCTTGAGATTGGGAGCTTCGTTCTAGATCATGCAACCTTTGATCACGGGATTGAGAGTTTCGCACGAGACTTTTAATCCTTTGGTCTAAGGATTGGAGCCTCTCGTTGACAATTTTGAAGTCTTGATCTAGGGGCTGAGAGTCCAGTTTGACGCTTTTGAGCTCTTGATCTTGTTGGCTCCGTTCCTCCTCTTGCACCTTTGCATATTGCTCAAGCGCCTTTCTGTATTCAACCGTGACGCGAGTCATTTCTTGCCAGTGTTCGTGTCTTGCTTCGGAAGCTTCTGGTATAGGTTTCGCCGACAGCTCTTGGAGCCGAGCAGCTGATGTTGACATCTGCTCTAGGTGATAGCTTGCAGAGTCATTGGCCATTTTTGCGGGATTAAGTCAGTGGAACAAATTGATGTATCGCCGGAGGAGGAGAAGAAAGGAGTTGAACTCCAGATCCTTCTTATGTTCCTTATCTTTCGTGTGAAGTCTTGGTTCCACTAGGAGTTTCGCAAAGTATGGTAGCCGAAAAACTTAAGTAGCTCCAGATTGGGGGATATCCGGGGGCCTCATCGACGCTTTTGGTCACCGTCTTGTGTCTCAACTTGGAAATTCCACGTCGTCCCTATACCGCGGCTGTATACTGATAGCAGTCTTGCAAGCGGCGAAAAGGTCTTGCCGTATTCGAGCGTGGTCTTCATGGAGACCCGTGGGCGCTGCACCTCTTCACCTCAGTACTCAGCTGCAAGCAGGTATCCATGGCTCATCAGCATCCAGGGCAGCGCCGAAGGTGTCCTCCAGCAGCAAGCACATATCCCCTATCTCCTGCCTCTCTCATCCTTCCTTGCGAATTTCCTTGCGCCCTCAAGGGTCGATTCTAAGCCCCGTTTCAACGATTTGCCTTCCACATTGCCAACCTCCTTCTTAAGCTCCTCCAACTTCTCGCACACCGATGCAGTTCCCATATCTAGTTCCTCCATCTCATGATCTTGACGTCTCATCTCTCTCTCAATCTCGTTCAAGCTTTGTTCTTGCTCTCTTATTTGATAAGATAGGGATTCTTGACTTCGACGTGTATCCTGAATCGTTTTGCTCATTTCTTCTGTTTGCCGCAATAGAAGCTTGGACAATTCCAAGGTCTGGAGAGCGATTTTCTCCAAGCGGCTGAATCGTTCTGAGGCAGTTGTTGGTTGTTGCGATTGCATCAGCTCGTCGAGCCGGGCACGAGAGTTTTCGATCTGCTCTATCATATTTGTTGAGTCTTCCATCGTTAATCTCTCGGTGGGGATGAGGGATCTGTGGACTGTGGAGGGAAGAATTGTGAAAGGCGGCATTTTGAATAGTTTTGCTCGAGTTTGAAACTTTGGGTCCACCAGACTTCCCGAAAAGTATGCTCGATATGTGACTCCAGCAGCTCTGGACCAATAATTGTGGGCGGCTCAACGGATGCTCGAGAAAGATCCTTTGTAAGCAGTTCGGAGCAATATCTTGTGCTGCAAGGATAAGGTACTTTGCACGCAACACATGCGGCTGAGGGGAATCGAAACGCTGCTCGTATTGTCACAGGAACGGAATATGTACACAGGTTTTCGCTTAGCTCTGGTGCTCATTTGTACACTGTCTCCTCTCTTAAGCGGCCGTTCCTGCTGGCCGTCATTTGCTCCCGATGAGCGCTACTGCTCTCTGCGGCGCATTGCTCCCTCGCGGCTCCTGGTTCGTCTCAACGACACACGCCGTATTTCGTCACAACGTCCGCCGCTCCAGTGCTCGATCAACAACTCCACACGCCGACCACGCCGTCTCTTCGTCCTTCGATCAGATATCCGTCTCGGATTCGGACACGTTCTACCACTCCTGGTCGTGAGTCCTCCTCCTCCTGGTCCTTCAGCGTGCCCGCGCCAAGATCCCACTGCGCGCCATCGGTCTTGTCATACACCTTTACGACATCCTCGCCGGAAGCAGCAACAATGTGCCGTGTGTCGAATTGCATCGATGTTATGGGCGCGTCATACGCGAAAGCATCGTGGATATTGCCAGAGCGAAGATCCCATATCTGATGAATATGTTAGCAAAAGGGACCAACTACGTGAGGACTTTAATCTTGAACTTACTCGCACACTTCGATCCTGCGAAGCGGTGACCAAGAACATATCGTCAAACTGCAGCGCTGTCACAGGACCGGTATGACCGACAAGTTGTCGATGGACCTGACCGCTTCGCAGATCCCACAATCGTACCATACCATCTGCCGTGCCGCAAGCAAGTGCCGTGTCAAATACCTGCAGAGCACCAATGAAATCTGCCTCGGCGCCCTGGAGTCGCCCGCCAGTCGGTTTCCACCAACTGCCCTCAGTCGCAGCACCGTTCAATGCCGCGCCACTAGGGACAGAGTGAAGGGTCGCTGCTTGCGCGGCAGCCCAGAGTACGTCTAATGTTTGCACACATCGTCCTTTTTCGAGATCCCATTGTCGCAAAGTCTTGTCAGCAGAGCCAGAAACAAGGCGTGAGCCATGGAAGTTCAACGCCGTCACCTCGGCGACATGGGACGAGAGCGTGAACATGTGGCAGTCTCGCATTGCGTTGCCATGCACTTCCGGCTGCGGCGCTGATCCAAAGTCCGAGCCTGCAGGCGTGTATAGTTCTTCACCTGTGGCAGATGCACCTTCCTCGCCTTCGATATCTTCCGGAATGGGCTTTGAGTGGATGCTCGAACTGACGGCGGGAGTATAGTCTGCTTGGCTAAGATCCCAAAGTCGTATGCTCGCGTCCATTGAACCAGTCGCAACGATGTTCTCCTCAACTTGCAAACAACGCACGCTCGACAAATGTCCTTCCAGCATGCCCATGCATCTTCCTGCATTCAGGTCCCACACTCGCACTGTGTCGTCAAGTGCGGCTGTGACCATGGTCCCGAACGGCGCATCGAAGTCAAGTGCTGTAATAATGTCGTTGTGCGCAGGAATCTCTCGTATTCTTGACCCAGGCTCCATGTGCTCGTGCAATACTGGCATCGATATTCTTCTCGAGATGGCCTTTTTCCTCTTGGGTTTTGTTGGACTCTCTTTCACTTTAGGCAATTTCTCGTATATGCTTTCCGACATGAAGCCTGGGCTGTCTTGGCTCTTCTCATCATCGCCTTCTTCCTTTTTAGTTCCCATATTCGCCAAATCAGACGTCTTTTGTGCCAATACAGCTTCATCCGCAAGCTCTTCTTCCAGAGTCTCAAGCTTCTCTGCCGTTTCTAGCACTTCCTGCTCCAGCTCCCTCTCTTCATCTTCCAGGCCGGCCAATCGTCCCAATATCACTTTTCGCATAGTATTCAAGTTTGCGATTTTGTTGTCAATTTCTCGAATTTCGCTCGTACACATGGTCTTTCGAATGCCCATCATCTCTAGTCGATGCTCTAACCGATCTTTGTCTCTCTTCAACTTTTGCAATTTGGGAGGTCCAGCGATCGTTTCTTGTTCTGCGTCTTCCAGCAGCAGTTTCTGCCCAATACTGCCATGTCGGCTGTGTTTCTTTCTTCTCCCAGGTCTCCCAACGTCATCCTCGTCCGGCAGGCTCGCCTTGAATCCTTCAAATAAGCTGAACGGGCTACTACTTGCGGGGACATTCCGGATTAGTTCGTCAGGCAGATATGTCAACGCGCGATGTTCAATCTCGCTGGTGTTGAAGTTCGATCGAATGAGCTCGCGAGGATTGGCTTTTGCGAAGGAGAAGACGGAGCGCTGAATCGCAGGTCGTTGGGAGAAGCGGCGGACTGAAGACAGGGCATTGCGGTAGTGATCTTGGCCGGGAGCGTCGCTGGACGAGTGGCCATGAATGCCGGTGATGAGCTGCGAGGCGGTGGCGTGGACAGTGCGCCCGAACGCTTCGAGTTGGCGACTCTATCATGATGCATCAGTGGACTGTTTCACGTAGAGATGAACATGTCTCATACGTTCAATATCGATTCCTCATCGTCGTGGTGGTGCTGCTGCGACATCCTGGCGCTCTTCCGCGGCGATGTGCTGCGTCCTCGGCTGGCCATGTCGGGACACCACGGGCATGCTATGAAGCGCGCATCGCGAGGGAACGGCCAAGAAGGGTGTTTGTGCAGGTGAGAAGTGGTCACTCGACACTTTGTTTATGGTGAAAGCAACCAACGTCACGCCCGCCTCCTCACTGCGCACGACAAGCTTCCAAGCAAGCCGACCGGGCTCAGCTCCGCTCTAGACCTTCACTTCCGACAACGGCCTCGGAATCATAGAGACATATTTCTACCCATTGACACTCCGCTACGTATCAGCACTACTCGCTACAGCAGACATATCCCACCATGGACCACGCCATCGATCTGTCCGACCCAGAGAAGGCCCTCTCCCTCTCCAACATCCGCTACCAGCTCATCCGTCTCGAAGACACAGTCATCTTCCACCTGATCGAGCGCGCCCAATTCCCCCTCAACGAAGCGATCTACGCCCCAGGCGCTATATCGCTCCCAGGCAGCAACCTGAGTTTTTCAGACTGGGTCCTCCGCGAACAAGAGCGCACACAATCTCGCATCCGCCGCTACCAGTCCCCAGACGAATATCCCTTCTTCCCAGACGCCCTAGAAGAAGTTATCCTCCCGCCCCTAGAATACCCCAAAATCCTCTGGAAGAACGACATTACAATAAACTCAGAACTAAAGAAACGCTACGTGGAACAAATACTACCCAACGTCTGCCCGCAACGCGAACGTGCCGAGAAGTCACCCCTCTCCGCTCAGGAAAACTATGGCTCCGCTGCTACGGCCGATGTCTCCTGTCTACAATCTCTATCCCGTAGAATACACTTTGGCAAGTTCGTCGCCGAGTCTAAATTCCGCGAGGACCCCGAGAAATTTGTAAAATTGATCAAAGCGGCGGATCGCAAAGGCATCGATGAAGCGATCACGAATGCGAAGGTTGAAGAACAGGTCCTGAAAAGACTAAGAACGAAAGCCGAAATGTACGGGAATGATCCCATGTTGGACCAGGATGCACCGAAGAAGATCCCTGTGGAAGCTGTGGTGGCCATGTATAAGGATCATGTTATCCCTTTGACGAAGATCGTTGAAGTGGAGTATTTGATGCAGAGGTTACAAGGGACAGAGTGGGAATGAGGACTGATCTTTCGGGGAGGACTCGAGATAAAAGTCCTCAGATGAATGTGTTTGTCTTTGCGTTTCAGCGAGCTGTAGTGGCAGGTAGATCTGGGAATGATACCCATACATCGGAATGAAGACGGAGCTGTGCTTAAGGGGGGATAAAAATCTCACGGGCTAGTAGAGCTCTACACTTCTCTGCAGCCGCTGCTAGACGAATCAAACTGGGCAGGCATCTGCCGTCCTACCTGCATTTGCAACTGGACGCTGTGAGCTTTCGAGACTCAATATCTGGAAGACAGCGCAACAGTCTGGCTTCGAGTATTTCAGACACCCCCGTCGACTCCACAAAGGCGAGCGATTGCCTTCATGTCTCCAGTGTCAAGCGCGCGCTGTGGGAATCCTGAGACACAAGATCACAAATGAACTGTCGTTGGACTTGTGACCAACGCGAGCACAAAATGCGAATGAAGTCCACTAACGCACATGGAGTTGTTTTGACCCTGGCTGCGAACACTCATTCTGCAAATCCTGTATACAGACTCTGGTTTGCTTGAGTATGATAGCCGCGAAAACCTATACGCCTAACCTCTGCTGAATAATGGCATGTACGTCTTGAGCTCGTGGAGGTACGACCTGGTGATTTCAGCAATATTTTTCTGCTCTCGCTTGCATGCTGCTGTACGGCTCGATTGACGGCCATTTCGGCGGCCCCTGTACCGCGTAAGTGCTCTGAATGCTCACAATATGGAGAGCAAGACAGATTGAGGTGCATAGCATGACCCTTGGATGGGTGTAGCGTTGCAAAGTGAAGTGCAGCAGCGAGCGTGGTGATATCGTTTGGACGCATGCCAAGGCGCGGGGCATGCAAGATCCCTGCCGAAGTTCGCGCCTGCCCCAAAGCGGGCAGATGCGACGACGCGCTAGCGTTTGAGGTGCATACCGCATTGTTCAGACTGAAGCCTATTGTCTGAATAGTCCAACAATGTGACCATCCCAAATCCGGCGCCGGCGCTGGCTAACACCCACCACTGCTCACTTTTCCCTTTGTCCTCACCATCTCGACCTTCTCTCCTCATTGCGACACCGACGAGACGTTGCCTGCTACGAATACCGACGCGCCCTCCACTTGATTCACTACGCGCCCATCGAGACAACAAGCGACACCACCCGTCATGGCCTTCTTGAAACGGCTGTCTGACAGCCTCTGGGACTATGTCTCACCGCAGAAGCCGGTGAACACGACAATGCCGACACCAGGCACCGACATCCCCGCGACGCCCACCAGAAAGTTCTCACCAGGCGATGTGGCCAAGTTTTCCAGATCAATGAGCCCTATCGAAAGGGTTAGCGAGTGGCAATTTAATGCACCCACCACTCCTCGAAGCACGAAGAGGAAGCGTCTGCACACGCCCGAATATGGCTCAGGGCGCCGTATAAAGCAGCCCAAGATCGAATTGGAGGATACGGACTACTCGCCTGAGAGCGATGAAAGAGGACGTCTTGGCTCGCCGATGCATGAAGGTTTCGTAGAACGAAGTTCCCTCCTCAGAACTCCGTCACGGCGTTCTGCAACGAGGTCGCCATCTCCTTCTTTTGCGGAATACATTCGTGATGAGGACGAGCTGTCCGCAGATCTGCGTGTGGACGACGAGCAATTCAACGATACTCCTCCCAAGAAGAGGGTAATTCACATTCCAGCAGAGCTCAGTAGCAAGCACATCTCGACCAAAGAGCTGCGAGCCAAAGGATGGGACGACGACTACATTACCCTCATGCAGAGGATCGGACTGCGTGGCCGAGAGCCCATCCTCCCCGCATACATGAAGTTTGAGTACCGATTTTTGCCCGACGGACTGTTCCACAGCAGCGATGAAGAGGCGTTCATCAGCAGTCTGCGCAACGGTCACTTCAAAGCCGGCAAGGCACTCCAAAAATTGCTGGATCTTGGCGGCCACATCCGCGATCGCAAGGAAGTAGATCCACAGCATGGAAGGCCGGAGCTCGAGGTCAAACGCCACCTGAAAGAATACCTGAAGTGGGCACAGAACGACAGTGATCTCGACAGGCGAACCGCCATTCCAGTCCTGGTACAAGTCTACGCCGAAGCTGGCACTCCTGGCGAGGAGATGACAGCGATGGCCGAAGACAAGTGCCGTGCACTCATAAAGAAGTGGAAGACAGCACTTGAAGTCACTCGCTCAGTCGAAATGTCTCCCGTCTCTCGCACCTCGGACGGCACTTTGCTGTCCTACGAGATCCCAACGATCTACGCCATCCTCGCGTCAGATGCTATCGTGGCTACCATGGCATACACTGTCGACTCTGATCATTGCCAACCAATGGCGCTCTTCGACTACAACCTCAAGGATTACGATGTCTGGAACTCGCTTGCTCTAGCGCTACTCGTCTGTCATGTGCGCAATGTGCAGCTGCGCATCGCAGAGGACACCGACATTGGCATGAAGCAGCCCAACTCGAGCGAGAGTAGCTACAGCATGGACGAAGATGCTTGAACAGGTCTTGATGATCTTCAGCGCTTCCGGCGCACATTGCTTGACTCTGAGAGAACATGTGGGAGAAAGAGGAGGCTGAGATCGGGGACATCACACTCATTCACGCAACATTTTTTCGAGCGCACGCGCGCATTTCGTAAGATACCCTGCACTACTGAGATGATTACACGAGATTGTTTTATGCATATTGGAAGGAGGGTACTGAAATGCTCCACTGCATAGCTGTATATGGTCGCTGGAAGGTTGTTTGTAGTCACTAGATTCCCTGCTAACATAAATCGATTGCCACTTTGATCCACAGTGTCACTTCTCCTCTCGACGGGAGTGGACCTAATCAATCTACAACGACACATTTCACGCCCTACAAGTCTTCATTGACCCCCAAATGCTATACCGCGGTCGTTCCGGACAGTCAGAATATGCTGACATCAACAAAATGGCCGGGAAGGCGGGACGCACTCCGTCTTGGCCACCACTTCTCCACCTCCACCTCAAGTGAGATCTTGTGACCCAACATCCACTCGATCTCCATATATATATATTCAGTATACCAACAAAATAAATGGTTCACTCGAGGTCCAAGGCAGACCGAATCTTCGTAAGCACAATGCCTTCCGCTTCTAGTTTCCTCACAACCATTTTCTTGCTCCTACTTCTGAACATCCTTCCCACTACCGCCTCGACCTCCTCGGACCTCAAGAAGAAAGACACAACACCCAGCCCCTGGAACCGCCTCAACAACCCTCAAATAAGACACACCTCCCCTCCCACCGCAAGTCAAAAATCCTTCACAATCACCACCCCACCCGGCACCGACATCTGGCGTCCCGCTCCAGGCGCCGCAGCAGACAACTTCACAGCACCCTACGTCTACCGGATCTGCAAATCCTCCGACTTCATTCGCGCAGCCGTCACAGTCTCAGCCGACTGGCAAACACGGTACGATCAAGGCGGACTGGCGATTGTGTTTCCGAACAGCGGCAAGAAAGGCGCAGCAGCTGTCAAAGGGGCAAAATGGTTGAAGACAGGTCTTGAAGTGGAAAATGGAAAACCACAATTGGGTACCGTGGGAGCTTACGCTTTCTCGGACTGGAGTCTGAGTCCGGTCGTCCCTGCTGCGAAAGGACTAGGAAAATACGAGGCGCGGTTTGAGATTGAGAGGAATGGGAGTGAGTTTTCTTCTTTTTCTATTTTCTCTTCTTCGTTTCGAGCTTTCTTACTACGCATTGTTGTGATGAAGTTTTTGATGGGATTTGTTTTGAGTGAAAGTTGGTTTATTCGGATTTTGCGTTTGCTAACGGATTATTTTCGCGTGCGATCAGCGGATTTGTGGGTGTATAATGTTGTGAAGAATGATCGGTATCCGTTGAGGCAGGCTACTTGGGCGTTTTTGGAGGAGAGAGGAAAGAAGAATGCGGAGATTTTTGTGGGGGTTTATGCGGCGAAGCCGATCTTTACGGATGGGAAGCCGGATATGAATTTGACTGTTGAGTTTAAGAATTTGAGGATTGAGTGTTGAGGAGAGGTGTTCTGCATGATACTGGCGAGTCAATTTGACTCTGCTGGCCGCCATGATGGCGAATACAAAAGTTGCAACACGGCTGAATAACACTAGACCTCAGGTTGAAGACGAGACAACGATGATTGAAATAGATCACGAACCAAAAATCAAATACTGCGAACAGCTGAACGAGAGCTACCTATAGAATAACAATACACATTCTGGAAGCTGTCAACCACTATTCCATTCTTAGTCTAACATGTCTCCCCCTCCTCTACCACTCAGATCCTTAACAGATCACTCCACATCATCCTCATGAAACACCAGCGCCCTAACCTCAATACTGTCCCTCCCCTCCTCATTCTCCGCGCCCGGGATCTCAAAAGCCGAATGCGGGACTCTCTTTGCCCGGTCCTTATACTTCGCATCACTTTCCACACCAGCCTTATTATCAAAGCACTTGATCAAGAGTGCTTCCGCTGGAGTTTGATGATGCTTGTAGAACCATCTTTGGTTCTCATTATGTCTGACGGCCAAGGTCTCGCCTTTTCGGACTTCGTAGATGAGGCCGATGGGGACAAGGTCCGATTCGACGACGGTTTGGGCTTGGGCGACTGTGAGGGGATCGCGGCGGACAGTTTTGATGGGGCGCCTGGGAGGATGTTAGTATTGACGGGTCTGATGTTGCAGGTCGGTTTGGAATGAAGAGAGACTCACCATACGTTGATTAATTGCACGCGACCCTTCAACAATTTATCTGCCTCATCTGGAAGATGGAATGGCACGCGAGAAAGAGCAGCGGCATACGATTGATCGATGTGGACTCGACGAACAGGTCCACGAAGAGCAGCCTTGTGTTTGGCAGCGACAGCTTCCGCATCTTCTGTCGACTCTTTGTCTTTGTCAGCAGAAGCGGTGCGGGTATCTTGCACGGCTCGACGAATCGTGTGATCGAAGATGAATGTTCGTGAAGCTCCAGTGCTGCCACTCATTAGTACACGCGGATCATGTTTGCTGCTGGTTTAAGCTTACACGTCTTTCAACAACTGATCAACTTCCTTATAATAGCGATCTTTGATCTGATCATCATCGAGGAAGTCCTTCTCAACGCTGACGCTCGGCACGAATTGGAAGCCATGGCTGTCCAGTGTGTATTTATCTTCGTCGCCAGTAACATCGTGGATCGTCACGTCTTGTGTGTTGACCGGTCGCTCATAAGTCTCTGGCTTGCCAACATATGTTGGAGCTGGCGGCGATCCATCATCGTTGTCCTTATAGAAGTTCAATGTAGTCTGGACGTCATGCTTCTCAATCTTCTTGTGTTCAGTGGCGATGATTGGAGCAGATTCCGTTTGGCGGTACTCGTTGCCGAACGATTGGTGAACCGGGTGTTGGACTGCTGCAGTAGCCATGATAGTAGCGATGAAGTGTTGTTGACAGAACAGATATTGAGACACGCAGGCCCCAAAATCGCAAAGCACGACTGCGTATCTTTATACAGTGCAAGTATGGTTGTACCTAATGATTCGCAATGTCAAGGAACATATGTCAGCCACCAGAGCTCTGCAAGTACGCAATAGGGTATAGCTATGTGACGATGGTGATTGCCAATGCAACCAGCCAATCGATGCATCTCGTCAAACGGAGTCCAGTTCCTTGTCCTTTTATTGCTTACCAGCGGGGCCTCCACGCGTTACGCGCATTCGACAAATGGAGCTGGAATATGCACCATCTGCACATAATCTGGGGTGGCTGCCTATTGTGCATGCAGATCCCAGAGCTTGATTAGAAATGAGCTACGCGTAACACGTGAGATGCGAGGAACACGCTCTCGAGTACTGCAATTGTAGCAAACGACGAAGATACGGCATTGAAGAGATCACTCATACCGTTGCACTGATGCCGAGGCAGAACAGGATTGATCGTGTTCACCCTGGTGTTACTCCTCAACGCCCCGCTGCCATTCCAAGGCGGAGGGGCATCACTCTACGAGTCTCCTGATACCCCGAGAACCCATGCTTTGAAGGATGGCCGCAGCACACTGCCACCGGCTCCGAGCAGTGGCATGCCGGCTCTCGTTAACATGCTGCCAGCATTATGGCAAGGTCGCACGAGCTTGCACAATCACTTCTGCCTCTAGCTGTATAGTCGTGAAGGCCAATGCTGTCTGCCTGAACTCAGATCGCAACGTGAGCAATAGTTGTGATTGTCGTCCCATCATCCAAACTCTCTGTCCTGTCTTCAAGCTTGTAGCCTCTCCATCTGGGCACCACTTCAGCGAACAAGTACCAGTATAGCGTACCAAACACCAGTATTGCGATGCCAACAAGAGCGTATGCTGCGCTTCCAATCAAGCCCTTTTCTCGTTGCTTCTCGCTAGGAAAGAAGGGCGCTGCTAGGAGTGCAAGCGCAATGGCCATTCTTATAAGCACCCCAGGGACCCAAGCCTTGTAAGGTCGATGAATGTCGGGCCTCCGTAGACGAAGCCATAAAAGTCCAAAGGCTGTCGCAAAGGCGATAATCTGCCCTGGATATCCTTCAACTTCCAGGATGAAGGAGTAGACATCCCCTGTCGGAATCGTGAGGACAGAAATGGACGGAACATAGTTTATGATCAGGCCACCAAGTGGTGAGCCAAATGGCGCGTTTGAAGAGAGCATCCGTGACCATGGCATCAAGCCAGTTCTTGCGATTTCCTGATTCAGCCGAGAGTGGGCAAATGTTACTACCATAACGTTGCCCACAGCGCTCAATGCTACCATGAGTGGTAGAATGCGTCTTCCCACTGCGGTGCCGAAGACTCTCTCGAAATAAATTGCTGCGATCAGTTCACCGCTGCCTCTGATTTCGTCCAATGGAACAACCATGAAATATGCCACATTGACTAGCAAGTACATGCCGCAAGCGGTTGCCAGTGCAGTAAACGCTACTGATCTCAAGGTGCGGACCGGATCTTTCACTTCATTGAGCACATTGTTGACGTTGTTCAATCCAGCAAAGGAGTAGAAAACCTTGAGGATCGAGGTTGCAATTGCGCCCCACGACCAAATGCTGCCTTGCCATAGGCCAGCCCAAGTCCAGTCGAGATCTTCAGTCTTTGCGAATGTTGCCGGCACATTGCTGGGGAGCTGTTCTTCGCGTTTGAAAAGGACGACAAATAGGCCGCTCAAGATCATGAAGACGATCAGACCAATCTTGATCCAACCAAGAAAGTTCTGAATGCGAATGCCAGCCTTCATGAAGACTGCATGTACTACAGTGACCCATGTTATCAGACCGACTGCGAGCGTTTGCTTGATGGAATCCGTTCCTTCCACGCCCAATGCGAAGAGCGTGTACTGTGCAAAGACTATGCAGTTGCTTGCTGTGAAGCCCAGAAGAATAGCTTGTGTGGCAATGAGGACCGTGACCAGGTACTTGGGTTTTCTGTACGTGAATTCGAGGTAAACCTTCTCGCCACCACTCCGGGGCAACATACAGCCGTATTCCAGAGACACGGCAAGGCCGAAATACGCCAGCACAGCGCCGACAATCCATAGTGTCAAGCTGAGCCCTGTAGAGCCGACTGAAGCGAAGATCACTCCCGGAGTGGCAAATATACCAGACCCGAGCACACGACTGATAGTCAGAATATAAGCGCTGCTCCAAGTCAAGTTTCGTCCCAACGCGCTCGTCTCCGGGAGCACATCTGCTTCGAGATTCGAGGGTGCCGGCTTTGGCTCGTACGCAGATGGTTCATGATGCTCAAGGTCCGAGACAGATGCATAGCTCTTGGTGTCACTTCCTGAAGCGGGCGAAAGAAGTGGCGACGCGTCGTTTGTGGTGTCTGCGGCCGGCGTAGACATGGCTATGGTATAGAGATGGAATAGGAAGTAGCACGCTACATCTTCCTGCAGCAGAATGAGTAGTCAATAGAGCTCGCAAGCAATTGTCAGCAGGCAGCAAGGTCAGATTGCTCAAAGTTGTGCTGGATCACCTCATGGTGTTTCGTGAGCGTTGGTGTCAAACCGCTTGTGCACTCCCCTGTGCCTACATATTCCATCGCGCCGGATCGCATACCGGCGCAGCCGCCAACTCTGTTGCTGCATTAGGACGTGATTCGCTGTGTGGTTGATATGGATGGTCGCCACCCGGTATGGCGCCATTCAAGGGCCCTTTGACGAACGCGACTCCTGCGACGCGTTCTGTTGTACAAAACCCGTCACGCTGCCCCTCGCTGGTCTGGTGAGGTTCGGTCGTCGCGCTATCACCGCGGCAGTCGGGGAGTCCGCCCCGTCCGCCGCCCCAGCATTTTCAAAGTCCGCTGCCGTCGGGTGATGCTTGTTGTTGCGAAGGTGTTGCAAGCTCGGCTCGGCTGGGACAGCAAGCTGCAGTCTCACGACGGCTGACCACCTTCCTAGACACTGTCTTGCAAGCGCAGGCCACCACGAACGAGTAGAACCAGGGCACAGCTGCTTCACTTGCCGGCTGGGCATCTCTCATCCATCACCGCCTCTCCACCTTCACGAACTTACCACAACCATCTCTCCACCACAATGTAACCCAACGCCGCCAAGACACTCTGCTTATAGCAGCACGTCTTCGGAACCTCCCCCGTGCACTCGTACGAATCGTATCGAGCGCTGGCAAGTGACGCAATGCCTGCCGATCGGCAACGTAGCGCCGCGCGCGACCCGAGCCAGAGGCCAAAAATACACCTTCGATACAACTTCAGTCTGCTAGCGACTTCGTATTGCCACGACACTTCTGACACGACGTGAGTCGTGAGCTGTGGGTAAGACATCATAGAGCAGAGTTACGAGCAGAGCATGATCACATATATACGAAGAATCCCTCGCTCGCTAAGGTAGGTCATCATCCCGCAACAAGCATACCAATCCACCAGACAAATCTCCAATCAAGACTTCAATACATCTCCACCACAACACTATCCATCCCAAAACCAACAAAATGTACTACTCTACTATCCTCGCCGCCTCTCTGGCCTCTATCGCAGCAGCAGCACCAGCCAAGCGCGAGTCCTACGCCGCCGACCTCCCAGGCACCTTCGAAATCTCCAACTTCGTCTTCGGCTGCACAGTCGGCTGCAACTACAACTTCGACCTCACCGTCTCGGGCTCCGCCGAAAACCACCCAGCCGTTGCGCCAACATACGTCAAGTGCTCCGGCGACCTGGAGAGCACCGACTACGTCCAATGCGGCGATGTCAGCGAAACTCAGCGACTCTACGCATACATCGAGAAGGACACCAACGAGCTGCACCTCCAATACGAGGTCCAGAACTACAACACTGGAGCGATTTACCGATACTACGGCGAGGAGATTGTCTACGCGGCCACGAGCGAGGATGCTGATAAGCAGGAGGAGTGCTTTGAGGTTAAGGAGAACCGTGCTACCGGTGTCCTTTAAATGATTAATGCAGGAGAAACTCAGCATCATGATGATTAACGAAGGCATTTTTTTGCATAATGTAACCGAATAGACAAAGTCAACAGCATTGAGATGCACTGTACGCTGGGATGGTACAGCATAACCCATCAATCAAATCATATTGTCTACCACGATCCACCACTACACTTTGTCACATTTCCATTTCTACTCTACCTCACAAAAACATCGCCTCCCCAATCCTTCCTGTCTTGCTCATAGAATCCCACAATCTCCTTTGCAATGTTTTCCGGGTTGCGAGTTGGCTCTTCAGGACTGACCACGCCACAGACTTTGATCACTCCAATGTGGACTTGCTCGCCAAACGCCTTTCTCAGAGAGTGAACGACGTTTTGCTGACAAGCCTTGACAGCCGAGAGCGAAAGCAAGTACGGCTCAGGCTCTTCTGGCAAGTGGCTTGAGGTAACAATCAGAGAAGGTGGGTGAGATGCATCAGCTCCGTTATGTTTCTGGAGTACAGGGATGCACCACTGTGCTGTGATGTAGAAAGCACCGGTTGTGATCTGAAAACAGGCGTCAGTCGGAGACCGTGTACTTTGAGCTTTTGCGGTTCGTGATGAAGACTTACGTGGAAATCTTCGATAAGCTCTTCAACCGGAGCTTTGAGAGGTTCGCTTTGACTGATCCTTGCGGCGTTGAAGAAGACGGTTGACACCTCGCCTAGCTGTTTGATTGAAGCGAACGCTTCTCGAAGCTGGTCGAAATTGGCGAGGTCGACTGAGATTGTTGTGACTTGTACCTCCTTTCCAGCCTGAACGTTGGTCGATATTAGCAAATGTTCATGCTATGATGTGTTAAGTGACAAACCTCTTTCGCAACATCTTCCACTTCACGTTTCTCCTTCTCCAAGCGCTCAGAATTTCGCGACAGCAGAACAATTTTGCTGAAATGCTTCTTTGCGAAGTGTTTGGCAGTGGTGAGGCCGATGCCTGGGCCACTTCCGAGTACAACGAGGATGGGTGCCATTGCTGGGAGACGTTCCGGGAAGTGATGTGAGTGAGGAGTAAGATGGTTTGGACTACTTGGATGGGAGCGGAATCCATGCATTATATAGCCTTCCATGTACTGGCAACTTCCACCAGCTGACATGAGAGACGACCTGGTGCACTCAAACTGGTACGGAGCCATGCTTCCTAAGCTGAATCCATGGCCTCGATACGTTTCCTAATCTGGAAAGAGATGGATCGACAGGGATGTGTGTGTATAGGAAGCCATGGCATTGACATTCGTCCGCGGTGAAGCTCCGTCCGGTGGATGCGACATTAGTCAGTATCGCCTTAGTCAAATGAAGTCCTCATGCCTCCGCGGTTACTGGATGACGTTGTAATCAGATAGGATTTTCAAGTGCTCAGAGAAATGGTGGAGCTCGCTGTCGCTGGTTCAGAGCCATAGCAAGCAAGAAAGCACCGACTTACGCTTCGAGGTGGGGCCTCAGCGACGATGGTTTTCGCGCCGTGCGCCTGCGCTGTCAGCCAATATATCAAGGCACGAGCGTATTACATCTCAGCTACGCATTACGCCAATCACTTGTGTCGTGCAATGTGAGATTGCTACGTGTGTGCGTAAGATATACGTAGCCTCGCCAGACCTCACCTGGATACATGTATTATGGAGATGGCCAGATGACGGCGCAGCGTCTGTTTGCAAAATGCTTACGAATGCTTATGTCTATCAAGCAATGTCATATCAAGAGCTTGTACTGTATGTTGAATATGATCTCGTTGCGAACGGGAGCGGCTGTGTAGGTGTTGCGTGGTAAGGCTTTTCCAAAAGCGCGTGCGTGTGCGATTGATGCTGGCAACGTGTGTAGAGTGTCGGATTTTTGTTTCTAGATGGCCGGCAAGAACAAGTCAGATGGAGTGGTTCGCTGACTCTGCAGATGAAAACCTGCGTTGCATGGATGACAGCTGAGGTCGGTCTGGCTTCACGGGAAGATGGCACTGTGGCAGTGGCAGTTCCCAGTGATCGTGCCAGATATCGTAGCTGAGGTGCCATAAGTCGAGACTGATCCAGCGTCTCTCCTTCCCGTCCAACTTCGTTGCTTCCTAGTCGCAGACGCCATCAATCGTCTGTTCGAGCACCCCCTTTGAGCGCGTCCGCACCATGTGACCAGCAAAATTAGCACACTCTCACACTTCAGAAGCAGTGCGCCGGCCTCCGCAGCTCTTGCGCAAGATGAAATCCACGAGAACCGGGAGACGTCCTTGTTCACGGTCTCGACCTCACGCCTTCGGAACACGAATCTTGCAGCGAATTGTTCTTGTCAAGTGGGATGATGAGCAGGCCAGCACGATCTCCACAAGACTGTTCTCGAAGTTCGCCAAAGATGAGCACTAGATGAGAACTCTGTCAGCTTCATCACGCCTGTAGTTCATTGCGGTTCTGGCCCAGCAATTCTGCGCGACAAAATGAAGAAGAAGATATCACGTCTTGATGATGACGACGTATCTCACCTAGGATGTAATTCCGATAACTTCTGGCGAAGCATGAAGGTGGACTATCGGAATGCTACGTTCACCGCAGTTGAGCCTCGATTGACTTGAGTCGGCCAGGCGGAGACTTCATACGAATGACTCGATGGACCAGCTGCTGCGACTGGTTGTATTCTCTTTGCCATGTTCGTCCGAGACTCGGGAGGCGGCCAGATAGATTCCGCCAAAGCGACATCAGCGAGTACACCGAACGTACATGATCCACCCCTCCCACTGCAGCGGCAGTAGTCTGCGGTTGGTCCATACATGCACAGCATGCACTTACTGTCGGCACGATTGCGGCATCCTTGCGGACTGGTCCACCATCCACCTGCTCGTGAACGTCTTCTTTGAGCTCGGCGGAGCGGAGGTTAGGGCTCCAGCGTCCTGCGACAGGTTTTCAGCGGCTCCGCAGGACTTGCACTTCGTCTATGCCGCCCACATACCCGGGTGTTCACTGCCACGTGCCAGTCCTCAGGCCCCTGCCGCACATGTAATGGCTGTCGACGTGGAGTGGCTCCTAAAGCACTCGCATGCGGCTTAAAAGCATCGTGTGCATTGTGGCGCTCGTTGGTCGCTCAAGCCCCCAAGAGAATCATCTTGTGGCGTGAGCTAACATCGGTCCTTCTTGCTGTAACTATCGATCTGACGGTGATCGTGGTTGCCGGAATGTGCTACTATGGACTTGAACTGGCCATCTGTCTGTCTTCAACAAGCAATGTGGTTGCCATGAGTAGGGCATTTGTTGGCACACTTGTACAGCTTTGACTGCCTGTATCGTCTTTTGGGAAGGTTGAAGCATGCTTATTGAGAAGTCCCGTCAGCGTGGCGGGTTGCCGGTTGCAGGGCATTGTCACGACGAATCCTGACAAGCAGCGAATCAAAATGCAAGATTTCCGATTTGCTCACGCACGTTTATCTGCCCTTGGGCCGGGGTCTATGGCGAGATCTGTTTCTTTTGCGACCATGGGATACTGCTTTAGTATTGGTTGACCCCAAAAACGACCCCAGATCCCCGCGTCAAGCCGCCAATCATTGCCGCAAACGCGTGCTCTAATGACGACGGCGCTCATGTTTTTGTGGGGTCTCATGTGCCTACATCCGCCTGACCTTCCATCAATAGCAGATTGTTGTCCATGGACCCGTCCGAGACACGTCTCGATGCACCTTCTAGCCGCTGGACCAACCCCTCCGAGGGCGGCAATGGAAGCCCCGCCGAGGAGTATATGATCATGGACATCCGTCGTGTAGGTGGTGAGGTATTTTCTTTGCCATTGCAATCATTAAGCGAAAATCTGCTACCCCTCATAGCCTTTCGATCAGAACTAAGCAATCGCCGTACAAGATGGGTTCAATTCCAGAGGAGAAGATTCCATACGTGGACGTTCTGCTCGTTGGAGCTGGATTTGCTTCTTTCACGCTCTTGAACAGACTACGAAAGCTTGGTCTTTCTGTTGAGATTTACGAGAAGGGTGCAGCGAGTGGTGGCATCTGGTGTAAGCTTGGGATCTGTCTGTACGCCTCTACTACGGTACTTACTAGCGAACAGATTGGAATTGCTATCCTGGCGCTCGCGTCGACTCAGATACACCGATCTATCAACTCTTCGACAAAGAGCTTTGGGAGGACTTCACATACAAGGAGCGCTATCCCGCGTGGCCTGAGCTGCGGAGATATTTCCAACATGTTGAGAAGAAGTGGAAGATCAGCGAGCATACAACATACAACAAGCAAGTAGACACTGCTACCTTCGACGAGAAGACGAATCTATGGACGATCGAGACAGCAGACGAGACTAAAATCCAGGCACGATGGTTTATGCCTTGCATCGGCTTTGCGTCTAAGCACTACTCGCCACCTTTCCCCGGACTCAGTAACTTCAAGGGAGAGGTCTACCACACTGCGAAGTGGCCACAGCATGGTGTGAACTTCCGCGGCAAGCGAGTCGCCGTTGTCGGTACTGGTGCATCAGGAATTCAAACTATTCAGGAACTCAGTCCGAAAGTTAAAGAAATGACTGCTTACATTCGCACGCCCAACTTGGCCCTCCCCATGAATCAGAGGACGCTTGATCCAGAGGAAGAGCAGCGGAAGAAGGACGATGGCACATACGAGAAGGCCATCAATGACACACGCAAGACATTCTCAGGCTTCACATACGACTTCGTCGACAAGAAGACCTTTGACGACTCACCCGAGGACCGCGAGAAATTCTACCACAAGCTCTTGGTCGAGGAAGGTGGCTTCAAGTACTGGCTGGCCAACTACTCCGATTTGCTCTTTGATGACAAAGCCAATGACGAAGCCTACAACTTCTGGCGTCAGACTGTTTTGAAGCGTGTCAAGGACCCAGAGAAGCAAAAGATTCTTGCACCCGAGAAGAAGCCTCATCCATGGGGCACCAAGCGTCCATCGCTCGAGCAGAACTTCTACGAAGTCGTTGACGAGCCTCACGTCGAGATCATCGATATCAACGAGAACCCAATCGAGGGTGTTGAAGCCGAAGGGTTGAGAACACCGAAGGGTCTCAAGCCTATTGATGTCTTGATCCTCGCCACCGGCTTCGATTCTGTGACTGGATCCCTCGCACAGCTGAATATCCGCAGTGTCAACGATGAGACTATCGCAGATCACTGGAAGGATGGCACGAAGACATCGATGGGAATTTCTATTCCTGGCTTCCCGAATATGTTCTTCCTTTACGGCCCACAGGCCCCAACTGCTTTCTCCAATGGACCCAGCTGCACGCAGTTCCAAGCTGAGTTTGTCGAAGAGGCCATGAAGAGAATTCAAAAGGACGGTATCACCAGGTTTGAGGCTACACCTGAGGCTGAGGCGGATTGGTGTAAGAGGATGTAAGTCTACCCTTTCCCTATTCATTTCACAAATACTGCTTCTGTAGCGGAGGAGAAGAGACAATGCTAATATATATGTGCTCCACAGGAACGAGAAATGGGACGTCACCCTCTTCCCGATGGCCAAGTCGTGGTACTCTGGCGCCAACATTCCCGGCAAGAAGGTCGAGCCACTTAACTGGGCAGGCGGCATGGTCGAGTATGTCGACTCGTTGCACAAGAGCTTGGAGAATGATTATCAGGGCTGGAATGTTCAGAAGGAGCCTGCGAAGGCATAGATTGCTGGCGACAGCGTGAGATGATTTGAACGATATTTCTTCTGTTTTATGAGCTATGAATTTTGTGTTCTTCTGCAAGATTGTACAGTTCTCGTTCTTTCTGAGCTACGCCATTTATATGTTGTATTGTGGTGTGTTTAGACACATACAAAGTAGATTGACAATTTCACATTGAACTCACACTCTTTACTTTGTCCCTCTTCGGACCCCTTTCCTCGCGCAACTCATCGCCGTCAACACCCTGATTTCCGCTCCACATATCTTCTTTTCCTTTCCTGCCTCATCTCATCTACTTCTTCCCTTTAACGCCTTCTCATCGTTCGGAGAAATCCTCTCATCCATTCAACGAGCATGCTGCTTACACACTCTTCCTCCTCCCTGCTGGCACTTGTACATCATGCCGTACTCGGTGTGTCCGTTGTAAGAGCATTGGAAAGCATGTCCGGGGAAGAAGACGCTGTAGTCGCGACGAGAGCCGGAAGGGCAGTTTTTGCACATTTTGGGTGTTTGGTGATGATGTGGGAGTTTGTTTTGGACTAGAGGGAGGATTTAAGATGTCAGTATATGGGACTCTTGGATATGGAGGGGAAAATCCAGAGTCAGGCACGTACTAGGGTTTTTGTAGAAGAGCGCCGACATTGAGTTGTTGGGTTGAGAAGTGCTTCGTAGCGTTGCGGTGGCCAGTGGGATTTTCTTGGTGAAAAGTTGCTGTGGTGTGAAAGTGTGATTATCTGTCGGAGAACCTTACAGAGCGCGGAACGCTGGCACTTTGTATCTGCTCTTCACTGGACTGTGTAGAAACACCTCTTTCGAAGCGCGTGACTGTCTGAGACTGAGGTGAATGGCTGTGGCATAGATCAGGGAGAGATTTGAGACTTCTCTGCAGTGTGCAGTGCCATCTGAAATATTCGACAAGGCCGTTCCGATGCAGAGGTTCTTGTGATTTACATATATACAAGACATCATCTCGTCAAATCTCGCTTCAGCACATTCAGAATGCTATTCGCATCCATAGTCGGAGCGTTCCTCGCCGCCCTCTCAGCTCTTGAGACATGCTCGAAGACACCCTTCTTCTCGGCCTTCGCTATCGCGTCTCTCAACTCCTGCCGCTCGCTCTTTTGAAGCTTGAGATATGACTCTTCTAGTAGGTACTCTTTCGGCAATGAATCCGGGGCGTACGGTAGGATGTAGATCGTAGGGAACTCCATCACAGTGCGATCTTGGAGGCAGCTTGTGAGTGTTGCCTTTCTGCTGAGTGGGATGAGAACCTTTTGTTTGGCGTTCGTGCCTGTGCGTAGGAGATAGAAATGTTGAGAAACATCGGTGCCCTCTTCTTGGTGATCTGGCCCTTCCTCGTTGCTGTTCGGCGCGGTTTGCGAGATTTGGGTGGCTGCGAGCTCTGTCTCGGCTGAGTCTGAGTTGGCATGCACGTCAGATGAAGGGTCCTCGACCTTTGCATCAGCTTCTGTGGCTACTGTCGTTGAAGCATCCTGGTCCGATTTCTCCTGTTGAAGTTGTGATTCAGCCTGTCGTTCCTTGCGCCTACGCTTCTGAGCTTCTTTGGCATGTTCTCCAGGTTTTCGCTTCAGAGCATTGCCGTCCTCAAGCTGCTTGTGAGAGTAGAGCTCTTTTATGCTGCTGCTGGCTGGACAGCTGTCTGAGATCTGCTTTTGACCTTCGGCATCCACCCATTCTACTGTCCACATGATCTGATGCCGCCTGTGGTGGGTGTGAGCAAATGAAGAGTTGAGCATTCCGAAAAGGGACATACTTTGTGGACCGCGTCTGGTTGGCCTTCCGCCGACTCATGCCTTCTGGTGCATTTTGGACCTCGATGCGGTTTTCATCGAGATACTTGCTTAGATTGCTCTCGGGATGCCGCGCACGTGCTATCGATCTTGTGGCAGCCCTCTCCACCACATCCACGCCACGGACCTCGGAGTCACGATTTGCAACATCGATACTTCGCTCGACACTCTTAAGGTAATTGTAATCGCGATCGATGCCGACTGGAGTGGCTAATTGTGACCTCTTGATGTACTCGGCTGGATTTCTCACGCCATTACAGGAAGCTCGTTGCTTGTGCTTCTGCGTGCACGGTAGAGAGCACGTCTTGGTCTGACATCTCGGACATCGATACTTTGGCTTGTTCTCATAGCTGGATTCGTTAGTGACAGCAGACGAGGAGATCTCACGTGACGATTTCAGATCTTGAGCCAGGTCGATGCTGCTGCATCTCCTCCTGCTCAGCTGGTAATGACAGTCTTGCCTGAGGCTCGCCGCTCTGGACTCCTCGGCGGGAGAGATCACGTGTGAGGCAAAGTGTGAATGAATCGTGCAAGGATGAAGATGTGAAAATGTGGCCTACCAAATGCTGCACAAATCCGTGATGAGCGCCTCGTCGGGCATCGTTGGTGGCAATGGGAGCGAAGTGCAGCTCTCTTGTACACAATACACCGAGGCCGCTCGCAGATCTAGAGGCCTAGCGGGAGCTTGACTCGTACGGTGTGGATGGCGTGAAGGTCATGCCGATGGGCAGAATGCCGAGTCGGTCGCGTGCCGGATGATCGGGAGGCACGAAAGACAGCGCTGCCGAGTGCTGGACCTGCAGGCCGTGGCAGGTTGGTATGCGCGTGCTGGGTGGTGGGAAGCGTGTAGGGAAAGAACTGCAGTGGCGAGCAGATTGAGGTTTCAGAATTTGGCTTCGGGCAAGGGTTCTGCCGCTACCGCTTCTGGCGCAGCTGGTACCTGATCTGCTCTCTCGCTCCCGCAGTTGCGACAAGCTCCCAGAACGGTCAAGATCAGCGCAATTCGAGGTGTCGCTGAGTCGTATTCCCCCCGAAGCGAATGCCCAATTTGTGCGGCTGGCTGATGAAGCGGGCAGTGTGGCGGTCGTGGAGCAGCTCCTGCGACGTGTGACACGCAGCAGCACAGGAGAGTCGGCACTATCGAATGGTCATCACCAGCAGGACGTCCGGCACGGCGCAGGAAGAGTGTGGAAGGGCTTCCAGAACGGGCACTGCTCGGGCCACTTGCTGTTTCGTTGGCCGCCGCACGTGGGCAGCGCAACAAGTGTGAAACGCAGTCTCACCAGCCGCGAGTGAGAGTGAGCAGACTTGCTGCCCGCCGACTTCACGTGTGCTCACGTTGCGCTAGACTTCTCTGTTGCGAGGCCGGAGTACAGCAGATACAGCGACACGGCATTGTGTGCTGACAATGTGGCACTGGACGTCGCCCGGTGCTGCGGTGCTCTTGTGCTGCTCTCTCGCTCAGCGCGGAGGTGCGAGGCAGGCTCCGGCGGTCCAAGAGACCCCCTGCATGAAGAGCGAGGGTTGGGTGGTATGCTTTATGAATCGCAATATGCATATCGCCACGCGATCGTGCCCTCCTCGCTCGCAACGCCGCCCTGCTCGTCGCACAGCGCCAGCCAGGTTGTAGCACCAGCAGTGTGTACTGCGAACGTCGTCGACATGGCCATGTGTGCCACGCTGATGCCAGTTCAGACGCCCCTCGCCCAATTTCGCCGTGGTCGTTTATCGTCATCAAACTACTGAAAGACCGGCGGGCACAGGTCCAGCGCACCCCCGAATGCTTGTTGCCGCCGTGCACCAATCGGCTGCCGCCTGTCCCTGTCACACGGTCGTGTCGCGGCGTGTGGGAATCTTTCTCTCACACACGCTAAGGCCTGATTGTGCATTGTGCAGCGCACTAGCGACCGAAGGACAAGGTTCGCGTGTCTGGATCAGCAGAGCGTCCGAGCATTTGTGAGCTGCTGCTCGCCCGTTCCATCTCTCATCTCTATACCTTGAGCTATCGGCTGTCAGCGTTCCATCCTCCACCTCCGCCCTCACGCATGCCGTGCCACGTCTGACCGTTGAGTGCCAGCCAGCACTGCACGCCGCGGAGTGGCCAGCAACACCGCAACCCGAGCGACGACGGGATTCCCAAGCTCCCTCCTTCCTGGCGCCATTGAGCGATCGCGCTGGGGAACAACCGGCAACCAACGCACTGCAGGATAAGCTCAGCGTCGGCTCTTCGCTAGATTAATCGACTATCATGGCACCTTCCTTCACCACAAATGCCTTGCCACGCTCTCGCTCTGGAGAATCTGCTCGACCACCCACCCGCGACGACGGCAACCTGGAGGTCCCCAACCGCACCTCGTCGCTGCACTCGCGCATCGCCGCCCCCATTCCGAGCCAGATGCCGCAACAGAAGACGGGCAACCGGGCGCCCAAGACTCTCACGCATGCCTACATGGTATGCGGTGTTGGCCGCGAGCCTTCACAATGGGTGAAGGCTCCGACGCCAGCACAAGGAAAAATCGGGCACATGAAGGGTGCCGTTGGCCAGTTCTGGCTGCCCGAAATCCTCGGAAGCAGCCCCCGACTGGAGCAGGACAACGAAATTGCAAGGTCGCTGCATTCTGCGATGCGGGTAAGTTTCACGGATTCTCGCTCACTTCAGAGTTGGCTCCATTTCCGGTTTGTTGCAAAACTGACAGGGTACAGGCGTGCTTTCCCCACGACGTAGAAATCTGCACCGGACCAAGCCAACCACACTGCGTTCACCACGCCTTCGTGTTGCAGCAAGACTCATCGCACACCCTCTATGGCATCGCACTCCGAGTGTGGTCGCGCGCTGACGAAAAGCGTGCCGAGACGATTCGCGATTTGCGCAAGCGTACGGAACCCGACTACTATGACACGCCAGGTGAAACATATTGGATCCCATACTGCCTGTCATTCCTGTCAAGGTATCCACTGTACAATCTGCTGGGAGACTACCTTCGTGGCATGTGGATCCATTGGAACAAGGCGACGAACCTGTTCCACGCCGAGGAGGTCTCCCGCATCCTGAGCTTTCCAGCTCCACGCCTGAACGATCTGGTGCGCATTGACATGAAGGACTATGCATTATGCTACCAGTTCCCATCCTCGCCGACCGGCTTCCAGAACTTTGCCATGTGGCCGCTCTTCAGCTGTCTCTCCATCCCGAACATCGTTGGAGTTCTCGAGGCAGCCGTGTCACCCACTCGCCGGATCATCTTTATCTCCCACTACCCAGCAATGCTGACGGTTGCCACCGAGACTGTCCGCTTCATGGTCCGAGTGTACGAATGGAGTGGTCTCTATGTCCCAGTCTGTCATGCCCGTCATGCGAAAGAGCTTGTCCAAGAGCCTGGACCATACATCCTGGGAATGACTGCAGAATGCCGGACACTTTTCACAGCTCCATCTGACGCTCTGGTCGTCGATCTCGACCGAAATTTCGTGCTAACCTCGAGCCCGCCAAATGCATGGTCGGCAAGGCAACGATCGAAGCTCATCTCGCGGATGACCCAGGCACTGAGTGGCGATGTTGTCCCATCGGGCGTGCCGCAGCACCTCCGATCAGCATACGGAGGTGGAAAGCTCATTCCAGCTGGCCAAATCATTGTTATGCGAGGCGAGGTGGAGAGCGTGCAAGACCCAGGTTGGTGGAACCAGGACGAGGTCATGAAAGTCATGGACCACGCCTGCGAGAAGCTGGGCAAGAACACAGGCTTCAAATCTGTCTTCGGAGGAGCTCAGAAGAAGCCGCTGATGACCAAGGTGTCGATGAGACACCTGAACGAGATCGTGCGCGAGCGCAATCAATACTCGCGTGACGCTATGGAGGCATGGCAGGACTTCATCAACCTCAAGGGCCGCATGGACACCGAGCTTGCCAAGGTGACGAAACGCAACAATTTCCTGGTCGAGGAACTGGAAAGCTGGAAGCAGCAATTCCTCAAGTTCCAGGCTTTCGCAGAACAACTCACCAAGGAGACGAATGAGCTCAAGGTCAAGATTGAAGGCCACAAGCGCGAGAACCGCCGTTTGACGAGCATGATCGATCAGCAAAAGGACGACGTTGCCAGACTCACAGTGCGACTTTCCGGAACAGAGAAGCAACGAGACGACGCTCTGGAGGCTTTGGTTCTGCAACAAGAGATTGCAGAGGAACTGGAGCGGGAGCGCAAGAGGAACAAGAAGGACCTCTCTGCCCTTCAGCACACGAACACAACGCTTCTGCGTCAACGCGACGAGGCACAGCGTGTTGTACTACACCTCCGAGCACTCATTGATGGCCAGGCCCACCACATGGAACACATCGTCAAGTCGCTGGGCGACTCAGAACCAGTTGGCGAGTTTCTGGATGCCGAGGAAGACCGCGTCGAGTCTCCAGCAAAGGAAGATGCAAAGATCGAGAACGAACTAATCAAGCCCGGCACCAACTCGCGAGCCTCATCGCGGTCAAGTACGCGCATGTCGCACTCTCGCAATGATGGTGAGGAATACTCTTCCTCTAGGCAGGCTCGTTACTCGAGCATGTCTAAGAGACTCTCTACTTTCAGCATGGCTGATGTTGCAGATCGCCACCTCCGCGACAAGACCGACGCGATCGCCTACATCATTCGCAACATCTCCGAGCAGTGCGCCGCTGCTGTCGAAGGCCTCGACCTCGCTCGACGTGCAGACACCGCCAGCAGCGATGGCGGCGATGATGACAGGTCAGAATCTGGCAAGAAGAGAGGGAAGCGACCAGTCAAGCACCTATCCCCTGATTCCGAGAACGGAGATCACTCAAGTAATAACTCTGAGTCGGATTTCGGGGACAACAGGAGCGATGGCACTGCCAGCTACTTGCACCCCAAGAGGACATCTGGAACATCCTCGGCGGTACCGCCAACACCAGACCTCATTCACGACCGCAGCTCTACGAGCATGAGCGTGAACAGCGAAAGCACGGCTGCGACGCCGAACCGATCCAGCTTGCAGAGTGTGTACAGAAATCAGGCCGAGTCCATCCCAGAAGTGCCTACGCACATTGTAGGGCACGATGCCGAAAATGGACACCAGCTGGAAGAGATTGCGGAAGAGCCAGTGACCAAATTCGCAGGACGAGGCCTGGAGCACCGCCACAGCCACATCGAACGGGCGTGACTCTCTGGCGCAAAGCGACGTTCGTATGGAAGATTTCCAGTCCTCTCCATACGCACTAGCTTTGACCGCTCGAGTTTTGGTTGATCACCGAAAAGTCTGTCTCTGCCGACATGCGCTATCCCGCTACTGCTACGCTGCTACTGCTGGCCATGCTTTCGCCATGGTCTCATTATGGTCCTTTCTTCTTTCTGTTTGTGGAACCTTGAGATACTCCCTTTTGCATTTTTGTGCTGAATGTCACACTCTTTACGGCCGCGACTACTACTACTGAATACTGTGTACTGCCCGTCTTTTTCTATCTCGATGGGCTTTTCTGGGATCGAGAGGGAGGAATATGTGATAGCGGGAGTCAGATCTATCAATGTTGTAAGATATTCACCAGCAGTGTGATTTAGGTAGCTGTCTCGAAATGTACTCAAAACTGCTATTAGTGGTAATCAGAATTGGCTGTCTCGTCCGGTGCGCTTTCCCCATTTTCGCTGACATGGAGGAAGGCGCGTGTGGCTCTTGCCTCCTGTATACAGCAGCAGCAATACCACGCAGGCATCTACCTCCCGACCGATCGACTTCATTACAAGACTACAACCTCACCTACATTCGTTCCCATCCCTCACAACCCGCTTCCGTCCTTGCGATGGACTCGACCCTCAAATGCAACGACCTCAAATGCCGCATTCCTTGCCCCGAGCAAGCCGTCGTCACCACATGCAGTCACATCTTCTGCGTCAACTGTGCTGCGCGTCTGGGCCTCATTGAACAGCATCCGAACGAGGGACCGAGAACTTGTCCCGCTTGCTATACACAGCTTGTGAACCCTGACGATGCGGTCGTCACGGCGCTGAATCCATCGGAGGATTACAAGACGAGCATTCTGAGTGGGCTGAGCCCGGCGGTGATCATGGTGAGTGGAGTCATTGGGGGAGCAGCATGAGGTCGCGAGTGAGGCAAGAGCTGGGTGAGCTTGTGAAGATGTTGATGCAGGTGCAACAGGAGTGCGCGGGTCGGGGACTTGCGTTTTGGGCGTACCAGATGGTGCAGGATATGTGAGTCTTCTGTGTTGGAAGGAACATGTGTTGTGTGACATTCACTAATATCGTTCCAGCACGTATCAAGAATACGTTCGACGCAGCTTGACAGACAAGCACTCGGCCGCCGAAGCACATGCTGCGGAGATCGAGCGTGCTTTGAGGGAAGACAATGCTCGGCTCAACAACAAGATGAGTGGTGCGTGAATGCCTCACTCTACTCTTGACTTTCAGCTAATCCGCCACGAAGCCATGCGCGATGACAATGAACGACTGCACGCCCAGGTTGAACAACTGCAGCAGAGTGCAGCACAAAAAAGCAAGGACTATTCGAAAATGTCTGCACTCTACAACAAGATTAAACAACGCGAACGTGTTGTGGGACTCGAAAGTGCCGCCGACCATGGCGCCGAGGAGATCTTGATGCAGGCTGCCTCTCAGCATCAACAACAGCAGAACCGAGGTCCAGCTACTCAACATCCTGTCGGCCAGAGTCGTCAGCGAATGGGGAGCGGCAGTAATGGCAGCGGCGGCAGTGGTGAGCGACGACCGCGGGTGAAGTCCTGGCCTGAAGCCGCTCAGCCAAGCTACGCTCATCAATCTTTCGTCTCTGGACAACGTACTGGAGCAGGTGGAGGCTATCGCACAGGCTTCACTTCTTCTCGTAAGCTCATCGACTCGTGCAAGGCGGGCATAAACCACTGACCACACGTAGATGGCATGCCCCAGCCGCCAGGTTCTTCACAGCACCGTACACGGTTGCCACAGACGTACACCCAACCCACCTTCGGCCACTTCAACGAAACGCTTCTGCGTGGTGATGGAGTCAGAGACGATTATGCCACAGGCAACGAATCACGTCGTCTTGAATCCGCTCACCGATCACAATACACTGCCGATCCTAGCCACAATCCAAATGGAAATTACGGCTTAAGTGCTGGCATGCGCGTAGGGCGACCACCTGGCGGCAGTGTCGCACCGAACCGTCCTTCGATGATCTCTACTCGTGCTATGGGAAACTACGCTAGTGTGCCACTGCGTTGAGGTGAACGAACAACTCCAATTCCAGAACCACTGGCAAACGTGAGGGAAGTGAAAGCAGGAACTATTGCTTCGTCATACGCGGGATGCGTCAGTTTGGCCCGACTTGCTAATTCTGCGGTTTCACCACAATCTTACGCAATATCTCCAGCGATTTATCTAGAATCATCGCTAGTTCGTCTTTTGTCTCTCGATTATTGAACAGTTGCAATACACTTCATAACTTTCAATTGCTCAAGGCACTGTCTTTCACTCTGGCCTCCTTGATCTCAGTCTCCCCCAATTCTCTCAGATCACCAGTGTTCGCGACTTGTCCCAGCAATGTCGCTCCAGCGATCTCTTTGGCGAATCCCAATGCTCCCGTCGTGTGCTTCCAGTAGGTGATATACTTGCTCTGCACTTCGATCAATTTCATCCGAGGATCTTCTGGTCCACCATCATGAACTCCATCGCCGACGTCACCGAACCATGCAGCGACGGGTTTGGAGTAGATCTCCTTGATACTGGAAGACCGTGTCAGCATGAATAACTAATCAAGAGTCATATGGAAAGAGGGAGTTTTTTTGTGAATGGAAGAATTGGGTTTGAACGTACCGTGGGTCATCATTCGTCAATTTCACAGCTTCTCCCGTCACAGAAATCCAATCTTCTGTTTTTCCATCACGGAAAGAAAGTTGGACTTCGGGTTTGGCTTCCAAATCTTTGAATTTTGTGCTGTTGGCGTTTGCGAGGAAGAGGAAGTCGGGGCCTGTGCGTTTTGCTACTGCCATGGAGCGGCCGACGGGCTATTGAATTACAAAATCTCGCGTTAGGAAACATTGAACTTTGACGAGGAGTATGAGATGGTGTGGGAGGATAAGGTGAGGTGGAACTTACGCCTACACCAGGACGATAGGTATTAAACATGCAAGTTTTGATGTTATCGGACATGGCGTAGAAGTCTTTGAATTTGTCGGCAGAGGAGGTTTTGTTGTCGTATTGTTTTGTGACGGATGGGTCGGTGTGGGCGTCGACTTTGCTGGGACGTTCGGGCATTTTGAGGGAGGTTGTTGTTGTGAAGGGTTGGGTTTTGAGTGTTGTTGTTGTGATTGCTGGGAGGAGAAGTGAAGTTCTGGATGTTAAAGTAGCTGGTGAGATTCTCAGAGTTTGGAGCATTGGACTGAGTGAAGTGAGCTTTGTTGTAGAGGTCTTGTACTCTTGTCTATGTACTGTTTGCTCTGGCGGACTGACGTTCAATGATCGTTGCTATTGCGTGGACCCTGCATGAGGAAGTAGTCATGATGCCACTTTTCGTCAGAGTGTGAACCACATGTCTAGCAATTACTGCATTGCCCTCCACAAATCTTGCAGTCGGTGTCCGGTATTCTGCGAGAGTCCGCATTGGCAGATTTCACTGTGCGTAATGTCTTCTGATTCCAGGTGTGGCTGAGATTCATCAATCGCGATTTGATCGTGGCTGGAGACGTCGGAGAATGTCCCGAGCTATCACTGTAAGTCGCCTTGATGCTCCGAACGAGCGAGCGTCCCCTTGAAATGGGCATACAGTTGAGCAGAATCGTGTAAGAGCCCAGATCGAATGGGGCTAGTTGCGTGCCTTCATAATACATCAGCGGATAGAGGCTCACAACGCAATGCCATACGAGAGAAGTCGTCCCATGCCGTTGCCCGCAAAGTCTGGTTCTTCGTGGCCACCAGAACCGTCTACAAATAGACGTGTTCAAGTACTGGATCTTCTGTGCCCCCTTGCTCTCGACTTCTTTGTTTCATAGCCCATTTCGCAAGCAGCGTGATTCTCATACCAGCCTGTGCATCCAAGAGATCCCAAGCCAGACACTGCCCAAGGGCCGCAAAAGCCAACGGTTGCAAGGTCATTTACTGCATCTTTCGTGCTGAGGTTGCACTCCGCCGGCCTGGCTACAACTGTACTCGCTGAGACCCAGAGATGTTCTAGAGGCATTCTGGAGCCATTGCAGTCCTATCTCGCTCGCCGTATCCGTTGCTGAAGCGGATGGGCCTTTGAACCCTTCCAGAACATGTTAGCTGCATTTGAGGATGGGCTGGTCGTGCTGATGATAACGTTCGCTCATGTGTGGTGTCTTTCTGAAGCCGCCGCGACTGCCAAGGTCTGGTCGCGAGCTGCGATGCTGACTAATGTCTCTTGGCACATTTCAACTCCCGCCAGCCAACCTCGCTTCCTCTTTCCAAGAGACACACTTACCTTCCAGCCTTAGCCTCGCTCGCCTTGCACTCTCCTGCTACTGAAGCATGTCTCTTCAGAAACACGATATACTGAGCTTGGCTCACTATCACTGCTTCGAATAATTTGTCCACATGCCTGGAATATGTTCATGCACGCAGGATTCGATTGCAGCTTTTGCTTCGCTTACAGCTCAACCGACTCGACACACGTTACTGCAGGTGCGGGAGTGCTTCCGATACATCAGGTAGCGAGGCAGGATCATTGTCAACGTGTCTCGTGATCAAGAGCACCATGGAGCTGTTCACATCTGTGGGTTGCTCACGACCATCTCTCGACAGCTATCTTCCTCAGTCAATAGTAGTATCGTCAGTTGTTTACCAGCATGTCCACGGTCATCGAGCTTGACGCTGTCATTGTTGGAGCTGGCTTCGGTGGAGTCTACCAGCTGAAGCGGCTGAGAGACGAGGGGTTCAATGTCAAGCTGATTGAAAGCGGCTCCAATTACGGTGGCGTTTGGTGTGTTTCGAGAATCAATTGATGACGGAATTTGTACTCTACTGACCTTCGGCTTCTTGTGAACAGGTACTGGAATCGTTATCCGGGAGCAAGAGTGGACAGCACAGTTCCACATTATGAGTTCTCTGACCCCAACCTTTGGACTGACTGGACGTGGTCTCAACGTTTTCCCGGATCGGCAGAGATTCGTGAATACTTTCAATACGTCGCACAGAAATGGGATCTTGGGAAAGACACGGTATTCAGCACCAAGGTAATCGGGGCTGTCTGGAGTGACCAGGAGGCGAAATGGACCATCTTCACGAATGCTGGCACGACCTACAAATGCAGATTCTTCTTACCCAATACTGGCTTCGCCGCCAAACGTCATGTCCCGGATTTCAAGGGAATCGAAAGTTTTCAAGGCACTTGGATACATCCTTCGTATTGGCCAAAGGAGGAGCTTGATTTGCATGGTAAGAAGATAGCAGTCATCGGGACAGGATCCACAGGAATCCAGCTCACTCAGGATCTGCTTCCATTGGCGGACGAATTTGTTCTCTTCCAGCGCACCCCGAACACCTGCTTGCCCATGAAGCAAGAGCATTATAGCGGCAAAGAGCAAGGACCAGTTCCGCGCCATTCGTACGCCGCATTCTTCGCTGGCCGGACTCAAAGCTATGGTGGCTTCGATTTCAATTTCCTCAATAGAGGTACATTCCAAGACTCCGAGGAAGAACGACTCAAAGTCTACCAGGACTTATGGTACCATGGAGATTTCCATTTCTGGCTGGCTACATACCGAGATATGTTATTTGATGACGAGGCCAATACGGAAGCATACAACTTTTGGTAGGCGAGCTGCTCCACTCAAATCTGTGCAGCCACACTGATTCGATGTCAGGCGCGACAAAGTCCGAGTACGTCTACCAAGCGAGAGACTCAAAGATAAGTTTGCTCCAATGATCAAACCTCATGCTTTCGGATGTAAGCGCATTTCTCTCGAGAATGGGTTTTACGAGCTCTTCGCAAAACCAAATGTACACCTAGTCGACGTCAACGAGACTCCAGTTGTTGAAGTAACGCCGGGAGGCATTAAAACATCAGAAAAGGAGTGGGAATTCGACATCATTGTTTGCGCAACAGGGTTTGATGCAATCACGGGAGGCATTCTAGAAATGAACGTCCAAGGCAAAGACGGCTTGAAATTGCGAGATAAGTGGGAACACGGTGTGAAAACTTTCATGGGCATCTCGGTGGGAGAGTTCCCGAATATGTGAGCACACTCAGATGAAATGATGTGCGTCAACCAATGACTGACTCCGGCTCAGGTTCTTCACATACGGCCCTCAAGCACCAACTGCGCTCTGCAATGGGCCTTCTTGTGCTGAGATACAAGGAGAATGGATTGTTTCAGTGCTGAAATACATGAGAGAAAACAGTCTCAAGACCGTGAATGCCACATCAGCAAGTGAAGATGCATGGGCGGAAAACATTTGGAAAATTGCGAACATGTCTTTGCTCCCGACGGCGAAGTCGTGGTATATGGGCGACAACATACCGGGCAAGACCCGAGAACCGCTGATATATCTTGGTGGGGTGCCAACTTATCATAAGACTCTCAGCGATTGTGCTGCGAAGGGCTATGAAGGCTTTGAGCTCAGCTAGGGCGGCTCGAATATTCCATGGAATGGGTGTAGAGCTATTGTTTTCAATTCCATGTAAGAAGCTTACGGCAGATCCAGCATGCTCATGCGAGAAAAGGGAGGGCTGGCATATCTTGATTTGCTCATGGTTTCGCTATTCTCGATACGCCTCCAAGAGTCCGAAGATGAAACCACGGTCGCAGGACAGACGTGATGAAAGAAGCCATTATACGAGCTGCAATCATACTCCTGCTTATTTCCACAGCATGGAATGTGACTGTGATATACCATCAGTATACGATGGATTAAATCAGGCTATTGCCCCCGTCCCGCACCTAGCGTCGAACAAGTGCACCTGTCTCCTTGGCCACGATAACCCGCCGTTGAAAAGAATCGGTGGGATATCGAACGATCTCAAACACTGCGTTGTATTTTCTGATCGCTTCCGATAGGAACTGCTCGACGCGTGCGTTGTCACTCTTGGGAGCGTCCTTGAGGAACTCCATTTGCCTGTTCGAAATTGCATTGTAGAAGTCCTACTTCGAGGGCCCTCCAGAATTCCAGGCTCCTCCATCCTTCACAAACCGGGTAATGGCTTCTTTGCATGCTCGTTCACTGTAGCTCTCCTCCCATACCGCATACAAGCTGATCATTTCCTGCGTGGAATCTATCACAGCCGGCACATCAATTTTACTTTCTGCGAGCCAGTCCACGATCTTGCTAAGTTTCGGTCCCGCCTGCCTCAGGCCGCTGAAACTACCGAGAAATGCCTGTTGGGCTGCAGTGGCATTCATGGTCGGCGGGAATCCAGGTGTCGAAGCAGAAGTTGGCGAGCCCATCGATGGTGAAGCCTGCCCCATGGCGCCGTGTGTCGAGTGGGCTTGAAGTCCAGGGGGTTGCCCAGAGGGGCGCAACACGACCGCAAGCACCAATGCCGTGATAGCGAGGACGTGAGGCGGGTAGAGAAAGACGAGATCGGTGAGGTAGATGTCGTTTACAATCGAGTGCGCCAAGTTCGACTCTTCTGTGCTGAGACCGAAAATTTGCGCAAACTCATTCAGTGGGCGATAGGGATGGTGACAGATCAGTCGGGAGGACAAAGTCGATATGAGGGCGAATTCGCACTCTCCGATCTTGCTGCTTTCCGAAACGCCCAGCTCGGGCCATTGTCGAGCTGCTTCGCCGAGCATCAGTCGAATGTGCTGTGGACACTCTTCCATTTTGCAGGCCAGGTATACGGCAGTAGCCATGATCAGATAGGGATTGGTTTTGCGAATTTCCACTCGCAAGTAGAAACGCTTCATGTACACCTGAGCAGTGGCTAATGCTTGTTGCCTCAAGCTCATCCTTCGTGCGAGTTTTGTGAGCTGTTGCTGGAAGTAGATGTTCATGAGACGCCTCTCCGGTAGCGCATACTTGTTATGCAGCGCTTGATTTGCTCTTTCGAGCTCTTTCCGGGTGTCTGCCAGCTCATCCTTGGTGAAGGTCCAGAATTTGGCCTGCGTAGAGTCCCAGTAGTTGGCAGCCATATTGGGCTCTTTTCAACAGCTATGAGGCTTATGATCTCGAAGCATGCATGAGAACCATATGCAGCAACGGGGGAGCATTAGCGTGTACGATGCATCGCAAGTGAGCACGCCACTTGGTGGACTTGGGTCATTCGCGAGGAAGAAGATACCGTTGTTGACACGCCGAGCAGTCCGCAGCTCGGTTCTGCCGGGGCGTGCTTCGAATAGGGCGCTGAGGACCGTGGGCGAAGAACACAACGTCCGAGAGATGCCGCGACAAGTCTCAAAGTCGCACAGTGGGCAGGTGGAGACGCGACGATGTGGCTGCCGCGTTGGACGGGCGCAGTCAGCGGTCTTGGCGCTCGTTCAGTCTGCGTTTGCGTAAGAGCCATGACTTCACTTTTCAGCTGCAAATGACATCTTTTCCTCCGTCCTCATCCTCTTCCTCTGCTCGTGTTGTCGAGGATCCCGAGAGCTCCACGAGAAGATCCTTCTTTTCCAGCATTTGGCGAGCGCGATTCGTGTCAGGCCACCCCGCCCAAGCACGCGCATGACAGGCAGCCACGACTCAGCCACAAATTTCAGCTGCCATCTGCACGGCTGATCTGTGGCCTGATATATCCTGTCCGGCGTCGTCAACAAACATCGGCACCAATTCTACACGCCAAGATGGGTAATCAGACGACCTACGTCTTGCTGTGCGTTGCAGCGCTGCTCTTTCTGGCCACGCCAGCTGCAGCATTTGGCGCTGGCAACATCAGCTCGCTCTCCAAGATCGAAGGCCACAATTGGCGTCATGGCGACATTGAGGACCTTCTCACCACTGTCGCCTTCATCAAAGGCCACAAATGGACTTCGATGATGGTCAAGCGAACTTACTTTGGCAATTGGCTTCGCGATTACAGTCAAGCTGTGGACGTCGGTACACTCAAGGGCGTGCCAGCCGACACTATCCGAGTTCTGGTCTGGATCCTGGCTTTCATGAGCTTTGGCTATGCTACAGAAGAGTTCGAAGTCACGGCTGAACGACTTGGCGTTTATAGACCCGAGGAGCATATCGATAATCCCAAGGTATGACCATGCTTTTCCTGTTCTCAGAACGATGAGGTGCGATCGGCGCTCGTGGCCTGTCTACAGACTGAACACAACCTGATAACACATGATGGGCGCATGCTTACATTGCAACCTTATCTCAGGACTACGCGGACAATGCTGATGCCCGCACATTTGATCCTCGTCTTCGAGGACCAGTACAGCCCATTGAGCTTGAGGTAGATCCCCGGACAGGCATGAAGAACTACATTGCGAACGAGCATATCGGCATTGCCACTTCTGTTGGTTACATCAAGTGGGCATTCGCTCGAAGCATTCACTTTGGCCGAATGTATACGAGCGGTCCGAACCGAGGCGATGAGAAAGATCTCTGTGAAGCGTTACGTTGTTTGGGTACTGGTCTGCACTGCATGGAAGACTTTGGAGCTCACACTAACTACACCGAACTCGCACTCATCGAGCTGGGCTTCCACAACGTCTTTCCCCACGTTGGCACACAAACTCAAATCAACCTCAACGGCAAGCATGTGTACCCACTTGTGACGGGGACGTTCGGAGGCGTTGATTTCTTGCATTCTGTGCTCGGCGAGGCCACGGACCACGTCACACAGGTCGAGGTTGATGATACTGAAGTGGCTCAACTCAATTCGGCTTTGTCTCAAGCAGAATCCAAACGCAGCGTTGGAAATGGCGATCCCGCTCAAGAGGCCTCCTTCCTAACGGACGTGCTTGCTAAGATCCCAGGTACCGGCTCTCTGATTCAGGAGGCAGTCAGCCTACAAGCAGCATCCGATGCGCAAGCTGCAGAGAACTCACGAAGCGTTGACGGCGGCGGTTACGACAGCTACAGCTCTTCACGAGCTGCAGGCGATGCCCCCACAACACAAGGCGGCGGCTTCGCAGCTCCTCCCAAGGTCGATGCAGCTGCAGCAATGGCCAAGATCTACCCTATTCTCTGCTTCCGCGACAAAGTTGTGCGACAGATTTCTGCCATTGTTTCCAAGATTCCTGGTCTGGAGAAAATGATCGAAACTGTCACTGAGAAAGTGACGCTCTTCGTTATGGGGCTCCTCGCGCCGTTCATCAAGCCGATTATCGCGTCAGCTTCCAATGCTCTCAAGCAAGGATCGGGCACAGTCATTGACAGCTCGGCGAATCAACAATACCTCGTCTGGTCGGATCCGCGCAGCACCGACCCAACGCACTCTATGCTGTCCAAGGACCACTTCAGCAACATTCTCAACCAGCCTGCGGGAGAAATCGCGGCAGAAATTTTGCAGTATGTGGCTCCAAGAGTTATTTACGGTTGGGAGCATCCTGAGGTGCCCGAGCATGAGATCCTCGACGACGTTGCTCGTGTGTTCCATCACCCGGCAGCGAGGAATGAGCAGCTTGAGATCCACCGCAAGATGTTCGAGACTGTCAACAAATGGGTGCACAAGCGAGGCGATGGCGGCCAGGGGCTGGATAACATTCTTTCGTCCGAGTCAGTGAAGGCGGGCCACAACCACAAAGTCGCAAATCTGCAGTCATCTTTCCAAGGCGTGCAGCAGCTGGCACATTCGCACGGCATGAACATTCCAGGTGTCGGTCCGGGTGCTGGAAGTCACTCCAACACTCGGGGAGGTGTATTCGACATGCTTGCTGAGCAGCGGGCACGAGATGGACTCCAGGCGGACCCGAGTGCCTACTCCCACCCGCCTCCCCCTGCAAGCTACGATCAGACCAGTCAGAGCTATCCAACGGCTTACCAAAGTGGATATGAGCAGCCGTGGCAACCTCAGCACCAGCAGCAGCAAGGCGGCTATGATCAAGGATATGGAGGAGGCTATCAAGGGCAGCAGCAAGGAGGATACGGAGGTTATGATCAGAATCAGCAACAGGGCTATGGCGGTCAACATCAAGGTTATGGCGGCGGGTACAATCAGTATTAGGAAGGCAAGGAGTTAACGAGGGATGATACCCATGAGGTGGAGAGGTCACGATTGATGCGGATGAATTGAAATGTATTCGCAAGTAGACGACAGACTAGAACATGTTTCTTTGCAGTGGTGTCGGCATTCCTTTTTCGCTGTTGCCGATGCACCCCGCACTGGTCGTTCTCTCCACGATCTCTTCCTTGCGTGATCTTGCCGATAACGAGATCTTTCGTGCATGTCCATCTCTTCTCACTGGACTTATCTGTCCTCCCTCTTTCGATCCTCGTTCCGATCAGCATCATGGCAGCTCCAAAGAAACAGTATGCCGCCCACCAAACCCATAATGGCCATGCCTCGGCACGCTCACAGCTGATGGACAGATGCATAGGCTGCCAACGATCAAGGCATGCCTCTTCGATATGGACGGCCTCTTGATTGACTCCGAGGACAAATACACCATCTGCACCAACGAGGTACTCAACGAATACGGTAGACCAAACCTGCCCTGGCACATCAAAGCCCAATTGCAAGGACGCCCAGGCCCAACTGTACGTCCTCCAAGATCCTCCAAACACGCTGTTGGTTGACTAACACATCATCTTCACCCATAACAGGCCGGCAAAATCCTCTTCGACTGGGCCCAACTGCCCATCTCGCGCGAAGAATACCTCTCCAAAGTCAGCGCCCGACAAAAACACCATTTCACTTCCTGCCAACCGCTCCCAGGCGTCCCAGCTCTCCTCCAAACCCTCAAACATCGCACCTCTCCACCCGTACACATCGCGCTCGCGACTTCTAGCCATTCTGGGAATTTCAAACTCAAAACCGACCATTTGCAAGATCTGTTTCAGGTCTTTGATGAGGAGAATCGTGTGCTTGGAGATGACAAGCGGATTCCGCCCGGACGAGGCAAGCCGGCGCCGGATATTTGGTTAGTGGCATTGGAGACTATTAATAAGAAGTTGGAGCGGGATGGGAAAGAGAAGATACGCCCGGAAGAGTGTTTGGTGTTTGAGGATTCGGTGCCTGGGACGGAGAGTGCGAGGAGGGCGGGGATGCAGGTTGTATGGTGTCCGCATGAGGGGCTGTTGAATGAGTATAAGGGGAGAGAAGATTTGGTTCTTGCGGGTTTAATGGGTGAATATAAGGAAGTTGGGGATGATGTTCTGGGGAAAGTGGAAGGAGGAGATAAAGAGGGACAGGTGAAGAAGACGGCGAGTCCGCCTGGAGAGGTGGGCGATGGTTGGGCGAGGTTGGTGAAGACTCTGGAAGATTTCCCGTACGCGGAGTATGGGATCGGTGTGAAAGAGGAGGAGAAGCTGTGAACAAGCAATGGACTGACTGTACAGGATGATTGGGTGAAGGTCTACGAAGGCAAGTGGAATGAAGATGCAGTATACACTATACAGTACAGGCATACCAGGGATGCTCAAGTCGACATGGCAGAGATCAAATTGGTCATCATTTTTCGTCTTGCTGATCTTTGCTTTGTGGCCAGGAACCGACCACGAACAGTGTCCGTTTCCTCCAGAGGTCTATCGCAACGCTTTTGCATCTGGTCAGATGACGTCCAGTCGTCAACAAGTCACGCCCGAGCCTCGCGGGCGACCTGGAATAGAAGGCGCTCACAAGTGGCCTGAGTTGGTGCTGCCGGATAATCCTTTCAACGATAATAAACGATATCGATACGCGTTCACAATAGCTTGCGCAATCGTTCAACCAAACTGGAATATCTCGAACGTCTCGCCCAGGGTTCCTTGCTAGTAAACATCGAAGCAGTCGAGCGGAGCTAGGTGACGCTTCTGGAACAGCGTGCAGATTGGTCCAAGCCGCAAGGGATGACAAGCGGGATGCAGCTGACGGCTGACAGCTCAGCCTTCCCCTCGTCTTACTTCACACCGGCCAACTAAAGCTTACACATGGCTAAGCCTGAGCTTGTCTACAATAAGCCACGCACTAGCCAGGAATTAGACATGTCGAGCGAGCTTGTGCGATTTCGTGGTACGCCTTTTGCTGACGACGAAGTGCAGGAGAGTGGCATGCTACGCGTCCCGCTGTGAATAGACTGCGGCCCCCAGGGAAACAGCACGCCGCTTAGAAAAAGATTTTCTGCTGCAGCGGAGTGCCTTGCGAAGGATTCGTGCGTCCTTCATCGGTGTCATTGTAGGTGCAAGTCTGCGATACTTAAATGTCGAAGAGAGCCATGCTTCAATTTCTATCCCCTATCCATCACTCATACCAGGTCACGAATTTCCTTTGCTGTCAACGCCTTCTCATTTTCTTCTATTTCCTTGTAACAATCACTACTTTATATTGAAAAGTATCATTCGTATACAACCGCAGAAATGAAGTACGCTCTCAGCCTGTGTGCAATTGCAGCTGGAGTCACCGCACTACCTCAAGGTAAGTACACCTTTGATGGGCGATCCTTTCGACCTAAGCTGATCAGGCCCAGGTCCAGCACCAAGCTACGGTGGATCATCGCAATCTCACGATTCTTCGAAGTACGGCCATGGCCAAGGTTCATCGAACAATGGCTCCAATGGCGTCGTTCCATTCAAGTTTCCCCTGGCCAACGGGTTCCCGGACATCGATATTCCCTCAGATGCTCTGAACCAAATCCAGCTCCAAGCCCACGGCACTCTCCCCAACACACCCCTTCCAACCTCCCTTTCCGACGCCGGAGCCACAACCTTCCAAGCCATCGCCTTCAACGAACTCTTCGAAGTCGCCTTCTTCACCTCCCTCCTCCAAAACCTCACCTCAGACACCTTCTCCCTCGGCCCCTCTCAATACGCCAAAAATTTCATCATCGATGCCCTCACCGCCGTTCAAGCCCAAGAAGAACTCCACCTCCTCGGCGCCAACGCCATCCTTTCCAGCGCCAAACGCACTCCCATCCAACCCTGCCAATACATTTTTCCCGGCGTCGACAGTTTCGATTCTGCGATCTCCACCGCCTCCCTCTTCACCGACGTCGTTCTCGGAACTCTGCAGTCCGCGGAAAATACCTTCGCAACCAATGGCGACGATGTCATTCGTCTCATTGCCTCTATCATTGGCCAAGAAGGAGAACAAAACGGTTTCTATCGCGTCTTGGGCAAGAAGATCCCATCAGCTTTACCATTCCTCACTGGAAGTTCTGGGATCTTCGCTTTCTCGGCTTTGAATCAGATCTTCGTTGTGCCTGGAACTTGCGGTAATCTTGATGCGATCAACGTTCCAATCTTGTTGCCTCTGACGGTTGTCGATCCTCCCAAGGCAACGGATTCGGATGTTCGGTTCAAATTCCCATTACACTCTGATATCGCGACTGTGGATATCGCAAAGGTGGTCAAAGATGGGGATTATTCGGGTTTGAAATTGGTGCTGGTGAATCAGCAGAATAAGCCGACTGTGGAGGATTTGAAGGATATTAAGGTGGAGGATGGGGTTGTGAGCTTTACTGCTGGTGAGTGCTTCCGCTCGAATTGTGTTTCCGATTGGAGAGCTCAGCTGACATCTGCTGCGATGCTTAGCATTCCCATTCAATGAGAATGAACTCAATGGCTTGACTATTGCTGCTGTTACTGCTGGCAAGAGTGACTTTGCCAATCCGGATGAAGTCGCTGCTGCCTCTATTGCGGGTCCTGGACTTATCGAGATCAATTGAGAAATATACCAAGCCATCCATGGCGGAACAAGTATTGTGAGGATGACTCAGTAGAGGTGAAATGAATAATGGCGCGAAGAAGGTTTGCCTACCAAAAGAGGCTGCACTGTTTGCTGCTTGCAGAGGAGAGGATATCCAGAATATCATGGCAGGATTCGCGTGGTGCACACTCGTTTGAAGGACCAGCTGTGGGATGCATACCGAGATATTGCTGGCGTTAGGCGTTATTTGCTTTCGAGTGCTTCGATATATCGAAACCTGAATGACTACTGTCTCGGGTGGAAAGCTGTGCCACCAAGCCAATACGCCGCACTGAGTACAGATATACCTACCAATACCTGCTTATTGTCCCATTTATGTAGCCTCAGTTCACGTGAAAGACGCAACATGAAGAAGTGCGCTTTCGTCTTGTTCGGCTTGAGGTGCTTTGCCTGGAGATCCCAGCTGCCAGTTTCACATACAACGATTTTCGATCCACCCGTGCCGACAGTAGGGAATTGGCAATCTTTCGATCTTGCATGCATTCGCATTTCGTCTCTACGTAAGTGCCGAGTCTATACCGCGGCCTGATGATCGACTGCTGCTTCGCGCTGAATCTCGTTTCGGAACAATCCTCCCATGTGGCACTCGCTTGAAGCTCACAGCTCCAGAGCTTCTCTATCAACATCAGATACAACTTTTGCTTGCAGCAAGTACGCAATCGACGGCCGGCCAGACAATTTACTTGCTTTCTCCACGATCGGACATACGGTCTATATTACGTGCTGCCTGGACCTCCAAGAAGAGCGAATCGTCGGACAATGCTGGGGCCTATCTCGTCGTAATCGGCCTTTGTGTGGCAATAGCTGCGGAACTCGGGTGTCGATCCAAGCAAAGATCCTCCAAACCAAGGTCCATGTCGTTGTCGCTTGTGTGTAATGACTTGGACTTCCAGACCTCCGGACTTTGCCGCATTGCCCGCACGTGCTTCGGAGGTTGCGATCCGTGCATCTACCAGATGCTTGATGTCGCGTTGTAATCGTCGTCCGAATTGGTTATAGAGCGTGGAACCTCCGGAAAGCACAATGTTCTTGTATAAGCCTCTTCGTACGTCAATTGGCGAGGTCTGGATGACTGTGTCCACGATGTTTGGCAGGGGCGTTAGGAAATCGGAGCTGTAAATCTCCGGGTTGAAGAAGATCTCAGGTGCCAAGAAGCGTTCGTAACCCACGTCCACTGTCACGCTTCGGCCGTTCAAGTGGCGGACGATGTACTGCTTGAACCGGTCATCTGGCTCGCGATCGTATCGTTGGAACTCCTTGACGATGTCCGGGCACACGTAGCAGAACTCCTCCTTGATCCTCTCCGCCGTCTTCAGGCTGCTGTCTGGCTCTCCTCGGTCACGCAGCAGCGACTGCACAAAGTATGTGATATCTCTTCCAGCGATTGGGATCGACTTTATCGAACTGCCAATGACATATCCTTCTGCAACAGGAATGACGTGTGTGACACCCTCACCAGAGTCAATCACAGTTCCAGTCAATGATCGATCTTGGACTTTAGATGATGTCCATGATGCGGCGAGAGCAAGCACGGCTTGCACGGCAATGTATAATCCTGCGCAGTTGAATGATTCAAACATAATCTCGGCGGTGTTCTCGCGATTCTCGGGTGGATTGAGCGGAGGTTCGGTGAGGAGGAAGTAGTGGTCTTCGGGCTCGACTCGTAGATATTTGAAGATGCTGTTAGACCAGAAGCGTTCCATATGATCCTACAAGTTACGTTAGCTACGATTGCGCAGGTAGGCCTGGACTGCGCACCCAATTCTCGATCTGGCCATGTCGGATTGGATAGTGGATGCCGTAGCCTGCTCCTGTCAGCCATTGCTGCCTTGCAAGCCTCTGATACTTGTGCGCCTACCAGGTCCTGACGATGCCGCAAGCGCTTCATCGCCAATGAAGAAGTCCAAGTCCTCGGTGCCTCTCTTGCCAGACAAATGTCCCGTGGGCCCAGCACCTCCAGTCAAGAAGGACGGCTTGTTCGCGACGGCCGGTCTACCCGAGCCGGAGCTGCCTCCCGCCTGCCCGGCTGCCTTGGTAGCGATTGCGGTGGGAAAGACGAATGAAGGAGAATCGTTGCCGGCGAAGCCTAGTTTGGAGTAACCAGTACCGCTGAGTGATGGTTAGCTACAGTGGATTGATCGGGCTCGAGGCATTGGCGCATACTTGTCCATGACAACGGCTGGAGTTTGGGTCGCCATGTTGGCGGTGTTTGCTGCAGCTGCTCAGAGGTGAGGTGTTTTCGTATGGAGGTGTAGCTGGAAGATATCGGCGTCGTCTGCTTGCGACTGACTTGGACCAGCGCAGCGCAGAGCGGCAGCCTTACGCAACAACGTGGAAGGTGGGGCGCCAAGCTTCGCCGTTGAGCTGACTTCACCTGTCTCTACCAGGACCTGCCATTCTCCTCACTTGCCTTGTGGAGTCTCTGAGATCAAGTGAAGAGTGTAGCAGAGGCAGCTCGAGGGTCTCCAGATGAAGAATGCTCAGTGAAGATGATGTGAGAGTGGAGTTCGGGCAGACATGCCGGTATCGCGGGAACGAAAAGCTGCTCTTTCCTTCCAGCACGAGGGAAAGAGCACGGCAACACATCATCAGCGCGGACTCGGCCTGCTCGAGACTCCAGACCTTCCCACAACGCATTCCTCTTCTCTTCTCCTGCATCGTGCCGTCGCTCCCTCTTCTCCCGCACAACAACGCATTTATCCGGAACCATCGAGGCCGTCTCGGCGACACGAGTCGCTCGTTTTATTGCCAGCATCTTCACGTGTCATGCGTTCATCTCCTACTATCTTCTGCCAGCTTCGATAGACCTACGAGAAGAATCTGGACCGGGTGACACAACGCGTTTGCGGCCCCTCGATACACGATAACATCGACATCAGCCCGCATCAAGCAGAGGACTTCCACCATGTTCTCGTCCAAGGCATCGAGGCATGCCCGTCAGAAGACTGATATCGCCTGCATCTTCGTACACGCTGGAGCCGGCTATCACAGCAAAGAGAACGAGATACATCACTTGCAAGCTTGCAACGAGTACGTGCAGCCAGCGGCGTGAAGTACAACATGAAGTGCTGACTGCAGACAGTGCGTGCACAGTGGCAATGAAACTCATGCAGAGCGGTGGTACCGCCGTGGACGCTGTCGAGATTGCCATACGCGTGCTTGAAGATCGTGAGATCACTAATGCCGGGTTCGGCAGCAACCTGGGGTACGATGGGGTGGTGGAGTGTGACTCCATCATGGTCGACCACTTCGGTCGGAGTGGTGCCGTAGGGGCAGTGGCTCGTAAGCATACACCCTCCACCGAGCAGAACGGACTTGCTGACAGTCCATCAGAAATCAGGAATCCCATTTCGCTGGCACGACAGGTTCTCGACCACTCCACTCAATCCCTCTCACTGCGGCGTGTCCCCCCAAATCTTCTGGTCGGCGAAGGTGCGAGACAGTTTGCTGAAGAGCATAGTATGCCGATCATGCCATTCGACTTCCTCATCTCACCGTTCGCCAGGCATCGATGGCAAAAGTGGCGTGCCGACCTTGACAAGGTCGATCGGCAGAAGCGACGCGATCCTTCGAACAGCTACAGTGCCCTCTCACACGACTCGGATGCTACTCTGGCCAAACAACATGAGGAATACACGGACACTGAGAGACAACGTCAAGCACACCAGAGCAGAGAGTTGGCATTGATGGAGGCTTTGCACAACGATGCCCAGCCCATGTCACCGCCGCCTTCTGACGCTCGAGAGGAAGCAGCAGCTCCCCGTGGCAACTTTGCGGCCACCGGAGCTCCGTCCAGGAACTCGTCAGCGACATCGATTCCGTCGAACAATGAAATCGGCTCGCATTCGACCTCGCAGAGTCACTCTCTCCATCCGCCAGTGTCGCTACACAGTACCGGCAGCCATCCCTATGCGAATACCTCGTCCAAAGTGACGCCTGCAACATCGCCTCGCGCAAGCACTCACGATAGGTTCGACATGTTTGACGAGGATCATGACATGTCTCAGTACACGACGTTCAGCGATGACGATGCTCAGGCACTACTTGCGCCAGTAGCTGAACTGGAGCTTCCACGGGCCTGCTCCTCGCACATTGCAACTGATAGCGACACTGCTCGACTACAAACAGATGGACCACCAGACGATGCTAGTACTACAGCGGCCGAGCATTCAGGTGAGCCAAGATCTGGCCTGTCGCAGACTCAAAGCACTCGTGCTCGTTTCAATGATCTAGTACATGGTTCCTCCAATCCCACAAAGATCGCACTGGAAGACGACATTGATGTGGAGGATAACAAACAGACCACAGGATCTCAGTCGACTCAACAATGGTACGCGGACCCAAAGACTGCTGGCAATGTGCCTGGGCCGGCGCCAAACAATGACGAAGACCACATTACGGACACTGTGGGAGCCATTGCTATCGACATGTATGGCAATATCGCCTGTGGCGCCTCGTCTGGAGGTATTGGTATGAAACACCGTGGCCGCGTTGGTCCTGCTGCTTTGGTCGGCATCGGAGCCACTGTCATTCCCATAGAAGACGATGACGACGAGAAGACTACAGTCGCCACCGTTACTTCCGGCACTGGCGAACAGATGTCTACCACCATGGCCTCCTCAGTTTGCAGCGAACGCATCTACCACAGCCACAAGAGGACGAAGAAGGGTACCTTTGAGGAGTGCATGGAAGAGAGTGCCATGCGAGCATTCATCGAGAAGGACTTCATGGGACACCCTAGCGTGAAACATTCCGAGTCGAATAGTGCCATTGGGATGTTGAGCGTCAAGCGTACGAAAGACGGTGCATGGTTGTACTTTGGGCACAACACTAACAGCTTCGCCCTTGCGAGCATGCATTCTGATGAGAAGGTTCCCGTTTGCACCATGAGCCGGAGCACGGGCAATGGAAGCATTGCGCAAGGAGGGAGACCAATTCGTTGGCGCAGAAGTAGTGGAAAGAAGTAAGTTGGAGAGATTGACGAGATGAGAAAGACCTGGAGCAGGACTGCGCTATTCTCCTGTTTGGACCTGCATGGAACTACCTCTGAGCGGCTTTGCTTCTTTGGGGCCAATGGTCCTAACAACGATGGCATGGCAATATAGAGAGCTAAACTTTGATTCCTGTTTCCCTGCTGCATTCGACTTTGGTCTTGTCTTGCGACTGATGAGTGCGGTCCCGCTCTGCCTGAACGTGACCTTTTGCTGCGGGGCTGTATTTATCGCCTCAATATACATGCACCATCACGCTCTCTTCCGCTTCCTGGCGATGATCCGCACTGGCCAAAAGTGCGCGCAATCAGTCAAACTCTGGATCACGCCCACAATATCCCAGCGTTGTCGCTCCATCGCTCGACACGATTTTGCCGAAGGAACTTTACACCTCCACCTTCGTCCCGACTCAGAGTCTTCCGCTTAGCGGATTGGTTTCCCGAGCCATGTTTTGGTTCGTCGGCGATGAGACAAGGACAGGTGCTGTCGAGGTCGTTGGCTGATGTTTCTGTCAGCGAACTCGATTTAATCGTGATCGCTATTGGACATGCATGACTTACCATGATAATGACACCCAGGACTGGTCCATCGGAGGCTAGCAGCTTCCGTCCCGCCCTTCAAATGATACGTACGAGCAAGATCGCGGAAGAAGTCTTTGTGTAGTTCGTCGCTGTAGTCCCAAAGCTCCGCGCTGACATTCTTTACAAGTACCATGTCTGTCACGAAGCGTCGAGCGCCCGAGGCGTTGGTTGTGCCGTTGTAGATTACAGTGATGATGTCTACGACCCACGCGACACTTGGCTCGAAATCCTCGGGGAGACAACGCTGATGCAACGTGTCGATTATCGCGACACGAAATGGGATGTCTTGGAGTATTTCGCCGAGGACGTAGGCTGTGCCGAGAACGAAGTAGGCTTTGCTGCTTTCTTCGAGAGTGGCGTATTTGGAGGGGCAGACGCTGCCGTGGTAGAGCCAGTCGATGTAGAGTTGGAAGGCTTGCGGGGTGGTTTCGGGGAGAATGATGGTGTTGTTACCGTTTTGCGACCATTCGGGCTTGCAGCGTGCTTGCATGAATGGGGAGGTTCGGCAGAGGACATCTTTTTGGACGAAGAAGTGCGTTGGACGGGCTTTGCCGTCGTCGACGCGGATGGTAATGAAGGGGCTCGCTGTTGTCGGCGCCATGTTGCTAGATGTTTGGTAGTGGTGGTCGTAGTCGATGTTCTGCAAGGACTGCGCCTTTATTGCATTCAGTCGCTGCGACTGCCGGTGGGCTACTCGCGCAGGGTGCTCAAGGCAGAAGGCGCGAAACGATGGTCAGCTGGAATAGGCTCATGCACGCGTTCCATAGCAGCCATACAGACTCAATACTTGAGGTCACCAGCAATTACTCGGAGACGCTGAATGAGGTCAAACCTTGGGACAGGAAGCAAGCAGCCGCATGGTGCAAACGCTGCCAACGTTTGCTGCATGTGAAGAGTTCACCAGAAACCGCCGGGGAATTGCCAGACACTGGCGCATCTGGTCTCATGAAGCGGACGATTCTGCTCTCCAGGTACGCAATGTCCCAACATCTTCTCCGGTAGCTACAAATGCGTGGCTTCAACGATTTCCCAGCGATATCTCTTCTTGCGGGATTTGATCAAAATCGGGTAGCTGCATTTTGATTGCGAATATGTCCTGGATGCGTTGGTCATGAAAACATGGCGGTCTGAAGAGCTGAGCGAAGTGCATCTGTGCCGGACATTGCTGGGCGCAAGCTGATGAACACGGTGTGAATGATGAAGGAGGAGGTGGATGGGGAAAGACAGGAAATCGTTTGCAGTCGCCAAGACTCGCGCTTCTGCCGCAGGCAGGAACTCGACGCGTGAGTGGCGACTCCCACTCCCACTTCAACGACACGTCTTCTTCCTCCACACACTCATCCTCGACATTGCCGCTATGGACGCGTCGATAACTTCCTCGCCGCCGCGGGGTACCAAGCGCAAGGCAGATGAGATGCAAGCGCCCCGTCGTATTCGCGCCCTGCATCAAGATGTCGTAAACAAGATTGCAGCTGGCGAGATCATTGTGGCTCCGGTGCACGCGCTCAAGGAGTTGATGGAGAACGCCGTCGACGCGGGATCGACAAGTCTGGAAATTCTGGTCAAAGAAGGTGGTCTGAAGCTGCTTCAAATTACAGACAATGGCTGCGGCATCAGCAAAGATGATCTGCCCATTCTTTGCGAGCGTTTCACAACATCGAAGCTCAAATCCTTCGAAGACTTGCAGTCGATTGGAACCTATGGCTTCCGAGGCGAGGCACTGGCGAGCATCAGCCACATTGCACATCTCACAGTGACGACCAAGACAGCGGAGTCCAGCTGTGCTTGGAAAGCGCACTATGCGAGTGGCAAGCTATCACCAGCAAAGCCAGGACAGTCTGATGAGCCCAAAGCGTGTGCTGGAAGACAAGGTACCCAAATTGCTGTAGAAGACCTGTTTTACAACGTCCCCACAAGGCGACGTGCTTTCAGATCTGCCAGCGAAGAGTACGCAAAGATAGCGGAAATGGTTGGCAAGTATGCAGTGCACTGTGAGGGCGTGGCGTTCTCTTGCAAGAAGCACGGCGAGGCTGGCGCAGGCGTCGCTGTCCCAGCAAACGCCAGCGTCCGTGACCGCATTCGCATTACACAGAGTGGAAACGTGGCGAATGAGCTCATGGACTTACAGATTTCGAATGACCAATACGCTTTCAAGGCCACTGGTCTTGTCAGCAACGCGAATTACAGTGGCAAGAAAACCACATTGATGCTTTTCATCAACCATCGGTCGGTCGAGTCGTCCGCGATCAAGAAGGCCGTGGAGCAAACATACTCCGTGTTCTTGCCAAAGGGCGCCAAACCGTTCATCTATCTCAGCCTCGAAATCGACCCAGCGCGGGTAGACGTCAATGTACACCCTACAAAGCGGGAGGTCAATTTCCTCAACGAAGACGAGATCATTGAGCTGGTTTGCGACGAAATCCGCACAGGTCTGGGCAAGGTCGATACCAGCAGAACTTTCATGACTCAGAGTTTGCTCAGTGGTGCGAAAACACCGGCTATCGCCAAAGGCACGACTCTCCCCGAAACACCAACGCCTGCCGCATCAATATCTCAGCGGCCATCGACTACACAGACTGGCAGTGCGCGCAGACCATATGAGAACAACCTGGTCAGAACAGACGCCAAGACGCGAAAGATTACAGCTATGCTTCCCTCAGCGCAGCAGGCAGATTCAACTTCTCACGAACCTGCCTCAGATGGTATGGAATACGAGTATACTGACAAAGAGCCAACAATCTGCCGCCTAACCACGATAAAGGATCTTCGCGCTTCGGTGAGGGAGAGTATGCACAACGAGTTGACTGATGTGTACGCAAACCACACGTTCGTCGGCATTGCTGATGAGGCCAAACGCATCGCCGCGATTCAAGGTGGGGTCAAGCTTTTTCTCATCGACTATGGAATGACCGCCGCGGAATACTTTTACCAGCTCGGGCTCACAGACTTCGGTAACTATGGCACCATCAGATTCAATCCTCCGCTAGCTCTGTCGGAGCTACTCCAAATCGCAGTGGAGCAGACAAAGGCTTCGCAGCCTAGCGACACGGCCATTGAGTGGGAGGAGGTTGTCACGACAGTGACCGATCGGCTGGTTTCTCGCAGAGATATGCTTTCGGAATATTTTGCGCTCGAAATCACTCCAGAAGGTGATCTTTTGACAATTCCTCTTCTTGCCAAGGGCTACATGCCGTCAATGGCGAAGCTGCCCAACTTCTTGCTTCGTTTGGGTCCGCACGTGGACTGGACTGACGAGAAAGGATGTTTCCAGAGCTTCCTTCGAGAACTAGCGAGCTTCTATGCACCAGAAGCTTTGCCACCAGAGCCTGAAGATGATAGCGCCGAAGACGAAGACATCGCTGAGCGCCGTCGACATCTTCGTCGCGCACTAGAGAACGTGCTGTTCCCTGCCTTCAAGGCGAGGCTGGTGGCGACGAAGAGTCTTCTGAAGGGCACAGTTGAAGTGGCCAACCTCAAGGGACTTTACCGGGTCTTCGAGAGATGCTGAATTGTAGCCCAGCAATTGTGCCCTGGCGTACAGAACTGCGCGTATGCTGAGCAGCATTGCCCATGTGTGCATCATAGCACACGAGGTGCATGCGTCTTAGTTCTCAATCAAAAGCACTTGTCTGAAGCTACTACCTTGCCATGCACGTTGCTGAGATGCATGATGATGATCGCAGGCAGTATCAACAATAGTGCTGTACTGATTTGCAAGGCATCTGGCAAGGGCTGCCGAGGTGGCGTGTCCAATCAAAGAAGCAATGTACTGCGATGGAGTAGTTAATCGCTGTCGCTCTCTCCTGTGGGCGCACTGAAATCAGGCCTCGGCACGATTCACGTCTGTGCCTTCTCTATTGGCTCAGCTGCGCCTTCCACATTGGTATGAAGATCTGCATCCGCCCTCAAAAATCCCCTCTCGAGAAAGCGGACTGCGCACCGTCTCTCGTTGGCTGGTCCCTCACTGACGCCCCTCGCTCCACCATTTCGTGTCGCGCACGCCACACAACGTCAAGCAGCAAGCCGAGGCAAGCCACCGACAGAGCTTGTCTTGCGGCAGGCGTCCCCAAGAAGCCATGGCGACGCCTTCGCGTTCTATACGAGCATATTCGGCTAACCAGGCACCTTCTGATGTTTATGTACTTTTATGCAAAGTACGACATGCTCGAAGCATCGTGAATTCACACAGGTCAGCGCAGTGGTATTGAGCACTTAGCAGCGATAATGTGGCACAACGGCAACATCCATAACTGCGCCACTTCCTACACAGTAATTCCCCAGATGTCAATCTAGAAGGTGTGGATACCAGAACTTCTTGCCCGGCAGTCATAGCGTATGCTCCAGAGGCAGGGTCGGATTCCCGTTGTGCACGTTAGAGAGGCGTAATACAGACGATTTAACTGGTGCACTCGGCTCAGGTACTAGTTTGCCTCCAGGCCTCTACAGTACGCATCGCGATGCAAAGCTGATCGAAAATTCGGACTGTTTGGAACCCCCAATTTTAGTGGCGGTCCAGTGTGACGCTGGTGGTGAATCAGCTGCGACGTCCGAGGCTGAATGCCACTTTGAAGTCTAAAGAAGCTTAAACGTCGATCTCCTTCTTGTTCTGGTTGACCTCGTGGAGAACGTCTCCTGCCGCGCGAGCCTGAATTCATGTCTATGGGAGTATGGGGTAGAAGCGAACCAAACAAGGGCTTACATCGACAGATAGCGCTCAACGCCTCCCCGTCGATGGCTGATCCGGTGCTGCGAACGACCAACCAGAAGCAATGTATTTGCAAACAAGTCCCGAGCACTGTCGCTGCACACCTTGTGATGGCCTACGGCCAAGCTTGTGTCATCGACCAATGTCCGAGTGGTTCTTTCCCATGAAGCGGCACCAGTTGCACGCTTCCCCGACATCAGCGAACTCAATAATCTGCCATCATGAGGAGCAATAGGCTGCCTGGCGCGTCCCTCGGTGTACCATCGCCACTAGACACGCCATTCAATGTGTATAAGTATTCTTGGTGATCTGCACTTTCTATTTCTCTGACCCAGCGCACTTTTCTATATTCAACGTTGCAAGATCTACCATTCGAGACAATCGCAAACATGAAGGGCGCCATCTTGTCATCGCTCGTCGCTTCGGCGGCGGCTTTCCCCTTTGTTATGGATATGCCTGGAGTCGACAGCACAGCAATCCAGGCAGAGCGAAAACGCATTCGACGACAGCAACCTGGACAAGGACCTGGTTCTGCGGCAGAATGCCCATTCAACGCCAACCATGTGCCTGCTGCTCCGGTCACTGCGCAATACCCATACAACAATGCGAAAAACGGAAAGAAGGGTAACGAGAAGGGTGGATACCAAGTGCCAGCTCCTGGCGACACTGCTCACCAGTTCCGCGCTCCAAACCCACAGACCGATATCAGAGGACCTTGCCCAGGCTTGAACGTCGCAGCAAACCACAACTTTCGTATGAATTTGATCCCAACAGTCTCAATACTGTGTACTAACGATTAAATTTCAGTGGCCCACGACGGTATCACAACCTTCAACGAGCTCGTCGATGCTCAGCAAAACATTTACAACGTCGGCTACGACTTGGCCAACCTGCTGGCACTCCTTGGTCTCACTCTGACCGACGGTGATCTTGTCACCATGAAGCTCTCGATTGGTTGCGACGCCACTTCAAGGACCTCTTTCAACCCCATCCTCACTGGCTCTGAGCCTGGTCTCGATGGCCACAACAAGTTCGAAGCAGACACATCGTTGACCCGTAACGATTATTTCACTGGCAAGGGCGACAACTTCCGATTCAACGGCACCCTCTTCGGCATGATGACCGAGACCACTGGCGGCAACTACAACTTGGAAGGCTTGGCTAAATACCGTGAGCAGCGATGGTTCCAGTCGAGAGATGAGAACCCCAACTTCTACTGTAAGACATCTGCAATACTGATATCTTGTGATACAACCGCTAACACCTGCCACAGTTGGTCCCTTCAGCTTGCTGCTGTTCGGCGCCGCCTCGTTCTTGTACGAGCTGATGCCTTCCGGCACCCGCGGCTACGCTCCCGACTTCGAGACCATCTCCTCTTTCTTCGGTGCTCAGCGCGAAGCCGACGGAACTTACACTTTTAACAACGCTGAGCAAATTCCACCAAACTGGACCAACCGTGTTGACCCATACGACAACCAGAAGGTCGTTGCGGAGATCCTGAAGATGTACTTGCTCCACCCCGTGGAGTTTGGCGGTAACACTGCAGATGGTACCTTTAACGTCATCAACTTCTCCAACATCATCAAGGAGGGCAAGCTTGAGCCAAACTTGGATCCAAAGGTCGCTTCTTGCTTGCTGTACATGCTTGCGACTGAGCGTGTGCCTTCATACCTGAACGGCATTCTTACCCCTTCGGTTGATGCCTTGTCTCTGGTTCTGACCAAGCTGTCTGGAACTAGCTTTGCCAACTTGGGTTGCCCACGCCCACTTACCAAGTAGAAAGGCAAGCGCAATGGAGGAGGAACGACGACTTCACGAATTGCTACCTCATAATCTAGAATGTGGTTGCATCGAAGCATCAAAGGAAATTTTTTGTAAATAAGATCTGAGAAGTGTATGAATTCACGGACATAATTTGCCAACACACATTCACACATGAAATTTTACCGCTACGTTGCATACGACAACTTCGTCCTCTTCCCAACCCTCTGTAGAGAATTTTGCACCTTGTTGCGCATCATTCGCACACTTATCGCCTCGGCATGTTTTGAGCAAAAAAAGGCAGAGCAGTCTCGATGATCTTCTGTCTAGCATCATGGTGACAACACTTTTCGTTTGCCCCTCACCAGCGTGCTTGAAAGCAAAAACAAGTCTCTTGCTGTGTGTTAGACAGCTCAGATCAGAGATCTTGCTGCAGCTTCTCAGCCTGCTGCTCTGCCAGCGCAGTGGTTTCCGAAAGAGGAAATGCGCTCTGGTACGAAGTGACAGTGTCTGGCAAGGTCACGAGATTTGGCGATCGATCCTCACTGGACCCCCGCATGTGCATGTAACTCTTGTTTCTTGATGGATGGAACTGGCTGATGAAAACAGATGTGAGGTCAAGACAAGATGTGGTGGCGACCACGCGAGACGTTAATGCAAGCAATTCTGAGCCGCAAGATCTTCTTGGGCGGCGTTTCGTGGCGGGTGCTTGGTTCTTTGGTATGTAGCGGCATATACCGTTGGTAGACGGAATGGGAATGGTAGGTAGGTTGGTGCGATCGCCCGCGCTTTGTATAAGTCTTGCGATACACGAAAGATGTTGAGGGGAAGATAGGCTTGGTAAGAGAAGTGCAGTGCGTATGAGAGGTAAACGAATGACGGGAAGTATGTGAAATGAGGATTGTGTATGTGTGCATAGATGGCACAGTAATTCGATTTTGACCTCGCGAAAACTCACTTCTCCCGACGACGAGCTCTTCGTTCTCTGTAGCTCACTCGGCTTCCCTTCTGATGACCGTAATTGAAAATCGCATATTGTCGTGTTTCCTTCCATCAGGTGCAGAGGGTGTGTATCTTGCGGATTCCTGGAGTACCTTGGGAGCATTTATTCGCGCCGTGGTTCGAGTCCTCTCGCTGCTCCACAATCGGCTGTGACAGTCTCGAGCGGAACGCCGATAATGCCATATGCCAGCGGCAGATCTCTACTTTCGCGTTGAAATTGTTCAGCATGTGTTAAGCTGAAAGTGGCATCTGCTGTTAGAATGTGAGGAAAGAGAGGAAGGCCGCCTTTTGTGTAGAAGGAGATCGGGTAAACTGCGGCCCGGTCCAGGTCTTCGAGTGAACCTCTCCAAAGCTTGTGAAACCAAAATAATTCTCGACGCGACAACAAACGATTCCTCTCATAACAATCCCCCCCAAACATGGCGGACGCGCAACTCTACGAAGAGACCTTCCAGGTCACGACCCTGATCGACCAGACCTACGATCGCGTGCACCGCCTTCTCGGAACGTCTCACGATAGCACGACCTCCATCACACTCGACATCAATAGCGAACTGTACCCGATCGGCAATGGCGAATCGTTTAATATGCTAGTCGCCAGCACGCTGAATCTGGACGGCACGAAAGATGAGACGCAAGGATGGAGGCCGAAGAATGATGCGCCGAGCCTGGCGGACATGTGGGATTACGTGTGTTATGGGAAGGTGTACAAGGTGGAGGACCCGGAAGACGGGGATCGGATGTGAGTACTCTGATACGGAAACCGGACTTGAAGGGGCGTAGTGCTGATCAAGGCGATACAGAAAGGTGTATGTGTCGTTTGGTGGTTTGCTCATGTGCCTGGATGGGCCGTACAAGAAGTTGAGCCCGCTGAAAATTGAGTATGTGTATATGCTGCTCAAGAAATGAGAGGGATGAGCGTGGAAGAAAACATGCGCACGTTGCGAAGGACATGCTCGAGAGTTGAAGGGAAGGGTCGAATTGATGGGCAAGAAGAGGTGCCATTGGGAAGCCGGTCAAAACATAAGCTGGACGCGATCGAGAACGTGATCGGGAACGCGACATTCCACGACGACGCGCATATCGCGACGATTCCATTCTCGGCAGCTCGAAGTGCCATGTATGTTGAACCCTGGACCTCCGTCACAAGCATCGGCGAGACCACGCAAGAAGAGGGAGGAGAGGGATGAAGCTCACACTGAATCTAGCGATCAGTAGAACCAGGGATTCGAGTATCCATGCCCAGGAGATGAGAAGATAGCAAGCCATAGCAGATACCGACAAACGGTCCGCTAATGGCACGTTAACAAGACGAACATGCATGTGAGTCCAAGTGCCATCATTGGACTGAGTGTTGAACATGCGCTGTGGTGAACGTCAGTGGAGGAGCGGACTACCATCGGTCCCCGAAGCCCGAGAGTGTCAACTTCATGCTGCCTTGCGAAGACAAGTTCCCATGCAACAAAGTGTTCTCATGGTGACTATTCGACTTCCCTGCTACTGTTCAAGACGTGTTTGAGTCAGTGATCTTGAGTTTGATAGCTCACGCGAGACCATGCTTCTTCTTATCGATAGTGAGTGATTGCAGTGAACTGTTTGATCGTATTCGTATTCGAATATCCCCTCTTGAGCGCTCTGCAGGTTCAATGCCACCTATGATATGCGGAGCACTACCTAGGATTGCAATGCGGTACAGCAGGACGGCAGATTGCTGGCGTGCCTGGCTATGCAACTAATGTCGAGTTGTACAAAGTTGTGCTTTCGGCAAGTGTCTGCCGAAACCCAATAAAGACGCATATCGCGTCACTCGCGTGGCAGCTGGGCGTGTGGAGAAGTGGCCGGGCATGCCACAGCCCTCACCACCGCTTCCTTTCTGCTGACATACTTCACGAATACGATCAACACCTCGGACTCCGGCGGACACGTATCGCATGGTCAGAGCCATGTCGCACATCCTCCTCGCACCGCCCGCCACGAGATAGCGATCGCGACCGAGCACCCGAGGCCGTCTTGGGCCACTGTTTGTGGAGCGATCAGGCAGCGAAAGACGAGATGGAAGCGGTCAACAATGTCTCCTACATCCCGTCAGCAATGGACTTGCTGCTCGTGGTCCCGCGGCTTGCTCAGCGAGCCGGGAACTTCGCCCTGTACCACATGCCCGAAGCCGTGGACAACATCGCCGGCAAGATCTGGAGCGGCAGCATGATACCCGATCCCACCACCCACCACACCATTGCCAACTCCACCATATCCAATGCCGGCACTGCTCTCGTCCAGACGACAGCATCAGCTCTGGAGTCTTCCCTCAAGGATGCATTCACGCAGGGCAGCGACGAGTCGGGCTCGTTCTTGATGGGAGTTGCGGCTGGCATAGGAAAGCTGAAGAACTTTGGGGGCATCTTCTCATACATGACTTCGCGATGGGCGTTGACGACATTCACGGCCGCCGTGTTGCTCAATCGCACGCAGTTCTATGCTTCATCTCGCGAGCACCTGCGGTTGCGTTTCCACATGCGACTCGCGCTGTACCTCATCCCAATCCTCGCTTTCCTGACTCAGATGTTGCACATCCTGCAGGCTCTGAGATGCCAGACTTCTCCGGACTTCCCGCAACTACGATACGGTGATCCATTGAAGAACCTCACGATCGATTTCGCAGCGGAAGGAGGCTTCTTGTACCGCTTAAGCTCCACATTGCTGTTTTGGCAAGACGATGCTCAATGCTGTCATGCCAGATCAATGTCTCTGGTCGGCATGGGCGATGACAAGAGTGCTTTGAGGGGATCCATGTCCATGCTCTACTGGTTCTTCCTGACTTTGTGTACGAGTCAGCTTTTCGAGACCTTGGCATGTGCTTTGCAAGGCAGAATCCCCAAGCCGGAAACAGGCATGACGATTTTTGAGCACTCTCTGGCATTTGCCGAATGCGAAGCCATGATCAGTAGCGCACTCGGGTTTGGCGTGTTCGGTCTATCGAAGAGCGGAAGTTCTGGCTCAACGACTAGTTCTGGCCCTCTTCTGAGCAGATCTGAAATCATGCAACGACTGAATGTGCCTCCAGAAGTTCTGCTGGTATGTCTGATATCCTGCTTCAGCCATATCAGCAGCGCCTCTCTGGCTGTCGCTGGTATTCGAGACAAGGTACGGCTCGTGAACACGGCTGTTTGGGCATGCTGTTATATGTCCGCTCTCATCTGGAGTTTTACCAAGATCTTCATTGGCGATGCCGACGACTCGGATCTTGGCTTTCTCAGATTCCCAACGGTCATGCTTGTAGGCTTCGTTCCTCACATCACAATACTCACTGGCATCTTGGTCTGTGGCGCTATCTATGGAATAGCTTTCTTAGTGACTGCGTTCTCCATTCCGCGCGAGACAGCCGAGAATTTCTCTCTGCGGCAACGCTTCGCATGGGCATACAACAATCTCCAGGCCAATGTTCAATTCTCGCAAAGCTCAGCAATTCGCATACAGATGTCAGAGGATGTCTATACTATGCTACTCAAAATCGGCTTCAATGTATTGACTGCAGCTAGTGAAGCAGTCTACCTGAATGAAGGCAGCCGCATCCATATCGCGCCTATGACTTGGCTCGAGCAAAAGCGCATCGATGAGTTGGCGTCGGAAATGGATCGACACGCTACTCCGGCTGTGCCTTCAGAGCTGCTCGACTCTGGTATTGCCAGAGGTGTCAACTTCGTTGATCACCAGAATCTTGCGATTAGCCAATCACCGTATGCACGAGAGCGCAAGTCGAAGCCTGCAAAGACTGGAGCCGAGAAACAGAACGCCGCCGAAATGGACACCGGATTGGGAATAACACAGCGTAGAAGCCGCATGCAATTAACTTTCGATTTCATCGCCGGGATAATGGGCCTTACTCTCAGTCTGCAAGCACACATCTTGCTGGGCTTGCTGCACAAGCTAGGCATTGAACGTCGGCCTTCATGGTTGCTCAAAGTTGCAGGAATCGCGGAGGGCCAACGAAAACCTTCGGCACATTTTCGCAGCAAGCGGTCGGACCCCTTAAATTTCTACGTGCTGGGCGATGACGGTAGCCTGAAACTGCCACTGGACAACAATGTCGACGTCGAAGTGGAAACCAGACGCATGATGATGCGCAGAGGCATATACGAGGACGAACAGCACCTCAGTAACGATCTCTACAAACGGTGGAGGGGTGGAGGCTGGTACGGCGAGCTCGATGCTAGCGGTGACTATGCCGCTAGCGTGGCTGACGACGATGATGTCACGAGCGTAATCTCTATGAGCACGAATGCCAGCACCAATGGCGACGATGATTCGGATAGCGGAAGGAGAACTCCGACTCAAGAAGATCCATATGGTGGCCGTTTCAGCAGGGAGTCTTCTGTCACGACGGACGGTGGCGTTGACTTAAGCTCGCTTTCGAGATTGCTCAACCCGCAGAACTCGACTGATCGAGAAGAGGCCAGGCTACTGTCGTACAGTTTGCAGTCTGATCGCCCCATGACACGGAGTCAGTACCGTCGGAATCAAGACCGCACTCGGGCAGAGCTCCTGACCGGCCTGCGCAGCAGCTCATCGGCCAAGGAAGGCACTTTCCCCTCCTTATCCAATCCAGAGGACGAAGAGCGAGATCTCGAACACTTCATCCTCTCCCAACGTTCGAAAGCCAAAGCTCGGGCGAAACGTGCTGGCACCTGGGAAGCGGGCGCGGAAGGCATGGGCGAAGGCGGACCACAGTGTGTGGTGTGCCAGTGCTCTCCTCGCACGATACTGGTATGGCCTTGCGGATGTTTGAGTATGTGCGACGATTGTCGTGTTGGCTTAGCGGCGAGGAACTATACAAAGTGCATTTGCTGTCGCACAGACATCGCGGCGTATTCGAGGTTGTATGTACCTTAGGTCTTGGACATTCTGCCGCAGCGCAGGCATTAGAGAGCGTGTTTTTGAATCGATGCATATTTCACGGTGTCACTACTCTTCGTGTCTTTGTTCAATTGAGTAAGTGAGACCTCAGCTACCAATTACGCTGAACGAAGCAGGAGTGGACACAGTTTGCGTCGCTGGAAGAAGTACTGTCATAATTCGTTTCGATATACTGTCATCTGCTCTCGACGTGCTGTTGCTTCCTGTCGATGTACTGTTGGTATCTGGCAATAAAGCTGCCGCTCTTTTTGCGGCAACCTGTCTACGTGACATTTAGCACGATGGAGTTGAACCTAATAACTTCCCGCGCGATAGGCCGCTGGGCTGGGTACATTGGGCGCGATATACCTCCCATAATTCGACTTTTCTGTGTTCCAGGTTGTGGATGAGTCGACTGTACTGGTATTGCTAACGAGTTGATCGGCTGTAGACCTCTGGGAGTGCAATGATGTCCAGAGTGGTTGTATGCCCTTGCCCCAGAGGCGCCTTGCTAGTCCTGCTGTTGCTGGCATACAGCAGGTGATGACAGAGGCGTTGAGTTCGACCACGCCTAGTCGTCCAGCTGGAGAGAAGTCGTAGGTGGGGTTCGTTGTGTTTTCAGTCTGCTTGAGGAGGACTATGCGGACTACGCTGCACGCGGTGACTAAAGCGCCGATTGCGAAGGTTGCGAGTAAGCTAGAGCGAGATGATTAGTCGAGGTCTTTTCGCCGAGATATGTCACATTGAGGAGATAGCGATACATACCCTAACTTGCGAGGACCCGATACCCTGAGTTTCATGATTCGTGACATTGGCATGATCAGAACGGCCAGATCGAGGACCAGATTGACAGAAGCAAATCCATAATGAAGCCCTGTCGAATTCAAGCACGTTGCCTGCGGCCGGAGAGTGAGGTCCCAGTACGCAGCAATAGGTCGGCATGCGAGTGTCACAGTGGTACACGAGACAATGAGCGCAATGGACAACATTGCCGCGAGACCATAGCAGGTGAAATGGAACCAGGTGCGACCGTCGAAAGGGTGCCAGATTCGCAGATACAAGCAGACCAAGCTGAGTTTGGTGCCGAAGATAACCATGAAGAGTGCGACTTGTCCAGCGAGGAACCACTATTTGAATTATGGTTTAGCATGTCTACAGGTGTTTGAGGGACTGGTGCTTTCGGTACCTTGAGATATGTCTTGATCTGTAATGGTGACAACTCGTACAAATCCTGCCCAGACCCATTCCTGACAGTGTATTGTGACACGACGAACATGGCGATCGTGGGAATAATAAGTAGCGCGACGATATAATCATCCGCTTTGTAGCCCGCGCCTGACAAGGCTGGGCAGCGTGAGAGCATGCGAGCAATCACAAAAGCCATGGCCAACGAGAACAGAATAGGCGCCGCATGTCTGGCGTAGTGTGATCGATTCCTGATCGGTTGGCCGCAAATGTCGGCTCGGTACTTGGCCGCTTTGAGCTGGTCTGCAAACGCACAGGTTGAAGTCACACAGTTCGTCAGAGCCTGGCTCATTACCACATCATTGCAGTAGCATGAGTTCTGAGGCAGACATTGGAATTCTGTGAGAATCTTGACGCCGCATTCCAGCGCGCATGGCGGCGGAGCGGCCGTGGCGATGCTGCTTTGGGGTAGAGACTCTCCCAACACGGAGGATGGGAAGACGAAAGCGAGGAGGAGCGAGGGAGCGAAAGCGAGCATTGTGCCTGAAGAGAGGCGCGAGAGTTCTCCACCGCCCCAGGCACATCCTTACTGTTCATCTTTATGTCTTGCAGAAATGCGGAGAATTATTGCGCGATTCGTGAGTGAGTGCCGAGTGCTTGTCCTTCTGTATGGCTATGACTTCGCATGCAGCGGTGGCGTGCAGCCAAGCTGCACTCAAAGCACCGCTCGTATCGGGCGACTGCTGCGTTGTGTAGAGAACGGCCCTTCCTCACTCCTTCTTTCGTCAGAGTGCCGACGGGGAGCTGCGCGGACCGTTACGGGAGGCGGCCCGTTCGAGTCAGTTCTCACTTGACCTTATTCGTGCCTTGCACAATCTTCCCAATCTGCAACATGCCGTCGGTATCCCGAATCCACAAATAGAAGAACTCTAAGCAGACCTGACTCGAGCCGCAGTCGGGACAGTTCACCCGGTTTGATCAACATCGACTGTACTCTGCACCCTACTCGTGGAAGTCTCAGTCGTGTGAAAACCACCAGAGACCTACAGAGTCATCGGAGTAGTTCCCGGAATACGACGAATACCAAGGAGTAGTAGATCAGTTCGACCCTCTCTCCACAAACAACGACTCGCTGTAGCGTCCCGCCAAGGCGTTGCTTCTATGACTAGCTCTGCTCCAATCTCAGCCAATCGCCATATATACCTCGAAGCTTCGCACTGATTTCGAGCGCCTCATCTTCATCTTCCTGGAGATGCTTCGACAGAAGATGAGACTTCAGCGTTGGCTTGCACTCGTCTACAAGATACTGCAGCAGCGTCATGACACGCAACTTTCAGAAAATGACAAGTAGCACCAAATGCTGAAACAACAATTTAGTGATCAATCGTGCTTCAGGTGACAACTGTGATCCTCATTTGGCTGGTTCGACTATGAGACACCTTCAGTGCAATCAGCAATTCGCCTACACAGTGTCACAACACAAGTACTGGAAGTTGGAGATGTCACCGGTCAGCTGGACGACCTTTCTGGCTCCTCTTGTTGCAAGATCTGCAAAGAGCAGAAGTGTCCAGCTCCTCCCACAAGTTCGAACTTCGAACTGCTGCAAGTCTCCCGCTAAGGCATTGTTATGACTAGCTTTTCTCCAAGCAAGCTCTCGGCATGAACGCCAAGAAGCCTTGCGAAGGGCTGGCGCAGCCACTTTCCGTTGTCCTGCAGATGGCGCGATCGTATTTGCCTTCTGCTTGTACTCTTTCGACGAGGAATGAGGTGGTTGATACGACTACAAGATACCTGCAAAATATGCGAAGATTGTTTGTTCACGACAAGCAGCATTCAGTCTGCACTGTGTCAGATAAGCAGTTCGACTGGAACAAGTGAGAGTGAAGTCGCCGGTAAGACCGATGACCCTTCAACTTGGTGGCGATGTTCAGATGCTATGGACGGATACCTTACACCTATGACTGCGCAAAGAGAGCACACCAAGTCGGGAAAATACCAAGATTTTGAAAAGAGCGTCCATCACAGTATCGTACACGTGCCTCGTAGGTTCAAGCATTGCCAGCTAGCGCCTGTCGTGCTGCCACCTGCGGAGTTCTGGCCGGAAGTAACCCGTCGGGTTGCCCACTCTTCCAGGGATCCAGCTACCATCCGTATCGAACCTCCAAAACCATTGATGACGATCCATGGGATACATCTCACCGTTCCAGAATGTCCAACTGTCACCCGGCCACTGTTGTGCCCAAGGGGAGGCGTAGTCTTCTGGTGGCCACATGTCATATTGCGGATAGTTTGTGCCTTGTGGGTACCCCCAATCGCCGTGGAGCTATGATTCGAGTTAGTCATTAAGTATCAAGATGCTGCATATCTTGAGAGAACATACACTTTGGAAGGGCACGTAATCGGGATCCCGTCGAGCGACTAAATGGGTTGGTACATAAGCCCCATTTATGTACCATTCTCCGCTGGGCATGATCGAGGTGTTTCTGCTGGTCAAGGTGCAACGATGCGAGTAAATGCAGGGATTTTCGGCTCTGTCACCGTCGTTGCTGCTGCTGTTGTATTTTCGGAATACTAGAACAGGGCAGGGGCATGATATATATTCGTGGCGGACCACAGACTGTAGTGAACGCTGTGCGTGGCACTCCCGTATAAATCATCAATAGGGGGATCAATATAGAGTGGTTCTAATTGACGTGAATGCCGTCAACGATGACCTCAAGAAAGGACTTAGACACCTTCACAAGAGCCTCTACTACCTACATGTCATTTGTGGCGCTGGACTTTGTGTGGGGATTGAGCACCTGAGCGGCAGTCCTTGTCGAATCCCTGAGAAATCGTACCACTTCACTATACAATGTTGTAGGATGGCATGAATACCAATAGCAACAAAAAAAACCCAGGGAACACTCAATCATGATCAACAAGCTGCTTTCAGCAAGATATATCATTATCTCCTACCTTCCGGCAAAGGCCACCATTGATCCCACTCGTACTCATGGTTCAAAAACCACGGATTCTCTACAGCGTACATATTCCCATTATCGAAACCCCAAGTTCGATAGGGGTAATCAGGCACAAACATTGGCATCATGTCATGGTCTTCACTTGACCAGTCGCCATACTGAGGATAGTTGGCGCCCTGTGGATAAGCTAGATCGGAGTACCATAGCTGTTGTGGGTCAGATCGAGAAGGAAGTGTCGCATTTGTGTATGGCAGTGCTTACACTTTGGAATGGGACATAGTTTGGGTCTCGACGGGCCACCCAATTCGATGGAACCAGCTGCCCGTCAATGTACCAGTCTCCCGTCGGCATGGTGTTCGAGTTGCGGTTCGAAGAGGGGTTAGATTAAGTGTTGTTCGGAAATTCAAAGTAATGGCCGTGCAGCTTCAGAGACAATGCGAAGCACTATAAGCGCTGGCGGTACTGTAGTGAATATGTCCTAAGCAAATATCAAGAAGCCGTTGTTTCGCAATGTGCAATAAGAACAGTACATGTGCCACCACGTGCCTATGAAACCCTCTATTCAATCAAGAAATTGTTGCCTCGCCACACCTCTATCAACGCCGCCAATGCCCGCCCATCGCCAACATTGAAACCATCGTTGTGCTAGACCATTATAGTCCTGCCAGTGCTCCGTTGAGCACAGACAACTTCGCATCTCCCTCAGCAGACGCAAGTTCCGCAAGAACTTCGTTGAACAGGCCACCCACCCTCTCCACCACATTAGCTCCGAGAGCTCGACTATCCCACTCCAGCTTGATACGATGACCACCGGCCGCTGTCTTTTGTACTTCCACATAGAGAGCATAATTGAATGTCATGTAGACTTGACTCTGTGCCATGACGATCCATCGCATATGGTTCACGTCCGAACCAGCTGGGGCGGGATCGAAAGGCTGGTAGCAATAGAGCATCTTGGCCATGCCGCCTTTGTTCGCTCGATCCCAGCCGAGGGTACCTTGGTAGATATCATCCAGATTGACGTTTCCGTGCTCTGTAGTGTCCCAGAAATCGGACTGTGTTGTCTTGAGAAATTGCGCGACAGTGGTCGATACGCTCAGCCGGGAGCGGAAGGGCAAGAAGTTTGCACATGTACCATTGACGGTCTGAGGGTTTGCGACGTCAGCGTTACGACCAGTAATCAGGTTATCGACCAAGATATCGCTCGAAGATGTGATGTTGCCGACTACCAAAGCGTTGACAGCTTGGAAGACAGTAGATGCTGTGACACCGAATCGCAGCGCGATGGTATCGACGTCGGCGGTGATAGCAGTAAAGCCTTTGCTATCTGTAGCGAGTCGGACCGGAAAGCTTGAAGCTGGCGCATAGTCTTGAAGCAGCTGTTTCCAATAACCCAGGCTTTTGTTGCGATCTTGCTGCGTCACCCATTCAATATAGTTCCTGAACGGATTCACGTCTGAAAGCACTGGATCGTTGCGTGCCAATGCTGTGAACTGCTCATCAAAGATTCGAAGCAGCGTTCCGTCGTAAGATCCATGGCTGACTTTGATGCAGAGTGACAGCCGGCCCGTCGAGCTGTGGACGAGCAGCTTATAAGCGATCATAGCCTTTCCTACAGCGAAGTCGCTCTTGCGCAAGTCGTCGATGAGGGCTTTCTTTTCATCGTCCGAGCCATAAGTGGTTGCGCTCCAGTCAAGTGTGGAAGTTTTCAATATGATCTGCAAATCTGAATTAGCTGACTGCGCTGTAGATCAAGCAAGCATCACTTACTTGATACCATTTCGTTTCGTGAGCTGAGGACACTGGGCAGTACGTGGCCCGCAGTATCTGGTTGCGTGCTGTAAGACTCTGTGTCACGCGCAGCCAGTGCTCCAAATCAAAATCAGAAGGAAGGTCGCGGCACACGACCAGGTTCCAGTATTGTTCAGGTTCGAAGCCTCGAGCAAGAAACTCCGACTGGCCAGGACCACAAGGATAGACATCCTCCACATCACCTTCATAGTTGAGACCACTTTCCTCAATGGCGTACTTCACCGCATCTGGTATCTCGAAGCCTTTCGTTCTCTCAGTCGAAGCATTGGCAACCAAAAGATTTAGGTGTCGAGCTTGGTCGGCCAGAAGCGGATTCGCAAGAATCTTGGCAACAGAGACACTGTATCCGATTCTTCGGCATTCTGATGCGACGGTAATGGCGGCGATGGAGTCGCCCCCAAAAGCGAGGAAGTCTGAGTTGGCGCCAATAGAGCTCATGGGGCTGTCAAGCACAGCCGCCCATGCTTGCTGTAGAACAATCTCCTCGGCAGTGGAAGCCGATAGAAACTGCGACTTTGGTACGCTTTGTGGACTGTATGATGCCACTTGTGTCTTGTCGAGGGCTTCTGCATATGCCGTGAGTTGCTTCCTGTTTGCCTTGCCAGAAGGCAAGGTTGGGAATGCCGTATATGGCAGGTATAAAGCTGGCATCATGTAATGGGACAGGGTGCCCGCTTCCAAGTTGTGCGCCAGACCTTTGATAGCGTCTAGACGCTTTTCGGCGCCCAGAAGGGTTGGTAAGCCAGCTTCTCTGTCGCCTTTGAAGATGCAGAAAGCAACAAGCTGTCGTTTGTGACTGAGTTCCGCAACCGTCACGACGACAGCATCCACTTCACCAGTGCGCTCTATGGCATTTTCGATCTCACCAAGCTCGATTCGAAAGCCGTTGAGCTTGACCTGATTATCTTTCCGTCCGTAACAGCTGTGAAATCACGTGTCAGTAGGGTATGATGAGAAAAGGGAAGGGTTCCTTACATGAGCCAACCATCCTGAGCCCATGATGCAAGGTCTCCAGTGCGGTACCATCGCTCGCCATTTGCAAGCTCGACGAAGGACATCCTAGTCTGCTCAGCCCGATTGAGGTAGCCCTTGGCTAGCTGAGGTCCGGCTACACATAGCTCGCCAACGTCACCTCCAGCTACTGGCTCGATGCTAGTTGCATCTGGTCGCACGATGAGAGCCTTGACGTGCAACATAGGGAAACCTATACTGTTCAGATCGCCCTCCGGCTGGACTTTAGAGACTGTCATCAAGATGGTTGCCTCAGTTGGTCCATAGCCGTTGTACACATCAACTTTTTCCGCCCACGAGAGAATATTCATGTCGATCTTCTCTCCACAGACATTGAGGACTTTGAGGCCGGGAACATCAGCCGGCCCATTCCTGATCAATTTGGTGATCGTAGGAGTAAGCATGACCTGATTGACGTTCATCCTGTTGATGTGTCCGGTAAGATCAGAGAGGATATCGTCCTGCGGTGCCACGCACAGCGTGCCACCCGTGGAGAAAATAGTGAACACATCGTAGTACGAAGCATCGAACACGTAGTTCAGAACCCAGAGTGCAACCCAGTCCGGAGTGACATTCGTAGCTTTGACCATGCCTATAGTAGCGGCCACGACTGCAGAGTGAGGCACCAGAACACCCTTGGGCAATCCCGTAGAACCTGATGTGTATATGGCGTAAGCCGTGCTGCCGGGTGAGAGGCCAGCAACCCTGATGTCTTCGCTCGAGTAGTGTTCGAGGTACAGATCTGACAGTACAATCACATCGCAGCCGAAGTCGTGACAAGTCTGTTGGTGTGTAGTATCCGAGACTACGCGCCGAGCAGCGACATCTTTGACTATAAAGGCATTCCGTTCGCGAGGGTTGGCCGGATCCATAGGTGTGAAAGCCGCACCAGCTTTGAGAATGCCGAGTATGGCAACGAGGACATCCTTTGACTTCTCCATATACAGTGGAATTAGTTCACCAGGCGTGACGCCCTGATCAGTGAGCCACCTGCAGAACTTGTTGGATGCTGCATTTGTCTCAGCGTAAGTCCATTCTTGACCATCGCTGTGGCGCACAGCGACCTTTGAAGGCATTTCAGCTGCGACGTTCTCAAAGGCAGCGTGTGCAAGACCAAACTCGGGTGCAGGGGTGGGTTGAGCGCTCGGAAGCACTATGTACTCATCGCAATCGGAGTCTGCAGGAGTTAGGTCGACTTCCGCATCACTAAGACTGTCCAACTGCATCGATCGAAGGACGTCGACAAAGGTCTCGAGAATTTTCTTGGCCTGGGTATGATTAAGTCCAGCAGGAGCGAGCAACTTCGCACATGAGGGATGACTTTCGTCAATCTCAAGGGTTATATATCTGACAGATTGTTAGTAGCGGTGGTTTTCAACCGTATGGGCAAGCTTACTGGGTGAAATTATCCTCGTGCCAAACGATAGGAGCTAGCGGAGTGTCGAGAGAAAAGTCTTGCAGAGTGATCAAGATGTTGACCATCGTGTTGAAGGCACCAGGGGCCTTTCCTGCTGCCGCAAGAGCCTGACGAAGTCCGTATTGACCGTGTTCCGACAAGCTCCAGAGATTGTCCTGCGTCTTCCTGGCTCGTATTGCTGCGGAAGCATTCGGGTCATGTCTGACCCTCAATGGAACTGCGCTCATCGTTGGTCCATTCAATGTCATAATTCCTTCTAATGGCGCATCTCTTCCAGATATGGCGGTCAAGAAAGTGACATCGTTTGATCCAACAAGCCTCATTATAGTCATTGCCCATGCTTCATGTACAGACGCACCTAGCGTGGTTCCGGTGGATTGGCAGAAATCCATGAGCAAGTCCCCGATATCTGCTTGGAATGTTTGCGGCTCAGACCCAACATCGTTCACCAGAAATTTGGCGTCAGGTGCATCTTGGAGATAGTCTCGCCAGAATACTTCCGATCTGGGCTCGTTCGAATTCACGTTAGCAACAAATCTGCTGAAAGGTGCTCTGGATAGCGGCTGTTGACCTTTCAGGACCGAGATAGCATCCTGAACAAGGAATTGGCTTGACCAGTAGTCGAAAAGGGCATGATGCATAACAAGTATCAAATAACCGTCATCCAGGAACGCTGCCTTGACCAGCGGACCAGATATGGACTTAGTCTCTCCAGCCAGCGATTGGCGAGCTTGTTCCAGACTCATGTCGCGGAATGTTGTGACGTTTAGAGGCTGGCGTCGCTTTACCACCTGAGTAAAGCCTCGCTTCCACGGCACGAACCCCGTGCGGAAGATCGCGTGTTGCGCTATGACCGTGTTGAGAGCTTGCATGACCTGAGCGATAGTGATGCCGTTCAGCCGATATACTCTTTGATACCAGTGATTGGCGTTGCCCAACATCGTATCAGCCAGAATACCAGTCTGAAGCGGAGTGGCCGGATATGCATCTTCCCATGTAACAGGATCGTGCGCAAAGCCATCTGGCAGGAGCGAGAAAGGCACGTAGTCCTTGGTGCTCTGCGGGTCTACCAATTTTTCCCACTCCAGTAGCTGACTGAGACAGTCGAATTGCAGTATGTCGGCAGCAGAAATGTCAAGAGAGACTTCTCGGAGTCGCGTGGCCAGGATGATGGCTTTGAGAGACGAGCCGCCAAGGTCCTGAAAGGAACTGCCGAGATCGAGCTGTTCCGGACGTAATTGAAGAACTTCAGAAAGACTTTTCAATACAACATCAAACTGTGGTGCGGAGTGATGATGCGGAACCGACTTGGGAACCGCCAACGCCACCAGCTCATTGATACTCTTGGTTTCGGCTAGTGTCTTCAATGCGGCCAGATCGGTCTTGCCATTGATGTTGAGAGGCATTGCTTGGAGTTCAAGCCAGTATTGCGGGATAGCGTACGATGGTAGCTTGCTACGAAGGACCGCCCGCAACTCTTGTACCAGCGTCGACCATTCGACATTGCGGCTCGGGACAATCGCCGCGACCATCGCGTTTTGACCCTGGATAGTCGCAGGTACGACAGCCGAGCTGATAACTTCTTTGTGGAGCTGTATGTAGCTGTGAGATTCTTCCGGCTCTACTCGATGCCCTTCGATTTTGGTCTGCTGATCGATACGTCCTAATAGTTCCATGCATCCATCAGGTCTGAGAACCACCAGATCGCCAGTGCGGTACAAGCGACCTTGCCCAAAAGGGTTGGAAGCAAAGGCTTGTTTCGTCTTGTCTGGCAAGTTCAAGTAGCCGTCTGCTAGCTGATCTCCACCAAGACAGAGTTCGCCCGGGACGTTAGTCGGCATGGCTTCGTAGCTTCCTGGTTGTAGAATATATGAGATTGTGCCGTCAGTTGGCCAGCCTAACAGGGAGCCAGGTTTGCCCTTCGAGAGAGTTGATCGCATGCTCAATTGCGTACATTCGCTGAGTCCGTAGGCGCTGACCAGCTCGACTCTGCCCGCCCAGGTCTCGACAATGACATCGCTGATCTTCTCTCCACCCAGTGTAATGCGTTTCACAGATTTGGGCAAGTCCTCGGGCTTCAAAATGTTCAAGAGGCTAGGGGTTATCTCCAATGATCGAAGGGCCAACCTTGAAATTGTTGCGCTCAGATTGACAGTAATTGATGTCTTGCTAGCCACGCATAATGTGCCGCCACGTATGATTGTTCCAAGGATTGTCCGCTGAGCTGCGCTGAAGCTCGGAGAATGAAGCAGTAGACTTTTGTGGTTCATCGATGACTCGAGCAAAGGCATTGCGAGCAGGCCTGTGCAAGCAGCAAAGTGCGAGACAGTTACTCCTTTCGGGTTTCCAGAAGTACCAGATGTATAGATGACGTACGCAGTGTCTGAAGGTGCCTGGTAGTTAGCGTAAAACTGATCAGGACCAGCTATGCTGTCCGCCTGCAGAGAAAAGGCTTCGAATTCGATCTCATCGCACTCTCCATGCACGAATCCCGCCGTTGTCTTGTCCACGAGCACAAATCGTGCTTTGGTGTCTTGCACGATCGTACGGTTTCGTTCCTCGGGGGCATCTGGGGACAGTAAGGTATATGCGGCACCAGTCTTGAGAACTGCGAGCATGGCGACCACAAGGTGCGATGTGCGAGACATGTTGATAGGCACAATGCTACCTCGACCGCAGATCAACTGTGCAGCAGCTGAATTCGCCTGGCGCTCCAGCCCCCGAAAAGATATCTGACCAGTAGCTTCGCAGTCAATGGCTATGCTTTCGGGAACAAGCTCCGTTCTTTCTTGAATATGGCGATGCACGAGCATGGACTTTTGCCTGTCGGCTGCCCAATTGACGGCGCTCGCCGCGGCCATGTGTTTTGGTATAATTCGTCCCATAATCGTTGTTTTCGACTGCAAAGATGTGGTATGAGTGGCAGATGCGGATTGTTTGCTATTGAAGATGCTCAGGCACGGGATTGTCTTCTGGCATGCGAATCTAGACGGCGGCCCATCGTATGATATATGGTCATGATTTCGCTGAGCCTGTCCGCCCAACGCAGAGCTAATTGAACCTGCCCGTCAACTCTGATCCCAAATCGTATTTGCTCGGGGTGTCCGGCGGCCCAGGCTGAGCCCGTCATGACCGCTCAAGTCTAGGCAGGCGGTCCCAAGCGATAGTGGGAGCCATACCAACATGCCGAAGAGCCTTCCGGAGCGAGGCGAAGTCGATGGCTTGAGTTCAGGTCAAACATAGCCAAGCACATTGATGCCCGATTCCGTTGGTTCTCTGGATAGACATTGAAGGAACGTGAAGCTGCGCTCACCAGGTTGCCAGCCGTTCCTGTTGCGACGTAAATCCTCAGCGCAACGCAACATTATGGCCGGTGAGTTAGAACCGGTGTGAAAGCGGGAGTCTGACCACACCGGCCTACAGGGCTCCGCGCAGGCTGTGATTAGGTCGTGTCGCCTGACTTGCGATGTGGTTCTGGTCGTAACACGCAGCTTATGACCGTCTGTCAGCGCCCTTACGACCAGAAGTGGCAAGAGCTCCGCCTCTATAAGATGCCGGGTTTCGTGACAGCTTCTTGCATGAGCAACGCCAAACCAACAAGATCTTCTTTTCGAAAGGCACTTCCAATACGATGTCCACGATTTCCCGCAAATTGCCTATGGCACAATTGATTACCCGGTCAAATGAGACCATGGAGAACGCCGGAGTAGGCAGCCCATCAATTCGATTTCGAAAGCAGGAGTGCCTCAGCCCACGCGCTTCAGAAGTTCAAGTTCGATTCCTGATGGCGCCGATTCATCCTTTGGACAAGCTCGTCATCGGCGGCCGTTATCCCGTCAAGCCAGTCTACAAGCATATGGGCGAAGACATCCTTGGCTATGATGGTGTAGCTGAAGTTCTGGCTGTCGGACCTCAAGTCGACGACCTGTACACCGGCGACTTGGTAATACCATCTAAATTTGGGTTAGGCACGTGGCGCAATGTTGCCAGCTTACAGCGTTCTGATCTCGAAAAGATCCCTCGCGTCAAAGATCTCAGGTTCGCAGCCATACTACGTGTGTCGGTCATGCCCGCCTACTTTCTCGTTGAAGATATGGCAACGCTGCGACCTGGGGAGTACATCATTCAAAATGCCGGGACGTCTGTCATGGCTCAAATGGTGATACAATTCGCCCGCAGGCACGGTATCAAGACAATAAATGTCATTCGAGATCGTGATCAGGCAAGTGCGATCATGATTCAGACGGCCCTGCATCAGCTTGGTGCAGACACTGTGGTTACAGAAAGCGAACTGCTCCACAATGCTGCTTCGATCCTGGAGAACAAGAAAGTCACTCTGGCGGTTGACTCAGTCTTCGGTCATTCCGGACGTGCCCTGATGAAGGCCCTGAGTGCTGGTGGAACGTACGTGCAGCTTGGCTTTCTAGGTGGTAACCAAGAGACGCTCGATCTGGAGCCCAATGACATATTTGGGAAACAAATCGTATTGCGGGCTTTCCGAGGGTCTGCGCAGCTAGCATCGCGATCCTTGGTTCAGCAGCAAGCTCTGTGCGACTGGCTCGTGCATTTATTCAATGAGGGCCAGATCCTTCTGCCGCCACTTGGTTTCACAGACGTTCCCTGGAGCGGTGAAAACGGAGCCAATGAGGTTCTGGAGGCCATCAGAGATGCACAAGTCGGCGAACTTGGTCGGAGTAAGCCAATGATTCTGTTTGAGATGCAGGAAGACTCGGTAGATAATGTGTAGCAAGAAAGAATGCGCAGTTGATGTTGAAAGAAGAAGAGGAAACGGAGGTACGGCGGGAGCGGGCCGCAAAATTGGCAGTGCAAACGCTCCATCTTGCTACAATCCTTATATCATCCTCATCCTCATCATCCTCTCTATAATGGGTCTCAAGTACGCGGCACAGTCGGCGTCACCGACTTTCTCAGCGATTCCATCAATCCCTCGGGACGAATTGGCTGATCATCATCAATTCTAAGCGCCCGAATAACCCTTGCAATGAGTGCATACGTGCCCAAGATGATCAAAGTTTCGACCAACTCAGCATTTGAGAGGACCTCGAGCGCATCTCTGATCGTCTCCTCCGCATTCGTGTAGTCGACGAGCTGCTCATCTACCAGGCGGAGTATGACCCTGTCTCGCTCGGACCAAGGGCCTTCGCCATCCACAATGCTCTGGGCACTGCATCCCATGGCATCAATCTTCGCCTGTGGCATCTCGTAAAGCTCCGCCACTGGTAGATTGACATCGTATTCATACTTCGCCTTCAAGGTTGTGGCAGTGCGAAGAACAATGAGTTGCTGAGCAGCTGTCAGGTCAAGTGAGAGTCTGCTAAATGATGTGACCGCTTACCCAGTCGAGCAACTGCACGGTGCGTGCTTCGCCGTTGAAGCAGCTACCAATTACTCCAATCAGGTGCGGGAATAACCCCTCGGAATGGGCAAGCAAATGGAAAATGTTGCGCCTGAACGGCAAGACTTTCAATTTCTCGGCAATCGCAGGTGGCGCTGTGGCAGCGTCGACATAAGGCACCAGTGATGTCTTTCTGAACGGATCGAGCTGGTCCTTTGTCGGCGCCGGGCTGCTGTATTCGGGTCCGGAAGACATGATGAAAATGCTTTGTGGCTCCAAGCGTTGTGAATGGATCGTGTGAAGGTGCGGAAGACTTTCAAAAATGCAGCACTTTATATGGTCAGCTTGTACCACTCAGAAGCCGCATTATGAATCGCAGATACGACTCAAGCCAAGACACACAGCCGGAGAAGCTCGCGAGGACCGACATTACTACTTTGAGGAAGATGCCGGTGGTATGATCTCACTTCGTATCTCGACCAACAGCTGAAATCCTTCTTCGCACAGCATTTCGCGTGGCGTTGTGGGCACATTGTACCGGTCAAAGACTGTACGACCAACGAACGCATCTAATCGTGCAACAAGGAATGGAAGTATGGAGGCTGACAATCAGGCAAGAAGCAGCACATCGACGAATACGGTGTCTATCACACGTTGTCACGATGGAAGTTGATTTACTCCAGTTCGCGTTCGCTGACGCATCGTCTCATCTACTGCTCGCTTTCATTCTTTTCCTTGCATATCGAAACTACCCCAAAGCTGCTTCAGAAACCAAGCCATCATGGGCAACATGATCTCGATCATATGGCTCAGTGGCACTGTCATCGCCTTCAGCTACATTCTCTACCAGCGCTATTTCGTGACGCTTGCTAGAATTCCAGGTCCTCTCACGACAAGCTTTGGCAATTTCTGGAAGTTACGTGCTGCGTACGGTGCGGATATGCCCTTGCAGAATCTCGATCTTCATCGCCAATATGGGAGCATAGTGAGGACTGGATCATCGACAGTCTCCATCAGCGACCCAGCAGCGCTGCCAGTTATTTACGGCTTCAAGACGGTGTATGACAAGGTGCATGCTCGCGCCCCGCAAACTATGTTCGATCACGATGGCTAATGTATGCGCACAGAGTGCCTTCTACGAATTGGCAGAAGGCTGGTATCAGGGGAGACCACTGTCAAACATGATCACAACTCGATCGAAAGGTCATCACACTCATCTTCGACGTAATGCAATGCATGCATATACAATGGCCACTGCGATGAGTCTCGAAGACACACTCGATCCCAGCATTGAACAGCTCTTACATTCACTCAAGGAGCAGTGCCGAGAGGGTAAGAAAGCAATCGATGTAGCATCTTGGTTGATGTACTTCGCTTTCGATGCAATTGGAAGACTGAACTTCTCCGAGGATCTGGGGTATCTGGCGACAGGCAGCGACATTGAGGGCCGAATCACTGGCACTGCACTGGTACTCACATACCTCTCTGTCGTTGGGCAAGCACCGTGGCTGCATAAATTCATGTTTGGCAGTGCAACTTTGCAACATCTTTTGAGTCTAGAGCAGGCCAACTCGATCCAAAATGTAAGTCATTCGAGTACCTCTCATCCGATATATAACTTATGGCTCACCGCAGCTCGCAATCGACATGGTCAAGAAACGCATCGAGAAAGGCGAGCCGAACGAGCCTAAGGACATTCTTGACTTGATGCTCATCAATGAAGGACCTGAACCTAGCAAGCTAGCTGTCGACGAGATCATTGGACTGACCACTACCAATCTGATCGCTGCTCCAGGAACCGTGGCTATCACTCTTCGAGCGCTTCTGTATCACCTCTGTCGCAACTCGGATGCTTACAGTTCCCTCCAAAGAGAGATCGATTGCGCCTTCGAAAGTGGAGCTCTATCGATGCCAGTCAAATACGAAACAGCATCGAAGTTGAAATATTTGGAAGCTGCAATTACTGAGGCCCTTCGCATGCATCCAACCACTGGCCTTCTGCTGGAACGTGACGTGCCGGCAGGCGGTGCGGAGATATGCGGCCACTATCTGCCTGAAGGTACTGTAGTCGGTATCAATGCTTGGATAATGAACCGCAACGAGGATGTCTTCGGTCACGATAGCGACTCGTTCCGCCCTGAACGCTGGCTGCAAGATCCATCCCGCGTCAACGAGATGCGAAGGTGTCTTCTCTCGGTGAGTGCTACTTGCACCATTTGCAGCCCGTTTGCATTGAAGCTGACCACGAAATAGTTTGGAGCGGGTCCGAGGACATGTGCGGGTCGCAATTTCGCAATGATGGAAATGGTCAAAGTGGTACCGGCCTTGCTGAGGAAATTTTCGTTTCGCTTGGCTGATCCAGGTAAAGAGTGGAAAGTCCGAGGACACTGGTTCACGCATCAGTCTGAGATGGACATGTTCGTCACTCCAAGGAAATAGCTGTGAGGGTACTGTATACACTGCTTTACTAGCACGATCTGTCGTTACATAGATGTCAAGCACAATCTCAATGCTGCTTTACACGGATTGTAACCACAATCTTGTTGCTATGTCGCGCAGTCACATATTGAAGATGAGGCCGACCCAGACTTGGCTATCGATGTCCCAGTTGTCTCTAGTCGCTCTTTCGAACACATCTAGTCGTCAGAGCATCTCTCGCATCGCCGAGCTGAGCGACCGCGTCACGTCGAAGAGCCTGAAGAAGATCCGCTTCACCTGAATCCCGGAGAGGATCTCGCGTTCCACCAACAGTGACAGGTTTCGTACTGCTTGGTCACGTAGCATTGAGGATTCCACATTCCAACACCGGTGAGTTTCCAATACTCTGCAATCCGTGTATTTCGACTTCACCGGTGTCGACAAGCCGTGGCAGATCCCTTTGTTGCACAAGCGGCAAGCCCGATGTCTCGGGGCGGGTAAGCCGCCAAGAAAGAAAACAAATATAGTAGAAGAGTAAATGAGGCTGAAGACGAAAGGTCCTACCTGCTGAGAAATCAGAATTCCTGCCAAAGAGCTGCGGCTGAGTGGAAGATGGGAGAAGTCATCGTAGGTGGCTACAGGATCGATGCTGGGAGAATAAGTTGACTGCTTCGTATGTTTAAGTGCACTACAACTGCCTCGTGTTTCCGTTCTCGAGATTTCACTCACTCACTGTGCAACAAACTTCTATTTCACAATGTCTACTGCATCGCAAGAGAATGTTGACCCGCAAGGAGACGTTATGAAAGCAGAAGCCAATTCATCTTCCAGCAGCGAAAGCGCGGGAGATGCTGTCACTCATACTCGAAAGATCCGAGGCCTTCCAGTGCGTACATCATGCACCTCATATACAACGCCACTATCAAGCTAACAACACAACAGTGGTTCCTCACCGTCGTCGCTGTCCTCTCCAGCATGCTCATGTATGCTCTTGACACAACAATCACAGCAGACCTCGGTCCTAGCATCGTGACACAATTCGACAGCATCGAACTTCTCCCCTGGCTTTCGGTCGGATTCATGCTCGGAGGCATAGTCGTCGTTCTCCCACTTGGCAAGCTCTATGGCAAATTCAACGCAAAATGGCTCTACATCATCTCTCTGGTCATCTTCCTTGCAGCTTCGGCAATCTGTGGAGCTGCACCCAACATGGACGCTATGATTGTCGGCAGAGTCTTCCTTGGTGCCGCCGGCAGTGGAATGTATTTCGGTGTTCTGAATTTGTTGTCTGTATATACGGAAGACAAGGAACGTCCGATTTATCTCTCACTCGTTGGATTCATCTGGGGCATCGGCACTGTTCTTGGACCTGTCGTTGGAGGAGGCTTCGACAAAGTCTCGTGGAGGTGGGCTTTCTACCTGAATTTGTTCATTGGTGGCGTGTTCGCTCCAATCTACGTCTTCTTGTTGCCGCCTTCGGATCCACAACCTGGGATGGCTACTAAAGCACGACTGAGCAATTTCGATGGGCTTGGATCCTTACTCTCAACTGGCTGCTTGCTCTGCGGCATCATGGCGATTAACTTCGGGGGCGCATTGTATAGCTGGAGCAGTGGAAGCATCATTGCTCTGTTCGTCGTTGCAGGTGTGCTTCTGATTGGCTTCAGCCTGCAACAAGTGTTCTCCTGGACGACCTCTGAGACCGAAAGAATGTTTCCAGTCCAGTTCTTCCGCAGCAAAGAAGCATGCTTGCTCTTCATCTGTGCCGCATGCTCGAACGCTGCAGGGTTCATTCCGATCTTCTATATTCCGGTCTACTTTATCTTCTCAAGAGGCGACAACGCTCTGGACGCGGCTGTCAGGCTTCTGCCACTGATCACGGTGATGAGCGCATCGATTATTGCGAACGGCTTCTTGATGAGTCGGTGGGGCTACTACATGCCGTGGTATGTGGCCGGCGCAGCACTTGCTTTGGTCGGCAACGTTCTGCTCTGTAAGTAATCTGACACCTTACTTGGCGATGCCACAAGTGCTAACAATGATTAAAGCTTTGATCACTGCTAATACAGCAGTCGCCAATATCTATGGCTACGAAGTACTAGTAGCAATTGGAGCTGGTCTGTTCATCCAAGCTGGATACGCTGCCATACAGACCGTGGTGGAGGCTGCTGAAATGGCATATGCCATCGCGTGAGTCGATCAGCACTCTTGTTTGGATTGTCGTTGACCTTTGTCGTAGATTCATGATGCTCGCACAATTCATTGGAATCGTGTTTGGTCTTGCAGTGGCGGGCGCCGTTTTCGTCAATGTCGCCATAAGCTCGCTGCACAGGATTCTACCTGGAACGCCCAGAGCTGAGATCCAGGCAATCATTGGAGGTATGCTCGGTCTTTCCAATCGACTATACCCACGTTAAAAGGGAACAGGCACATCCTCGCACGCTCTTTCAGACATGTCAGCAGAGTTGCGCGACCAAGTCATCTCCACCATCGTCGAGAGTTTGCAAGGCGTCTTCATCGCTGCTTATGCAGCAGCGGCTGTCGCTTTGATTGCTTCTGTGTTCTTGAAGGTAAGGCGAAAGCGCGCATACTCGTGACTTCAGCTGAGCTAATCTTGTCCACAGCGAAGCAGAGCTCTGGCATAGTGCCTGAAAAGGCTCAGCTACACAGTCCCCAGAGACTGCATAGAAAGGGGACTGCACAGATTCTCCGACTCTTCTCTTTCAGCGTTTACTGGCTGGTCTTTTCCCTTCATAGACATTATAGCGCCCGATGTTGAACGTAGTTGGAAGCCAGCGTCCGGAATAGTACCGTTGCCCTGTCCTGGAATGGTCGCAGCTAAGAAGTCGTGCTTCAGGCTTGTCCATAGGGAGGCTCGGGCTGCAACGTAAATTTCGAAAGGTGATCTGCGCCTCAGTATCACCACCGGTGGGGAGGGAGGCATGCAAGCGGCAGCAGGCGGAAGCTCGCGTGCCGGGTTCAGCAATAACCACCATCATCATAGTTCTGTTAACAAATATTGATGCGACTTGCATCGATGAATGAAAGAAGTCCCGATTCTTGATGTGAGGAAAGGCTGCACGCAAGGGTATCGATGAATTGCTATCATAGTACTCTGCAATCAGTCAACTGTACGACCAAAAACTTTCTTCCAAAGTCCGGCGAGTCAACCCGACTTGGCCATTTCCGAATGCTCGGCAGCAAGTCCATCCTTATACTGTGACACAACGCTGCCATCCAGCGTCTCACCGAAGACATCCACTTCAGTCGAAGCAAACTTCCGCGCTGAGACCTTGCGCTCGAACAACAGATCCATTTCAGCGAATGTCCTGCCCTTTGGCTCTGGAACACGGAAGTATGTGTAGATGCAGCAGAGGAAAGCCAGACCTGCCCAGAAGAATCCAGCGTAGCTGCCCCAGTCCCATGCGGTCGGGTTGATCATGTAGGGTGTGACAGTAGAGCAGATGATGGCGGCAATGATGTAGAGGTTGCGGCCCAGCACGACAGTCTTGATTTGCAGACGACGGGACGAGATCTCCGAGACGAGGGAGTAGCAAACTGTTCCGACAGTGAGCTGATATGTGAGAGCCCAGACCAGCATGATCGATCCAGTGGCAAGACCTGCAGTCTCACGATCGCCGACGAGACCCATGAAACCAATGATCAAGAGGAGCACAGTGAGGATACAGAGACCGGCAAGGTAGAGAGTTCGTCGACCAATGCCGAGGGACATCAGTCCCCAAGCTCCGAAGACACCGACCATGTTAATCGCGTACTGTCCCATGGCGAAGTCGTAGGAGTTCTCTGAGCTCACACCGGCTTGCTGGAGGAAGTAGGTCGAGTAGTTGGAGAAAGAGTTTCCAGCAAGGTTTTGGATGGCCCAGCACATGCAGACAATCTCAGTTCGGCGAAGGTCGGTGCCTCTGAAGCAGTCCAGATAAGAGGCTCCATGGGTAGTGTGCGTCTCAAGTTCGGTGGTATGAGCCATCATGGCAATAGTCTCATCGGCATTGAAGTTGGTCTCGCGATTCGTCGAAGTCAAACGAAGGAGCGATTTCTTCGCGTCTTCCAGACGTCCTTTCCTGACAAGCCACCTGGTGTCAAGTTAGTGCCCTGCATTAGTCGTTTCATTCTGCTTCTGCTTACCATGGAGACTCTGGCGCAAAGAACACGCCAATGATCAGTGGAACGGGCCACATCCATTGAAGTGCGTACGGAATGCGGTACGCCCACTCATCGGTACGAGTGAACATGGATCGAATGACTCCGATGGCAATGAGTTGTCCCAGCCCCCAGCAGCAGTTCACATATGTCGTCAAGTAGCCACGCAGGGCGATTGGGCATACTTCGGATGCCTATGTGACTGTCAGTATCTTGTGATCGTCAACACTTGGAAGGCAGGATTCTCTCCATACATAAGTGATTGTAAGTGTCTGGAAGACACCCCATGGCAATCCTGGCAAAAGTCAATACATATTTGGTGGCAATGGATACATCGATTCTGCTTACCACAGAGAATTTCTCCGACAAGCAAAGTCTCGATATTTGGCGCCGTGAAGAAGATCGTGATGAAGGCAATGATAAGACCAAGACATGTGATCACGACCTTGCGATAGCCGAATTTCTCCGATGCCCCTACGATGAATTAGCGAAGTTCGATCATATGCCTACACCAAATTCTTCGCAACTTACATCCGTTGATGAGGAGACCGAAGAATTGACCAACAAGAGCGCCGTTCGACAGACCAGCTTGCCACGGTGCCGAGACCTGAAGTCTATCGTCAACACTGCTCACTACGGTCCAGGTGCGGTATCGTAACTCACCTGATAAGGCGTCTCTGGGTTGCCGGTTGGTTCTCCGTACTTGCGGTTGAAAGGCGCGAAGCCGTAAAAGTTGTTCACCAGCGCAAGTTGATAGCCTTCCATGGCAATGCAGGTTGAAATGAGGACACTCCATGCAATGGCCTTGGGATACAGTCTGACACCCTGCAGGAGGGTCATCTTTTGTTCCTCATCGGAAGCCTTCTTCGCATCGAGGACGGTTTGCTTGTATGATTCGGTCGCGTTGAGCTCGTCGCCTTGCGAGAAATGTAGAGGTCCACCTGCGGCCTCAACATCGGCCTTCTTCTCGCTGTACGCGGATGCTCGTCTTTCGTCCGCCATGGCAGCTGTATTGATCGCTGGCAGATACCCTGCGACAAGTTTGTGATGCGAGGGAAGAGCTGGTGAGGAAGCAAATCCTTGCTCGGAGGCAAGACGAGAAGAGAAGCTGCAGATCTTTATGGTTCAGTGTAGCGTACCGCGCTAAGCTGCCACGAGACCACTCGCGTGCCCTACTACGCCTTTGAACTCCACTTATTGGAGCAGACGCCGATGTTGCTGGAATGGAAGAACATCTCCCCAGGGAGGCGTAACTCTCACGCGTGTGATTGGGAGCTCGCGAAGCTTCTGGAATAACCAAAGACCGATCCATGCCACTTCTCCGCTCCGACCAATGTTATCCCATGCGCTTCTCCATATGGGGTACCGAACCCCAGCGCTACGGATGAAGGTATGACCGTGAAGCAAAAACTGACCTCTTGTGATTGGAGAGTATTCCGCCGAAAGCTACCGAGAGGCGTCCACTAGGCCCAGAGCAGCAGTCCGTCGCATGCCAAGCCAGAAGCTGTCGGGGTCATGGTTCCCAAAGTTCTGGACCAAGCACATTGATCCGTGAGCCGCGAATTTGAGCCGAGACAGTTGTTCATGATGTGATGATTGTTCCTTCGCCAGAGTATGACTGATGATGAGTTGGTGCATTGCCGGAGGGTGTTGTGCAACGACACAGGTACCTATATTTATGTACGTGATCAGCCTCCCGACCTTGTTGGACGAAATGCTGAACTATACGGTCGATCTGAAGAGCTCATTGCCCGCCAAGGGCGACTTATGCCCGAAGTTTACACAGCAGAAGCAGCTGCATAATACATCGATCGATGTCAATGACTTGTACGACTTACTAATCAGCGTTCAGGAACTGTCAGACAGTGCTGCCATTGACTGAATTCGAAGGGCATTTCTGATTATGCACGTGAGAATTCACGGCTCGATAGCCGTTCTGGTCGCGTACGCCTGTGAAGCCCAAGGGAGATCCAGTCCGAAGTGACACCGATAGTCCCAGGTCCACAAAGCCACGTCAGTCAGGTGCGATGATCGCCATTGTGATATGGAGATGTTCTGTTTGCGGGCCTTCATACAGTAGTCAAATGCTGAGACACTGCTTGTGTGGGGAGCTCGACGACATCAGAGGCCGACATGTTCGAATGATAATTGATCAGCCGAACGACCAGGTGATGGAGCATTCATTGCAGCGTAAGCTTGCCCGACGCGATCTCCTCATCTGTGAATTGCGCAAGAGGGTCCACCTTATCGAAGGCATAGTCAGCCCGCTCTTGGCGGCTCATCTTCATGATGTTGAACTCCTCGCCGCCAATAAGGGGAGCAGAACCAGCAAGAATAGTTTTACGGTAGCCGTGCATCGTGCGATACTCCCGAAGCTGGATAAACAACTTAGCACGTACGTTGCTCTGACATGTTCACAGCTTAACTCACCAGTGGTGTCCACTTCCATCGTTCGGCTTTTACCTTGCCGTCCAGAGGTGCTGCATTGATACCATCCAATACGCCCTGAATGCCGGAAACGCCCTGCTCAGCCAAGTTGATGTTGATCTTCTCCGCATAGGCGACCAGTGCTTCCTGCCAGTCGACATCTTCTGGCTCTTCACCAGCATCGTCTACGTCGGAGAGTTCCGAGAACTCGATAGTGGTCTCATTGGCTGATGTCGACCAGAGAAGGTAGAGCGCCATGACATGGCCGAGGTCTCGAAACTTGGAGTCTGAAGTAAGCTGTCCAATGCGATCGAGCTCATTGAGCATGGTCAAGATCATGCAGCCGATCAACGAGTTCAGTCGCGCGCATCTATCGCCATCATCCACCATCATCCAGGGCATGCTGAGGTCTCGATTCAGATAGTGAGCCAAGGTGGCAACGACAGCCCACATCTGCTGATAATTGTACTTCTTTCCCTTCTGAGGCTTGAGCTCCTTGTTGAATGCTTGAACCTTCAATACGTCAGTATTTTCAAACGCCTGAAGCACTTTCTTCGCAACGGCTACTCACCATATTCTCAATGATCTCGATAATGCCATATCCGAGAAAGTCGTTGTATACATACATGTCGAAGCTGTCTGGGTCACGATGGTCGGTGGCCTGGTAGGTAGCACCGAGCATATCAAGACTTTCCTTGAGCATAATCCACTTCCATTCTGGGTGCTCAGAAGCCGGCTTGCCCCAGATGGAGTTGCTTTCTTCGTCTCCGTCTTCGTCTTCATCCTCGTCATCGTCGTCATCTTTTTCGGATGCGTATGGAGGCTTGCTGATGCATACGTATTCGTAGTTGCCAGTGAAGGAGGATTGTTCGAATTGCGACTTCGCACTCACGCGTTGTCTTTTGGGCTTGTTATTCTCAGCTGCCTGTTCGGTTGATCCTTGTACGTTGGGGTCAGATTCAGCAAGTGGCCTCTTTGCTCTCGGCATCCTGATATTAGACTACGGGTTGTGAATACTCCGCTCGTTATGATGGTGCCCGTGGGTGGAAATGTATGGATGGTGCGAGGTTCTGCTTCTGCCCGAAGACGCGTTGTTGACGCGCCGCGCCGAGATCCAACCCTGATCGCTGACTGACTGCAATCAAACTGACGCACAGACAGGAGGTCGCAGCAAAAGTACGAAAAAGTGACATCGCGGACATTGTCGTTTCTCGCATGATTTCTTGCACCCACAGTGAGAAGATTGCTAACAGGTGACAGTGGCTATTATCTCGTCGACATGGCAGCAAGGACTACCGGGCCGGGCGGGCAGAAGTCGATTCACAGAGGAGTCGCGGGCCGACACTCCGACAGTATTAGTAAAACACATCTGACTGTAGAACTTCACGTCTCTGACAAACAGGCAAGACCGAGCCACGAAGACCAATCTGCTTCCATTTCGTGAGCGGATGTGATGCGGTACATTTCTCGCTCGCTTCGACATGTGTCGAGCAGTGCGGCATCCTTTTCTGAAAAAGAGGTGCGCTTGTCAACCTAACGAGCGCCACATGGCACGACCAGCCCCTGAGATGCTCGCCAAAGACCTTTCATCAGTATTCGTGTTGGCTGGCGCTGGATGGTGCAATACCAACGAAGGAGTCGGTAGCGCCATCAGAATGTAGGGGCGCATTTTTCTTCAACATGATCCTTCTCCTGACCTGATTTGCGCAATATAATACCCACGCCAGCATCGCACGGACTTCTTGCCTCGTGGCAAAAGTGGGCATCCAAGATGGCAAGACTTACTACGCTTCTAGGCGATCCGACCGTGCAGCGGAATATCCTGCTCATATTGCTTGTGTTTTCCTGCATCAGCACGGTCTTCAAATCCGTCGAAGTCACTAGGATCAGCTCTTCACCCACCACGGATCAAGATGCCATTGCTGCGCCAGAGTCTCTGAAAAATCCGGCCTCTAATTCTGTTTTCACGGCTCAGACCAAGGACGAGTATGAGTATTCCGATATTTACAAGCAGGGTGGGGCTTCCGAAATCACCAAAGTCTCAATGATGTACGGCAGCCGTACCAAGGATGTACGATACAAGGCTGCTCTGCATAGCCAAAGGCAACACGCGGAGCATCATGGACATGGGCTGAAGATCCTCTCAACCGGATTCAAAAGCGAATTCTGGTCCAAGTACTCATTCCTGTTGAAAATCATGCTAGAGGAGCTCGAGAAGCCGAAAGATCGGCGTACGAAGTGGTTATGGTACGCGGCATTTTGCTCGTTGGTGTTTCAATCGACTGATATGCTGCAATAGTTGGGTCGGATATGATGTTATCCTGATGAACGCTTACATTCCCCTTGACATTTTCCTCCCTCATGGCAAGAATCTGTCTCACATCAACGCTTTGGTCACTCGAGACTGGGCAGGTCTCAACTCGGACGTCTTTTTCCTTCGCGTCAACGAATGGTCCACCCGATATTTATCCAGCATTATGAGCTATTACGAGAACAAGCCACGTCTTCAATTCGAAAGGGGATCTGATCGACGTGCTCAACAATACGTGACCGGACATGTCAGTTTCCTGCACAGTCTGACTGCCTATATTCGTGGATTTCGCCACTGACGATGCCACACAGCTTCTCTACCGCAATCAAACAATGCTGCTGCCCGCACGTTGGTTTAATTCAGTCGAGCCCGTGGTCAGCTCTACAGATGATTCAAACATAGCCAAGCCACAGCTTACTGCGCAAAACGTGACTCAAGATTCATTTAGGGAAGCCCCTGGGCTCGAGTCACAGTACAGAGATAATGTGTTCCAGCCAGGAGACGTCATGCTGAAAATTTCAGAGGACAAGAAGAAAAATGAAGTGCTTGATTTGGTGAAAGCGGCGAAAAAAGAAGAAGCAGGCTATCTTGTGTCGCCGGACAGGCTCGAAATCCTGGAAGAAATTCAGCGATTTTGGCGGGGTCCTCAGATTCCGGGAGTTCATACAGCTGTACCTGGAGTCCACAAAGTTGGTCCTCACGGGCATTCGCATGGAGATAGAGCGTGGAGATAGCACTATTTTGCATAGATGTACAGAAGTTGAAGAAATGGTTGGGCGTGGCCAATAAAGTTTCGTGATCCCTGTCGACGCGACGCGTGCAAAGTCGCGTCTCTCGTAAATTGATCAGGCAAACACACCCCACCATCTGGACATCATCTCTCTCTTCCTTCATCACCGCTCCGCTAAGTCTCACAACATCGCAATAATGGGTATGCTAGTCTGGTTTTTTTGCGCAACCACCTAGCGCTAACAATTCTTAGACTATGGATACAGCACCACCAGCTACGGCGCTCAAGGCGGCAACAGCGGCGGCGGTTTCATGCCAGGCTCGCAGAACGAGAACTCCGCATCCAACAAACGCACTTACGGCAAAGATACACTCCGTCCTGTCACGATCAAACAACTCCTCGATGCTCATCACCCTCACCCCGATGCCGACCACTTCATGATCGGCGAGTCAGAAACAACACAAGTCACCTTCGTTGGCCAGATCCGTAACATCTCCGCGCAAACCACCAATGTCACCTACAAACTCGATGATGGCACTGGTATCATCGAAGTCAAAGTCTGGGTCGATGCAGATACACTCGCGGCGGAAGAGGCAGGCGGCATGGTGAGAAAAGACAAGCCAGTGGAGCAAGGTTACGCGAGAGTCTGGGGCAGACTAAAGCAGTTCAATAACAAGCGACATGTCGGAGCGCAGTACATTCGCGCGATCGAGGATAATAATGAGATCGCATACCATTTGCTGGAGGCGACGGTGGTACATTTGCACTTCGCGAAGGGACCAGTGGACCAGCTACAGCAAGGAGGACAGGCGAATGGAGGACAACAGCAAATTACGAATGGCGGAGGCGGAGGTGGAGGAGGTGATCTTGCGGGCGTATCGACGGCGGCTAGAAAGGTGCTGCAGGCTTTGAGAGCTACACCGCAGACGAATGAAGGATTACATGCGCAAGTTATCGCGCAGAATACGGGACTGGAATTGACAGAGGTGTACAAGGCTGGTGATGAGTTGATGGGGCTGGGCAAAGTCTACACGACAGTGGATGACATGACCTGGGCATTGCTGGACTTGTGAGGTGTTCTTTACGCGATTAATGAAAGAAGGCTTAAGAAGTGCGGGCCGAGAGAAAGCAAAATGACTGAAAGAAGGCGAGATACTGCGGGCATGATCATGTCTTCTGTTTTGGTCACCAATGGCAGCGGAAACAGCATTGAAGCGGCCGAGTTGAGCCAGATCTCCGAATGACCTGGCATCGGAAAGGTCAAGGTGGACGAGCTGACCGATAAAACTATGGCATCGTTCGGCAGGCTCGATGTCGACACATGCACAGATAGAGGTGACAGCGTATATGCTGTACCTCCGCAGTCCGGCACACGCACCGCATCACAGCCGGAGTTCGACTGCTGCACGGGCTAGCAGGCCCTGTCAATACTTAACAATATAACATCTCTACAAACACTGCGCCACCACTTGCTGCTAATCATAAGTCATATCTTCGTGTCATCGCACTTCCGGTTTTCCTCCGCTAGCCTTACCACAGCCCACCAAATAGAACAGCCTTCTCGCTTCCTCTCTTCCCACCCTCGACATTAATACTCAAAAACAATACACAAGCCGCCACAATCGCGCATGCCACAACTGTGAACATAACTTGCGTGCCCCAACCACTCTGAACCAACGCCTGCCTTCGTGAATATCGATTGACAGTTTTGATGTAGTTGTTGAGACCGGAGACGAGACAAGCGACCGCCAGACACCAGAAGAGTAGGCCGAAGGGGAGGGCGATCTTGCGTTCGAGTTTCGAGGGTTGGTTGTGGAGATGGAAGGATATGAGAATGGCGATGCTGACTATGGCCATGTAGACTGCTAGGCGGAGCCAGGAGAGGAAAGCTGTTTGTGGGAGAAAAGGTGTTAGCAGTGAAGAGGTAAGCTATGGAGACAAGATGCTGGCGTTTGGGAGGCAGCGTGGGCCGCGGGGCTGCAGTGCACAGTGTAAATGAATTCTTGCTAGGCAAAGTCTACTGTTCCAAGAGTTGAGACCGGATCGTGGTGTATGTTCCTTAAAAAGTACGCTCCTGTGGCAAAACAATGAACCTTGGCAAGAGGGACTCAGCAACATGCAACCAGCCGGAAAGGCAGTAATTACTCCTCGTAACTGGACGTGAGCTTCCGTGTTCGAACCGGCACACTCTCAAGTGTGACTTGCGTTTCTTCCCACTCAGCCAAGACCAATTGTTGAGGACGAGGGGCTTAGTTTGGTACATGAACGTCCAGTCCGTGACTTGTGCTCGGCAAGAGTATCCCAGATGATCCAAATAGAGAACAAGAGCTTATGATATGGGACAAGACAGGATGTTACGTACTTCGTTCAGCAGCGCAGTGGTCTCTCGCATCACTGTCATTGTTATCGAAAAGTAGTGGCCCCAGAAAGGGTCTTGCACCAAAGGCTTTGCTCCGAGTATTACGTCTATAAGAAGACTTTAGCACGCACTATTCAAGCCCTGTACTATGACTACGATTTGGCCTACTGGTGAACAAGAATCGGCTTGGCATTGAACGGGTTGTAGAGCGGATTGTACGGCTCGTTGAAGAACTCTCTATCAGCGCTGGAGGCAGAGAGTGTAGACAGCGAACGTGCGATACTGGGCCGCGTCGGCATAGCTGTACATCAATAACGATACAAATACTTGTAGTTGAGATGAGTGATTGTTGAGAGCCTCGTGATGTCCGAGGAAAGAGGTAAGCCGGGGATACTTCGGAGTTCTCGGAAGCGGAGTTGGTAGCAAGACCTCCGTAGCGGTTTCTTGATGAGATACAACCACACGTACAGTCAGCCCACAACTATCGCATTCCCGTCTTCATACACTCGTTGTCGTCGCAATTGACAGAAGATAAGCGCGCCGGCCCCTGATACTGAGAAGAGAGACGATCCAAGACGAGCGCCGCCGCAATGGCTCTCGCATCATTCAAAGTCGGAGCCAAAGAGCTCTTTATGTACGAAGGCACAGCATAGCACAGCTCAGGACCTTCTCCCAACTGACATCCACTCATAGCCCCGACGTCAGTATCGCTCTCCTTCGTACCCCCGGACTTCCCGCCAATAATGCCAAATTCCACGTTCCACTCTGGTTCTCCAAACTCGACCTCCGCGATTATCTTTTCCACGTATACGGCGTCGAGATCCTCTCCGTCCGCAGCTATGTCAAACAATCACGCGTACAATCCGGTCGTCCAGGCCTAATTAGACCCGCATTCAAGCGATGGCATCGCCCCCGAGCAACGAAATTCATGACAGTAGAATTGGCGAGGCCGTTCGTTTGGCCAGAGGAGCCCGACGACGGGTATGTAGAGTGGGGACTGAAGGAGAACAATGACGTCGAGAAGGAAAACACAAAGTGGCAGGAGCTGCACATGGGGCAGAATAGAGATCAGTTGGTCAATGAGGAGAGGAGGGAGAGAATGCGGGAGCAGGCGAAGGCGCTGTTGGAAGGGAAAGCGAAATGGAAGGCACCTGAGGGGAGAACGGGGAGGGATTTTAGGAGAGGGGAATAATGAGAGCGCCCGGCATAGTACGTGGGAGAGACATGCTGAGAGATGTGAAAGACTTGCACAGTGATGCGCTCCTTTGCCTGGTGATCTGTCGCCGACAGCTGGCGGCCGTGCGGTATCCGGGTAGGAAGATGACATTGTCATACCCTAAGAGGAGAAGTACGGCCGGGATTGGCATAGCCGTACAGCAAGAATTCCGGATCCCACAGGGCCTCTCACGAAACGTGCCCTGTAGTATCAGGAGGCTTTTTCCAGACTCGAACTTCGGTCATAATGGACAGCTGCACAAAGCTACCACAAAGAACTGCACAAGAGGCATGCCAATGGGCGACACGCCTTGTCATGGCAGGCCTCAATTGGGTGTGCAAGCACGCCAGGATTCACGAAGCGACTGATGGCGCGAGAAAGCATGTGGTGTAGCGTATAGGTCGTAAAGCAGGAGCAAGGCAGCTGAAGCAGCATCTGAATTGCGACGTAACATTTCAAACCACAGTCTTGATGTGAATGTAGCAGCATTTTGCATATATCTTCCAACATGTGAAAGTGCTGTGGCTGGCTGCTCAATATGCCGAAGAGCACATGCATACTCGAGTCGAGTCGCGTGTGGTTTCTTGGCAGACTCCAGTTGTCCGCAGCTGTGTCGATCACATCGACCCCGTGGAGAGACAGTGCATAGCGGCACGAAACGACACGTATGAAGAACAATAACTTCCTTCCTGCCACAATCCTTCTCTGAGCAGGCAGACATCATCGCCAATGGCTACGTAAAGCCATCTTCACAGGCCATCGAATTCCTGTCGAGTCCTGCACAACACAATGACAGCCTCCATGGCTGCAATACCGGTAGCTGTCGACCCAGTGTCGCTAGTCGTGACAGAATGCATTACCGTCACTTCGGCCATGCGCAAGCATGCGCGCTGGGCACATTCGAGTATATCGTCCATTCTCGGCTCCTCGACGCACTCGCGAACGACCTCCTCCGACCTTACAGCGCAACGGACTCTCCAAGAGCGGGAACGAACGCGAGCGAGCAGCAAGATTGACCTAATAGAGCCGTACTTCAGCAACTACAACAATGGCAGCAGTAGTGGAGGTGGTGATGACACCTCGCGATGGGGTCTGCGCGGCAAGAAGGGCCAGTCACTACAGGACAATCCTCTGATGAGCGGGTTCGCAAAGCTGAGAGCTGAGCTGAAGGGCGTTAGAGACATTGAGACGATTGCTACGCCGGACCTACTGCATCCCTTCCTCCAGGTCATACGATCCAGCAGCACTACTGCGCCCATTACGAGTCTCGCTCTGATCGCCATCACCAAGATGCTGGCATACAATGTCATCAGTCCCAACAGCCCTAAATTCGCCCAAGGCATGCAGCTGCTGGCAAGCTCGGTTACCCATTGTCGGTTCGAGGGCGACAACTCTCCTTCGGACGAAGTTGTGTTCCTACGCATTTTGAAGCTTATGGAGGACATGATATGTGGGGCGTCAGGAGAAGTGCTGGGAGACCAGTCCGTGTGCGAGATGATGGAGTGCGCGCTCTCCATCTGCTGCCACTTGAGGATGTCCGAGGTTCTCAGAAGAAGCGCGGAAATTAGCATGGTCACAATGTGCCAGACCATCTTCACCAGGCTCAAGACGCTGGAAGCAGAATTTGAGGGTGACGAGGTTGGAGACATGGAGCAAGAGCTGGGCCCGGAGGAGATGGAGGCCGCTAAGATTGACTCCAATGGTGATCTTGGGCCTGATAATATGAAGAAGCAACGGTCGAGTCTGACGCTCGATGTACCTGGGACGAACACGGATACGCGACCGAGTACGGACATGAACAGCAGTCAGATTGATCTGAGCTCAAGAAGTGGAGAAGAAGAGCCGGAGGACGATGTTGATGTCAAGCCTTATGGGCTTCCGAGTATTCGGGAGCTGTTCAGAGTGCTAGCTGATCTACTGGACCCGCATGATCGACAACGCACAGACACGCTCAGAGTAATGGCCTTGCGTATTGTCAACGTCGCGTTGGAGGTTGCCGGGCCCAGCATCGCGAACCACCCTTCCTTGGCCAGTCTAGCGAAGGACACCCTGTGCCGGAATCTGTTCCAGCTGGTCAGGAGCGAGAATATTGCAATTCTACATGAGTCGCTCAGAGTGGCGGGAACGCTGCTTGCAACATGTCGAAGTGTGCTTAAGCTCCAGCAAGAACTTTTCTTGAGTTACGTGGTGGCGTGCTTACATCCTCGAGTACCCATACCCGAAGAGCCAAACATTGATCCTTCACTATATCAGGGCGTGCCTCACGCCCCGACCTTGACACGACCACAGCCTTCGACGCCCGGGGGCAACAATGTCCCGTCGAGCGGCCGCTCTACACCCGTGCCTGTTCGAGATCGACAAAAGCTGGGTATGGAAGGAGGCTCGAGGAAACCAGATGCGAGAGAAGCGATGGTGGAGAGTGTTGGTGGTCTTGTTCGAATACCAAGCTTCATGGCAGAGCTCTTCGTCAACTACGACTGCGAGACCGATCGAAGTGACCTCTGCACAGACATGGTCGGACTACTGTCAAGAAATGCCTTCCCGGATTCCGCAACTTGGAGCACGACCAACGTGCCTCCGCTCTGTTTGGATTCTCTCTTGGGATTTGTGCAGTTCATTGCTGAGCGCATGGATGACGAGCCTGTTACTACTGGTTTGCCCGAAGTGCAAAAGCTGCGAGAGCAGCGGCAGCGGAAGAAGGTCATAATACGTGGCGCGACCAAGTTCAACGAGAGCCCTAAGGGTGGCATCGCTTTCTTGGCCGCTTCTGGCATCATTGCAGATCCAAACGATCCGCACTCTGTGACAAGCTTCCTGAAGGGTACCACACGGATCGACAAGAAAGTCCTTGGAGAGTTCATTTCGAAGAAGTCGAACGAGGCTATTCTTGACGCTTTCATGGATCTGTTCGACTTTGGCGACCTTCGTGTTGATGAGGCACTGCGGCAGCTGCTCAACTCATTCCGTCTTCCTGGAGAGTCTGCGCTGATCGAACGGATCGTGACAGTCTTCTGTGAGAAGTACATGAAGGCTGTCCAGCCGGAACAAATTATCGACACTGACGCTGCATTCGTGCTGACGTACGCTATCATCATGTTGAATACCGACCAGTACAATCCCAACGTCAAGGCAACAAATCGGATGAAGTTTGAGGACTTCCAGCGCAACCTCCGTGGCGTCAACGGTGGAAAGAACTTTGATGAAGAGTTCTTGCGCAAGATCTATGAAGCAATCAAAGCTCGCGAAATCGTTCTGCCCGAAGAGCATGACAACAAGCACGCTTTTGAGCATGCGTGGAAGGAGCTGTTGATGAAGGTCAATACTGCTGAAAACCTGGTGATCTGCGAGACGAATATCTACGATGCGGACATGTTTGCTGCGACTTGGAGACCTATCGTGGCGACACTCAACTATGTTTTCGTGTCAGCTACGGAGGATGCCGTCTTCCAGAGAGTGATCGCTGGCTACAGCCAGTGTGCTCAAATCGCCGCACGACATGGCATTTCGGAATGTCTTGATCACATCATTCTGAGCCTTGCCAAGATCAGCACACTCGCAACGGAGACTCCTCCAAGCACGAGCTTGAATACCGAAGTCCAAGCAAGTGGCAAGAGTATTATGGTGAGCAAGTTCGCAGTCGACTTTGGCAGAGACCACAAGGCCCAGCTGGCAACTCTTGTCCTTTTCCGCATTATCAACGGCCATGAAGACACAATTCGGGATGGCTGGACTCAGATTGTTCGCATCATTGTGAATCTCTTCGTCAACTCTCTTGTGCCCACGAGTTTCACGAGTATATCCCGCGATCTGGATCTACCGCCCATACCTCTACAGTCTCCAGCCCAGGTCATCGAGCGCAATGATAAGAGCAATGACGTTGGGCTGTTCAGCGCTTTCACAAGCTATGTCAGCAGCGTGATGAACGATGAACCTCCGGAGCCGAACGATCAAGAAATCGAGGCCACGTTAACAACGGTTGACTGCATAAATGCATGTCGCTTTGAAGAGATCCTGGGCAATGTCAGCGAGTTGCCGATTGACAGTCTCAAGAGCCTGACCATGTCGTTGCTCTCACATTTGCCAGAACAAGACTCTCCCAGAGTCATCGCAGTGAAGCCAGAATTGCCTGCGCCTACACCGCTGCGAGGCAACGGCACCAAAGTCCGGGACGAGCCTCCTGCATACAACCCCGCTGTTGTGTACGTATTAGAGCTTGGCACGATACTTGCGCTTCGCGACGAAGAAACCATCACGATATTGGGACCAGAAGTCGCCGAGGCGCTGACCAGCGTGACCCGCGATACGGACAGACTACACCCAGTGGCGCTGAGTCGAACGGTATTCTACCTGCTCAGTCTGCTTCGAGCAAGTAATGACCACGGGTACATTCGAGCCCCAGTCGTCCTGCACGCGATCTCCTCCTTTCCGCAAAACTTACTCAAACAGTGTGCTCTACCAATCCTGAAGGGTATATACGGATGCATCTCCGGCCCTCAAGCAGAACTTCGCAATGAGCTGGCTGGAAGTCCAGACTTCTGGAACATCGTGCATAATCTGCACCGTGAGACAGATGCTGCTGGACTAGTTTTTCAGATCGCGGAGAGTGTATCAGATGGCCCGAATGCCGCGATAACACCTGACAATTACGAAGCTTGCGTGGCGTTACTCAATGCCTTCGCTACAGCTGGCAGCATTGGCGCACGTGCAGAACAGGCCGCGCGTGCGGAAGCGTATCCACAATCCGGACGAAGAGGGCAAAAGCCGCCTTCGCGCAAGGCCGAGAACGCAGAAGAGGAGACGACGCCTGAGAAGAAGAAGCCCAAGAAGCCTGAAGCCGTCGTCCGTGGTGCTCGTGCCATTTCTTTAGTCTCGCAGCTGGCAGGAAGGGTGCCTCAGCTCATCAAGCAATCGCAGCTCGAAACGGAAGAAGCTTGGAAGACGTACTGGTCCCCCGTCTTCCGCTGCCTTGCTACCCAATCCACAAATCCTTGTCGCGAGATTCGGCAGCTGTCTCTTTCCAGCTTACAGCGATGCCTACTCTCTCCCGAGCTCGCTTCGCCCGATCACACCGAGTGGACTAACATTTTCTCGGAAGTGCTCTTCCCGCTGATTCAACAACTCCTGAAACCCGAAGTCTACCAAACCGATATGGTTGGCATGGGCGAGACTCGTGTACAAGCAGCACAGCTTCTGTGCAAGATCTTCCTACACTACCTCGTCCTGCTTTCGGAATGGCCTGGTGTTGCGGAGCTCTGGTCTGGGATATTGGAAGTCATGGAGCGGCTGATGGGAAGTGGACAGCGGGACGGTGGAATCCTGGAGGAAGCTGTGCCGGAGAGCTTGAAGAATATTTTGCTGGTCATGGGCTCGGGTGGGTACATGATCCCGCCGCCTGTGGAAGGCGATGATGAGCGGACAGACTTGCAGAAGAAGCTCTGGGATGAGACAGAAGTTCGCTTGGAGAGGTTCCTGCCTCAGCTGATGAATGACGTATTCCCAGAGAGGGGCCCGCGAAAGGCTGCAGAGGCTGAGGAGGCGACAGAGGAGAAGGCGAAGGTGGAAGAGGCAGCAGAGGAGGACGACAGTGCGGAGAAGGCAGAGGCGTAGATGAAATGAGCATTTGCATGTGAAAAAAGTGTAGATGCATAGAAGAGAGTGTATGTTTACTATAAGATGAGATGAACGTCTATCACGAGTTTTCCTCTCTATAATAACCACCTATTCGCGTGCACGCTGCAAGCTTCCCAGTCCCATATGTTGTGAGTTCATAGTTGCTCTTTTGTAGTGCACCCAACGCCTGTAGAGAACTTGTTGGAGGCTAACTCCGATGGTGCCCCGAAACATTGCCGATACTGCCACCTCGGCTTGTCCTGGATCACTAAAACAAGAATCTACGCGGCCAGGAGCATCACGAGACAATATAGTAGCGAACCCAAGACCTGATAAAGACGACCTCCGAGACTGAAGGATAAACACAAGGACATGCGCCCACTGGCGCGCGTACAAGCACTTCAACAAATCCTCCCCAGAAGAACAACAAGATCCATCATGGCGTCCACAACAGCATCGATGAGCCATAATAACAGCAGCAAGCAAAAACAAAAACTCCGCATCCTCTGTCTCCATGGCTTTACCTCCAATTCCCATGTCTCCGCTTTTCAACTACGCCGTCTCGTCTCTGCTTTCGGAGGTCATTCTCCCTATGTTCCCCCACAAGATCCGAATCTGGCATCTTCAGACTCAAATTACGAATACGAATTTCTCTTCGCAAATGGTCCTCACATAGTCAAATACTCCTCTTCCGACTCCGATGGCGGCATGGCGATGGACCCGACATGGCATGAATTCGTTTTCGGACTTCACGAGGAAAGTGCAGAAAGTGGACATCGAGCTTGGTGGTTTGCGAAAGATCCAGATTGGAAGAATAAGAAAGAAGGAGAATTCGAGGGGATTGAGAAGAGTTTTGAGGAATTAGGGAAGTGGATTAGAGAGAGTGGGAAAGAGGGAGGAGATGAAGGCATTGATGCAATTTGGGGGTTTAGTCAGGGGGCTTGTTTGGCTGGGATGTTATGCGGGTTGTTGTCAAGGAGAACGACGGGAGAGGAAGAGCAACATCCGTTGTTGAAGTTGTTGGGTTTGAAGCAGGAACCCGAGCGCCTGAAAGCGGGGATCATTTTCTCGGGGTTTAGAGCGAGGTTCCGGCAGTATGACGGGATTTATGAGGATGGTATTGGGATCCCGATGTTGCATGTTTTGGGTGAGAAAGATCCTTTGGTGGGGAGTGAGAGGAGTGAGGCGCTGTTGAGGGTTTGTGAAAAGGGTGAGGTTTTGAGATTTGATGGAGGGCATGAGATTCCCAAGAGAGAGGAGGATGTAAGGACTATTGTGGAGTTTTTGAGGAGGGCTCTGGAGGGGGATGAGGTGGAGACGAGTGAGGTCAGGGAGACGAGGGAGAGGGCTTTCATGTAACAACGACGCTGGAGAGTGTGTTATGACATAGATTAGACTTATATTTGGTGGCAGATAGACACATTGTATTCCTGCATCCGGACCACAACGACCAGATCTCAAGAACACCGTGCGAAGAAGCGTGTAATCGCCTCAGAGACAGCTATGCGGTTTTCGTCGAGAGATATACCTTCTTGATCCTCATCAGCCACAGCTTCACGAACCCAGGTCTTCTGCCATTGCTTGTGTGCGCCACCATCTAGTCCGTTCGGCAGCCGGCAGAGAAGCCGCTTGTGTGACGTTGTCGATATTGAAGAGTGAAGTTGAGATCTTCCGGTTCGCGACCATTCTTTGCCGAGCCGTCTCCACATCCCGATCTCGCTGTCAGCATTTCCTGACTCCTCTCACAACAACACCGCCATCACCCGTCCATCTCCTCCGCCCGCAAATTGATCGCCTCATCTCACTCCACGCGTGCCACAACGCCATACCAATCGCGGAAAGGGCGCAGAATTGTCCTGCATGCGTAGCGGGGAACCTTGCAGGCAAGCAATGGCAAGCTATTCTTCCGTCCGCTGCAAGTTACATCATCCCACGAGCTTCCTGTATCACGACAGCATTGCTCTGGTGCCTGATCAGCATCGAAATTTTCCTGGATGGGCAATTGACATCCGCAATGCGGTGGATGTGATGAGCATCTCGGAGCGTAACGCAGCGAGCGCGAGACGGCTTTCCATGGACTAAATAGCCAGAGGTAAGTGCAGTTGTGTGTGGTAGGTTCTCTTCTCCTCATCACCATCCGACATGTTGTTTGGCAAGCTATGTCAGGCAGTCTTGCTGTCTGCTGCGGCAGTCCAGACTGCCGCCCTGGCAGTCGGCGGCAAGCCTAATATGCTCATCAAGCCCTACAAAAGGAATGAGCCTTTGCAAGATATCGTGACGTGGGACGAAGTGAGAGCTCAGCATATCTTTCCCTTCCCATAGATGGCAGCTGACATTATTAGCACTCGCTTTTTGTCCATGGCAAGCGTGTCTTGTTCTACTCGGGAGAGTTCCATCCATTCCGCCTACCGGTTCCAGGTCTGTGGCTAGACGTCTTCCAAAAGATCCGAGCTCTCGGCTACAATGGTGTCTCCGTCTACTGGGATTGGGCACTACTTGAAGGCAAGCAAGGTGACTTCTCAGCTGAAGGAGTCTTTGCTTTGGAGCCCTTCTTTGCTGCTGCACAACAGGCTGGCATCTACGTTCTTGCCCGACCAGGACCATATATCAATGCTGAGGTAGCAGGTGGAGGCTTTCCAGGCTGGCTAGCACGTAGCCCGGCAAAGCTCAGGACAAGAGATCCGCGATTCCTCGAAGCCACCGACAATTATGTTGCGAGCATGTCGAGAATCATTTCGAGGGCGCAGATCACCAACGGTGGGCCTGTCATCTTGCTTCAGCCTGAGAATGAGTACTCGCAGGCTGTGGAAGATACGCCCGAGTTTCCTGACTCTGTATATTGGTATGGGCAGCAGTCCTCGGTTCTGCATACATCTTCAACGACACTAATGCTCTTCTTCACAGGCAGTACATCGAGGATCAATACAGAAAAAATGGCATCGTTGTACCGATGATCAGCAACGATGCGTACCCACACGGCTACTTCGCACCCGGCCCTCCCCCTCTCTACAATGCTACCATCGACATTTACGGACACGACAATTATCCCCTTGGCTTTGACTGCGCCAACCCGGAAGTCTGGCCCGATAACGCCTTGCCTAGACAATGGGGCGACTTGCATCGCAACCAGAGCCCAAGTACACCGTATTCAGTCATTGAGTTCCAAGGCGGTGCCTTTGATCCATGGTGAGTCGTGGCATCTCGAGTGACATAATCAATCGACAAACTAACGAGCTCAGGGGTGGCCTTGGGTTTGCACAATGTGCCGAACTCGTCAACTCCGCATACCAGAGAGTGTTCTACAAGAACATGTACAGTTTCGGAGTCACCATATTCAATATTTACATGAGTAAGTGCAGCCGGTGGACCGCATCTCTACACTACTTGAACTCGTTGCGGATATGCTGTACTCCTGCTGATGCTGTCAATAGCTTACGGCGGAACGAACTGGGGCAATCTAGGCCATCCCGGTGGCTATACTTCCTACGACTACGGTGCCGTCATCACCGAGGAGCGACTGGTATCGAGGGAGAAATACTCTCAGGCCAAGCTTCAAGCAAGTTTCCTCTCCGCCTCGCCGGCATATTTGACGGCTGTGGCTCAGGACAATGATTATGCGAACGGTTCCTACACTGGGAATGGCGACATCGCTACAACGGCTTTGCTGGGTGACAAAACGAACTTCTATGTTGTCAGACATGCCTCTTATAACACCAATGAGTCAACATCCTACAGCATCACGCTTCCAACGAGTCAAGGCAACATTACGATTCCTCAACTGGACGGACAGCTGACATTGAATGGCCGGGACTCCAAGGTCTATGTCACCGACTACGACGTTGGTGGACGCAACTTGCTTTACTCCACTGCCGAAATTTTCACCTGGAAGGCGTACGGCAACCAGCGCGTTCTGGTGGTCTACACCGGGCCCAACGAGCTCAATGAGCTAGCCTTCTCGGATTGTGGGCATGCGAGATTGGTTGAAGGACCTGACGTGACAATTCAGAACAAGAATGGTGCGACTGTCCTGAGCTTCCAGACCAACCCCGAAAAGCGTGTTGTCAATTTCGGTCGTGGCCTGACGCTTTACATTCTCGACCGCAACAGCGCCTACAACTACTGGGTGGCGGACTCAGGTCCTACTCCCGACCCATCTGCGCCTATCATTGAAGCTGGATATCTGATTCGTAACGCGACTGTCGAAGGCGATGCACTCCATCTGGTCGGCGATCTCAACACTACTACTCCCATCAAAGTGATCGGTGGCGCTCCGCGAGCACTTTCGAAGTTGACTTTCAACGGCAAGGAGATCAACTTCAAGCAATCCCGTGCTGGCGTTGTGTCTGCAACAGCCGAGTATGAGAAGCCGAGCTATACAGTACCTGACTTGGCTACTGCAGACTGGAAAGTACTCGACACGCTACCAGAAGTCCAAGAAAGCTATGACGATAGCCAGTGGCTAAATGCAGACCTGACATACAGCAACAACACTAATCGAAATCTTACGACTCCGACATCGTTGTACGCGAGTGACTACGGGTACCACACTGGCACCTTGATCTTCCGAGCACACTTTACTGCATCAGGAAATGAGTCTACTGTCTTCCTGTGGACTCAAGGTGGTTCCGCTTTCGGCCACTCTGTGTGGCTCGATGGCACTTTCGTGGGTTCTTTCGTCGGCGCAGATCTATACAGCAATACCAACGCCACATACAACTTGCCTGCCACGACAGCTGGAAAAGACACCGTGTTGACGATACTTCTGGACAACCAAGGGCTTGACCAGAATGGTGAGGCTGGAGCGACGACCATGAAGAGGCCTCGAGGAGTCCTGGACTTTGCTCTTGCTGGCCACCAGAAGTCTGACGTGAAATGGAAAGTTCAAGGAAACCTTGGTGGCGAGTCGTACAGAGATCGTGCACGTGGGCCTCGCAACGAAGGCGGACTTTACGCTGAACGACAAGGCTACCACCTTCCAGGCGCACCAATCGACAGCTGGAAGTCAAGTGGCGGCCCAGCTGAAGGTCTCTCAGCCCCAGGTGTCGCGTTCTACGCCACAAACTTTGATCTGGACTTCCCTGTCGGTTACGACATTCCTCTCGCCTTCTCCTTCAACAATGCTACTTCCAACGGAACCTCTGGATCGGGCAATCAGACTACTGTGGCATACCGTGCTCAAATTTACGTTAATGGCTATCAGTTCGGCAAGTACGTGCATAACATTGGCCCTCAAGATGTCTTCCCGGTGCCGGAAGGTATCTTCAACCACCGTGGCAGTAACTATGTGGCGGTGAGCCTCTGGGCGCTCGACCAGGGTGGTGCCAAGATTGATGGACTCAGGCTTGTTGCAGGACCTGAGATTCAGACTGGATATGGCTCTGTTGAGGCAAGTCCGCAACCGGGCTGGGAGGAGCGCGAAGGGGCGTATTGAGATACCTCTTTGCTGACAGAGGGTACTTGAGCAATCGTGTCTCCGGTAGTACTTGCTGCGCGCTCGCGCCTCTTTCCCAGGCTCAGAGGCGGAGAATGCCTTCTCTTTCCGAAGACAGGTGTGCTCCCTTGAAATACTGTAATTTCAGGTGTTAGCATCTCACAGAATCCCTTACATTGAACCTTTTCGCCATAGCTAATCTTGTGAGCTGGGAAGCCTCGAATCTCCCTGAGAACGTGTGGTCTTTGACGACTTCGCTGAAGTGGCGGACTCTGAACCGGATTGTCAGCCGATACTGCCCAAACGAGCTTTCGACTTGGTTTGCGACACGATTGGGACTTTCGGCATGGTATGTATAATTATGGACTGTTCACTAAACCGATTGAGGATCAGTGAGAGTCCGGAAAGTTAGAGCAAGGATCAAGGATAATCGCCATGGCAAAAGAATGTTCTCGTACACACTAATGGTCACAGGCTCCTCCAGACATCCATCTCATCCTCCACCTCGCCCGGCTGTCCTCAGTCGAGACTCTTTGTCAAGAAGTGAAGGAGGCTTGTTCGCCGAACGGATCTGATCTAAGCCTACTCCCCATCGTTCGGATTGAGGGTGTTTGCCAGTGCCGACATTGCAGCCTCACTAGCCTGGCTATGCCCTGGTCTCTTGGCACCTCTGCGCATGGTCGACATGGGTATGTAACCTTACTGCCGGCCTTCAATCTGCTCAGCGGACGGATCCTACACGCTGTGTCCTTCAAGTCACCAGAAGTTGACAGGCTCAGCATGAAGGTGCAATTGCTCAGGACCAGGCCGCGCAACATCGCAAGATTGGCTGAGACGCATGGCTACTGACACGGAATGCGAGGCTGGTGAAGGACATCAACGTGTGCACAGCCCTTCCCTTGACAAACTCTACTGTCTACACCCTACACTCTCTTTACTATTTCTGCTTCACCACGCTCATTCTCCCTGTTTCATTCATTTTGACACCTCGTATTCTCATCTGCCACCATGTTAGCTACCACGCTGTTTGCCGCAGTGGCATTTGGCGGTTATGCCAATGCCAGAGTCTTTGCCCGCCAGCCGGGACAGTTCGAAAGCTGCGTGGCCCAGGCCGTGGGTAACAATGCTCAGCTCTATGCTGTACCAACCGGAGCGAACTACAACACCTCCTTGAACGTCTACAACTTGGACCACATCTACACTCCATCTGCGATCGCTTTCCCAACCAGCGCGGAGCAAGTCGCAGCCTTGGTGAAATGCGCATGCTCATCGGGCGTGGCCGTACAGTCACTGTCCGGAGGACACAGCTACCTGGTATGTTTGATGACTGAACGTATGTGAACCAGAGTTAACATGAGGCAGAACTTCGGTTTGGGAGGACAAAACGGCTCGCTTTCGATCCGTCTAGCCAACATTAACCAAACCTCATATGATGAGTCTGCAAACCGACTCACTTTTGGCACTGGAAACCTGCTCTCTGGACTCACCACAGCTCTCCAATCGGCCAACCGCACCGCTGCTTACAGTGGTATCGGTTCTATCGGTACAGGTGGTCACTTCGCTATTGGTGGACTGGGTCCCCTTTCCCGCCAACACGGTCTTGCCGCTGATCAGGTGGTCGAAGTCGAGGTGGTGACAAAGGATGGCCAAATCGTCAAAGCATCTGAGGATGAGAACGAGGACCTTTTCTGGGCTGTACGTGGTGCTGCTTGGTCTTTTGGTATCGTTACCTCGATCACCATCGACACAGTCCCAGTGGTCTCATCGACCTCATACTCGTACATTATCCCAGGTAATGCGTCGACCCTCGCGTCTGTCGTGTCTGCATGGCAGGACATTGTCTCGAACGAGAACTTGCCCCGGGAGTTTGGCTCTACTGTCTACATCTGGGAGGGCTTCGTCCTGATTACTGGATCGTACTTCGGCTCTCAAGAGGATCTTGATCGCGTCGGTCTGGATGCTTTTACCCAGAATGCCATCCCAACGAGCGATGCGCTCAACGCATTGGACTCACTGAATGTCACGGCCGCTGCGAGCCTGCTTACCATCCTCGATGACGCTGGACTCCTCGATGCCATCATCAGTCTCCCACGCGAAGACATCTACCGCATCTTCCAAGGCATCCTCCAGATCCTTCCAACAATCGAGACCGGCAACTTGACAGCGATTCAACAGGCAGCAACTGCCACTAACAGCACTCTCCTTGGTGCTGCCTTCGCTTTCCTGCCCGCCAACACCACTCAAGCCCTCTTTGGCAACCTCACTTCCTCCGGTGTTCTGGACCTTCTCAGCAACCAGACTACGCTCACTGAGCTGGCACCTCTGCTCCTGAACATCAACTTCACGACCATCGTCGAACTCGTAGACCAAGTCGAAGAGGCAGGTTTCCTCCAGCTCCACGGCAGCGGATCAGCCAAGCTTTCCGAGCTCTTCTCCGTCCTCTTCACTTCCCATCTTCCAACTCACTTCTACTCCAAATCCCTCAAATTCACCGAGGACACACTGCCTTCCACTCAGACCACTGGAGAAGTCGTCGAATACATCCTCAGCAACACCACCGACCGCGGCACGCTTCTCTGGTTCGTCATCTGGGATCTTGGTGGAGGAGCAATCAACGACCCAGCTCAAGATGATACTGCATACTGGCACCGTGACGCTTTGATCTGGTTGCAAAGCTACACTGTCAATCTCGCTGGAGCGGTCAGTGCTACACAGAAGGAATTCTTGACCCAGGTCAACGAGAAGTATCAGTCCCTGGTTCCAGGTGTCGATGATAGTGCTTATGCTGGTTACGTTGATGATGCGCTTACGGACCCGGTCAAGAGCTACTGGGGAGGTAATGTGGAGAAGCTGAAGCAGATCAAGGCGAAGTATGACAGCAGTAACATTTTCCGCAATGGACAGAGTATTACGGCATAATTTGGCTGGTAGCAGCTGCGTGGCATGGCAAGACTGGAACGCATGTATCAGTAGCCTTTGCCTGCTGACAGAGAATTGGTAGATGGCGCGCACTAAGTACTATCAGGAGTTTCTCCAAGAACTCGAATTACAAACCATAAACGAGGTCAGGCCTATCTTAGACGCTTTCATGTTTTGCCAAATATATCTCACGTGTACGGCGCCAGCTGCTTCACTGCGGCTTTTGTCCGAGCGTCTCACGCGAAGAAATAGCATTCTGTCTGCTACTCATAGGAGCTGCAATTTTCCACACGCGGAGCGATGCAATTCTGGCTCGTCATCCTCATTCCAGTTCTAGCAAGATCTATGGTTCGCCCCATCATTGGTCTTTAACCATACTGTCACACGATTCTCGTAGTCCGTGTCGCTGCCATAAAGGATGCTTTGCACGCAGTCCAGCTGGTGGCGAGCCATGTACTTCATAATGGAAGAGATGGATCCAACCCAGTCTTCATCGGAGTAGGGATTTATGGAGTCGTGGTAATCGAAGCCCGGGAAAAGCTCTACCTCAAACGCATCCACCGTCACCTCATGGGCATCCAGCTGGACATCTGATACAAACTGGACAGTCCCTCGACGGCTCTTGACGGGAGATGGTATCTCGGCTGTGATTGCCACAGGCGCATTGCTTGACCAGATCCTCTTCATGACTGCTACGAGAACTGCATCGAGAGGCACGATTATGGACGCAACGATACCGATGCCCAGGACGCCGACGCATAATGGTCCACCGTCTCGCGTGCTGTAAACCAAATAGCCTCCGTGGGGACATGTGGTACGCCGAGTGTTCGCTTGATCAGCACTTCTTTGATCAAGCGCTATTGCTTGCGTGAGGGAACTCGAACAAAGCAGCTGAAGCAGCGCTCGTGGATGCATTGATTTGACGTTGAATTCTTCGTTTCTGGTTCTTGCGTGTCTACTAGAGGGCAGTCGAAGACAAACGCGCAATTTTGGCAATATTCGATTGCTTCGTGTAGACCGTTGGGGGGCGAAGCGTAGCGTACGGTAGGTACACTTGTTTTGATTCATGCCTTCGATCAAAGCACAGCGTTCTCGGTGCCCGGCGCCTGGGTTGAGCGCACGATCACGAGTGTAACTTTCCGTGCATAATGACGAGCTGAACGCACAGGAGTCGTGCGTGGCCGTTGAGGTTGTTCGTGTGACGGAGCTAACAAGGAAAACAAGGACCATACGCCGACCGGTGAAGGGAGCAAAGAACATCTGTGCAACAACCATATCCGCCAAGGAAGTTGGAATGAAGAAGTGGTGGTCAGTGTGACTATGTCGCTCTTGCACAAATCAACATCGTAGTGCAACCGTGCAATTTGCAACACTGTGCATCGTAGAAGAACAACGCGACTCGCAGCTCGCACGTCAATATTTGGACTCGTGCCCCTGATCGCAGGTATACATGGACAGCACTTAGTAATGTCTCGTAATGCGCTGTCCTACACACGATGCTGGATTCCGAGGCTTCACTGTGATGACCTGTGAGACGGGAATCAAGCAATGCCACGCACAAAGGTAACGATCCGTATAATCACACTGTTTCAAGTTCTGCACCTCCAGCTGACCGGTATCAACTGACGTATAGATGCTGAGATGACTCGCCATCACGCGATGCATCATACTCATGGTCGGATTCATCAACAGCGCCCTGTTGTGGCCTCCTGACACCAGCTGCGGCTTGATCTACTACTTCAGATGCTAGCCTCAAGAAATATTCGATCACTCTCAAAACTCCGCAACCTCCTTCTCAATGCACAATTGCGCGACTAAATTCCTGTACCTGGCCGGCGTGCTGAGCATAGCTGTCTCATCTCCTGTCCAGAGTGTGAATATAGCGACTGGCTCGAATCTAGATGCTCGTGCCCATGGAATCGGCTGTGACGACATCATGATAAACAAGGAACAAACCGACAAGGCAGTGAATGATTTCTATGCAGTTTGTCAAGGCAAACAACAAAGTATCTTCACATACGTCGGGGACACTGTCGTCTTCTACTGTCAATGGCATCCGTAAGTGACTAGCAGTGATCCTAGCACGACAAAAGAACATCGCTGCTAACTGTGCTGGAAGAGGTCCGCAATGTGCTGTGACTTCTGCAAGCCATCAATTCGAGATGATCACATCACAATGCGGGCTCTATGGAGTGAGTCGCAGAACTGCCTGAGATGGCGAAAGCTGCTAATACAGCGATGCTTGTAGGCAGGCTCCTTTTCTGACCGGGCCCCGAACAAGAGAACGTATAGCTATGGCTACACCAATTGGCGTATCCACAGCTATTGCAATGTACCTCCGAACACTAGACAGGACGGATAGAGCGGTGGAGCAGTTTCGACTCCTCGAAGGGTTTGAGCTTCAATTGACGCATCTATCAAAACTTGGAACAGTGTCCAACCGAGATGGCACACAAGGCCAGAGGCGACATGTTATGCATCGTGGTGAGAGGAGTCGAGGGGTGGCACAACAGCATGAGTTTTCGTACAGCCAATTACAACACCAGAGTATAGCAAAACCCTCAGATCTCACAACTTTGCTTTTGGCTTTTGTGTCTTCGTGATGCCCAACCACCTCCAGAGCAAACCCCATCCCCTCACATCAGTGGGTGTGCCCTCACTCTCGACTGGTCGTTGGTCATTGGTCTCTTCCTCTACAGCCTGGGTTTGCCCAGAAGTCAGCCTTGAAACGCCCCAAAGTATAAGCCCGCGTTTTCAGTAGCGAAAGACAACGCAACTCAATGGGGTAGGGTAACACTTACTTTGACTTAGCCGTGTACGAAGCCAGAGCATCCATCAACCCAGGGTTCAAACAATCATAAGGCTCCAACCCCACACTCTTCAACTTCGACCTGACCTGATCCATCTTACCCGCATCAAAACCTTGCTCAATAATACTGCTCACAAAAGCCGCAAACTGCGGCTCCTGCCATCCTTGCTCTTTACTGAGCTCCACATGAATGAAATCCAAACCCTTGAAAGCATGATCCTTCACAATGCGGCCGTACAAGTGTACGCCACATTGCTTGCAAGCATTGCGTTGGATTGCGGCATTGGGGTCGATGATGGAGAGTTTGTTGGCGTTGGCTACGACTTTGACGTTGTCGACGGGAACGACACCGACGATGGAGAAGAGGGCTCCGTCGGGTTTCCAGCATTTGGAGCAGCCGCAGGCGTGGTTGTGGGCGACGTTTCCGGTGATTTGGACTTTGACGGGGTCGGAGCGGCAGTGGCATTGCAGGGTTCCGCCGCTGAAGTTGGGGTCGCCTTTGGTGAAGCCGTTGTTGATGTCGGGGTGGAGGTTGATGTAGGACATTTTTGCTGTGCTGTAGTAGTGAAGCTCGCTCGATAGACTTGGGAAGTTTTTGGTTGGTAGGAGATTCGTGCAGAGAAATCAGGTCAGCAGAAAAGATGAACAGAAAACGCAGTACTTAGAAATCCTCCCCTCAGCGGAACAATCGGGCGTGCTCTAATATGTAGTGCTGAGAGCATTCAGCGTTCAACAAGGATATGGGATCCAACCTCAAGGCGGGGTTTGCGCGTATCCGAACACCTCCCAGGAGAGCGCAGGACACGACTGGTGGGGGCCCTTCAGCAAATGAGACCAGGGAGAGGTCCGCATCGCCTGGGGATTGCGCTGCCAGTCGTGTGCAGCATTGGCTGGTCGTGGACGGTATTGGCATACAAAAGAGGGGAATGCGGAATCATCGCGGGTGTTGCAGAGTCGTGGAGCTTCGAGCTGGGGCCTGTGAGCCTGGCAATGCATCCCGAAGCGAAGGGAAAATCCGGGTGGAATCACTTGCCCTAAATGGTAATGGGGAAACTTAGTCCCGCCAACAGCGACACATGTCAGACGCCAGGCTGATAAGTTGTCAGAGTGGATTTTGATGGCGACATATGTCAATTGATGAGGCGGTTCTTGTTGTTGGTGAGCTTTGGAGGATGTCGATGGTAGGTCCATCGGTTCGGCTCCAACTCCGGCGAGGCTTGGCTTCGGGCTGGCCTGTTGATGCAACTTCTCTTCTGAATCTTCAGTACATGGTGGTATGCGAGTGCGTGAAAGTCTGTGGAGGACAAACAGGAGTGAGCTTGAGCTCTGAGAAGGTGTTGTTATATATACAGCATGGCCCGAGGTCACGACCTTAATGGACTGCACAGCTACGGATCTTGCCGGGCACTCGTGGATGACGCTCTGGTGGACAAACTAATCATTATTACACTTGCTGAGGCCTAGAAGAATACATATTTTCTGAACATCATGTCATACTCCGTCACAGCCGTGCATCGAGTGAGTTGGTTGGCATGTAAGCGCAACAACATTTATCGCAGAGCTCAGCAACCCCACGTGCCACTCCACGCAGCCCGGCGCGGCACGCTGCTCAGAACCATCTCCGGATCCAACCCCTCAGCATGTCTCCGGTGACTGGCTTCATCTCATTCAAGGCCCAACTTGCTCGCCTGCTCTCCAGTGTATCTAATCTCACTTCCTCAGCTGCCAGTAGACTTCGATAGAAATTGGCAAGTTTCACAGCAGGGTATCGATTGATATCCTGATCTCCGAGTCTGGTCAACTTATCAATCCATTCCTCAAATGGTACTGTCTTCTCGACAGCGAGGCTAGACTGCACAGCGGGGAGGAGAGATTGCCAGGGCGTGGGTCGTGGGTTGACAGCGTGATAGATCTGAGGCTGGTTTGGTGAATCCTGTTTGATGTTAGCATCATTGTTAGACATGCGGCGACAGAGGCTCAGCTGCTTACAAGCAATTTCTTTCCTGCATGCCCGACGAAGTCGAGGACGATCTTTGCAGCAAGATCAATCGGTACCCAGTCAACGTTGTTGAAAGAGCCCAAGGACGTCGGGAGACATCCCATATTTCGTGAAGAGACCACGAGTGTCGGTAGCCACTCATTTCTCTGCCAATCGCCTTCTCCTGGGCTTGGTCCAGCGATCTGACCAACTCTGCATATGGCACACGGAATACCTGCTTCTTTGGCAGCAGTGGCGAGGATTCTTTCCGCTACAAGCTTCGACTGTCCATAGCCTCCTTCCGTAGACGCTGCAGACCAATCTTCAATGGGCTCTTCAGGAACAGGTCGAGGTCTGCCATCAGCACCTTGAGGCTGCCGTAGGCTGGAGACAGCGCCGACGGAGGAAATGAAGAAGATCATAGCGCCATACTTTGAACGAGCGGAGAAGTCCACGAGCTGTCTCACGCCTTGAATATGTGGGCTGTCAAAGTAGGTAAGCGGGAGGTTGAAGTTGACATTCCACGCATTGTGCAGAATGTGTGTCGCTCGGCCCAGGAAGTCCTTGTACTCCGAGATGTTGAGGCCGAGATAGGGTCGCGAGAAGTCGCAGGCGGCGAAAGTGACAGTCTTTTTCTTGGCAAAATTTGCAGACATGCCTTTGCGGATCAGCGATCGAGCTTGTTCTTCTTCGGCATTGACACGTCGGTTCAGGCAGATGACTTCCGCGACTGTCTCATCGCGAAGCAGTGCATCCAAGAGATATGTGCCAAACGAGCCTGTAGATCCAGTCAAGACGACGACTTTGGCCGAGTGGTTAGCAGGAAGCGGCGAGCGAGTCGTGATTGGTAAGTTGGCCGTGTACTTCTCGAAGATCCTCTGCATTTGATCTTCCGCAGCAAGCTCTTCTGGAGCATCGCCGCACAGGAAGGCCGCCAAGCCAATCGCTGTAGGGTTCTGATAGACGGCTTTCGGGGCGATGAAGTACCGACCTTGATCTGTCGTCGATAGCAGGCGCTGCAACTCACGCACGATAGTCGTCACGCCCAGTGAGTCTACACCAGCAGAAAAAATGTCTTGGTCGACAGCGACAGTGAGACCAAAGATGTCTTTCAAGATTTCCAGGATGCGACGCGCCAATGAGATGGTATCAAAATCTCCCCATCGGCCAGTAGGCTGCCCAATTTGGGTTTGCTCATCAGAGCGCTTGGTCGTGGTGACAAGTGCGCGGGATGTGACCGCAACTTCAGAGCTTGGGCTGGAGACAAACTCGATTGAACGAGGTCGTGTTGGGCTGACAGAAGTATCGCTTGGCATAGAAGACAATGAAAATGCGGACGCTTTGGAATCTTTCCGCTCAGCGATGGGGCTCTCATACAGTTCCTCAAGCTCCTTTCCGTAGATTTCAACTGATGCTTCACGCTGTACTGTACCCTTGCCAGCTCTCGGGAGAGGTTTCCGGGGCGATGTGACCAAGATCATGTCCTTCATGATGCGAGCATGGGCCGGGCTGTTGGCATTGACCTTCTTGACATGCGGCCAGATGGCTTCTATGAACGCTTCGGCATCGACTGTATGCTGGTTTGGCTCCACTAGCAATGCAGAATTTGGCCGGCCGGTCCCACAGACGAGAGCAGCCGAGATGGCAGAATGACCATTGATCGCATTCTCCATTGTTGTAGGGTTGTATTTTTCGCCGGTAGAGTACACGATGATGTCGTCGTTTCGTCCTTCCCACTTCCAGAGTCCAGGTTTGGTGGGATGCTTGGAATAGAGGTCTCCGGTTCCATACTCAGTGCGTTCTGGATAAGTGTAGAACGCGACTTGGTAGTCCTTGCAAGCCTCATTGCGAACGAAGAACAGGCTGAAAAGATTGTCTGCTGCTGGTCGCATCTCAATTCCCAGAACCGGTGAAAATTGTATATACTGCCAATCCCGATCCTCAGTAAATTCACATGGCAGAATGCCAGACTCGGTCATGCCCATAATACTGGCGATGTGAGAACGCCTTCGAATATCCTCTCCAGCAGCTTCAGGTAACGGGCCTCCACCAAATGCTACACAATTGAGCTTGGACAGCGTCTCGAGCATCCTTCGATCCGCGGCCATCTCCGCCAAGATGGAAGGAGGACTGGTCAGGACGTGAACTCTTGTCTTGTCGATGATGTCTGCGGTCATTTGTGCATTCGGCGGCGTTGGTCCAGCAGGAGGAAGTATCACAGTGAATTGGTTTTGAATCGCTGCCATGAGTATATTTATTGCTGCCATGTGGAAAAGAGGAAATGTGACCAACACCCGTTTCCCGGACCATTGGCACAAATGGATCTTTCCATGACCCAGGTCGGGAATTTGTTTCCATTTTTCCATGGCCAGGGCGTTGCCATGTTTGATCTTGATCGGCTTGGGGAGTCCAGTGGTGCCAGATGAATGCAGGCCCACGAGTGGCTCTGTCGCAATAGTTCTTGGACTCCAATGCCAAACGTACGGATTTGGGGCGAAGGAAAGAAAATAGTCAAGATCAGGCACTTCAAGGCAGGCTAGCGATTCTGCCTCAATAACGCTTTGTAGATCAGATCTTGCGGAACCGCCTTGTGGCAGAAGCAGAATTTTGCAGCCGTATCTTTGGAAGAGGTGCCGCTGCGCATCGGCGTCGTTTCTCGGCGAAGGAAAAAAGGCCAACCTTCCTGTCTTGCAGCCAGCGAGCATCAGGATCCAATATCGCAAGTCTGGACCTGAGCTTACGTAGGCGAACGTTCTTGACAAGTACAGGTGTCGCAGACGTTCATCTAGCCACCAGGCCGCCTTGTGGATGGCCACGGATAGCTGCTTGATGGAAATGGTTTTTGAGCTTCCATCGCTGGGACTTACGATTTCTGCAAATGATCGATCTGGATCCTTGGTCGCGAGATGGTCAATGTATGCTGGCAGTGGCAGGCTGGTGATTTCTTTTGGTTGTGCCATCGCCTTGGTCCGAGATATGATGGTTCGGAGTCGCGAGGTCATGAGAAGGTGGAATATTGCAGAAGGCGACGACTATCATGGCCCTCATATCTCGTGTGTGTAGCGTGCGACACCTGCAGGCCATTGCTGTCATGGACTGACCTGGTCGCTCCAGTTCCGAAATCCTCGAGGACGGACTTCCATGTCATCGGAGCGTCGAAGTCAAGGATCACCAAGCTGTACTCCGCACGCAACCATGTGCCTCGCCTCTCAAGGTTTGAACGCAGTCCTTTCAAAGATGGATCGTTGGCAGGCTGCAAGTTGATGCTGTTGCAAAGTCAGTACAGTCAAGCAGAAGACGGTCTCGGCGCCTGAACGGCGAAGCAGATCTCTCTGGTAGGCCATCTACACCACTCTCTCCACCATCAGCTCATCTGTGAGCGCAGCAAGACTATGGCCAGGCACTCTGAACCTTCCTGACAACCCACCGATCTCCTCCGGCGACCGGAAAGGCTTCCCGACAGGCGCTGAAGCAAGACGACATGTCGTAGGGATGTGCATTGATTCAGAGAACGGATATCAAGCGGACATTCCAGGCGGCCACTGCCACTGGAAAATTGCATTGCAGAGCAGCGCAGCGCCAGTCTCATCGTGCCCGGGTGGACACGCGTCTTGCGGATTGTGTCTTGCTGCATTCAACCAGCGAGAAGTGTCTCGTCTTCCCTGCTGTGCAGGTAGGGCCTTGAAGCGCTTTTCGGCGCTGGAGCATGCCGCTGGAGACGTAGAATGACAGACATTTTTGTCTGTTTCTGCGTTCAGCTTGATGACTTCGATGTGGTTGATGTCGAGTAGAAGAAAGAGAACGCGTGGTAGACGCGATGGCGGCGGCGTGAAAAACACCTTATCGCCCGTCCCGTGACTTGTCTCCCGCGGCATACCTCTGACTATACTAGTCTGTTGCCGAAACACCTCTCTGCGCTGTCCGTTGCGCGGATGCACAGCTACAAGATGGCACGGTATCTGGATCTCGAGGCCGCGAAAGTCTGATAATCCCAAGCACGAAGAGCACGCTGGATTGGCTCTGCGGAACAAGTTGCTGGTGGCACGAATGAGAAGGTCTGCCTGAGGTGTGCTCTTCACAAAGGAGCCAACAAGCTAACAGCCGCCAAAATCGGGCACTGCGGCCACTGACTTGCAAGCGTGCTGCATGCAAGGACTCAGCTCATGCCACGAACCTGCGATACGGATGGCGGCGTGGACAGCTTTGCGCCTTAAGAAGATGCCAACTTCTCAGCCTGACTGGAGCGGTGAGAAACGCATCGGGTAGCCCGATGTCACCAGCCATTGGCGTTCACACGAGAGCTCCGTGCTGCTCATGCATTGCTGAGCCTGTGCGGATTCGCCTGTACTGTGCTGGAAGGCTGATGAGGTGCTGTCAAGCCACCAGAGGAGCCTTATCCCGACCGCTCTGCGATGCGTATTGTGGCTCTGTCGGGGCTTCCGAACGGGCGCCACCACGTGGTCGACTCGTGGTGGAGAGCATGCAGCCTCGAAAGCTATGGACTCAGTTCATGGCGGCAGATCAAGCAACCGCAAAGCCCTCAGGCAGGATCCGCACCAGACGACGGCAGAGGAACAATTACATCTCGCTCCGGTCCGAGCCCAGCGCACATGTCTCACACTTCCCAATCTTCACGCTTGGCCTGGCTCTATATCATACACTCCAGCTTACTTGCGACAAGACAGAGGCGAAGCTGTCCAGTACAGCATACTGGCAATCGCAATGACTCTTTACGTAAATCTTGATCACAACGACGCTGGCTGCATGCCGCCATCTTCAAGTCTCGCATCTACCTGTATGGCCCCGCAATTAGCCTTACGCCACAATACAGCTAGCTATGCTGCACATCAAAGCCACCAGGTGCCGGAAACAGTATTACCACTTTGGGGTGTCGCAACATCTTAGCAGCCACGTGGTGCACATGCTTCGACGATGTATATATATCAAGCACAAGTGAGCATAACTTGCTTCGATACAGCAGAGCGAACAATCGCGATCAACGAAGCACAGCACATCCATCATGACTATTGTCAACACTCCAGTCACTCCTATCGTGGTGGACACCTCGAAATCACTCGAGGTGCAAGCATTGGCTATCAATGCTGCTGCCAACCAGCTCCGCACAACCATCGCTGGTGTCTGGGATCTGGCACCAACTACACCACAGCCTCCAGCTCCAGACTCAACGGTTGTGCTCAAACGCGTTCTTCCCGGCCAAGAAAGCGTCTTGGATGGCGATGAGCGGACTCTCGTTGCCGAGGAGCATTACGCACCAGGCGGGAAATATCGAGGTATCATCAAGCTGATGATCAAATACGCACAAAAGCCAAACTCCATGGCCCATGGAACCGGTTGGCTTATCAGGCCCGATCTCATCGCAACTGCCGGCCACAACGTATACGACTGGGGCCACAATGCTGGTCAAGCTATCGAGATCAAATGTTACGCTGGCTGGAGTGGCGCATCACGCATCAACGAATCTGTCGAATTTCGCAGAGCTTCTCGCGTGGTCACTACGGAACGTTGGCTACAGACCCGAGGTTCGAAAGCACATGACTTTGCACTCATCCAAGTGGAGAAGCCTTTCACTAACGTAACGCCTTTCTCGTACATTTCGATAATGTACGCCTAGGAGTTGTAGGATACCCTGCGGAAGCAAGAGACGTGAATGGAGAATTGAAATGTACGTATCTGGACAATACAACCTCGAGAAGCAGCCTGACACTATGTTGGAATACTCTGTCGATACAGAAGGAGGTATGACTTACTTCTCGGTACTCGTTGAAATAAGCCGCTAATGGGAAGTAGGCCAATCTGGCTCTCCAGTTCTGTTGGAAAACGGCCTGGTTGCTATCGGAGCTCATGTCTACGGCGGAAGCCTCAATGCAGGTTCTGTGCTTGGAAGATATGGCAACCCGATCCAAGACTACATCGCCGCGGTCGATATCAAGCTGGCACACCCTGGCCAGATCAATCTTTTCACCATCGCCGATGATGTGGTCGCCGCAAAGGGTGCTGCAACTGCTAAGCAGTCCAACACGGCACTAACCCAATTGGAAGGTGGTGACCATATTGGAACCTCTAATGCGACTAATGGACCAGGTCCAAAGCCTCAGACCCAAGAAAGCATCTTCGACTCCATTGCCGATGTACTAAAGATCACTTCCCGAGCACACTTCCTTCTCGGGCCAATCGGAGGTACTCTCGCAGATACTGCACTGCTTGCTCTCAATGGTGCGAGAGCTGCCTCGGCAGAGAGCGGATGGGAAGGCGGTCGCGCACTTCCACTGGCTGATCTACAACGAGCCCAGCTGGCTCGTGCACTTTACATGAAACTCATGAAGGACAAAGCCAAAGCCAACCCGGAAGGCTTCTTCGACGATCTCGCTAGTACGATCACGCAGACCATCACGGGTCCGGTGGTCAGCGCAACGACGTCCGTCGTGGACAGCGTCACGTCAGGTCTCGTTGGTGGCGCAAAGGCCTATGAAGATGCTGTTCGCAGTCTGTTCCCAACTGTTGCGCATAGCTTTGTGCTGGCCGCTGCCCTGCCAGTCGGCGCTGTCAATACGGAGAGCGCAATGGAAAGCGACGCTCCAGACAATGAAAAGCGCTTCATGGCTGCTTTCGCAGAGTCTCGCCGAGCTCGCCGAGCTCAAAAGACTGGTGGTAGCAACTCAGAAGGTTTCTTCGACGATGTTATCATTGCTGGCGTCGTGAACGCGTTTGCGGGCGGCTCATCAAAGGCTGAGGGCTGGTTTGTGAATGCAGTCTCAAAAGCTGATGGATCCGGCAACTTGCAGCCAAACTACTATAACGGCTACAGAAAGTCTGAGGGTTTCTGGGACGACATCACGCAGCCATTCAAGGATGCCGCCAGCGCTGTCGGAGACGCCGCGAGCAACGTGGCCAATACTGTTGGAGACGCCGCGAACGGCGTGGTGAATACCGTCGGAGACGCTGCGAACAGCGTAGCGAATACCGTCGAGGACACCGCGAACAAGGTGGGAAATACTATCGTAGACGGCGCGAACAAAGTCGGAAATGCTGCCGAAAATGCCGCAAACGCCGCGGCGAACGCTGTCACGGGTGCCGTGATCAATCCTGTCGTCCAAGGAGTCAACTGGGTTCTGCCGATAGCCGTAAGAGCAGAAAGCAGCATTGAAGAGACTGCGGGTTTCCAGGAGGGCATCATACGAATCACTCAGGCTTTCGTTCTCAGAGCTGCGCTCGAAGAGCAATATCTCGTTGCTACGATGGCTCGGCCGTTGGAAGAGCTGAAGGCTGAGGGGTGGTGGGATGATATGAATGAGGCTATCGAAGGGGCGGTGACAGGCACTGCCACTTGGGCTTGGGATCAAGTTCAGTCTGGTGCAAGGCGACAGATGGAGAGCGACCAGAGACAGATGGACGCCGCTGGTGCTAGGATTGTGACTCCAATGAACTGGTAGGAAGGTATGGCGGCTCTCTAATAGGATTGATTTAGCTGCATTGTAGGTTCACTAATTGGAAGGAACTACTACCACTTTCGGTTCGTGTTGCTTTTAGGCCATCGCTACTGCAACAGCTTGCAATATGACACGAACGTCCGAAATGTGATCCGCTCTCAGCTCAAGTCAAACTCAGCCGTCTATAAGTGCGCGAAGGCGTCATGGACCGAGCCCATTGCACACGGTGGACGTCAGTAGAGCCTGCCCATCCCGCCTTAATCATCGCGCGCTGCGGCGTCACGCAATTGGAATTCATTCCTGGACTTCGCTTCGCCGGACTCAAATCCTGCGAGATCTGGGCTGATTACCGGGCGCTCAGTGCGGCTTCCTCTAGTCGAAACCGATAGAATGCTCAACGGGATCTTATGCTGTCAGTATTCACTTTTCGCAGCAAGGTGCCAGTAACTGACCTCTACTCAGTCGCGTGTACCATCGACGCGTCCCGTGCGCCTCCAAAATCGAGACCCACAAGACGCGCGCGCCTCCTTCACCATCGTCCACACGCATCTTGGTCCTGACGACACTGTCCGCGATCCCAAAAGTGTTCTTCATCTTCCGTGCACACCAACTCCACCAGATTCTCAGTTTGGCAAAACTGACTTCGTTGGAAGCCGCGTAGGACCAGTCAGTGGGGTCGTTCTTCCAGTGCAGTCGAATTTCCGACACGAGATGCGTGTGATCTGCGGGCAGAGAAGTGAGCCAGGACCGGAGGAGTGGAGGCTTTGCGCGGCCGTCTTCCACAACAAAGATCGTGGAGCTGTAGTAGTCCTGTGCCACCTTTCGGCGCAAGGCTTGGTCGATGGCGAGCTGCCATGGCGGCTTGTAAGACTTGTCGATCACCACCGTTGTCGGCTTGATGGCGACCGTCAAGTCGAGGATCTCGTCTTGCAGCTCTTGTGGCAGCGCCTGGATGCGATGGTCGAGCTCAGCGCTCTCGTCAAGACCAGCTTGGATCGACGAGTCTTGCTTGTCTGGGGACGCCATCGCGACAGAGTCGGACGCGCACAGGCTTCAGCTTCTGTTCGAACTGTGTTTGCCGTGGGCGGTGGAGCGGAGGTCGACTGATTAAAAGTGGTTGTTGAGGTCGGAGTGACCAATGTGCAGAGATTTCGCGAGCTGCTGCAAACGCGTATGTGAAGAAGTGCTCCAACGGGTGGGGCGATATTCACTTTAACGCCATGGCAACGGGGCAGCAAACAACGCGTTGCGCTGCCATCACAACACTGCGCACCTCGCGCTCCCCTCTGAGTTCGAGCAGAATTCCACGCAGCAAGATCAGACGAGATCACGCAACACTGATATCGAATGATGACCGAACTCCTGATGCTCGAGGATCCACGTACGGACAACCTCATCTCTCGAGCAGACTTCAACCTCCAGTTCCCACCCCTGAGGGACCAAGACACGGAAACTGCATTCGCGCTCGCAATATCTCAAGCCCAGAAGTCATGTCTCCGCACACAGAGCTGGCACTGGCAACGCGACATGCTGTTTAGCAAACGGTGGTATCTCTCGCTCGACATGAACAGAAAGAAGGTCTTCCTCGGCCCGCGCTTGACGAGACAGGAATTGCAGAATTTGCGAGAGTATCGGCAAGGGCTGAGGAAGAACGTGGCCAGGAGACGTAATGGCGCAGCGTGGTGCTGGATGACTGTCGAGTGGAGTGGAGATTTCAACTCTACGCTGAGTCTCCCTCCTCTGATCGCGCCGGGCGAAAAGTATGTGCCGTTTGAAGCTCTGTGGCCGAACTTCGTGCGCGCGCCAGGGAATGGACGAGTCGAGACTGGAGGTCTGAAGGCTCGGGTTGAGGAGACTACTGGCGCGGCTTCAGGTGAGATCGATCTCACTCTCGAAGGGCTTTTCGATTTCGACGGATACTATGGTGAGGTCTCGATCAGCAACCACGACGAGCCGCAGCGACCTGCTACCTTCACATCAGCTACTCAGGTGCTGCCATCGATAGAGCACAGCACGCCTGCAGCATCTGAACAAACGGCTTTGGCTATCGCTGCCGCCTTCCAGCGCGCTCAGATGGGCACGAAACGTCGCACGTCCTCCAGCGCCAGCGTGTCAACTCACAAGCGCACCAGGATATTTAGCCCACTCTCCGGCAACGCATCAGCAGAAGCTAAGGACAACCAAATACCTACGCTTCCCAACGTTCACAAAGCGCCGGACATATCCAACACGGGAGGGGTCATGCAATCAGCTGCCCTCACTTCAATCGATTCGGGTAAGTCGTCCTACGTGCACGATGCGAGTCATGAGAGGACCCGTCGCGACGACAGTGTGCTCGTAGAAGAATGAGAAGGTTACAGGTAAGTGAACCGATCTTTCAAGTGAGTCTTTTGAGCGGCAAAGTAACGATTCGAATGTGAAGTTGGGTCAAAAGCGGTTGGAATTTGACCTCAGGACTTGGAGAACTGGCGCTTTTGCTTGCGTTTTGCACAAGACTGTTGATTCTAGCTTCGCAGTCGAAGAAAGTCTTGGTTTGGGCGTAGCATTTTTCGCTTGGTTATATTGCGAACTCAGGTGTTGTTTGGAAGGGTTCTTGGGCGAGCTAGGATGAGTGGACCTGCATCTTCATGCATGCTCATGTGGATGCTTCACGAAAAATTGCTCGAAGGTCAAGCAGATCTTGACTACGATCAGCGCATGCCGGCGGAAGTATCGACCTTCTTGCCTCTTTATCAAGAACTGCCATCAGCAACGACAGCATCCTTTTGGATTTCCTTAAGATTCATAACGCAAGAAGACATGAAGTCCAAAATACCAAGAAATCCAAAGCAAGTCCCCAAGTCCGGCATCGGCATCTTCTCTCCACCCTGATAGGTCAAAGATGGTACGATTTCCTGCTGGCGCGATCCACAAATTCTTGGCAAGGAACAAGAGGAGAGGGACCTGCTTGTTTCATCTCTTCTTTGCCATGTGCCTTATCTGATCTTTTCCCGTCACTTATCTGATCGCTTCCTTCCCCTCCCATCTCTCTACTAATCACCATTTTTATTTACTTACCATGGAGCTTACTGCACCACGCCGAATCCTTGTTGCAGGATGCTCGTACGGAGGTATGGCCTTTGTGGTCAACCTTTTGGATTTGTGTTCGGGCCGACCGGCGAGAGGTGATTATGAGAAGACGCCGCCGATTCCTGAGGCGTTGAAGGGTGTGCCTGTGGATGTACATATTGTGGATGAGAGGGATGGATATTGTGAGTGTTCAATCCTACGAATCGTTGCTGGTGATGTTGCTGATGGGTATCTGTTTCGCAGACCATCTTATCGGGTCGCCACTTGCGTTTGCCAGCGAGACAGCAGCGAAGAAATTCTGGCATAAATATTCAGATATCCCGTCCCTCCAACATCCAAGCGTAAGATTCAGCCAGGCCAGCGTACAAAAAGTCGACCCAGAGCGCATGACCGCAACGATCAAAGATGTGAAGACTGGCGAGATATCAGAACATTCCTACGACTACGTCGTCGCAGCTACAGGACTTCGAAGACCATGGCCAACAGTCCCACAAAGCCTGACACAAGAGAAATACATCCAAGAAACTAGTGACCACGTCAAACTCGTACAAAACGCCGACCAAGGCGTAGTCGTCATCGGTGGCGGCGCCGTCGGAATCGAAATGGCCGCCGAGCTCAAAGTCGTCTACCCATCACTGAGCGTAACCCTCATCCAATCCCGCAACGAACTCCTCAGCGCCGAACCTCTTCCCGAAGACTTCAAATCCACCTCCCTCAAGCTCCTCCGCGAAACAGGCGTAAACGTAATCCTGGGTCACGGCCGAGTGACATCCACCATCCCCATACCCAGCGACTCAGGCCGTCCTCTCTACAACCTCACCCTCGCAGACGGCACTACCTTGAAGGCCTCCCACGTCATAAACGCCGTCTCACACCCCGAACCAACAGCTTCTTACCTCCCACCCTCCTCTCTAGACCCCTCAACAAACCTCATAAACATCTCGCCACTCCTCCGCTTCCTTCCCGACTCCCACCCCAAGACAGCCCACCACCTCGCCCTCGGCGACATCGCAAAGTGGTCCGGAATCAAACGCTGCGGTGGAGCGCTCGCAATGGGCTACCACGCCTCTCAAGCAATTTTCGAACAGATCCTACACGAGCAATACGGGACACCGAGAAAATTGGCAGAATGGCCTGAAGTTCCACCAATGATTGCTTTGGTCGTGGGGAAGAAAGCTGTTGTGTATGATCCTACTGAAGGGACGAGAAGCGGTGAGGAAGAGATGGAATTGTTCTTTGGAGAAGATCTGGGGTGGAAGGGATGTTGGGATCATTTGAAATTGTCGCAAGGGTGGGAAGAGGAGAAGCATGATTCGCCAGTGGCGGGGACGCATGCGGAGACGGATAATTGTGCGATTCCGAAGATCAAGTTGGCGCCTGCTGCGAAGGATGCGGCGGAGAAGGAGGCGGTGACGGGGCGGGAGGTTTTGAAGGAGGTGTTGGTAGCGCAGTAGCGTAGGCTGGATCCGATCGTTGGCTTGAGGCCCAGACTCACAGGAGAAGAGATACGTTCATCAGCTCAAGTGCTAGGTTCATAGAAGAAGAGGTGGAATCGAAGATCATCACAAATTTCATGAACAACATTTCGAAGAAGCTAGCGTAGCGTCTGTCGTTTATGTACCTCTATCTAGTGAGGCTCGTTCAGTGTATCGTAGCCACCCATTACGAATCACGCCGGCGAAAGCGTTCGACGCTGGGCAGCAAGAGAGGAGTAGAGGGCTTGCAAGGATGCCGACCATGCTTGGCCGCGATGTTGCAGCGAGAACTCATGTTGGACGCGGAGCTCAACTCTAGGCATGTGCCAAACCCTGAGGATAGTCGAAGATGGTGTTGGGATCGACTTGCTTCTTGATGTCCTTGAGACGCTGCAAAGCATCTCCGTAGTACATCTGAGCCCAGTTTTGCAGTCTCGGGTCGATGTAGTTGACGTATGCCTTCCAGTTGCCGTTTGGATCGTTGGCTCTAACTGCCGCATTGAGGTTGTCCACAGCAGCGTTGACTGGGGTTTGGGCAGTCATGTTGTCGAAAGCTGGATAGCCGTTGACGTAGATTTGACTCATGAAGGTAGATCCTCGGTGACCACCAACTGCGAAGGAGGAATCGCCGTACGGTTGCTCACCATTGGTTCTGGCGAAAGGTCCGTTGAGATCGAAAGAGATGGAAGTGCCCTCGTTTGGAGTGTTTACAGTCTCTTGCACAGCTTGGAAGATCGCCTGTGAGCCAGATACGCTGTAACTTGGAGAGCCGTCATCAATCAAGGACTGTGCGTAGTACGGCACTTGGACTGGTGGTGAATTGAGGTTGCCCCCCATCAAGCTCGTGAGAGCTTCGACCCAACCGGGAAATTCGACAGCATTGAAGTCTGTGGTCTGAACGCCGCTCGCATGCAGATCATCCCGGATGACCTTCTCTGCGCGGCGGAACTCGCCAATGGGACCAAGATATTGACCAGCAAGTTTGCATGCTCCAACGCCCTCGCCACCTACTCCGTAGCCAAGCAGCTGGAAACCGAGCTCTTTTGGAAGCTGATTCGGGCCCATAGCGTTAGCAAGAGCCGTGACAGCTCTCAAGACTGTAGCACATTCGTCGTGAGTGGGGAAAGTCGTGTTCCAGTTGACAGCCTGGGTGGGAGCGACTTCCAATTTGAGAGTCATGTCGGTAACAACGCCGAAGTTGTTGGCTCCTGCTCCGCGAAGAGCCCACCACAAATCAGCATCTTGGCCAGTAGAGGTTACAGAGAGCTTGCGAATGGCGCCAGTTGGGTCGACGAGAGTCATGCCGACAATGTGGTCGAGAAGCCAGCCCCAGTTGCGAGAGCTGAATCCCCAGCCGCCACCCAGAGCGTGGCCGAAGACACCGACTGACGGGCAAGTGCCATGAGGAAGACCAAATCCCTCCTGGCCAATGGCAATAGCGAGCGGACCTAGCTTGGCACCCATGTACACATGGGCGGTCTTCGAGTCCTTGTCGACAGAGATGCCGGCGAGACGGCTCGAGTCGATGACTACGAAACCATCGGCACCACCAAGAGCATACGAGGCATAGCCTGTAGTAGAGTCAGTGAAGGTTGCTCCAATATCGCTACTTGCAATCACACTCACCATGACCTCCCCCAAACGTCGAAGCTTTGACTTGACCGTTACGCTGGGCGACGCATTTGATGACACCTGCGACTTGCTCAGGGCTGGTAGGCTGGACGACCACGAGCGGAGTGTAGTGGTAGTTGGTGTTTTGCGATTTCGTTGTGATCTGAGCACCTTGGTCCTATTGTCATGTCGAGTCAGTGTGTGGTAGTGGTAGGAGAGACTAGGACTCGAGTGCACTTACCGGCCACTCAGCCACGACTTGCGTGGAATAGATGCATGGGCGAAGGTCATCCTGATACTGACGACGAGTGATGGAAGCGGCGGAAGTGCCGCCGAAGGAAGCGAGTAGTGCGAGAGCGGTGGGGATGAGCGAGCGAAGGCGCGGCTGGTGAGACGCCATCTTTGCCGGCGGTCGAGGTGTTGTTGTATTCAAGTGATCGGTAGTGTCGAGGGAAAGGCAAAGTGCCGGAGTTAGTCTGATGCCAAGGATGAGTCCAAAGCAGGCGCAGGTGAATCCCTGCGTTTGCTGTCTTGTGGCTTCAGCTTCACATTCACTGCCGCGTCACAGCTGTACTTCACCTCATCTTTCACAAGACATCGAAAATCCCTTTACATGCTCTTGAAAGCTCGTGATGTTTTCGAAGCTTCTGCCGGCTTCACCCCTGCTGAGCCGTGTGCGAGGATCATTCCGTTCAGCAACATCAGAAGAGTTGTTTCATCATCGTCGGTAAGGCGAAGCCATCTTGTCCCTAAGCTGACCACTCGACAAGCATGTAGCAATTGTCAGAGCGTGATGTACGCAAGGTAAAGAAGGAAGAAGATGAAGAAGAGTTTCGGCGAATCGTCTTGGCTGCTGGCTGATCCCTGTCGACTTCACCTGGTTGAAACGTCCCAAAATAGCCAGGCCTTACAGTCACGCCTAGTCACATTGCTTCCACTGCAATCCGATGCCGTGAGCGAGTATGCCCTCGGCGTGAATCTCAAGCGTGCGCAATCAAGTCTGCGTGGAATTCCGCAAAGATTGCCAATCCAAAACTTCGCCCAAAGCAAGCCTGACGCCTTGTACTCCAACCATCAACCACAAGCGGTTTTTCAAAGACACGTCCAACTATTGCTCCATCTCCCCGTAGGTCTGCTCGTGGACTTTCTGCTTCAAATCATCCATCCTGCTCAACTTCTCCATCAACCTCTTCGTCCCCTCCTCTTCCATCTTCCTCACTCTGTCCTCCTTCGCAAGCTCAATCACTTTGAGCGATCGGTCTGCTATTGGGTGCACATACTCTGCACTGGCCAAACGGGGTCCAATTCTTCGCCAATTGCGGTCTCCATTCGCCACACGCACTGCGCGTCTTTCCTCAGGTGTTCTGCACTTGGACAGGAGCGGCTGGCGTCTGGATTGGAATGTGATTGAGGCGTCTTCCTCCGAGCTCGGCTGTGAGTTTGAAGTAGGAGACACTGGTGATGGGAGCTTAGTGGGCTGCTGAGCTCGGCGGAAGTTGTAGAGCCATTCCTGATGAGAGGCCAGGGCTGATTCGTAGGGTAAGAGAGCCGGGAAGACGTCCGCTAGGATTCGCTTCATTTCCTGGCTGTCAGCCTGTGAGAGATTTTCCAATCCTTCTGCAGCCGCCTGAGGTGTAGCAGCCGTCGCTTCTGTGTTATCCTTTTGGACTGACGTTGGTCGCTCAGCTGTGGTGGACTTCGCTGGTGTTCCCGGCCGATCACTTCCCGAGCCATAGCCTTGATCTGACGCATGATCCTCTGAAGATGTCTCACCAGTCCCATGAGGCTGTGTCGCAGCAAGCTCCCTCAGTGAATCGCTCTTGCTCATTCTCCGCAAAACTTGTCCAGGTCGCTCTTGCCATTCCACACCGTCACGAGTGAATGAGTGCCTAAGTGGAAATGTTGGCGCCGGTATCCTGCTCTGAGTAGGTGGGTTGGCGCTAGCGACTACCTCAGCGAGTTGGTTGTCGGCTGCCTCGATCAAGGTCTCTTCTCCGTCCAGCTGCGGCGGACTGGGTACTCCCAAGAAGTCCTGCCATTCTCCCGCCAACATACCATCGTACATCTTCTTTGCCTCCTTTACGTCCTCCTCATCCGGAACTTTCAGAACCCATTCCCCATCTTGAAGCACGTACTGGTTCTTCAACATCTCGTCAGTCACACCAGACAAGTCCATTTGTCCTATGAACTCTTCCAGATTCTCCCCTGTGACTCCCATCTCTTCTGCTTGCTCCCACAAGCCATCAATGTCCTCTTTCCACTCGAGCATCTGCTTTCCCTCCCGACACAGCGTTTCCAGGTCCGCCTCAAATTCCAGCTCCTCTGCAGATTTTACTTGTGTTGAACGGCGCTCGTGTTGTCTGGCTGCCAGTGTCTCAGCGGCGGTCTCTGTGAGAGCGGAAATGCTGTTGAAGAAAGATGCTCGCTTTTCAGGGTTCGCGATGAATTCGTTGTACTTTGACTCATCGGCGGCTAGTTCGGAGAACAGAGGTCTTGAGCCTTTCGTATGCTGTAGTAGCTCTTGATATGGGAGTGAGATCGGTGTCACAGCCGACACCGCCGGAGCGACACCTTTGACTTGCTTCTTCTTCTTCGCCTTGCGGTTGCGATTCTTCTTCTGAGTTGCGGATAATTTGGTCTCCTGGACGCCATAGTCGCCGGTCTGACTCGAGCCTCTGTTGACTTCTGCGCCACTCATGCTTGACATTCCGGCAGTCGTCGCTTTCTCTGCAATCTGGAGTGGAGCAGGGACGGCGCCCGCGTCTTCAAATTCGGCTGCTTTGCGTGGATGGATGGCAGTTGGATCGTCGTTTCTCTTCTCGTCGCCGCCGTAGAAGAAGCTGCCGAGGCGTCGAAAGATGCCACTAGGAGACGACATCTTCGTAGAGAGTGTACGGCGTCGCTGCAGTGGAGAAGGCGCCATGTTTGCTTGGTTTTGTCAATTCGGTTTCAGTAGGGCGACGCACATTGTTCGATTGAAGGTAATGACGCTTTGTTTGGGTTGAAGTAGTTGGAGTAGATGCGGGTGGACCCACTTTCACAAGCTCCTTAGTTCGAAGTGAAGCGCGGCAAACGGCAACGCCACGCGTGCATCTCCCTTCGAGTTTCACGCCTTCAATTTGTAACGATGCGAACCTGTGCTATCGCCGAAAAGTATGTCTTTCTTCGGTGCCTTTCGGGGATCTGGCCTCATTCGTGCGGCGGCAGGCAGTGTTTCGACCCGGAGAGCTTTTTTGGGATACTTGTGCTTGCTGCCGCGGTTTCGAGGGACAGATGTTTTTAGGCGGGTATTGCCTCCTAAATGAGGGCATTTGCGAGTGGCCAGCCTCCTGGGCTAGTCAGCCTCCATTCTCTCGGAGAAGCTATGCTCTCAGGCAACTGTCTTGGCATCGTCTCCAATGCCTCATACAGCCTCTCGTATGGATGTCACCACACTTGACAATCACCCTTTCTTATTGCCGGCTCAGGACGACTTCCTGTTCACATCAAACACCCATTCGTTCGACTCGAATGCAACACACTTCCACCCAGCTTCCACCTCTTCCCTCCGACCTTCTGATAGACTTCCACTATCCACTCGTACCACACCTTCCGATCATCTGTCTGTCTCCACATCGTGACCTCGACTTCTGCGTCGTCCGGAACATACAACGGAGTTTTGAGCGGAAAGAAGATCGGGAACCAAGATATCATGTCCTTGCTCTTTTGGTCCATCGTGATTGGATTCGTGGAGAGCTCGATAGGCGGGAGTTTGCGGTCTTCTGGAGCGTAGAGGACGGACTCGAAGTACCCGGCTAGACCGTGGCATATTCCGCGGTTCTTAGCACTGAATCTGGTGTGGCAGGTGCGGACGTTGTGCTCGTTCTTGCCGTCGCCGCCGGTAAAGCCTCCAGCATCCAGAGTGCCGCCTGCGCGATGAGCAGCATGGGCGATGATCGCTTCAGGAATCGGATGAGAGAAGACCCAGGCGTCTTTGATCTCGGGGGTCAATTCAGGAAAGACGACAGACTGCATTTGCCCGTTCTTTTGAGTCGGTCCACGGCATAGGTCATCGTACTGATGAAGCATGACAACAGCAGGAAGTTCCCATTTGTCTTCACCGCTGCGGCTGAGGAGGTCGCTGTGTAGACGCGGTGTAGAAATTGGGGTGAAATGAGCGCTGTAGGATTGAGGGATGTTGACTCCGTAGTCGGGATGTAGGACGTGTTGGACGCCATCGAGACACTCGGGCGAGAGTTCGTTGTCGGCGAAAGAGCCAAGCAGTTCAGATACGAGGATGTCGACCTTGTTGACCTTTCCGTCGATGGTGGGACCTGGCCAACTTCGCATATCGGATTTGTAGACTAGGACTTGTTTGTTCCAGAGCGGATCAGTGGCGTTGCGTCGTTGGATGAGGACGTGAGCATTAGGATTCTTCTCGACTGCGCATGGCACAATCGAGATGCCAGTAGATTTGCTTGCTCGTAGAACGCGAGTGACAAGCGGACCTCTTCCAGCTCCTGCAACTGCGCAGACAATCGGCCTCTTGTCTTCTCCAAGCTTGGCACGAATGTCCTTGAGCGCTACAGCCACGGCTCTCTCGTACCATTCGTACTTGACCGGGTCCTTCTCGAAGACCTCGTAAGTGATTGACTCCAAATTATCAGTCAGAGGCTGGAGGGGTGATTGTATGTAGTCCTGATAGCCTTGGCCGAATTTCTCCACTGGGGGGCGTGATGGTTGCGTTTGTTGCAAGCGTCGCATGTAACGCAGATGAGCCAAGGTATCAGCGGCTTTGCTTTTAGACGCCGCAGATGCTGCTTCTGCTGGCGTTGGTTCTGGCCCTGATTGTCCAAGTGCATCCTCGGCAGCTAAGAGTGTTAGTGAGTATCAATCCGTCCCAGGTAAGTTTAACGCACCTTCAATAGGATCAACGTCGGCCAGTAGCACCCATGGCGCGAACTTGAGGCGCAGAAATCGCGATAGTAACTGCTGGTGGCCCTTGTCTAGAACAGGATAGCCAGCTTGGTTGCGAAGAAACGTGGTTCGTGGCATTACCAATGTCCGCACAGGCTCGGAGAACCAACGAGATTGAAGCTCGAGCGAGGGTAGTTGGCGCGGAAGTTCGAGTGCTGGGTAATGCATTGTCAGCAAATTGTGCCTTTTGTGGCTTTCCATGGCTTGACCATACCTGCCATGAGTTGCTACTCTCTAGTTGGGGGCAATGCGGAAATATGGGAGCAGAGAACGAGAGGGACATCATGAAAACGAAAGAGGAAGGCCGCACATACCTACTGTCAGCTTATTGCTGTACTGTCCCATGGCCCGGATCGTGTTCCACGTCTCCCAGGTGCCGAACAGCTCTGGCTCTGCCTCGTCTTCTTCACTTGGCGCTGGCATATATTTCTCTCGCGCAAGCTCAGATAGATGTGCTCCCTCAGCACCTTCGAGCTCGAGCTCTCCTGTGATCGGGAGGAGGATCTGTAGTTGGACATAGGGACCAAGACCCAACCCTTCGAGGACAGCGCGGGCATACTGGACGTGATCCGAGCCTTCAATGGGGCCGTGAACAATAACATTGCCGATGCCCACGAACGCTGCGTAGGCAACCTCGAGACTGAAGACTTGCCGGCTGACATGCGCGATAAGAGGGTCTGGAGATCCAAGATCGATCCAAGGGCTGACGACACCGATGATCGCAATGTTGCCCTCATCTGGCCCCAAATCGGTGTCTTCGGGCAGAAGAGGTGCTATGGTAGGAAGTGGCAATGTTTCAGCATGCTTGGCAGTCTTGATCTCTTTAACGTATTCCTCGAGGCACGTCAGAACCCGTGACTGGAAGTGAGGGGTTGTCAAAGGAGCAGTAAGCATATCATATCCAGCGAGGTTTGCTTGGCCCAGCAATTCTGGTGTGACTGCAGCAGTTCTTTGCGATTCATGGTGTCCGATGTAGAGTGCAGTAGGGATGTCTTGTGGCAAGCTCTGAGGCTGATCCGGGTCTGCCATGCTGACGAAGATGATATACGACCTCTGGATCGATTCGCCACGAGCTGCTGCAAGATCCTCACAATGCAAAGTTGAGTCGAGTCGTGCTTGCTTGAAGCAGAAATTCTTCCCCATGGTGGACTGAGTTCAGGCATCAGTCAGGCATCAACTCAATCCATCTTGAGCTTGAACATTTTCTGAACTTTGCGACTCGATCGACGACATCACCACATCAACTGCCGTTTGACAAATATGGCCGAAGAAGAGAAGCCTCGCAAGTCGCGCTTTAAGCGTGTCAAGACGTCCGACGACCGCGACAATCCATACCTCCAACATATGTACACCGACAGCGATTCCTCGAGCGGCGTGCACCTGAATGGTGGCGGCGCAAATGGCCACTCGTCCTCCAATGGCGCCAGTGGAGATATGAGCACATGGAAGAGGCACACAACGACGGCGGCTATGGCTAAGATGGCGGAAGACGGGCCCAGCAATCCCTTCACTGGCGAGCAACTGAGTGATCGTTACTTTGGCATCCTCAAGGTCCGACGAGATCTCCCCGTGCATGCGCAAAGGCAGGAGTTCTTGGACATGTTTCAGAAGACACAGATTTTGGTATTTGTCGGAGAGACGGGTTCAGGAAAGACGACGCAGATCCCCCAATTCGTGCTGTATGACGATCTGCCCCAAATGCAAGGGAAGATGGTGGCATGTACGCAGCCTCGTCGTGTAGCTGCAATGTCGGTGGCTCAGCGTGTTGCTCAAGAGTTGGATGTGAAACTCGGGGAGGAAGTCGGATACAGCATTCGTTTCGAGGACATGACGAGTGAAAAAACGATCCTGAAGTACATGACGGACGGTATGCTGTTGCGAGAGGCAATGAACGACCACGATTTGAAGCGGTACAGCTGCATCATACTTGATGAAGCTCACGAAAGAACACTAGCCACGGATATCTTGATGGGTCTGCTGAAGGAAGTTGTGAAGAGGAGGCCTGATTTGAAGATTATTATCATGTCTGCCACTCTTGATGCACAGAAGTTCCAGAAGTACTTCAACAACGCGCCTTTACTGGCCGTGCCTGGACGAACGCATCCTGTTGAGATCTTCTACACTCCGGAGCCGGAGAGAGATTATGTCGAGGCAGCACTGCGAACAGTGTTGCAAATCCATGCCACAGAACCAGAGGGAGATGTCCTGTTATTCTTAACGGGTGAAGAGGAAATCGAAGACTGCTGTCGAAAGATCAGTATGGAGGCTGATGAGATGATTCGAGAAGCCGGAGCTGGACCTCTCAAAGTATATCCGCTGTACGGTTCTTTGCCTCCAGCACAACAGCAGAAGATCTTCGAACCTGCGCCTCCTCCATATCAAGCGGGCGGGAGACCGGGGCGGAAAGTCATCGTGTCGACCAACATTGCCGAAACTTCTTTGACCATTGACGGTATCGTGTACGTGGTTGATCCTGGCTTTAGCAAGCAAAAGGTCTACAATCCCCGAATACGCGTCGAATCACTTCTGGTGTCTCCTATTAGCAAAGCATCGGCACAGCAGAGAGCAGGTCGTGCTGGACGTACGAGACCTGGTAAATGCTTCCGTCTGTATACTGAGGGTGCATTCAAGAAGGAGCTCATTGACCAGTCATACCCAGAAATCCTGCGATCAAATTTGGCCAACACTGTGCTGGAGTTGAAGAAGCTCGGCATTGATGATCTGGTCCACTTCGATCTGATGGATCCACCTGCACCAGAAACTTTGATGCGTGCTCTGGAGGAGCTGAACTATCTTGCATGCCTGGATGATGAAGGAGAGCTTACACATCTCGGCAAGCTTGCTTCAGAATTTCCTCTCGATCCGGCACTGGCAGTGATGCTGATCAGTTCTCCGGAATTCTACTGCTCGAACGAAGTGCTGTCTATGACTGCATTATTAAGTGTTCCACAAGTCTTCACCCGTCCGGCGGCAAAGCGAAAGCAAGCTGACGAGATGAAGTCGCTCTTCACGCATGAAGAGGGTGACCATCTCACAATGCTCAACGTCTACCACGCTTTCAAGGGACCAGCTGCGCAAGAGAACGCGAAGCAATGGTGTCATGATCACTATCTGTCCTACCGTGCTCTGCAACAAGCAGACAATGTCCGCATGCAGCTGAAACGCATCATGGAGCGCGAAGAGATCGAACTCGTCAGCACCGATTTCAACGACAAGAATTACTACACCAACATTCGCAAAGCGCTGTGTGCTGGCTTCTTCATGCAAGTCGCCAAGAAGGATACTTCAGGCAAGACGTACGTCACGGTCAAGGACAACCAGTCTGTTCTGTTGCATCCCTCGACTGTGCTAGGACAAGACAGCGAGTGGGTGCTGTACAACGAATTCGTCCTAACGAGCAAGAATTACATCCGAACAGTCACTGCTGTGAAGCCAGAGTGGCTGCTTGACATCGCACCGAATTACTATGACGTTGATTCGTTCCCCAAGGGAGAGGTGCAGTCGAGTTTGAGGAGAACGGCGCAGAAAATGGCGAGAAGGAGTGAGATGAAGACTCGATAAGTGGATTGTGTAATACTTACCAAAAAGGCTTTGGTCGTGAAGTACAGATGCTGAATGCGTTGCATATATGCAGAACGTGTGGCTTTTGACAAACATGGATAGAAAAATGAACGGAACTGAAGCATTGTCGCTGCCTTTGCGGCACATTGACGCTCGTATTGACCTGCAAAGCGAACCTCATCCATGTTTGCTTAGCGACGCAAGAATGCGGGTGAAAAGAAAAGTTCAAGGAAGTACTTGTCCGAAGTCTAGGCCTCATCCATGTGGAAGTCGTCTACTTGCGCTCAGAAGCGTTGAGCTCTGGCTATGCGTTCTATATCTAGTCGTTTAGCATGCATTGGGTCGCCAAGATACCGTCGTCCCTGCGACCTGCGCCTTCTCATGCATCATCATCTTTCACGCTATGCATATGCAGTTCTTACTTCGCATGTCCGTTCGCCTCCAGCCCTGCGTTGCCAGACTTGAAATCCTCAAACCCCTCCTTGGCAGCATCCTGCACGCTCTTCTCCCCGGCGACAATCTGCTTCGTCACCTTGAGGATATCAGTCCAGTCCTCAAAGACAGTGAATGGCACATTTTCCCGGGCACAGTAGCGGATGAGATCGTGGCCCTTCTTTGCGAAGAGAAGGTCGGTCTCGCGAGCGGCAGAAAGATCTGAGACGCCGTCGCCTGCGTAGAAAAGTGTGGGGCGCTGGCTTGCTGGGAGGTTGGCGTATGGCCGAATGGTCAGGGACTTGTCATGTCCGAAGCCGCTATATTACTGTCAGTGGACGTATGTCAAGAAGTTACGGCGTGAAGAAAATCTAGACTTACGATTCATCGTGATATTTGATCGTCCAGCCGCCTTCTTGGTCAATGCTCATGCCTTCTCTGGCCTCGACATCGTTGGCAACGATATCAAGCTTATCGTGATCCGGCCCGATCAAATTCTTGAGGATAGCCCGGATGATAGGCTCCATGCCGGATGAGACAACGACAGTGGGAATGCCTTGAGCAAGAGACCACTCGAAATACTCCTTGAAGCCAGGGTCAAGCTTGATGTTCTCTACGAGGTAGTCGATACATTCCGGAAAGGGCTTCTTGACAGAATCCAGCATCTTGCGGAAGGAGTCACTGGCGCATAATTAGATACTGCCACTTATTACGCTACCACTTTGGTGGCCTATACCGGAAAGTGTCCTTGCCTTCGAGGACATCTCGATTTCCTTGTCTTCGGAGATCTCCGCCGAAGCCTATGTTGTCTGTCTACATTGTCGGTCAATCAAAACCTCCATGCTGTCAAGATTCCGTAGCATACCATGTAATCATTGCTATCCTTCAAGGTAATTGTTCCATCGAAGTCGGTAAAGAAGATGAACTTGGGATCCTTGAAGGGATACTTGAGGGCATAGAGTTGATCGGCTCCGCTTGCCATTGTGAGTTTTGTCTGTCTGTGATGTTCTTGTTTGGGTCGTGGAGAAGGTACAAAGACACAAATTGTCAAGATTGTGAGTGATGTCCCACACCATGCGGCTCAACAAAAAAGTCGGGGGCGTTTCACTTCACTTCGGCGAATGACGTGCGCCGAAACTCAATGCGAGCTTGGTCCTTGAACCCCATTCGCGGCGGTATCGCCATTTGCCGATTCAGGCGAGCAAAGATAGCTGTCGGGAAGCTGTGTCTGCTTCTTGCATACGATGAGCTTCGCCGGCAGGACACTGGGCCGATGGACATCGACCACGACAAGATGGAGCACAGCAACGCTGCCGAGGTCGAGAGCAGCGTGGACTTGTGCAGAGTGTCGCGAGCAACTTGTGGTTCGGCCTACGAGAACAGATAAGATTGGGACGTTGTCGGTATGGGCGCGTGGCTTCTCGAGCACGACGCGAAGGCAAGACGATAAGACGGAGGAGCGATTGCGGCGCATACAGGAAGAAAACGCTGCTCGCATACGCAAGGAAGAGGAAGAGGCTCGATTACGCGCAGAGCAAAAGGCTCAAAGACTGCGCCATGAGGAGGCCGAAGCACAGCGCAGAGAAGCAGAGGCACAGCAACGACTCCAAGAGCAGGATGAACCCAAACCACAACCATCCCTATCCTCCCAACCTCAAAATACGACAGCAACATCAACGGCTCCAGTAACCGCTGCCGAGTCCTCCACGACCCTTCCCTCCCACGCCGACTCCCGCCGCTCTGACGTACAAAAACGCCTCACGCAATTCCTCGATGATCTCCTCTTACACGCGTCTCGCATCGGCCAGCAAGTGAACCAATATACAGGAACGGACTACTCCGGCATCGAGAACCTCCGCAAAGAGATCTCCTCTCAGGAACAGAAAGTCCGACAGCTCCGACGTGCTGTCGACGAAGCTCGAAATGTTCACCATGACGCCTACGCGCAACAAACAGCCAGTCAGCGAGAAATCGTAGCATTGCTCGAGCGAAAAAGCAGCTGGTCGCCAACCGATCTTGAACGATACATGTCTCTTGTCCGATCAGAGCATTTGAATGAGCAGAGTGTCAGTTCCGCCAAATCGAATCTCGACGTCGCAGAGAATTCGCTCGAAGAAGCGAGGAGTTTGTTGGAGAGGTTAGAGAGAAAGCAGTATCATGAAGAGCAGATTTGGAGTGATACGATAAGGAGAAATTCCACGTGGGTGACATTTGGCCTGATGGGGTTCAACATAATTCTGCTGCTTGCAAATATTGTGATCTTCGAGCCGTGGAGGAGGAAGAAGATTGCGAAGGATGTGAAAGGATTGTTGGATGAGAAGGCCGCAGTCGAGGAGAAGAGGACAGCAAGGGAAACGGGGGTAGAGGTCAGCGAGAAGGGAGTGCAAGTGGATGAGGCAGAGCTGAGGAGCCTGGAGGAATTTGAGAAATTGAAGAGAGCGGAGGAGGAGCGCCCATGTGATATTGCTCCTCCGGCTGAGACTCAAGAGAGTGCATCGACACTTACCACCGGAGAGATGCTTCCACTAGAGGCATCAGAAGTGGTTGGAGCCGTGCCCAACGTCTCGGATGACATCGCGAAGAGAAAGGCCGCCACGACCGAGCAGCCTCAACCCGTGCGATCAATGTGGGAGTTCTATCAAGATGCGCTGAGCGATCTGTTCTCCGAACGCATTGTCCAGATGCGCAAAGTCGATGTGACCAACATCGCCCTGCAAGGCGCAGCGTCAGGCTTCGCTATAATGGGCCTTTTATTTGTCCTGTTGCGGCCGAAATGAGATCGCTCTATCGGGGTATCATTATGTACAAATCAAAGACAATCAAGCAGAGCTATGAGCATGGCTCACTGAAACTCGCCAAATTCTCCATCATCAAAGCCTAGCTCTTGAGCTGTTCTCCCTTCCACTTGATCATCGGCCGCCGTCTTTTGCTGATTGCTTTGCGAAGTCCCAGCAGCAGGCGGCGGTGGAGCAATACTGAATAGAGCAGCATCATCACCACCGCCCCCTCCACTTGCACTCGTTTCTGGCCTTTGCCGCCTTCCTTTGGCTGCACCCGGCACATTGACCACGATCTTCTCGCCTTCTTTCAGACTGAAGTCTTTCTTCGCATCAACCTCCATCTTCTTCTGCAATTCCGAAGCCCTCCCCCGTGGACCTCCGTTCTGCTGCTCTCCCGTTGCACCCATCCCCAGGACCTTCCTCGCCTCCGTCAAAGCAATGCCAAAATCGAACGCCGCACCTCTTTCCTCAAAGCCAATACCCAATGTCGCTTTCATTCCGCCTTCGCCTACAACACGGATCGCGAAGAACCGCGAACTGTCATTGGCTTGTTGCACAGCGGCAGGAGCGGTATATGGTGCTGCCGCAAAGAGATCTCCAGATGTGGGGTCTGAAAGGACAACGGCGCATTTGAGGAGTGAGGTCTCGGAGTGGGAAGTCTCGATGACTTGCAACCGAGCTGTAAAGATCTGTTGAGCGGTGGGCTTGGTTGGAGAGGTCCAGGATGAAGCACTGAAGCCGGAGGTCGAGGTCAGAGGTGGAATGCCATAGACGTGAACAGGATGGTGGGTGAAGAGAATGCGCTGTATCGTGGATTCTGGCAGCGGCTGGCCGGTCGATGGATCAATCGGAGGCATGTTGGGGGTATACTGGTCGCTCGTGAGCGCAAGTAGTGAAGTCTATGCCTTCGAAGGGGTGCTGACATTGGAAGACAGAGCATCGACCATTGTTACACACCTCGAGACGGGACAGGTGGGCGCCGCGGCGCGGGGCAGTCGCCGAGCGTCCGATGCACTAAAAAGTGCCCTCCATCTTGCGACTTTCACAAAAATAAATCGAATCATATTCGCATTCACGAATCGCATAGACCAAAATGGCCACTTCGGACAAAAGCATCGCCATACTGCGCAAGGATCTGACTTCAGAATCCGTTCCTCTAGCCAAACGCTTCCGAGCACTGTTCTCCCTAAAGCACCTCGCATCGCAATCCCCCACCACTCCGCAAACCACCGCCGCGATCGAAGCCATTGCTGCAGCCTTTAGCAGTCCTTCCGCCCTGCTCAAACATGAACTCGCATACTGCCTTGGGCAATCAGGCAAGACGGAAGCCATACCATTCTTGCGTGCTGTGATCGAGGACAGGCAGGAAGATGCGATGTGCAGACACGAAGCGGCCGAGGCGTTGGGTGCACTGGGAGATGTGACGAGTTTGGATTTGCTGAAGCAGAGGAGGGACGACAAGGAGGAAGAGGAAGTCGTGCGAGAGACGTGCGAGATTGCTATTGAGAGAATCGAGTGGGAGACCAGTGAGGCTGGAAAGAAGGAGAAGCTGAAGAAGAGGTATGGTCGTGATGAGCAGGTGCAGATCTGGATTCGATTACTGACAAAACCTGCAGTGACTTCACTTCAATAGACCCCGCTCCACCTTCAGCCATGGACGATCAACACGATATTCCGGCACTGCAGAAGAAACTCATGGACCCTAGTCTTCCATTATTCAAGCGCTATCGAGCCATGTTCACACTTCGCGATCTCGCTTCGCCGCCTGATCTTCCGACCGCGGTTCCTGCCATCAAAGCTCTCGCGACCGGCCTCAAGGACTCCTCCGCCCTCTTCCGTCACGAAATCGCTTTCGTCTTCGGCCAGCTCTCACATCCTGCTTCGATACCCGCATTGACGGAATGCCTAAGTGACGCCAAAGAGGCAAGCATGGTCCGACACGAGGCTGCCGAAGCGCTAGGCAGTCTGGGTGATGAGGAGGGCGTGGAGGGCACACTGAAGAAGTTCCTGAACGATCCAGAGCAAGTCGTCCGCGACAGCATTATTGTCGCCTTGGATATGGCCGAGTTCGAGAAGAACGGAGAAATGGAGTACGCGACAGTTCCAAGCCAGGTCGAAGCTGCGGCGTAATTCTAGCCAGTGGAAAACTCCTTTGTCGTTATCAGACCTCTTTTTCACTTCAGATACCCAGCCAAATTAGATCAAAGCGAGCAAAGTATAGATACTCGCAATTTTCCGCTTGGAACGCAACAAAATTTCCAGAAAGCGCAAACGTTTCAGTTATTCGTATTCCATTTATGCCCGCAGTTCGGACATGTATAGAAGACCGTTGAACCTTCGTCTGCCGACCGCAGTTGCTGCGTGTAGAATCGCACTTCCGGATGGCCGCACTTTTCGCACTCTAGCTCTGTGACGGTTTCGACCTTTGCGATATCACCTTCAGCTACTTCTTGAACATCAGAGCGGAGACGTGTGCGTAATGTAGAAGGAAAGGCGCTGGGCTTGCTGTGGGTTGTTACGACTTTGGAGGACGTGTCTATGGGCAGAGTGTCAGCTGGCAGTTGGTCGCGGCAGACTTGTGCTCTGGCCAGAGCGGATAACTCGATTCCTGCGTGCGGAATATCAAACTTTAAGCTCACCTTTATTAGATGTGCCGCATACATCGCAATCGATATATTCTTTCCTGCCGGGATTTGAGTCCAGGAGATTGCCACAGTCGCTGCAGAAGACGAGTGCTCCGATGGCGGTCATGTTGTGGTCTTCCTTTGATCGCTAGTACTCGGTCTGAGGTTTCTCCTTGATGTACGGTTGTGATTAATGTAATGAAGTGATGTTGCGAAGTAGTGAAGAGGCGGAAAAATGTTGACCGGGTTCTGCAGGGACCAGAAACTGGGGATGTTGACGGTGTCCTATATCTGCTAGTGGGTCATATCGCTACAACTGCGCTCACATTCAAACAATTTTTATCGACGATATCAGAACCTGGACATTGCCTGTGAGGCGCCCGCCTGTAAGACTGTAGCATGTGCGTTGGAAGCGTTGGCAGTCGTCATGTCCGACTTCAATATGCCTGAATGAATGGTCGTAAGACCCGCGCCGGTTGAAGTACGTTGCTGTGGAAGGGTGGCCTGATTGTCGCATGCACAACTGCAGCACGCATGCCATGCGCTTACATATGAAAGCTCCACAATGCACAAGTGAACATGTGCTGCCGTCCTTGTCGCATTGTGTGACCGCGAGGGTCTGAGACTTGAGGTTCTGCGAGGACCGCGGCCCTGCCAAGCGGGAGATCTGCAAGCGAAAGCGGGAAAGCGCGTGAGGCGGCCACTTCCAACGCGACTTCCCCAAAGAGCAGCCCATCCTGGACGACACTCAATCTCGGCCACTCCCCCACGAGCCCTGCAAACTTATCTTCGACGCGTAGTCTCGCGACAGACACCATACTCAAGACATCGACGTTGTCACTGGGCCATGAACGCCTAGTACACTCCAGAAACCACCGCCTTGCATTCCAGACCTCCGCCAGACCTCCGCATGCGGCCTTGCGATCGAACTCGATCAACCTTCGCTCAACGATATGGCAAGAAGTAAAGAAGATACTACGATATACATGGTATGATGGAGTCGGGCACGATAGATCCACGACAATTGCAGCAGCACACTGCCGCTGTTGGGAGCGCAAATGGCTTGCAAACGGAGGGCGGCCGCGCACCAGCGACCAGCACTTCCCACGCGGGCAAGCTGTACATCCCGACGGTGCGAGAGGCTCTCCCATACACTCCCTTCAGCTCGATTGTCCCCTTCAATCCAGGTGAGTGCACAATATTCAATCACCCTTCACCTGTCCCGCTTGTGCCCCACCAATCAGCGGGCCAAGATATTGCTTCACTCCAGCTTCAACCTCTAACTCCACATCCTTTGCAGATGTCATTCCACCACCGCTTGCGCTTCCAAACACTGCATCAACCATCTTTCACAACGACGAGGCCGTCAAGTCCACGCGGCGCGAACTCGAACGACTTACTGCCGGTGCTAGAAGCGCCGAGCAGGCGTCGAACCGGTGCAAGCAAACTTTGAACGATGTCAAGCGGCTGCTAAACGGTAACGATCTCACTGAGTTCAAGTTCAAGCAGACGAAGAGAGTGGCTTCTGGTGCTGCCCCAACGAAAGCTCCAGCACAGCCTGCCCTTAGTGCATTCGCCGAGATGGTCCTTGCCGATGCAAGCATCTCATATCGATATCTCACCCCGCCAGAAGAAGCACCACCATCTTCTACCGGTCCGAAGATGTCACGGACTGTCGCTCCTGTAAGGCCGCACGACGAAGCTGCAGCTCGTCCGACTTCGCCGCAAAAGCAACGTGACCCCAAAACTCCAAGGGTGATACTTGGGGCTGCTCCGAGCCGCTCAACGCAGCTTCCCACTCCTGTTCAAGGCCAGTCTGTTACAGCTTCACCACAACAGTCGCGATCGGCCTCGCAACATGCCCCACCTCAACAGTTGCAGACTGTTCCTGCGCAGCCACAGCAGCGCTCTGCACCACACCAGCCGCGTCCATCAGGCATGCAACCAGGTCGAGAGCTTCAGCCTGGACACGTGCCTCTTGTCCCAATGATCCCACGATCGCAGTCATCACAACAACAGCAAACACCCAGGCCCAGTCAGCAGGATGAACTCTCCATGCCCGTTACGAAGCAAAGCACACCGCAACATGGCAAAGAGGTCGTAGGAGTTGTGCAGCCTTCACCTATGGCGTATGTGTCTTTGAACAAGATGACACCGGCACAGCGCGCTGAGTACCAGCAAATCCGCGATGCCACTCCCGTCACCGCGACGACTAAGAACCAGAGCGCATATCTCACTAATGGATCTCGAGTCAATATCGACCAACGTCTCAAGGCTGATCAGGCTTTGGAGAGCCTGCAGAGTCAGCTTCAGAATATCTTCGAAGCAGAGGATCACATGCAACCCGACACCTCTGAGGATGTCGCCATGCGTGATAGTGCTCTGTTCGACACTCGCGACACCGAGGAGGGCCCCGCACTTATTCTGCGCGCAGATGCCCAGGCCAAACTGGATACCGCGTTTAAGAAGGCCGTGGGACTCAACCGATTGGACTACGTCGAAGTGGATACTCTCACCCGTGTGCAGCGTATATGCGAGAGGTCATTGGCTGCCCTCCACTCTGGCTCGCTGGGTATAGGCGACGACTGGTCCCAGGAGGATGTCACAGATTGGATTGTGCGTCTTTCCAATGCTGAGAACGGTCTCATTGCTGCTCGGACGTTGATGCGAATCATGACCGGTGGTTCCCATCGTAGGGAGCTGCAGTCAGAGGACTGCCTCAAGAATGTTCTGGAGGCACTTCGGACAGTGGTCGAGATGTGCATAATTCCGATCGTACAGGAACGGGCGAGCTTGTATGACGATGTGAAAGGAAAGAAAGATGGGGCGAGCAATCCCAAGTTCGCTATCGCGGCTAGCTGCCGTACCGAACTGCAGGCTCTGGTTGCTGCCGCCATCAAGCTCTTGCGTCAACTTGGCGACCTCTTCGCCAAATCCGACGTGGACGAAACAGGCGTATCCAGCTTGCAATACATGTGCAAGCTGCTCATCTTCACGGAGAACGCCGCCAATGAGCGCGATTCAGCGCTGGGACTACAGACTTTCGAGCAGATGCGCCGGTTTGCAATGGACGTGACTTCAAAGATATTCACCAAGTACACAGACCAGCGCACATTCATCATCGACGAGATCCTCATGTCATTGGAGAAATTGCCAGCCAACAAACAAAGCGCTCGCCAATTCCGCCCAGTTGACGCAAAGCCGATTCAGCTCGTGTCAGCTCTGCTTATGCGACTGGTGCAGACAAGCGCCACACCAAGCAAGAAAACACTGCAGATGAATACGGAGGCGGCCGATTCCGAAGACGAGCTCGCTGGAGATGCAGAAGTCCCTGACTCTGAGTCTGAGTCCGAATCGGACGATTCTGAGAGCATCCAAGTGAAGAAGAAGCACAAGCCGAAGAAAACATACACGGATCTTCCATCATTCTACAAGCCATTACAGCAGGATACCGTGCGGTATGCCAGCTACATTGTCAAGATCCTCATTCAACGTGCCTCGCAGACTGCAAAGTCCAGCGAAGAGCCATATCGCAAGCTCCTCGATATCTTCGTGGATGATTTCATCAACGTGCTTGGCCACAGCGATTGGCCAGCCGCAGAAGTTCTGCTGCTCGCGCTTGTCTCACAATTTGTGGGCATCGCAGAGAACGCCAAAAGCCCTGCTCCTTCACGCACACTCGCTCTCGAACTGCTCGGTACCATTGGATCTGGTATTTCCGAGCTCCTGTCCTCCACATTTGACATGGCCAAGAACACCGATGCAGACGACCGTGTCTCGCAGCACCTTGTCAATCTCGCGCAGGATCTTGAAAATGGGGATTCCAGCGCAGCCCAGTTGACATCGTTCGAGGGTCCTTTCCGGATTGTCGTGCAGTATCTGCAAGATCGTAACACCGGTGACGATGCGCAACTGCTCACTGCACGCGGCTATCATCTGGTGCAGTGGGCGGAGCACGTCTGCAACACCGAAGATGCTGCGACGTCACACTCTCGGGATCTCCAAGTGAAGATAAAACAAACAATGCAGGACATCAACTGGCTGGACGATCATCACCCTTTCCCTAAAATGATGGCTGCACACGGAAAGCTCGCCGCAAGAATCGTCACAGCTAATTCCAAGCTGTGCAAAGCGTTTGATCGCATCTTCAGAATCATCCTTGCGTCTATGCGTAGCGAGCAACCCACTGTGCGAAGTCGCAGTCTCAAAAGTGTTACAGCTCTTCTCGAACAAGATCCGGCAGTCCTCGACCGCCACGATACTGTCCTGAAGCAGATTTTGCACTGCACTGGGGACTCTTCGTCACTCGTGCGCGACTCTGCACTCATGCTTGTCCAAAAATGCGTTGAGTTGCGGCCAAGGCTCGAGCTGAGAGTGTATGAGAAGGTGGTCGAGCGCACCACTGATACCAGCGCTGCAGTTCGCAAACGCGCTATGGCATTTCTCAAACAAGTCTATCTCCGTGTGGAAGACAACCAGGTGCGAGCCAGAATATCCAATGCTATGATCTCGCGCGTTCACGATGTCGATGAAGGGGTAGCAGAAGTTGCTCGAGCCACGATTGAGGACATCTGGTTCTCGGCTTTCCGTGGCATGAAAACTGAGGGACAGCAATCTGTCGAGGCATCTCTTCGCATGCGGTCTCAAGCTGCTTTGATCATTCAAACGGTCGACCTGGGCGATAACGTTGCTAACGTCCTGGAAGCTTTGATCAAGAATCTTCTGACGAAGTCCAAACAAGCGACCGACAATGCAAAGATCTGCAAGGCATTTGTCGCAGTACTCTTCGAAGGCACTATCGACATTAACGAGATACCAGAGGCGCCTTCACAGGGATCCATTTTGCAGGCATTGACCGTCTTCGCTCGAGCTGGCCCTGGCCTCTTCACCACCACGCAGCTTGAGTTGCTCGAACCGTATGCGAAGAATTTAAAGACAACGGATGATCTCGAGACCTTCCACTTTGTGGTCACAATCTTGCGGTACACTCTGCCAGTGTTGTCGGGATTCAAACCAGATTTCCTCAGCAATCTTCAATCCAGTCTCCTACAGTCGGTCAACACAGTTCCCTCTTCGGAGATCGCAGTTGTGGCCCCATGTCTTTGGACCATTGATGGTCTTGTCGGCAACACGACCCGTCTAGTGAAATTCCTAATCTCAGCCATGGCAAATGTAGCCAAGTTCCAGCAAATCGACATGCGGCAAGAGCAATACCAGGCAAAAATCAAACCTGTCACCAAGCTCCTGACGATCATCGGGCAATTTGGCAAGGCATGCCACCTGGACGCATTGTTGGTAGACTTCAAGAACGCTTCCCAACTGTCGACTTGCAATGGTAATACCGTTGCGGAGATGATGGTTGACCTCTGCTGCCGCTTCACCAGTCCCAAGCAGCACCTGTCTGTTCGTGAAGCTGGTCTCGAAGCCACTCTGGCGATCTGTCAGCGCTACGCAGACAATTTCATGAGGCCTGATGTTGTCAGTGCTATCCAGCTCGTGTTTCAAGGTGGAGAGCCATCCCTCGAGCAAGTATTGCTCAGCAGCATTGAAACTTTCTTCAAGTCTGGAGAGAAGGGCGATGACAATGAGCCGGCACCGGAGTTGGGAACTGGCATTGCGAGTGGAACGCAACGACTGGGCGGCACTTATCAGGCGACTGGATTCGACACAGCTTCTATGTCGCTTGTGCAGAGATTTCTGTCATCTGAGTTTGTCCGCATTGCACTCTCGTCTACTAGTGACACCGCCACCACAGCAGCTAGGATCATCTTCAGCGTCAATACGCAGGGCTTTGCGCGACCAACGGAGACTGCGAATGCGCTGGTAGCTCTGCAGACAAGCACTACCACGTCCATCGCGAAGATGGCATTCTTGTCCTACAAAGAGGCTTGGATGAAACACGAGAGCACGCTGGAGAAGACGCTGCTGAAATCTTTTGAAGAAGCGTTCCGTTACCAGAAAGATGTGTTGAACACCACAACTGGATGCACTGGGCACCCGCCAACCTCGAAGCTGCACTATTTCTGGGATATTCTCAAGTCTGGCAGCGTCAAATCGAGAAAGAAGTTCTTTGCGCATCTAGGTGCCGCTGTGGACTTCGACGCGGGCACCAAAACGGCGGTCGCCGATCTTTTGCAACACTTGCAGTTCGTACGATTCTCTGTTGAAGCAATCGCTTTCCTGGACTATGAGAGGACCGACGACGTGCTCCACATCATTGCTTGCTTGGGGAAAGCTGTGTCAGGCACGGGCACCACAATCGCTCAGATGATTGAAAGCGAGGTGTTCCAGTTACAGGTCCCAACGTCATCGACGATGCCTAACGGCAGTTCTGATGATATTGTGTCTGCGCCGCCAGCTGTACCAGCAGCTCCACCAGCCGCGATCAACCCTACGCGTTTGCAACAGCTCGCCATCTCAGCGCAGATCTTGTCTCTCATCCAAGAAACGCGAGCTTTCCTCCAACGTCTATGGCAATGCAAGAAGTACGTCGGCAAGCCAAAACTTGCTGTCAAGGACGCCGCCACAAAGCCTTCGAAGGCGTCTCACGCACCAGCAGTGATCGACACCTTCGAGAGTCGTATCAGCAACATTCTGGCTGGTGCTGCTGATGCTCTTAGTCAACACTCGACGTGCTCTGCGTTTGTAGAGCTCATGTCGGTTGACAGCGAGGTCAAAGTCAACACAGACGACGAAGAAAACATGGAGGACGATGCCGACGCCCGTAGCGAGGGCAGCGCGAGCAAGAGTCCAGGGCCCAGAGGAAAGAAGAGAAAGTCGGTTGATGGAGCAAAAGGTCCGCCAAGGAAGAGAGGACGTGCGAGGAAGGGCAGCTCGTCGAAAGTCCTGCACGATGAGGAGGACGGCGAAGATGGTTGGGACTGAGCACGAATTATGCTTTCATGACCTGTTGCTGAAACGCGCAACGTAATTTACAGCTTCGAACAATGTGTATTTGATAATCGATCGAATAGCTAGCTGGCTCGTAGCTTGCTTGCCTTGGTTCGCTTCGCTGTACAAAAGAGATACCCCAAATGCAACATCGATCATCGCTTGACAAGCGAGAATTTACAAACTTCTGTGCAAACCTCCCATTCAGTACATCATGCGGTATTGCTCGTCCATTCTGAATGATGACAGTCCGGCAGACCCATTACTCGTCCCCTCCTGCGCGCGCACAGCGGCTCTCTCCCTCATGAGCCTCTCCTGTTCCCTCAAATATAGCCAGCAATTCAGACAATATTCGCCAGCAAACCAGAGGATGGTGTTTTCCGCTGTGGATGGGCACGGGGCATTGTGCTGGGGGGATCCTTGGTGTAAGGGTCGAGTGCGATGGCAACAGTATTTGTAATGGTAGATCTTGTAGGAACACATCGTTTTGGTTTTGATCTGCGGTTCCGACTGTGTACAGCGGACGTCTTAGTGAGGTGTGGTGGAGGAGGTAGGAGAAGGACTCGCTGACTTTAATCGATGAGATCAGGGGAACTGTGAAGATGATCTGGGAGCGCTGTGATCGATTGCGTTTGTGCTTGTGTTTGTTTGACGCTGCTTTGTCTGTGATGTCTATGTATTTACATTTCCATCGAATGGTCGAGAAGGAGACGTGGGTTGGCAGGAAGTTGTAAGGAGCGTGTCGTATCCAAAAGGCAACTTCGATCAGACTGTAGACTTGATGGACTCCTGAGCTACTGTCCTCTCCACAAAGCTCTGAATGTTCTCCCCCTCACTTCCTCAACGGCTCACGAGTCTGCTGTCCTGCTGCTTTATTGCTCCCACTACTGCCTTCGCCTCCTCCTCCTCCATCTTGTTTCTTCTCGCCTTCCTTCTCTCCCTCTTTCTTCGTACTTCCTGCCCCATTACACGAGAAGCAACTGGCCAGATTCTCTCGGAAGATTTCGCGAACGCAGTTCTCGTGATTGACGTACTTCCAGCGACAGGCACGATACTCGCTTGGTTTGAAATGATACTGGCAGTTGGTGCAATACTTCTGACGCCAGATACACATGATGGACCAGAGGATCTTGCTTTTGCCTCAGTAGGCGAATTGAGGCTGTTGAACTCGTGAGTTGCAGGTGTCAGTGAGTTACCGCTAAGACCGGGTGTCAGATATCAAAAAATGCTGTTCAAGATCGGAGGGAAATGATAGCTGAAAATGGCACGGGACAAATGATATAGAGATCAGCATGTTTGCTGAAAGATACTCTAGAGGGCTCAACACGAGACTAGTGCCTATGCGCGCTCATTCTCAGCTTGTCCGTTTGCTAGCTATTCGCTGACAATCGATTACATTTTCAAAATCTATGTACCATGGTCACAGCGAACAGCAAGATGATGACTCGAATGTGTCCTCGATCTGCTTGATCCCTTGTCCAAAACTCCTTCCCTGCGGAGCAATTCGGTCACGAGATTGCAGATGCATCAGACGTCCTCTGCAGAACATGGCCCCTCCACCGCCTCTCTGACCCAAGGCAAGAACGCAATTCGTGCTCTGCGCAAGATACCCTTGAACTCGAGCCTCACTTGCATCCCTCATCTAGGCTGCGGAAAAGTTCTTCTTCTCCTTTCCCTCGCTAAAGGCGTTGTATTGTTCAGAGTTAGCCAGAATTCTTTTCTGGAAGAAGGCCCAGGTGGCCGCAGCTTTCCCCTTCTTTGCAGCGACCGACTCGGCAGCTCGAGTCGATTCCGACTTCCGCATCGACTGATACCTAGAGTCACACTGTCAGTATCAATCCATTCAGGTTGGTGGACTGAGTTCAGCTCATCGACGTACATGTCAAAAACGTCCGAGCCTCCCCTCATGAAGATGTCGATGTTCCGTAAAGGCGCCTGGCATTCCACACATTTGATCTCAGTAGCATTGGTCTTCTGCTGCTTCTGGGACGCAGCGTGGGCTGTTGCGACCTCGAGCTGGAGGTATTTGAGCCAGCAGCAATTGCAGACGCTGACGTTGTGTTTGCAAGGCGATTCGTTGCCTCGACTATGGGGGTGTTGGGGAAGTAGAAAGTGCTTTGGTTCTTGGTCACCGCATTGGGTGCAGCTTCCTGCCTTCATTGCAAAGAAGGGCTTTCCAGAAGACATGATCGAGAAGGGGCGGGATGGGTCAGGACTGAGTTGTGTGGGTAATGATTTCGGTCGGTGACACAGAATGGAGATATTTGAGGAATGGGATCAGACGGAGCACGTGAGGACGGTGAAGGGCCAAGATAGTGAAGGACAGGGACAGTCATGGGTGTCTGATCGACTGAGTCCAAGTGAGCAGCTCAGATTGTGAACAACTCATGCTTCGTTCCGTTCATTAGGTCTTGGACAATTCTGTCTCGAAGTTCTATGCTCGCCTTCATTCTGCTGGCTTCAAGCCTATGCACCGCATAGTGCAGTGCAGCTCGTATCGTCAAATCAGCGAACCTGAGAGCCGTCGATGACTCAAATGAGTAGCATCCAGCTCAAGCACTGTATCTCACACCTCGGATATCTCTCCTCGTCACCTCTGAGCAGGGTCAAACAATCGCCCATCCCTCAGACATCTCATCGCCAACAACCGCCTCTGCCTCATGCGCAAACAACGTCTCATCACTCTCATCTGCGAGCGAACCTCCCTTCCTCAACGGACAGAACAGCTTGTGCATGCAAAAACCAGCAATAGCGGAATCGAAGGGCTCAATCGCAGCGAGGCAAAGCCAGCAGAAGTCGTGGCCGCATTCGGGACCTATGGAAGAGAACCGTCAGTATTTGGCTTTCCATGATTCGGTGACAATCTGGTACGTACAAATGGTGTGTTCTGAGTCGCTATTTGACAGTCAGTTGCTTGCATAGCAGCAATTGTATTCACAGAACAAAACAAACCTCTCCTTCTTCACAACTTCCGCACACCCAATACTCGGACAAACCTTACTCGGCGCCAAACCAAGAGTCGCGGTATTCAAGTGATTGACCTTAGTGAGCCTACCTCGAGTCAGCTCCAATATCTCTTCTCTAATCGCACTCGTAACACCAACTTGAAGAATGTCTCCGGCGACACCCTCTTGGAGATCTCCTGCTCGCTAAGAACATGGCTGCATCCAGGCTGAATGCATTCGATAGGCTTCGAGCTCGTTTTGAGGCATTGTAGAATGTACGACTCCCAGCACTTTGGGCACGCGAATTCCTTGTGGCGACAGGTGAAGAACGCGGCCTCGTAGGCCGCGCGGTGCGGAGGGTCTGCACTGTAGCAGACGATGCAGCAACCCATCTTGGTAGCCGGTGCAAATCGTGTTGCAAGAATGTCGAAGGGCCGACTGTAGGAGCTCGAGTGCAACTTATAGCGGGCACAGACTTTAGTAATAACGTTAGCCGGATTGAGCTTGTGATGGGTGAATAGGACTTGAGTCGGCCGGCTCGAAGCAATCAAGCCCTCGCACCATTCACTACTGAGATGCTGTTCGATTAGACGTGTGCTGCGCGCCGATCAGGGCTTAGTTCTACTCCCATGCTGCATTCCCACTTATCTGTCCTACGAAGGGTATCATAGATGTTTGCTCTCGTGCTCCCTCTAGCTTTCTCTCTCGCCTCTCTGTCGCCCAATGCCCCGCTCAATCCCAACAATGCAAGGGAATCAATGCCAAATGTACAAAAGGGGCGCCACGTTCATTTCCTACTCGTCTCAGCCCTCTCCATCTCTTTCGCCTCATCTTCTCTTTTGCGGGTTTGTTCTTCGCATGCCTTCACTGCAAATGCAAAAACTTCTTCGTATTTTCGTAAACCACATACGTGATACTGACCGCCGGCACCACTTTCAACAAGTTCGGCGTCAGTCCTTTGAACAAGCCTCGCACTCCCTCTCCCTGGATTGTTTGCCTTGTGACATCCATCATACCGGTATATGTCCTAGGGTGGCTGATCGTTCCTTGGGATTGTAGCCTCGTACGGAGTAAATTCAAGGGATACACGATGCTAGCTCCGAATGCGCCCGAGAATCCGCCCATGAGAGCTAATGTGAAATTGTTGGGCAGAGCATCTTCGTCGTGTTTGAGATTCGGGTTTTTGGCGCGGTTGCGCGCAATGACGCGCTTTTTGAGGGTTTCGAACACACTAAGGTCGATGGCGGCGTAGGGGAACATCCCGACCAGTCCCATAGGCAGGCCGCGGTAGAAAGCCACGATGCCGTTGCGCGCCCACATCTTCTTTGCGGTGTGCATGATGAGGCGGGTGCCGTGTTCGCCTCCTGCAACGGTTTCGCATTGCATTTGGAACTTGAGCGTGTCGAGTGGGTAGACCGTAGCTTGTGCAATCATGCCGGCAATACCGCCAGCTGCGAACATGGACGAGGACTTGATTTGTTTGGGATCGTTGTGCCCTTCAAGTTTGGCAATGGCTCGTTTGGATGCCTGTGAGGATGTTTAGTAAATTCGCCGAAACGGCTCGAAGAATGCGCAAAAATCATACCTCGTACGCGCCAAACTTGACAGAAGATTCGGGCATGACCTTGATAACATTCAGGCCGTTACCTGCGCTATTAGTGGGGACCCCGCATGGTGTAAGATTATTCACTCACCAGCAAACAGACTACGCATGCCGCCTGCAGCCCACAAATGCTGACACGCATTCCAGAGTGTCCTAACACCATGTTGCGCAGCGCTCAGCGGTTTCGCAGACTTGACAGCATTGATGGTATCCTCCGCATTCCCCGTCTGCGCAATCAGGTATACTTTTAACCGATCGAGCGGCGCGGTTGCGGTTCGCGAGGTAATACCTGACAGGCCGCCCGCCAGGAAGTAGCCTACATCCGGCACGAAATCCATTAGCTTCGATGGACGTACTGCGCGCTGCACAACTTGATCATCCCCCTGCTGCTGCTCTTGATGCAACATTTCTTTCCTCCGCGCTGGCTTGACGGGGATGTGCGGGTCGGTATCTGTCATGTCTTCATCGTCCAATGAAGGATACTGTAGTTGCGGTCTTGATTCGCTGCCCTCCCACATAGAGATGGGCGAAGTATTGCTGCCGCCGGCATGCGATTGTGCCGGCTTGACCAGCTGAAGTATTGCGCCAAAAAGCGAACGCTTGAGAAATGTGAGGGTCGTACCTAGACCTTGTAATGCCTCGTCGCTTAGGTGCACGTCACCCTCGGAGGTCAATTTGGTGGTGTTTTGGTAATATGATATAACAGCGCCAAGTCCAGGCGAGCTGGCTGGGATAAATAAGAGAAAGTCTGGAGCAGAATGTCAGTTCACGGTCCTCGTAGGGGACATAAGTTCTGTGTCTCCTTGTTGCATTATGCCTACCGCGCCATTCGTTGAAATCAATAGTTCCATCGCGATCTTTGTCGATGTAGCTGAAGAACCTGTCCAGTCGTGCAGAGGAGACTGCCACACCGGCTCTTTCAAAAGCAGATGACAGCTCTCCCTTGTCCAGTTTCCCACTATGGTCTTTATCGATGGACTGGAAGAGCTGCCAGAGCTCTTTCTCGGTTTCGGTGCAAAAGCGGCAGAACTCATCGTAGCTGATCTTGCCGTCGTGATCGATGTCGCACGCGGTCAGCATGTCCTTGATCATGTTGTCTGCATCTTTGAGTGCTATCGCCATGCATGTTAGCATATTATCACGGTCTTTTCTGGATTCCTGTCGCGTACGGTGGTTGGCGGCAACCAAGCCTCGTTTGAGTGCTTCGAAGTCGAGGGTGCCTTTCCGCTTCGTATCGAGCTTCAGCCATAGCGAGCGCAGGCGGGCCTCCCTCTGCGCCTGCGACTCGCCATCCATATCCGTCAGTCCGGGTGTTAGCTGGATCTTGAGCGTGGGAGCATTGCAAGCGCCCGAGGCTGTCCTGTGGTCCGAGAGGCGCGTATCTCGTTCGCGATCGGAGGGCGGGGAGGTGTCGGTGACCTCGTGCGCGGTCTGTGGAGGGTGCGGTGGGGATGTCGTCGCCTCGGAAGATGTAGGATGGGCGGGTTCGCGTGATGTGGAAGCTATGTGCTAGGTAGGTCCCATAGCTCGGCTCTGCGCAGAGATATGCTTTGAGCGGGCAGTGCACTCCGGCGTCGCAGGAGTTGCGCAGGGCAGGGAGGAGGACGTCGAACTTGCTGCGGACGCAGGTACAAGGAATAGGCGCGCGTGGTGTGGTGTCGAAAGGGGTGGTGTGAGGGTGAGCGCCAGGTTGTGTGCATTTTCTAATGACGTCTCATTGGAGCAGCCGCATTTTGTACCTTTTTGCTTACTCATGCCCATACGGACACCTATAACGAACCAACGCTCCTCCCATGGTAATGCTCGCCTTGACTCACACACCACAAATACACACCATGCACAAGAGTCGTAAGAATGGGTGAACATGCATCATAAGACATTACTTTTGGCAATAGCTCGCGCTTACTGCTACCCCCAGTTGTACTGGTAAGCATACATCGTAAAACTGCTAAAGCCCCCTTCCTCGCCTCCCAAGTACCACTTTTTACCTTCTCTCTGCGTAGATCGACCCCCTGCAGCTCCAGCATATGTGCATGTCAGCGGACAAGCAGCATGCGGATTCGCTTCGTCCATGCTACGCTCGAACGTGCAGCTCAGTGGTACGCGGTCGTCCGTCAGCTTTTCGGCCGACGTGAAATGTACCGCATTGGCATTATTTCCAGCCTCGACTTTCACATTCCCAACGAGGGAGTAGGGTGGGAAGTCCGCGACGTTGTCAAAGTATTGCGAGACGAGCCTAGTGCCGTTGAGTGCAAAATACGACGAAGAGCAGTCCGCCTCGCCACCAAATGATGCTTGCACATCATGACTAAGAGCTTCGTAGGACCACGCCCATCCGTTTTCTGGGTTCAATCGATAATCTGGCCCAGAGGCAATCTTGAAAGGTCCGTGGATGACTTCAGTTTCCACAGCAGAAATTGATTTGGTCACCGTAGCCCCATGTGTTGGAGTGATCGTAACTGTGGCCGTTGTCATGGTTCTGGTAAGCCGACGAGTCTGCTTTCCAGCCGCAGTGATAGTGATTGTCGATGTTGGAGCACCAGATTTCGTTATGGTCTTCGTGATAGTCCCCGCAGGCACGCTCAAGCATTTACAGGCTGCACTCAGATTCGCAAGAGCGCTATAGGCCGTGAAGCATGCTGGCCTAGATTCGAGAGGTGGGGCGGTATTGATGCTCCTCCCCTTATCACACGTGGCGGGCGCTATAGGGCAGGATGTAAGTGGCTGTAGAGTGGTGGTTGTTGATATGCTTGTTGTAACCGTGATCGTGCTAGTTTTGGTGACACCTTCCAACAGAGTAATTGTTTGTGCGACCCTCGTGGTTACCGGATATGCCAAGTAGGTCCTTGTCGAAGTCGTCTTGGTCGCTGTCTTGATGACGCGATCTATTGTCTTGCTGACTGTAATTGTGGGAATATTCAAGAATGCTGAACAGTAGGCCGACGCAGCTCGCGGTTCCTTGGCCGCACGGAAAAGTGCATTATCGCAGAATAATCCAGACTCCTGCAAGACCTTCTGCTCGCCCTGACCAAATAAAGGAGAGGCAAAAACGCTAACAAATAAAGTGCTTAGAATGAAAAAGTGCATGATGAAGGAATGACTGAAGGAAGAAAATGGCGAGGATTGAGAGAGTGAATGGGTCAAGGGCAAGGGAAGATGTCCATGATGAAGAGACTGGACGGTGAAGTGAGAAAACCTACCACGAACACGAGGTGTCGTGGAGAAGACTGGAGTGTGCAGGCCGTGTTTAGCAGAGGGGATAGTCGTCGATACCCGATTCGGTCGTGGCGTGACGCCTCCTCATCTTGTTGGCTTCCTTTAGCGCTGTACATTTGGCGTGTCGCGGCAGTCGGCAACGTGTGGGAGACGGGCCCAGACCCCGCCAAGTCGTATTTTTGCTGTCCAAGGTCTCGGGTCCTCGCGCTATAAGACAAAGAGGTGAGCGCGTTGTCTCGAGATGGTTCCTGTTGACCCGTTCCTCTGGCCGCCGATGGCCTGTAAGGCTGGTGTTGACGCGTCGTTGGCGTCTCTACGCGTCGGTGCTGGAGATGGGCCAATGTATGAGGACGCCACGACGGCCGCCGCAATATCGCAACGATATTCATCCTCTGGCCACACCGAGACACGATTGATGAGCGCAAAGTGCAGTGGGATGCACCGGTAGATAGGGGGCCTGGAAACGATCAGAGCAACATCAGAACCAGCAGAACCAGCAATGAAGGCAACGGCCGGAAGAACAGTTCCTCCGTAACACCACAGCGCCTAAGTTACCGGGACCGAACAGGTTGACAGGGATACCATCGACCTCGCCTATCGTGCTGCCCTCCTCGCCTGTCGTGCTGGCCATCACAAAACGAGTCTTCATCTTCTCACGTCCCGAGAATGCTCGCCGATATCATTCTTCCCATATTTCAGCTGACTTGTAGCCCGAGCAATTTGCTGTATGCAGATCGTCAGCCGCTGCCGATCGCCGGAACAACACGCTTCGTCTCGTCCTCCAGATCCAGATGACGCTGACTACGCAGAAGGCAGGCGACAGAGCGTGCAATCATTGCAAGCATATCCTCGTGTCGAAGTTGGAGTAAGAAGGCTCGAGAATCCGGCGTTGCCGCCTACCAGCTCCCCTTCATCCCATCACTACTCCGGCAGGCATATAAGCCATCATCACTTCCCATTTTGACACCGTACGGCCTTGCAAGACAGGCACTATGGCGGGTGAAATGCCATTTCACGTCGCCATTGTGGGCGGCGGTCTCTGCGGCATTACTCTTGGCATAGCTCTGCAAAGACACAACATCAACTTCACGCTCTACGAATCCCGCAGCTCGTTTACAGAAATCGGTGCTGGAATCAACTTTGGTCCATCAGCCCTCCGCTGTCTTCGTCTCATCGACTCATCTTTGGGCGAAAAAGTCCTCAAGCTCGCCACCAGGAATCCTCCACCTCACGAGGAGATATGGAGCTTCTTCCGCTACGGTGCACCATGGGGCGATCATGCCGATGGTGAGATCTTCCACGAGATTCCCAGCCCTCCCACCGGCAACATGACCCTTCATCGTCAAGAACTACTTTCCCTCCTCGCTGAAGAAATGGGCCCTGGACATGCCGAATTCAACAAAAAGCTCGCTTCGTTTTCACAGACTTCATCTCACGTCACGGTTAACTTCACCGACAACACCTCCGTGACCACCAACCTCCTCATCGCCTGCGATGGCATCCACTCCAAGGTTCGAGCCTGCATGTTCGGCCCTGACAGCCCCCTTAGCAAGCCCAAGTTCAACGCTAGTGGAGCGTACAGAGCCCTCATTCCAATGGACGCCGCCATCTCCGTCCTGGGCGAATCTGCCCGCCTGAGCTCCATCTCATTCGGGCCCGGCGGCTATCTGATTACGTATCCAGTATCAAATGGCACAAAACTCAATTGTGGTGCCTGGACGTCCCGTTGCGAAGGAACAGAAGGCGAATGGCCGCACGACGAGTGGGTAGTCCCTAACCAGGGTGAACAATTCAAACGCGATTTCGGAAATTTCGGTCCCAGAGCGCAGAAGATTTTATCCTTTTTCGACCCCAATCCCGATTTCTGGGCCACCCATCATCATACTCATCAGCCCGAATCCGGATTCACCGATGGCTTGGTCCTCCTCATTGGGGATGCGGCACATTCTATGCCCCCTCACCAAGGAGCCGGGGCATCTCAAGCAATCGAAGACGCGTACGTTCTATCTGGAGTCCTGGCACATGTACCATCCGTCTCTTCGAGCGTCTCGTTGTCAAAGAAATTGAAAGCCGCTCTGCAATCCGTCGACAAAATTCGTGCTCCGAGGGCAAATCGCGTGCATCAACTCTCACATCAGGCAGGAGAAGAGTCTTTCAACTTTTGGGACCTCAAACTAGAAGGTGAAGAATTGAAAGAGTGGTGTCGGGAGAAAGAACAGAGGTTGAACTGGATCTGGCAGGAGGATATGGAGAAAGAGGCGGATGAGGGAAAGCAGATTTTGAGAGACAAATTGAAAGAGTTGGAGGGAAATGACGAGCTTAAGGCTGAATCAGGCTGATTTAAACGATGAGTGAAGAAAGACATTCATGGGAATTCTGTGATGGATGACGAGATAGATGTTTGATGAAGATTACGCTGTTGATGATGATGCATATAAGGCTATAAAGTGAATCAAGAAACCGCTTATTAAACTCAATGCTTCAAGTCGCTAAATTCAATGCCCCAAATCGCAAAATGCCCATTATGCCTGTATTCTCCCACTGCTTTTCTGCAATTATGCTCGTCGCCGAGTCAAGTTGTTGTAAGGTAGACATGAACAGATGTCGAGGTCCCAGACCAATGCCATAAATGCTCTCATGCTTTCCTCTTCACCGCATTCGAACGCGTCCATCCAACGACTGAAAGGCCGGTTTCGTCAACAATCACATCGTGCAAGGAGATTTTCTGCTGTCGTCGTGGAGCTGGCTTTTCCAGTGAACGGCGACGAGCACGGGACTTTTTGTCAACCTGCGAGTGCCTAACGTAGTTCGAGAGCTTGCGCTTTTTGCCGCGGGGCTTCTTGGTTGAATGAAATCCGAGATGATTTACAGGCCGTTGAGGAGATGGAGACCGTTTCTTCTTCTCTTTCTGTTGCCAGCCCACAAAAGACAGGCCAGCTTCGTCGACGATGGGTTGCGGGAGGAGAGATGCCTTCCTCGTGTCCGGCGAATCAACTGTCTTGGATTGTGGTGCCCAGCGAACAAATGATAGTCCCGTGTCATCCAGAACAGGCTGCATCATATGCTGTTGAGCACCAGATTGGCCCAGCTCGCCAGCAGCACCTTTCCGCAAAACATCGATTTGATCTGTATCCTCCACCGCTTCCGCCTCCGGGGTCTTCGTATCCCTCGGACTGATCTCGCCCGCGTTCCTTTCAAGCCTCTTCCTCTCGCTCCTGATCACCCACCTTTCCTTCCAATCCTCCGGCGAAAACTTCCACTCCTCCAAGATCTTCACCTGTCTGTACCAGACTTTCAATTTCACATCGTAGCACCACTCCTGCGTAAAACCTTTCCTGACTTCCCCATGGGCACAACCAAGCTTCGAATAATAAGGATCATTATGCGTCTCCCACCACTGCTTCTCTTCCTCGCTCTCGTAGAACTGTGCGGGCATACCATTGCTCACGAAGTCCCAAGGCGAGTAACGCGGTGGAATGACGCCCGCACATGCGCGGAGATAGGCTTTGTGCATTAGAACGCCGCCTTCCTCGGCCCAGTGAGGTTTCTCCAGGAGATAGGAGAGCCTAATATCCTTCCATTCAGTATTGCCGGTGGGCGAGAGGAAGTCGATGCCGATCGGTGATAGTTTTGGGACCTTGTTGCGGTGATGTTGATTGAGGCGTCGGAGATTCTGTTCTGTGAGCGAACGCTTGCGTTTGAGTGTCCAGATACGCGATCCTTCTGGGGTGGTTTCGTGTGTATATTCCTTGTAGATGCCGGACTCTGCTATCCTGTTGAGAGCTGCAAGTTCTGCCTTGTATACTTGCTCGACAGGCGTCAAGTGTGTTGACACTCTGCTGTGACCTTCTTGCATCGTCATATTCAATGCAGGCGCTACTTTTTGGAACAGCAGATTATCGTACTCTCGTTTCCGTTGATCCTTGGAGTGATTTGGGCTGTAAGTATATTCAATGCAGCAAGAAGCTCTTCCAAAGCAGGTGTCGTGCTGAGGCCGACCAGACCAACATTGAAATTGCTAACTCCTGCCATGCGACTGCCACGCGGATTCTTTTTACGGGATCAAAGAAACGCATGTCTCAGACAAAGGAGCGAAAACTGTCATCAATCCTGATTCCGAGGTCCAAGAGTAAAGGCAGGGTGCACTGCAAGCACAAAGAATTCGCCGTTGGATGAGACAATGAACCCACAGCTTCAGCCATGCGAGAGACATACTCTGCACTCCTCAAGCTTAGAATGTTCTGAAGGCCACTGAATTGCTCCTGGACTGCAGAACCAGGTCACACCGCCGAATAGCGTCCGCCGAGCTTGTGATGTCTAATTCATCCCGTAGAGGTTCAACCTCGATTGCAGCGCCTCGAATTTGAAAGCGACGTAAATCGTTCTGCGACTCGTCGAATAGCTCCATGAGCATCTTCTTGTTCACCGACAGTTTCACAGATTTCACTCGCTTAACAAACCCGTCGAGCTCTCGTTTTCGTTTTCGATTTTGAGGAAGTGGCGGAAAGTATGGGTTATGCTGGTTCGTCGGTCTGACGCAACAGGTGAGTGCCGTGACCGTAGGGCTTGGATCAGGCGTCTGCTCCATCGAATCTGCATGCAGAAGCGGGTGCTTGTCTTCCATCAACTCGGTCGTGACGGTGGCCACATGTTTCTCGGACCGACGTCTAGCGATTGATCCAGCAGAAGGTGTTGCTATCGAGAACTCCTTTTGGGTAATGTTGCAGACAGGCAGACTGTCGGATCTGGATCGCGGTTTTGCTTTGGGCTTGGCATCCCTACCCTTCGTCTTTGGGAGACGGTTCGTGGCATCGCCCAACGCCTTGATTTGAGTGAAGAGCCGCATTTTGTTGCAGCTCACATAATCGATTACATTATGGTCGAACATTGGAAGGCAAAGAATATGAGAATATGAAGGCGGTTGCCATCGTGTTGCCATAGTAATATATCAAGCTGAAGTACGAAGCCCTGTACAGGGATGTCGTGTTGAGGACAAACGCTGCTGGGCTCACCGCTGGGACTGAGCGCGTAGACTTTGCACTTTTCTCCCAATTGGGCTCTCGCGTTGCTGCCTCCGCCGACAAGATCGAGACAGCTTTGACGTGGCGCAGCATCACACGCGCTGTATCTTGAAATGGGGTGTGCTTTTGTCGCGGATGGCGCGTCTCTGCATGCTGGATCTGAGATCTGTACTTACCATTCAGGTGCTAGAGTTTGATGTGCCGCCCGTGACAGCTAACATCAGGCCGTGCCGATCTATAGCAGCGCTCTTATGCCGCATCGATTTCATAGTGCATCCGCGAAGTCGGATACCTGGCAACATATAGGCCCGCAGTGCAGCGCATACCACAGCGCCTATCGTCATGGGAAGCAGATCACGCACTGCCAACGTTCCCAATGGAGTCTTGGCGCGCTTGCTGTGGTTGCCCAGAGAGACGAGTTCAGGATATCCATGAGTGCTCGCATGAATTGCGCATGAGTGAGCACTTCGTATTGTGTAATAGCAACCCAACCATCTATCGGCACACTGCAAGATCGAGGAATGAGATATCGGCTCTGTGAAAAGTGTCAAAGCACAAGTTCGACATTGGGAGCAGCGGTGTCGCCATCTTGGCTGTGCAAGAAGCCCAGCCTCATATTGCTGCCCAATAGGTGGTGGCTTGCCTTGCTCTGCGGTGCTCTATGGCCCGGCCGCTGGTGTTTTCCTGCGCAGGATTGCGACCCCCTCAACGTGGCTGGTCTGAGGAAAGAAGTCGAATCCCCGCAGACTCTCGATCTCATATATTCCCTCGTGCTTGGGCTGATCCCCGTCGCCTGGCAGGCCCCCGACCAACCACCCAACGTCTCTGGCTTGCGTATGCACGTTGCAAGATACATAGCACACTCGTGCAGGAGCATACTTCAGTAATTGGCTGATGAAGCCTTCATCACAACCCTTTCTCGAGGGGTCGATCACGACAACGGTCTCGTCCGGAGGGAACTTCTTTGTATCGAGCGACTCGAACAACTTGTTTGCATCTGCTGCGATGAAGTGCGTCGCATCTTCTGGCAGATTGTTCAATTTCGCATTCTTGCTAGCGAATTCGACAGATTGTGCAGACACGTCAATGCCAATGCTCTGCTTGAACATGCGGGACAGATTGATGGTGAAGAAGCCCGAACCACAATACGCGTCCACCATGTGTTTTATCCTGGGCTTGCCGCCTGTGTCGCCATTCGAATTTGCATCCGCAGCCCCATCCATCGTCGATCCGAGAATGTTGTCGCGTATGTATTGCGTGACAACAGGCAGAATCGAATTGTTGTTTTGGAAGAATGCGCCTGCGGGATTATCGAAGCGGAAGTCGTCCACGTACTCTGTCGACGTGGCTTTGTGATCGGTGATGCAGATCTTGCGATGCACATATTGTCCGCGGTCCTCTACGACTTCGTCTTCGCCGTCGGCGCTGACTTCAAGCTTATCCTCTTTCTTCTCTTCTCTCGTCGTGCTCTCACGTAGGAGCAAGGTCGCCCCCTTCTGATATTTGTTGATCTCTGCAGCGACACGCACTCGTTCCCTCTTCATGCCCTTCCGTACGGCCTCTGTTCCAATCGGGCAGTCTTCAATGTCCATCGTCTTCCTCGTGCCCTTCAACATATATCCAATCGCTGGGACTCCCGGCCACGTTACCGGTTTGCCATGTCTCTTATCTCTTCTCCCACCAGGAGGCCCATCAAAGTGTGGCGTGAGTTTGGTGCGATAGCCGTATTGCAGTGGTGAGCCGATCGTGTCGCCAACTGCTGGTACTGCGGACGTAGGGAGGTTCGAGAAGTTGCGGAATGCTTTTTCGACGATGGTCTTTTTGTGCGCAAGTTGAGCTTCGTATGGCATGTGCTGAAACTGACAGCCTGAGCATTGTGTGAAGTAAGGACATTGCGGTTCTGCAGTGCTGGACGGCCCTTTGGAAACACGCTTGACGAAATCTGCAAGTGAATACGACTCGTCGGAAAAATTCTTGTACACTCTTGCGGTGACAACATCACCAGGCGCAGAGAATGGGACAACATATACTTGACCATCTTTTTCTGCCAACCCATCGCCGGTGGACGAGAGCTCTTTGATAGTGACGTCTATCTCGGTGCGCTCCTCAGGCTGTGGTCTAGCAGTTTCGTCGGTCTGTTCGGAGATGTCAACGTCCTTGAGCAGATTCCTCACGTCGGCCAGCAGCACTTCTTCATTGGACCCCTCGGCGACTGTGCTCGTCTTTTGCTTCTTGTTCTTCTTGAAGTGCCGCTTGCCTTCGTTGAAAGTTCGCTTCTGGGCCATGGCTGATGCGACTGGAGGAGTGATTCTGGTCAATGGCGCGTAGAAGATGCAGCGACGGAGCGCGAACATCGAGGTGCATGTGAAAGACAAGCTCCTCGACTTTTTGCGACTCAAGTTGCATAATCTAGCTACCTCTTCTTTCATTGGTTCACGCACAGATGACGCTAACTGCTTGTCAAAGTGAGACCCGAGCTGGGCGAGAGCCCTTGCTGTCAAATCCACATGGCCATCCTTTGACAGGCGAACATCAACAGATCTACTACACTTTGCTCAACAGCATATCAATACATGCTCGCAGATTCTGAGACCTGACTGCCCGCGAGACTCACCTGACATAAAGCGAGACGCCCTGCCATTGCCACTGAGCAGCTCTCCCGACGATGCTGAGTGCAGGACGAGCCACGAGAATGCTGGAGCAACGCTCGTTGCGCTATAACAATATCAGGAGTCTGCTATACCACAATGACATATCCACCTCACATGCTGTCGCAAAAGCTATCGCCCAAGCAACATATAAGTCGGGTACCTGAAACGACCTACGTCCTCGGTGCACTAGTTACGGGCGGCATCAGCAACCTTGCCGCCTCATGAAGCTGCCCTGTCACTGTAGCAGCATTCGAGAAGCCTATCGAACGTGCAGTTCAACCTAGAACACCTTCTCTCTTCATCACTCACAAAGACGTCATGCAGCTGCCTCAGCTGTCAGCAAAGATGACTGCTCTACTGTATGCAGCAGCACCATAAGCAAGGGTAGCTCGTTCTAGCCTGCACGACATTGAAGCAGGCCGGCAAAAACTGCCATGTGTCAAGCAATTGTGAAGTGAGGTGCATGCTTGATGTGACGGATCTCTTCAGCACCCATCTCCCGTCACTTCCTATCACACCTATGACGAGACCGTACCTTGAGGTGTGGCGGTGTCGTCAACTCGAGATGACGAAGCAACCCCAACTTTGCGTGTGCGTTCATTCGTGTTTGTGGACGCCTCCACCAAAAGTAGCGTGCTGAGGTGGATGCCTGCGGCATGACGACAGAGCAGTAAAGAGGTATTCTTTCCATGCCGCGGCCTTCCTGCGCCTCAAGCACAGTTCGTGTACAGTAATAAATAAGTGTTCAAATTAATGAATAAAGAGGTTGCCTGAAAAGCCGCGCCATGCCACCGGTAAGTGGCGTAGTCACGAAGAAAGCACAGCAAAGTACTCGCTTCGTTATTCGTCAATAGGTTGTGAAACGGTGGGCGAGTGCCTTGATTCTGTGAACTTTCTCTCATGCAGGGTCGAGGTGTGGAGGATCAGAGGGGTTCAATCTTCAAATGAGACAGTTGACGCAGGAGCGACGCGTAACGCGACGTGAAGATGTGTGTGACGAGAGTTTCAGGAACAAGGACATGTATGATCTGCGGCGCTGTGGGGAAGATGAGCACGAAGGTCGACGCGTGCGACAATGAGTTGTGAAGCCGGAGAGAGGATGGATGCGTTGGCAAGGAAGTTATGCTGGTGCAAAGTGGTGGGCGAAAGGTGGGCGAAAGGTGGTCATAGAAATTGATCAATTCGGGGTATCTTCGACATTCTACATTACTGGTTTCTACTGAGCACCCTGGCTCATTGTGTTAAAGGTACTTGTATACTTCTTCAATAACGATCGTCCACACCTCATCGACTGCCCCGTGGGGTCCGCCCACCCGGCTGCACATCGTGCATTTCGCCCGCCGACATGTAAGCGGTCGCGAAGCTGCACCGGCATACCGCGGCCTGGAAGCTCCAGAGGCCCGATGACTTCCCGAGTGTTGTAGCACGTGAGTAGAGAGCTTTGTACATCGGCTGACCCTCCCAGTGCAATTTCGTGTTCCGTTCTTGGAACTCCTACCCCGGATTGGGTTTGAATTTCCCGTAAAGCATCAACAACCAGATCGCCCGATGGTGGAAGTCGGATAGGTGGAAGCAGTCGAAACCTTGACCTCGTCACGCGACCTTCCAGTAGTGAGTAGGAAGGTGGATTCGTGAGATGTCATCGGTGATGGTCGACGCGTATTATGTGAGAATCGAACAACGCGCAGTAAGATCTTGTACTGTACAAGCAATGCCGATGTTGTAGAGTGGTGTATCCAGGATGAGCTCGTAGCTCATTAAATGGTCTGCACGCGATTGCGTTAAGATGCCTGAAGGGTGATCATCGGCCATTTGTTGAAGGTATGAGCCCGGGCGTCTGATCCGCATAGTGACCGCAAGATTCGACTTTGGGGTTCGATGCGCTCAGAAAACGGGCTGATTATGTTCGCTCAAAGGCATTTTGGTTGCGAAGGTGATAGTGTGTTGCAGTCATGGTCCTCGAAAATTCGTCCATATCGTTCCAGGCGCGGGCTTCATTTCTTGTTCATCATTGAGAATCGTCGAAAGCCCTTTTTGACGGGATCCATAGGGAGGTTATATGACGATGTCGTTGGCGACGAGCCTGAGCTAGACTTGTCGCTCGAAGAACTCGTTATGCTGCCTCGCGATTCGGATCGTTGCCTTGTCTCGGCGAGGACATCGTCCAAGTTGACGTTGTCGGCGGAGTATGGAGTAGTATTCGTGTCGAGAATCTCAGTGAACTTTGAGCCTGCCATTGTCGAATAGTCGATTACAATGCAGGCGGTAGCGAGTGGTGCTGCAGTAGATAGTGGAAGCAGAGAAACGGATGCAAGATCTCACGAGTATGAAACGGGGCGCCATTCGGAGCAGGCACACGATATATGCGCAGATCCCAAACAGACCCTCGCGAACTAGGCTTCGCACAAGTGCCACACCAACGACGGGGTCACCTGCATTGTGCCACAGACCATGTGTTGAAAGAAGGGTCCTCTGGCTCTGCCGCGAAAAGCACAGTCCCACCGCCCGCTCCCCTGCCCGCAGCAGCCACTTTAGACTTTCTTATCGTTCATGTGCCGGATCTGGTGGGACAAGACCGAGTCGGAGTCATGGGCGAGACTCAGGCTGCGAAAGCAAAATCCGCATGAGCCGTGTGGACGCGTTGCTCCTAAGCGCATCGGGATGGCAGAGAGCGACTCGCCGACCACGGAGTCCGAGGATGGACAGCAGTCGTTATTGAAACAGCTGTGCGGCAGACTGGAATGACGCGCCGGGCGTCTTCGCTGCTGTCAGGTGTGTGATGGCGCATGCTGGCGGAGTCTCTGCGCAGATCGCCGGGGTGTTGCGGTCTGCGTGGCTCCCACCAGCACATCCTGGCCTGCGTCGACAGCAATGACGACGGTGCGGAAGGGCAAGACAAGAGCGCGGCGTTGTGGCTTTGCCCGCATCCTGCGACCTCCTCATTCCCAAAGTTGTGCCTGCCTGCGAATCGACGGTACGCTCGTGACAAGTCACCAGATGTTCGTGCCGAGAACGTGTTTCGCATGCAGCAAAATCAATACGCACCTGGAATTTCACGCGAGGCGTTCTGGAACACGTCCGCGCTTGGGCCAAATTGCTGGATCTTGCATGAATCTTGGTATTGGTTGAAAACGAGACATAGACTAGCAACTACCCCGAAGCGTTGGAACATAACAGATCTGCTTCTTCACACTTCTGTTCTAGAACTCCAGCGGCATGTTTGGAGATATTCAAGAATGCAGATCAACTCCGTTCCCGTCCACTCGTGGCCCAAAACGATATCTGGTTCTGGTAGACGGAGCATTTCGCGACGACATGCGTGGTGCGTTCCTTGGCTCCGGTTCTCGGTCTGCAGTGGAAGCACACGTACGCAGTGGTGGCAAAAAGCGAAGCGAGCAGGCGGACTTGACAACTAGATGACATACTATCGAAACGTTCTGCAGCCATGCCGAACTGCTACGGCGGTGGACGCAGCAGCGATGAAATGTCGTACACAAGCACAGCTGCCACAGCACAAGGTGAGTCCTTCTGCTCCACAAGCAGTGGAGAAATCATCCTGCTGTACAAATTTAGACACAACTCGGTCGCTGCTCCACGAGGCAATGCTCTGCGAAGGATGATGGATTCCTCACAAGCCTGCCAACACAACATGATGTCTCAGTGACACCCAAGCATAGTCATACATTTCATCGCAAAGTCCAAGGCGCAGCACCAGATTTTGCTCAACGTGTGTGCCGCCGAGTGCGTGGCGTTTTGGCTGTCGCTGGCGCTGTCAACCAAGCGCCGCATCTGTACAGCGTGCGCGTGGCTCTCCGTCCCTCGAATGCCGCTGCCGCCTGATAGGGTGGCAGGCTGACATAGAACGAGCTGATCTGTAGCACTACTCCGAACTGCGTCTCCGAACAGCTGCGACCGCTGGCAAGCTTGCTGTGCTTGATTCTGGGACTGCTCTGCCTGACTTGCGCCGTCGTGATCACCAAATCACCTCGGTCTGCATACTGTTCAATACTGCGGCTCACGTGCAGCAGCAAAAGCCACCATCGCTCACCGCATCGTCCTCCGTGGCCGAACCAGAGGAACACCGTTGGTGCGCGCGTGTCAAGCTACCAGTCGTGTCAGTAAAACGCGGCTCGTAGCCGCACGCCATGCGCATGAACAACTAGCGGTTCTCTTCGGTTCCAAATCCAAGAACGAAACTTCTGCTAAGCTACTGCAGGTGCTCGCACGAATATGCTTAGCCTCTATACAGATCATGGAACATCTTGCCAGTAACGGTCAAGTTCGAACTGCACGAAGCATTCTCCAATCAAAGTCTATCTGCGCATGCCTGATTGAGCAACATATACATTTCCCTCGCTACATGACTCAACCTCCTTACCCCAGGCTTGATGTCCACAATTGCTAGGTTGAAAGTCCGCCGTAAATGGACTGTACCGCAGCCACGATGTAGCTTGCGCTATCTGAAAGCAGGAACAAGATCCACTTCGTTCTTTGACTACCTTCGTCAGGGAGATGCCGGATTGGCATTGCGAGCAGGGGACGACGCTCCATCGCTTGAGTACAACAGCACCGCAATCTGCTCGGCACAGGCGTTGCAAATGTGTAGCGGACTTATTTTTGCAGCAGCCTGTTCAGCGAACGTCAACGCGTATGCTCCCTTCATCGATGAAAGTCTTCTGTCTACGCAACTTCAACAACGTGAGCTAGCTGATGAAGCATCGGCACCGTTTTGATATTTCCACTCAAACACATGGCTCATCTTGAAGCTGCGTAAGTGTTAGAAAAGCCAGCCGGATGATGCAAGCATTGTATGTGACTGTGCATGGTTTCTGTGACGCGAGACGGCGAACCCTTTGTTAGCTTCAACTGTGAGTCTGACCGACAATTTCCAACTCATCTGCTCCTAGCAGAGGGGACAGATGGAGTTGCTCATGTCTCTAGAATATGGCCCCGAAACGGTGACCTCAATGTTCCAACAATGTTGGTTGGCAGTGCTGTTTTGTGCTAACTTAGCGATTTGCCCTTCGAGGCGGCCTTAGGGTAAGTCGATGCTCAACACCATAGTGATGTCGGCATCGCTATTAATCCGAATGGGACCAGCACGCGGCGCAGGAAGTATTGCGATGAGAAGTAGCATCGGTAACGACCATGCGATGATGTTGTTGTCAGCTTCAATGTTGATGGGAAGGAGCAAGCTGGGCCGAGGCACGAAGTTCAACAAGCGAGCAACAACCTCGCTCCACTTCCGGAGCTGATGGACATCACCTCGACACGTTCATAACAACATCTGCCACTGATTGCATTGTGATATTTCGAAAAGCCAACCGATACCGTAGAAAGAGCAATCTCGGATCAACAGAACATGTCTTCCGCACCCAAGAAGAGACTGCAAGCGCTCAGCGAGCAACTCCAGAACCCAATTAGAAGCGAAGGCAAATTTGAGGACTTGCCAAACATCCCAGCGGTAGCAGGAGACTCCAAAGGACCGTAAGTCTTGCTCTTAGATCAACATGTCACTGGCAGGTGCGTCGCAATTCGACACGATGAATTTACCTTCGCCTCGCGACTCGCATCGTCACCTTTCCAATAAACCACATTCTCACGATATATCTCAGTCGAACCGAGGGCAAAATCGTCATCATCACAGGCTGCAATTCTCCTCTCGGAATCGGCCGTGCCTCAGCTCACCACTTCGCCAATAACGGCGCCAAAGCCATCTTCATCTGCGACTACCGAACCGAGCACCTCGAAACCCACAAGCGTGAAATCGAAGGCAAATATCCCGGCTGCTCCGTCCATCCCGTCCAACTCGACGCCGGTTCCGAAGATGATGTTTCTGCTGTCGTAGACCAAGCTCTAGAAAAGTACGGCCGACTAGACATCTTCTTCGCCAATGCCGGAATCAGCGTCACAATGGGAAGCGTTCTCGAAGGCTCCGCGAGCGATTTCATGGATGTCATGCGTGTGAACGCTCTCTCTGTTTTCCTTGCAGTCAAGCATGGCGCACGCGGTATGCTTAAGACTGGGTCTGAGAAGAAGTATCCGGGAGGAAGTATTGTTTCTGTGGCATCTTCCGCTGGTATGCGATCGAATGCTGGAGCGACGGATTATTCTGCTTCGAAGGCGGCTGTGATTTCGATTATGCAGACGAGTGCGTATCAATTGACTGGGACGGGCATTAGATGTAATGCGATTTGTCCTGGAATTATTGAGACGGGAATGACGGCGCCGATGTATGAGATGGCGAGGGCGAGAGGGTCGGAGAAGAAGATTGGGCAGTTGAATCCTTTGATGAGAGGCGGTGTTGCGGATGAAATTGCGAGAGTGGCATTGTTCTTGGGAAGTGATGAGGCGAGTTATGTGAATGGGCAGGCTTGGGCAGTGTGTGGAGGGTTGACGGCAGGCCATCCATTTGTACCAGGCAAAATTGCGTAGATGACAGAAATGAAAAGGCACCGATTGTGAAGCAGCAAGGCATGCATCTGGCTTGAAACGTTCAAATTCATGACATGATAGGCTATATGATCTCACAAGACGAAAGCAACAGCAGAGACACTCTACAAAGAACAAGATTGAACCCATTCAACCACCACCACTAAAAGCCTTCCCAGCAATCTTCTCCCTATTCATCGCCTCCGCACACGCATATCCGGTAATAAGCACCTCATTGATCGCCTCAGGACTCATTCCCTGCATCCCCCTCTCAAAGCGCAACAAAATCATTTTTTCCAAAATAGCCACAACCTCCCCCGTCCTCTCAACCTTCAATTCCGCCTTCTTCGTCCCATTAAATTTCCAAACCATCTTCTCTCCAGGCGCATAGAATCTGCTGAGAAAAGAACACTTGGAGCTGAAATCGCCATGCTTGATTTTATCCTCGATCGGTGGGCCAGAAGGTGAGTAGAGCGTGTAAGAAATGTCGGAGCTGAAGGAGTGCCATTTCACAGATGCGGCGCGGAAGCCGTTGTCGGCGCGGATGAGGTCTTTGACTGAGGAGGACTGTTTCTGGATCTGGAGGACGGGTTGGGAGGTGAAGCAGTTGATGAGGGAGTCTTTGGTGAATTTTACGTTCAGGCTTGGGGTTGCTTGGCCAGCGGGCGGACACATGTAGTATGGGTCGACTTGTTTCATGGCGTATTTTTCGAGTTTGCCGAGAAGACCGCGGTTTGCGCTGTCGCTACCGCCGGCTCCTGTGAAGGAAGAGTCCGGTGCCTGCGATGAGTATGGGCCTGGGGAAGCGTTGGGTTGGCCGTTCACAAAGTTGCCGTAGGCTGGCGGAGGGCCTGCCGGTGCTGCCTGACCAGGAAAGGGCTGTTGTGGAGGATAAGGATCTTGCTGCTGAGGATACGGATGCTGCTGTGGAGGATAAGGTTGTTGTTGTGCATGTTGTCCATAAGGAGACTGTTGAGCGTATTGGCCATAGGGCGATTGGCCTGTAGATTGCTGTTTGCCGTCGGCGTAATTCTTCAGTTTTTCGACATTGTACTGTAGGATATCCTTGAACATGGACGCCATGTTCTGTCACAGTGAGCGCTTTACGTGGCCTTCGGGGTATCTGTGTGCTGCCGCAGTGACGCGATACTGGGATGTGCTTGTGTAGTGATAAAGACGCTAGGCGCTGCGAAAGTGTATGTTGATGAGCCGCTCTCGTGTTCTTAAGTTGTCGTGCAAGTAAAATGAGCGAGCACAGCAAACATCAAGGTCATGTACTTGTATGCGTTTGAGGCTGCCTGGAAGCATGATTAGCCGGCATATTCGTTGTATCTTCGGAGAGTACTGCTATACGTCTTGGCTCACGTCTCCCATCTCAATCCCTTGGCGCCAATCTTTTGGTATAGCACTTTGTTGATGAGATGAGGCGCAGCTTCCTGTTCGCGCATCTGCGCCCTGCGGGCATCTGGCATAATATATAATGCAATGATGGCTTTGGATGGAATTGGTTTGTTGTTGCTAGGTTCTCTGCAGCTTTAAACAGCTATGCCTCTCTTCTGCCACCCACCAGGTCCACGCCATGCCCAGAACCAAAGTCCACAGGCCAGCCAGACGCTGATTGCCATTGCCCAGAATGTAGGAGCATAGCACCTGACTCCATAGCACAGCTTGTCTTCAACCATATCGGACCCCTCAACAGTATTCAGATCTGCTGCCCATTGATAGACACCGCTATACACAAGTCCCCAGATCGTTGCGCCTATGGCTGGCATCATGGCGCAGATCCCCCAATTGGTGCCGAAGTTCTCGACACCCCAAATCACACTGACGATGATCGGTGTCAGACTGAATGCTGCTCCGTAGCCGGCACCGATGGAAGCTGACACGATCCAGAAGCGTTCAGCATGCTCTTGAATGAAGCCTGTGGCAAGGACTACTTGACCTACGCTCATCAGGATGCAAAAGGCGATAAGAAAGGTTATGCGTGATAGTTCGAAGAATTTCTTCTCCGTCGGTAGAGGGGGCGGAAGTGAGGAGAGACTGTTTGCCAGGCTGTTAGGGCCACGTCGATGTTGGTGTGGGACGGAAGTCGGTGCGAGGATATCGGTGAGGGTGCCGGTGAGGATACGTGCGATGGTCGACATGACTGCGACAATGGAAACGTGCGTCGCGGCGCTAGTTGGATTGCCGCCTTCCGGAATTGATATAGGAGGATAGAAAGTGTCGATAATGGTGCCGAGGTTGTTGATAAAGGCTTCTCCAGGGCCAGTGACGAGCAGGAAACCAGCTGCGAGCCACCACATGGTTTTGTCGCTCAGGAAGCGTCTCGTCTCCGCATTGAGCAGCCATGTCTTCATGCGCTGCTCCTCCGCTTTCTTCGCCTTCATCTCGTCCGCCTTGCGACTGATTTCTTCCACGACAGAATCAGTCAATGTGCCGTATCCTTCTGACTCTTGTCTTTCCCGGAGCAGACGATGGAAGTATTGACTTTCGTCCAAGAAACCACTCTGCTCCAGTTCTTCCACGGCGTCTTCTATCAGCTCTTCCTCGTCCACGATTCGCAATGCGAAGCATCCGATGAGCCCTGTCGTGAACAGTAAGACACCTAGGAAGATGAAGAACTTGTGCACGTTGACGTCCCCTTTTGAGCCATCTGCTCTCGTTTCGTACAGTAGTCTGCTTCCCACCTGTGCCTGCCACATGCCACTCAGACCGAAGCATGCAATGGGCAATGCCAGCGCAATGCCCTTATTCTTGCCTCTTCCAAAGTTCTTTGCGCATGTCGTAACGGCAGACAAGTACATCAAACTGGTGCCGCAACCGATGAAGATGAATGCGATGACCATGGCCCAGTAGGGCCATCCTTCGCCTCCTAGAGCTGGTGGCGGTCCACTCTGAAAATCGAATGCTGCCAGCAGGTACCCGATGCCGAAAAAGGAGCCTGCCAATAGACTAGGAATACCTGGACCAAAGCGATCGCACATCATACCCCACAATGGCACGGGCAAGTACATGGCGATCTCAGCAGTGATGCTGATGCCGTTCACCTGCAGCTGCGAATAATGCAGCTTCCGTTGAAGCAAAGGTGCGTAGAGACTGAAGGCTGTAATGCTTCCAGCGCCCAGGGTGTTTACCAATGCCCATGCGAAGCTCCCATACCGCCAGAGCTGCTTGCGAAAGCGCTCGCGATCTTTGTCGGCAATGCCCTCCGCTATGTCGGAAAAGAAGCTTCCGGCATAACTGTGCTCTTCGGACTGCTGACGACTGCTGCTCGCATCGCGGCTGTGCTGATCGGGGGCGAGGAGCGGTTTGCCGCCGGGCTGATAGTCGAGCTTGTCGATGGAGGCGCTGCTGTTGTCGCGCACGCGGCTGGACGGACGCGGAGTGGAGGACGGCATTGTGATCGGAATCGGCTTCTCAGGTGCCCATGTCTGGGAATGACTGCTGCTACACGCTCTTGTATGGGATAGGAATGCAGTCCATCAGGTCAAGGCCTGAACGGGACAGGCGATGACTGGGTAATTGAATGCGTCGGTGATGATGAGGCAGTAGTCACGGCTGGCGGGCTCCACTTCGGTCAAGCACGCGACGCCGGACACATGACGAGCTGCCACCATCCTCGGCGCCGATCGCTCGCGCACCATCCGCCCGCCTCTTCTCTTAGCTTCATTCTCTGCACCTCCTGCCTGTTCGGGGAATAATGGCACATCATGTCCGCCGCCGACGCCCAGACGAGGATTGCAGACTTGCTCCAGAGGTCCGATGAGGCAGCCGAGGGTGGAGACTTGCAGAAAGCCTTCCAAGCTTTGAAAGAAGCCTCGCATCTCGATCCGGCAAATGCTCGCGTGAAAGACGCCCTGGTGGCCTTGGAAAAGCGAGAAAGGACCGGCGATGCGCTTCAACTCATCGAAAGCTATCTCGGCAGCGGTCCGGAAAGCGATGGCGAGACGGCACTGCATGCCCTGCGGCAGAAACACCTCCCCAAGAACGACGCTGAACGAGCTTTCGACTTGATCCTGAGCTGTTCAAAACAGCTTGCTCTACTCGATACCCTCACTGGGACTCTCATATATCGCAGCAGAGATGTACAGCAGCTGCTCGGCGCGAAGTTCCAGAATCCTGTGACAGAGCTTTACAACCAGCTCTACGAACGAGGACCGGAAAGTCTCAAAGCATTCAGCACAATCCCACTGAACGACGCACTCTGGGCATCGAAAGATGACCAGATCAAAGCTCAGCGAGATCTGTTCCGTCTGTGCATCGCGAAACTCATCGATGTCGACATTGAGTATCCTGAGCGGCTGATGCAAGTCGTGGCAAGGCTCGTTGCACTTGCTCCCAAAACTATTGAGCCTCTCATTGATCTCGATGTCTTCGAGATCATTTTGGACAGCTTAGACATTCGTCTCGAGCAGCCTTTGCGAAGTCAGGCGATGTTGGCCACCTCCAAAGTCCTCGAAACGACCAAGGAGAAAGGAGAGCAGCTGTTCGGACAGTACTTGGCTGCGAGAGTAAACAAGCAGACGATTGATGATTTCATTATTGCCTTCTCGTCGGCCGCGGCCGTCTTTCCCATGATACCTGCTGTGGCAGCACAGCTTTTCATGACCGATGGCTTTGTGCAACAACTTGTGCCTAATCTGGAAAGAAATTTCGAGTCAGGCAGTCAAGGGAAACGGTAAGCAGGAAGTGTGGGAGATGCGCCTATCATGACGAGCTAATCGAAAGCAGAAAGAGCGCGACGCTCGAAGTAGCAGCTCTCGAATTGCTGAGCGCGGCGTGTGTAGACAAACCGTGTCGCGAAGCCATCGACCGTTATTGCTCGCCGTGGCTGCGCAATCTCTCCGATGAGGCGGAAGGAAAGCACCAAGCTCTGGCATCCTTGGTGCTAGCAAAGATCAATGCCGAATCATCGGAAGAGGTCACGGCCAAGCTGGCAGATCTTGTCCTCGTTAGTGAGACGAACAAAGATCAAGCAATCGAAGGACTGGCCTACACCACATTACAACCCAAAGTCAAGGAAGACATCGTTTCTAATGCTGCTTTATTGAAACAGCTGATCTCGGCGCTTACAGACCGACCAACTGCTGCATTCGGATGTTTGACAATCTTCTCGAACTTGACCACTTATCGACCGCCCAAAACAGCAGAGCAGAAGAAGATTGAGCAACTAAAGGCATACGCAAATCAGCAAAAGCCAGCCGCAGACGACCCTCTCGACAACGACACTTTTGTCACGAGCAGAGCCAAGAAGTTGCTCGACGCCGACATTGTCACAGCACTTGTGGCCAGCTGCAAACAAACCAGCTCGCCAACTAACATTGCCATGGTTGTACGAACCTTGCTCGCGCTTGCCAAAGAACAAAAGCACCGCACCAAAATGGTCTCTCAGGGCTCCGTCAAGCTACTCCTCCAGATCCGAGAACGAATCGCCAAAACCGACAAGTCCTCTTCCGAAGCCTCTATCATCGACCGCAACGCCTCCCATGCTCTCGCCCGTCTTCTCATTTCCGTTAACCCTGCGCACGTCTTCTCCGCTGCCTTGCCCGTCAGTACGGCCGTGAGCTCGCTCATACCGCTATTGACTTACGACACCGATGCCGAACAACGCGACCTTCTACCTACATTTGAAGCTCTTCTCGCCTTGACGAATCTCGCTTCCATGGAGGATTCCACAGCAAGAGATCTGCTTCTCAGATCTGCAGCGTTTGAGCGTCTGGAGGATCTCCTCTTTTCGAGCAATACTCTCGTGTCTCGCGCTAGTGTGGAACTGATCTGCAATCTCATGGCTTCTCCTGCTGGCGTAGCCAAGTATGCCGACGGCTCGAAGGATGCGAATAGAAGGTTACATGTACTTCTCGCTCTTACAGACGCGGAGGATCTTGCCACGCGCCGAGCTGCTGGAGGAGCTTTGGCAATGTTGACAGAGTGGGACAGTGCTGTTACCGCTGTGTTGAATCATGGAAAGGGCGTGGAGTTGGTTGTCGGGATGTGTGAAGATGATGAAAGTGACGAGATGAGACATCGGGGTTTCGCGTGTGTGCTGAACTTGGTGACTGCCCCTGGTGAAATTGGAGAGAGGGGGTCGAAGATCTTAAAAGAGAAGGGCATGGTGGATAGGCTAAAGAACGCACTGAGGGTGACCAAAAGCCAAGAAGTCTTGGGTCTAGGGGTCGAGGTGTTGAAGAAGTTGCAGTGAAGGGGCCATGTAGTTTCCTGCATGATATCGTGATGTTGTTAACTCTGGAAACGGACGCTTTACGCTGGGATTGTGCTGATGCTGAGCAGATCCCATTACCTCAAACATGTACAAGTTATGGACCACGCTCATCATGAAGAGATCCTCACACCAACTGCTTTTGGTCGCTTGGCAAAAAGGTCGAGAATTCGGAAGCAAAACGAACCATCGCCAGTAATTGACAGAAGATAATATGGCTCCTCAACCAGAGAATCTCATTCCTCGTATTAGAAGACAGCAGTCTCAGATCAAGCATGACATTCCTCACGACTTACTGACTCAGCCAAGTTACCGACAACGATTGTTAGCATGTGAGGTTCTGGGTTTGCCTATATAACCCGCGGGTAATCATCTTTGGTCTACGGAGGTTTTGCAGGCAAAACCGACCTCGTCCGATGGTGCTCGTATGAAATGGGACCAAAAACGATTCCATGATGCAAAAGTTTTCCATCGCAGATTAAGCTCTGTTACAAGCTATGCGAAAATGGGGGAGGCGAAGAAGCATATACCAAAACAATCGCCGACCACTCAGTGGCGCACATTGACCTGGCAAAGTAAGTAACAGCTGGCTCTGCTTACGCACCGTCCACTCTGACTTTGACATGGTCAAGCATCAGAAGGACTGACGACTTACTGACTGAGCCACTAAGCTGACAGCGATCGTTGCAGAGCGGAATTTCCTACGATTATATCAATGTTGTGGAAGCAGCTGCGAGAAACCTGAAGAAAGATCCAGAGAGGCAGATATTGGGAGAATCGCCCACGGCCGGGGAAAACCGCAATTCGCCACAAAATGGTGGTTTCTGCCACGAGCTTGCCGCTGCAAGATTTGGACGCAGGCTGCTAATGACTTACATGGTCAATGGTGCGGCTGTTAGGGACACCAGAAAGCGAGATTATGCTGATCGGATGTATCTTGTGGGAGAAATCGGCTGTCCTCTAGGTCTCAGTCATGCAACGAATCAACTACCTTCAGTGTGTCTCATCATGGTCTTGCGGTGTCTTAACTGACCGCCTGGTCGACATCGAGCAAGACATATGCTAGGAGACTTTGGACAATATTACAATTTCGATGGAATGCCTGAGGCAGGAGCTATGGTGTTAGAAAGCTTGCCTCCACTTCTCCTCCGAGCTCAACTTCTACAACAACATTGATGACGATGGCACTTCTTGGTTTCACAAAACGATGGTATTTTTCCAAAGAACGATATTCGGGCCTTTGGAGCCAAGTCAATCAGACTCCTGGAGCTCAGGTGACACCTCGGGTTGGCGGCTCCCATCGATGAATACCCCCCTTGTCAGCCACGCACAGACAAGTCAGTGCTAATCAACATTCGTCCAAATTTATGCATCGCAACTGTGCTGAATGCATTTTGAGACGCCATGAGTTTCCCGCAGCATTCTCCCGGGCATACAGTAGCGCCAAGCTAACCGTATGTGGCGGAAGGAGCTGAAGGGAGCTGAAGCAGCACTATGTTGAAGAAAAGCGATCGCACTACCACATGACATACATAACTTCGCCGATACATGTCCATTCGATCTTGCATACACACAGCTCCATGCAATGTCTCAGTTCGTGCCTCCAGCGACGGAAGGCACAATCGACGGATTGAGTCACGATGAGGGTGCTAGCTTGCCAGAATCATATCCCAGCTGCTGGGAGAGCCTACTTGCGGCAGCATTCAAGTATCCCGACAGCATTGCCCTTGTCTCAATGCATCAGCCGAACAACTTATACGGCATTGCAAGCACTCCTGCTACATTAACTGCTCGTTGCGATCGTCTGAGGTGGACCTACAGAACACTCAAGACCACTGCAGAGCGACTGGCAACCGGATTGGCAGCTCGCGGAATAAGCTCTGGCACAATTGTTTTCACATTCTTGCCCAATTGTGCCGAGTTCGTCTTGACCCTTTGGGCGGCATGGAGGTTGGGCTTTACACTGGTGCCTTTGAACTCTCGCAATCTGGCTAATAGGAGGGAATTTGAGCACATGATTGGCACAGCATTACGCCAAAGCACATCCGAGAGCGCCGTGGTCATTGCTGGATCGCAAGACATAGCTCGAGAGGTCGAATCGTATACGGAGCTGCGCTCTGCAGTCAAAATCATGATCGAAGAGCACAACCTCGACGACTGGCTCTCCTTCGGAACCATACTTGACTTTAACAAAAATACGCCAACCTTCTCCAGAAGTGACCAAATGCTGGCGACTTCAAGTCATGATCGGATGATTCTCTTCACAAGCGGTACTACAGACTTGCCAAAAGGGTGTCAGTTGGATCATCCTCATGGACTATCATCGTGGCAAGCGATGCTGGCTACGGGCACCAAGGAGATTCGCGCGGCTCGTGCGACTCATGGCAGTGTTTGTGCGGTCGTCGCCCCTAACAATCACCTCATGTGGTATGCCACGGCTCTTCTTGCGCTCTGCTCAGGCGCTACTGTTGTATTTCCTGGAGAGGCTTTCGAGCCACAACAGTTCTTCGCTGCAGCTAGAGAAGAATTCGTGACACACTTTATAGGCGTGCCGACTATGATTCATGCGCTCGTGAGTGCAAAAGCTGGATCATCCAATGAGCTGACAAGTCTGAGGACTATTGGGCTTGGTGGAGCTGGCGTCAGTTCACAGGTTGTACAAGCATGCATCGATAATCTAGGGGCTCATGGCGTGGAAGTGCTGGGCGGCATGACGGAGCAGGCTGTATTCTCGAGCGGGCAGGTCGGCAGATCTGCTCATAATGAGCACAATACTATGACCATAGGGCGCTGCCTACCTGGCTGTGAGGTTAAGATATGCGAACCTGGAAGTACACATCCTGTCCCTTTGGGTACGCCAGGTGAATTGCACTTCACTGGACCAGGTCTCGTACACGGATATCTTGGACAGTCCAACAGCCCAAACTTCTATGTGGAAGGCCAGAAAAGATGGATTGCGACTGGCGACATGGTCACCATGGACTCCGAGAAGAGAATCTACTACGTTGGCAGGTACAAGGAAATGATCATCCGAGGCGGAGTCAACATCTCATCTTCGGCTATCGAAGCCTGTGTCACAAGAGAACTACCGGACATGAAAGACGTGGAACTCAGCGTAGTGGGACTCCTTGATGAGGTTGCAGGCGAAGTACCAATTGCGGTCGTGAGTAGAACCTTGGATCCACCCATGGTTGCATCAATCAAGAGAGTCATTTCACAACATCTCGGCCAGATGTTCGCATTGGATGACGTGATCACCCTGCAAGATGTTGGCATAACTGATTACCCTCGGACAGCACTTGGAAAGGTTCAGAAGTCGAAACTCAAGGACCTTGTGAACCGAAGAATTCAGAAAGAAGGCGACCACCCAACGGGCGGTGATTCTCTCGACATCAAGGTGTTTTCTGTGATCGCCAGGACTACCGGCATCCCTGTTGAGAGTATTCTTCCGACGACTGAACTTTCAGAGCTCGTTGACAGCATAATGCTCATGCGATTGATGAACAGGATAGCAAAGGAGACAGGCCGTCGACTGAGTATGGACCACCTGATCGGCACTCAGACTGTGGGCTCCCTTGTCAAAATGCTTGAGCAGCAGCCGCTTGGACCCAATGCGGTCTCGAAGGGTAATGCAGCGGAGCGATTGTCGCTGAAACGTTCGCTCAATGCTGAAGTCATGATTTTCCTAGAAGGCAGTGAACTCACCTTCAGCACTGTAAAACAGGTCGTTGAGCATACCATTTCACCCTATGGAAAAGACTGGAGGGATGTGGAGCTCGTGTTCCCAGCATATGACTTCACCCGTGTGTTGGTGCAGGATGGAACTCTGGACAAGTGGAGCTTCAAAGTCTTGTTTCTCGCACGAGGACACACTGTCGAGGTGAGACTAGACGGTAATGAGCACCGTACCGGACGTACTGACCTTTTGCAGAGTCTTCGCGCTGCACTTCTGCGAACTTGGGCGAATAACCCGATGCTAGCCTCATTCATAGTCACAAATGAAGGTCTCCTTGGTCCGGATCTAGCTCTACACGTTACGATGAAGCACAACGATGAATTTCTAGCAAGTCTCATACGAGATGGCGGCACAGTTCAAAGTCTTGACCAGCTGAAGACTCATGTGCAAGCCTTTCGAAATCATCCTCAGCTACCAGGGCCATTGGTGGGCACAACAATGCTCTATTGTGAGGAGACTCAGTGTGCCGCCTTGATACATAACAGTAAGCCACGAGACTCGTAGGCTGATACTCGCACACTAATAATCTCCCAGTGCACCATGCCGTCACCGATGCCACCTTCGCGTCCTTGGTCAATGATGATCTTGACCAGGCACTGGGATCGAGTATCGCTCTCTCATCACATGTATCATATCAGTCTTACTGCGAAACCCTTTTCACTTTGCGCGACTCAATCACCGCGCGAACAGCTGTCGAATACCATGCGGAGAAGCTGCAACATTTGTCCCGTCATCAGGAGCACCTCTGGCCATCTTTGGGCAGACAGCTTGTTCTCCAGGAAGAAAAGCGAGACGGCTATATCCACACATTCTCTGCTAAACCAGCACAGCATCTCTGTGCAGTGCATAAGGGCCTTGCACCATCATTAGTCCTCAAAGCCGCGACTGCGATGTTTCTGCTACGCCAGACTGGACACACGCATGCGGTTTTTTCCCATGTCGAAGCAGGACGTGATCGATTTCCCTTCTTGCCGAAGTCCATTCTAATCACGGCTCCTCAACTACAGGCCAGCGACGTTGGAGGTCAAACATTCCAGCTCATCATGAATCTCATACAGCCGGGTTCCGAGGAATCAACGATCGACTTCCTGCTAAGATTACAAGAAGAGCAGAACCTTCAACACAACTACGCAGCCGCACCCTGGGCTGAGATCATGAGATCATTGGATCCCGACTCTGTTGCATTCTTCCCAACATCAGCTTCGACTTGCTTTTTCAACTGGTTGGGAGTGGAAATGAGTTCTGGACCGGCTACGTTTCGCAACATTGAAGTGGTTGACGCTGTCTTCAGTGTTACGGCTCCGCCGTTTGCCAATAATTGTGCTCTTCGGAGACGACTTGATGGTGATGAGATTGTGCTGCATTTACGGGGAGCGGTTCTCAGCATCGAGGAGCTTCGTCAAGCAGCTCTCGAAATCGAGACAGCGGCTGTTTGGTTGGCAGAGGAGGCAAATTGGATGAAACCCGTTGTGAAGTATCTGGAGTGGTCCAGCAATCACCGAGTAGTTTAGACGATTGAGATGGACCGAAAGTCTATTTGCACGGCAGACGATACCTGGCTCAGACTGGATTCGTTGCTTTTATCTCGCAGGCTGTCTTGTGTGTCTGGACCCAAGGAGATCAAGATATGCTACTGGGGGCACAAACAGTAAGCAAAACGAGAGACCATTGATGTAACTCACCGGGAGACCACTGGGCTACCACAAGCCGAATCTAGAATCTTATGAGCTTCTTTAGGTTGGCCGTATTCATGTGATCACAAGCAGTAAACACATCCGCTTGATTGTTTTGGTATATTGAAAAGGCATATGCACATCCGATCGTGCACACGTGTCGTCTCATGCTCGTCTCCTCAATGCCACGCTCATACATCTGCATGCCACCCGGATCTCATCCATGCTAATTTGCGATCTCTCGCCAGCTCTGACGTGCGTAACCTCGTTATTTTATCCTATAGCCTTCGTCAAACCTCACGAGGCGCTCATACCCCTCAACTTCTCCTGCTCCTCCGGTGTCAACGAGCTGAACACATTGGCAAACGCAGGATTCTGCGCCTGCTGCCGGAAGAAATTTTCCAGAAACGTTTGAGTCTCATCATCTCGGCCCCGGTTCATCGAAGGTCCGTCTTCCGCGGCATAAGCCATCAGCTGTGACTTCGTCATACCAGCACCAAGATCCAAGAAGTCGTTCGCATCGTCTTCCCAGTCCCCGTCCTCGTCGTCATCGTCGAGATCGGCTGCTGCTGCAGCGTCAAGTGCGCGGTTGGGCCCAGACGCAGAGAGGAGCTCTTCTACCAGGACTTTGATGATTTTGAGCTGTGCTGGGATGATAGTAAATTGGTCTGGTTGCTGTCGAGCACGAGAGCGAGTCATGATGCGGTCGGATTTAGGCACGATCAGGTCTCCTTTCACTTGCACTTCGGCAAGGCGTGGGTCATTGAGCTCATAGAGCTTTGATAGTGCCACGATGCTAAGAGGGGTCAGTAGTGTGAACGAGGGAAGTGCGATAAAAGTGAAAACTTACTTTTGACGAATGTCGTCGTATCCAGCGAAGTTGATCGAATTCTCCAGCCACTTGCTCATGACCACCTGCAAGCCACTCTGATCACCAATACGAATATCTGCCAGAAAGGAGACGACTTCGACCGCAGAGATGAGCGATAGTCGGGCGAACACCAATATCAGACTCTGGATGAACTGAGCCTGCGTGGCAGTGCCGAGACGCACTGCGACAGCCTGTAGCAATTGTGTGAGATAGGGCCCCAGCTTCTCAGAGCCTGCCTTCTCCACAACTTCCGCCGCAAGACCTCCGACTTCCGCAGCTCCGTGGTCATCAACGGAGGGGTTGAGCAAGCGATCGATGATGACTAGCACGATCTCCAAACCACCTTTCCCATCCTGGTCATGGAAGTTGAATACTTGGTCAGGATCGTGCCGAAGCATGTGTCGCACGGCCGCGGTGGCCGATTTCAGGAGTTCGTCATCCTGGGACCCGAGCAGCAGTCGGTTCAGGCGTGGCATCACTGTGTTGACAAAGCCTTGAGGTAGAGGTCTTGAACCATGGTCAGCCATAACCGCCAACAGCTCGGCGGCAAGGTTCGCCAAAGCATTCTCCTCCGTCAACGATGCAACGTCGAAGGCACCCATGAGGGATGGCAGAACCTTTTGTGCAAGCTGAGCGTAAGCTTCTGGTCCGGCTTCCGCAATGGTCTCGGCAATGTCTTCGAATGTCTCCGTGACCAAGAGGGCGATCTGGAAGTTGGCTGCACCTTTGCTGGCAACCGTGAAGAGGAGGTCCAGTCCACCACCAACCAGGCACGTCCGCGTGTCGAGCATGATGGCATCACGAAGGGTCTCGATGATGGTAATGAGAAGATCATCGCTATCATCCAGATCGCTCAAGTCCTGTGTGTTGAGGAAATTGGATAGCGATGCCACAATATCAGGTTGTCTCTGGATGGTTACCGAAGACGGGAGTGCTGCGAGATAGTACTGCAACGCCCGTATGCACGAAACTTTGACAATTTCTGACTCGTCGTTCGCAATTGCCTGCAGGGATGCTTCCATGAAAGAAGCCGCTACAGCTTGCAAAGCATTGCCAGACGTTCTCGTAAGGCTTCCAGCGACCAGGTACCCTCTCGCTCGAAGGAACACTGGCTCCTCTTGCATCGCATGCTTGATGAAATCAACATATCCGTTTGCAGATTCGGGCCCTATTTGCTTCTCGACATCCTGGAAGTCGCCCAGTAGCTGGTTGAGCAGATATAGCGCAGCCTCTTTCATCTTCCAGCCTGCGCTCTCGGAGTAAAGTGTACGCGTGTATGTAAGTAGACCTTCCACTGTGGCATTGTTGAGCCATTCGCCAAGCTTGATGACCAGATCGCCGCAGGCGGACCGCGGAGTGTAGTTGGCAGTGACATTAACCTCTTCTGACAAGAACACATTCACGTCAATGTCCCAAAGACCCTCTTCTTCAGTGGTAATTTGTGCGTATGCGACAGCAACTTTCATCATGTCGATGATCCAGGTAGCAGCACCAGACTGCAATTGCTGCTCGAGCTCTTTCCGCACAGGAGGTGCACGCAAACATGCCTGCAAGAAATCGAGCTCCTCCAGCACCAGGAAGTCCAGCGTATAAGGAAGTCCATCGGCATCTTCCAATCGACCTTGGCGATCGTCTTCAATGTACATCTCGTAATACTGAGCCTGTAGTGTTGAGAGCTCGTGCCAAGTAGCCGAGAAGAGGGCTGGGCTGTGTGGAGACAACATCTGCGGGAACAGTGTCCGTAGTCGCATGAGACTCTTGACGATTTGCAACTTCAGAGCGACAGAACCCCTGTACTGCTCTGCGGCCTCTGGGTTACTTCTCTCCGAGCCTTCTGGAGGAGGCGACGGCAGCGGAGACTTCAGTGTATCGATGAAGAATGGAAGCCAGCCAGCTAGGTTCTCTTCTGCGAACGACTTGACTGCAGCTTTGTGGTCTTCCATGACCATTTCAAGGATGTCGAAAGTTGATCGGAACACGGAAACCGCAAGAGCTCGGAGTGTCGGTTTTCGTGTATTGTTTGTAGCCACATCGTAGACGACTTTGACCAGATCGCGTCCGATTTTGAAAAATTGCTCTTCGTTAAAGCAATCGTCCACAAGTTCATTGAGTACTTTCAAGGCACCATGCAACTGGCTGTCGACTCCAGTAGACACAACGCTCATAACGTTCTGCAACAGATCCGGCCAGTCATCGGGAAAGTCTGCTGTGGCGATCTTGCTGACAACAAGACTAGCTGCACTCTTGATCTTCCTCTCATCGCGGCTGCTGGTAGAAAGTTCGAGCAACGTTTGTCTAATCTGCGACTTTCTCTGCTCATCCACAAAAAGTGGGCCAGCGAACTCGTCGAATTGAGTCGACCAGCAGGCCAACACGAAGTTTTTCAACACCAGCAGAGCTGCTTGTCGAACGTCTTGGGGCACATCATTATGAGCTCCGATCGAGAGCAGGCCGACAGGCAGGTCCGGGTTGGAATAGAGCTCCTTCAGCTGATACTCGGCATTCTTTCGTGGCGCCTCCTGCGGCGATTGTGTCTCAGTCAGCAGGCGGACCAGCTGCTCCTCCATGGCGTGTGGCGTCGTTGCTAGTGCCGGTAGTTCTCGTGCAACATGCAGATATGTGCCGTGGACCTGCTGCCAAAGGAATTGGGAAGCCCCGCCGCGCTGGAATTGTATTCCACGCTACTCGAATGACTCCAAGTGAATGGATCGCGTCGAATTTGAGCCGACGCCGGATCACCAGTGGAATTGCGAGAGTCCGGTTCCAAGAGCATGTAGATATTGTTCAGAGCTGATCAGCCACTGTGCAGGCGCGTTAGTAAGGTCGAGCAAGAAGTGTTCGTTTGCTCCTTCAAAACAACGTCGCTGTCCAAAACCCACCCGGGTTTTCTTCGGCCTTGGCGTTTCGCGGGCGCGTCGCGTCATTGCCCGCTCCGCGTCTCGAAGCAACAGCAACAATCGGACGCCATACCAACATGAAACGTCTTCACGTCAACTAACAGCTTGTCTAGATACTTGCCCGGGCCTCGCAAGAATGGCCACAGAGCCGGCTACTTTCCTCACTTTCGTGACGGCTTTCGGCGATTTCCTCACAGTAGCCATTCACACCATACTGTACGAGCGAGGCATCTACCCCAAAACATCGTTCATCTCGGCGAAAACGTACAACTTTGCTGTGCGGCAGAGCAGACATCCAAAGGTCTGTGAATGGATCAATGATGCCGTCAATGCTGTCGAGGAGGAGATCCTCAAAGGAAATGCCGAACTGGTGGCGGTAGTTATCTACAGCAAGCAAAACAAGCCGATTGAACGAGTAGTCTTCGACGTTTCGCGATTCCCCGTCGTTTCCGAGAATGAGCACAACGTGCCTCTGGAGGCGGCAGATGGACCCGACATGCCTGTACTGCCACTCGTTGATCTTGAAGAGCAGATGCGCGCCACTATGAGCCGACTATCGAATTGTGGAGCCGATATGAAGAAGCTGCCAGATGGTTGCACCTTTACAGTTGCAGTTGAATTGCGGCCTGATGGCGAAGCTCCACTCGAGCACCCGCAGCACTGGGTGCCAGCACAAGCACCTCTCGATGAGCAACAGCCGAACTTGGACAAGCAGACCAGACCCGTTCGAGCTGTTCATGCTGGCAGCATGGCCTTCGAAACCTGGATAGAAGAAATTGAGGAAACAAGGCCATCAGACACAAGTCAGAGTACTGGCAGTTGATATATCTTCCACTGCTGCTGCTATCTGGCAAGGGGACTGGCACGCCGCATATGTACGGCACAACATCTTTGCATTTGTGGGATCTTCGTCGATCAGCCTGTTGCCGCATCGAATATCGCATAGACGCTCTTCTGGGCCGCGCCATCTTTGCTCTGCTCCAGTGTGGCTTCTCCGTCAACCCACATGCGATAGTAGTCGACACCTGCCGGCTTCCATCCAAGTTGTCCGAACAAATCGACGGCATCAGCATTACCACCCCATACTTCAGACACGAGTGTCGCTTGCTCTATAATTTGCTCTGCGGTAAAGTCGTTCATTTTCTCATTCGGTAGCGGCACGCTTCGAATAGCTTCAACCCTGGCCAACTCCATGGTAGCAACCAATATTGCTCTTGCAGATGCTGGGTCCGTCGCATATACAGGCCCTATGCGCACTCCTCCAGAACACCTCCTATTCACGGCCCAGCCGCCGAGGTCCTTGGCCGATGTTGGATTGGACGTCAATACCAGCGCAACGCCTTGAACGTCCGGGCGATGGAACAAGTGTTCGCCTGCCCACAGAGCGGGCCTCTCGAAGCCAGTGATACTCAGCTCATGCTCAGCCAGAAGCTCTGGTGGTACATCGCGAATGTCGATCATCTGCGAGCCCTCTGGAAGCTGTGGCCTAGGCACCGGGTCCTTCTCCACCAAAGGTCTGATCATTATGCGAATAGTCCCCAAGGGCGACGATACGAAGTTGCGGCGCTCATCTGCATAAAGTCAGATGAAATATCCGCTGTTGTTGATTTCGCTCACTCACAAGTCTGCTTCTGCTCAACAACCCCATCAAGGCCAATACATTCCACCCCATTGCGAGCCAAATCATACTCCGCAGCCTTGAACAATTCTCGACCAAGTCCGTTTCCTCGATGGCGTTCATCAATGATAAACATGGACACCCATCCGGTAGAATTCTTGTTCACAATGCCAGCCACATGACCGACCGGTGTATTGGATGATTTTTCGATAAGTAGAATCATTCCATATCCGCGGCTCGGATTCATGTATGTGTCCAAATCATAGTATCCACGATTCTGGCATCACAGTCACCGTTTAGATGTTTACACACACAGTTCGTGGCTTGTGTCGATCCAACATACCCAGCCAAGAGTCTGCATGAAACCCCACCATACTTTTCGAAATTCGTCGGTGTCGACAGCAGGACGGATCAGATACGACTCGTTTTCGTACAAAACAATTCCAGGTCGTGAGCCCATTCTGTCTTGCATTAAGGTCAAGATATTAAAAATTTGTGGCACAGCAGCGAAGTGGTGACTTTATTGGGCAAGTGCAGAAAACAAAACAAAAAACACCACACCATCTACTATTCAGGTGCGGCTGGATGAGCTGCATGCAGCTGTATAGCTGACGAATGATGTGGATCATCGGCGACGTGCTAGCAAGCTATCGACAGCCAGTGGCCGAGCCCAACGCGCCTTGCCTCGAATGCTGCGGCCTACGCAAGACAAAGGCTTGCCAACATTGCTCTCCTCAGACATCAGCTCTCGCATCAAGGCTATTGCCTCAAGTTTCAAATGTACAGGCCGACGGGCATTCATATCCAGTCATCCACGTTGTCCTTCTTCGATCTTACGTCCTTTGACAATTTTATGATCAAAGTGAAAAACAGCTTCGTTGTATCGACAGAAACAATAACACTTAAGTTCGATGTGAAAGTGCAAATAACACGTCCCCGCAAGACGCGTTCATATAAACTTCGAGGATGGTTGACCCTGTTGATCAGCAGGCACATGAATCGTACAGCACCGATACCCTGCATGCCAGTGGTCGATGGGATGTGGAGATTACGCCTGCAACAGATGGCATCGATTACTCATTCCTCACTCTCTCCTACACATTGGGGCCTATCTTTCCCGTTTGCCACAGAGTACGTTGCAACAGGTTCCGCGCCTCCCTCCTTCGTAATCCCGCCACTGTGCCCTCCGTGCCCATGTTCGTTCCGTTCGTGAATAGCTATGGGGATATCGCAAAAACAGGACGTAGAAAAAACGTCAACATTCTGAGAAAAAAACAGCCGCCCAACACGACAACGCCTTCGCTAAGAAAGATCATGACGATCGAAGAACACAAAAGAAAAGCTTCGGCTGGCGCGTGCGAGTTTCGTCGCGTGGTTTTGGGAGATTGGCTTTCTCAATTTTGCTTCGTTCCAGATTCCAACGGTCGAGGTAGGGTTTAAAGCTTCGTCCTGCCTTCCTCGTTGGTACCTCTCCGTACAGGCATGGGAGGCATGCCAGGCTCTCTGGGCGCAGCAGCAGCACCGCCACTCACCATCCTCGCAGCACCTTGTACAGCAGAAGAAATGGCCGCGCCGACACTAGGGCCTGCTTCACCCGAAGATCCTGGCGTGGCGCTCCGAGTCTGCCGCTGGAGTTGAGCAGATGTCAGCCAATGGACTTGTCGACTGAGACCTGCGACTTGTGCTGTGAGATAGGAGATTTCCTCGCGTGTGCGTAGGTTCTCATTGAGAGTTTGCATTTGATGTCGGCCATCCACTTCGGAAAGAGCGGTGCTTATGCGGGACATCTCGTCTCGGAGGCTCTCGTGCATGGACAGAAGATGGTGAAGGGGAGAAGCGTAGGGGCCATTGGTGGCAGGAGGTGGAAAGGGCGATGCGAGGTCGAAGTCTGAGGTGAAAGGCTCAGGTATATCCATGGGACGAGGCCCTGGTACTTCAGGCAGCTGACGCGGTGAGGTTTCTCGAGATGGCCGGCGACCAGTGCGTGGTGATCTGGCTGCTGTGTCGAAATCAATTTCAAAGTCGTTGGCTCGCAACGGGGAGACTAGGCCATTGATCGTGTCAGGACTGCTCCGTCCCTGCGGTCGCAGAAGTGGTATTGAGCTTGAGTCGGCACTCGTGCGGTCCGGGTTGGGCGAACTCGTGTACATGATGTTTTGCATCGATTCAAATCCATTTTGCAGCACTTCCAACTTTCGACTCATTTCTTTTTGGGCGGCCTCCTGCTCGTCGAACCGCTGAACCATCATGGTGAAGAGCGGAGCCATTTTCGCAAAAGTGCAATTCCTAGAGTGCACATCCGCTTGCGATTTCATGTTTCGACTTGTACAGCCAAGCGCTTTCCCGGGACAAGGAATAACATTGGCAGAGCATTGGGTCGTTTTGTGCTCAGACAAGTTGCGGTAATAGACTTCTTCTTTGCACAAATCGCAAGATATTCTGCGATCAGGACATTGTGTCTTCCAGTGAGATTCCAAGGTGCACTGCTGCATCTCCTCACGGCATGCCACGCAGCTGACGGGAAAGTGCAGACAGCCTTGCTTGGAGTCTTTGCGCCGGACCGGCAACTCACATCCGTCCTTGGGGCATTCGATCATGGCGTAGCCACAATATATGGAGATGTGGTCCTGCACTTCTCCACGCTTGACTTCCACAGGGCAGCCTTCGTCAGTCTTCGGGCATTTGACGAGCAGATCATCGACAATATTGATCAAGATCTTGCTCGTTGCCGACCGCGGTCCGAGCTTGGCTGGCGTCCGGCACGTCGGGCAATCGCCTTTGGCAGCGAGCGGATTGTACGTGGCCACCAGCGACCATGTCTGTCGTATGCAGTCTCGACAGAAGTAGTGATCGCACTCGGCCAGCACGACCGGGTCTACGAAGGGACATCGACAGATGGGGCACGTGAGATTGTCGTCCGGAGTGGCAACATAGTCCAGGAGGCGCAGATCCACAGGCGGGTTGAGGTTTTGCGAGCGCGCCTTTGATTTCAGAAAATTGCGTTCTTCCATATTCCTCCGCCGCTCCAGCCTCGCCATGGAGGAGGACATGGCGCCTGTGCTGGTCGAAGCGCTTCGTTGCATGGTCGCCCCCACATCCGCGGCTCCGGAGTCCAAGTTTGCACCACCGTGGGACACGGCTCTGCTATGCGATTGTGTGGAGGTGGTCTGCGGAGGAGCACGGCGGGCGGATCTGAAGAAGAGAGGTCGTGACATGTCTGAAACCCAGAGGATGGAGGGAGGTCTAGCAGCCGCCGCTAGCGTGGGTAGGGGCGATCCGAATGATTGTCGTCAGCGCAAATCACTCCTTGCTGCGTTCTGTGCACAACAGCAGACTGGCGACGCGCGCGTCGAGAGCCAACCGTGGTAGACAGACTGAACGAGGGAGAGTGATGGGGAGAAGTGGTGGACGAGGCCGGTGATGGCGTGCTTCCCGAATATGTCGGATGGAGTCAGCAGTGCCGGTTTAGCAGATGCATCGACTTCCCGGCAGAGGCATGTCTGGAGCGAAATGATGCGCGAACCCGGACACGCGGAACGAGTGTCTGAAGTGCAAACTCACGACACGACGTGCAAATGAGAGGGCTCGTTAGGGCTCGCCGCCATGTCCTGGGTGTGCACGGTATGCCGATTTATGCTTCGACCGACTGCTACAAATGCCCATCCCCCGAGCATGTGCAGACGAGGGCAGCAGACGGGTGTTGGCATGAAGTTCTAGCTATATCGATGCTCTGGCCAGCCGCAATATGGGTCGCTGGGAAGACGTAGCCTGCTGTGCTACCACCGCGTCCTCGTCCTCCTCATCCACTGGCACCGCCGCTATTTCGAGGTGTCGCGGTGGAGCTCAAGCCACAGCCGCCTCGCACGCACCCCGGTCCGACGATCTCTCTCTCACGTGCATCTGTCCAGCCCTCGCAGATCCGCTGCCTGTTGACATCTTCACTCAACTAGCCTTGACCCAGTCTGTCGCAGTTCCGTCCTGTCGCATTGCGGATACAATCAGGAATCGACCCCGAATCTTGCTCGCAGCCTGCCAGACTGTAATCGCAAGAAATCTCCTTCAACCCTAAGTGTATCGCATTCCGGCCTCGACTGCGAGTTGAAACACTGCGCACGAGCACTTGCGCCTCCGCATGCAGGCATCACCTCGGACGGCGTAACAGAGTCCAGATTGGAGCTCTGCGGGCGCTCGCCAATCCTCCACCACCACCGTGCCATGTCGACCTCACCTCATCAACTGCTGCTGCTAGCCGACCATCTCAAGCTCTCGCTCCTCGAACGGCAACGAGCCATAAGCCTCAACCTCGAGCCGAGCAAACAAGATGGCCAGATCCAGCGATCCCTGTCGCAGCTACAAGATGGCTTGGAAGAATTAGAAGCCCAACGGCGAGATCTAGGAGAAGCAGAAGAAGACGATTCGGAATTGGCGCGACTACGGAAACAATACAACCAACTATACGCACAATTCCACGGCTCAGCGCCTCCCACGTCCGAGATCGCAACCCCCAACAATCCAGCCCTAGCATCCGACTTCGCAGCAGCACGATCCAAACCGAGCAATAAATCCAGGAACGTCCGCTTCCGAGACAACCCAGACGAAGACGATGCTGAAGCGCAAGCCAACCGCGCAGCCCTATTCGCCGATCAAGAAAGATACAGAGACGAGCCAGAAGCTCCGAATCAGGATAATCTAGACAATCAACAAATACACTCATACCACAATCAAGTCCTGCGAGAACAGGACGATCAATTAGATGTTTTGGGGCAAAGTATAGGGAGACAACGTATGCTCGGGATACAAATGGGGAATGAGCTCGATGAGCAAGTGGAATTGCTTGATGATGTTGAGAGGGGAGTTGACCGGCATAGTAATCAGTTGCACGGGGCGCAGAAGAGGTTGACGACGTTTTCGAGAAAGGCGAGGGATAATTGGAATTGGATCACGATTACTATTTTGATCATAATATTGGTGTTGGTGATAGTGGTGTTGAAGTGAGTGGGGTAAAGAAGAGTATGATCTTGCATGCTGAGAAGCATTGGCATTTGCAGCAGTACCTGCAATTGTTTCGGGGAGAATGAATAGTCCTAGATGTGTCGATACTATACCTGACGAGATCACGACTTCAGATGACCATAATATTTTCCAAGGTGCTGTGACTTCAGCTTTCCATATTGAATTGTCTTGTAGCTGAATATGCTTTGCCAAAGTTGGTCTCACAGTGAATTCATCTTCTGATCGTTACGGATCCCTCGTGGAGTGACTGGTTCTGGATTTATTGATTCGTGGTCGCCTGCTTTGCGTAGTTTGTGTCATCATTCAAATCTCCACAACTCTCTTCACCTCCTCAATCTCTTTCGGCCGTCCTTTCCTATCTACTCTCTCATCTCTCGGATCGAAGCCCCCATTGCCCCAAAGCGCCCACTCCGCAGTCGGGGTCTCCGAAACATAATCCTCCGGTCCAAACTTCTGTCCACTTTCAACACACCTGAAGAAAGCAGGATAATCAATGGTGGTGCGATATCTCCCTGCACCTTCGTACTTCGTTCTGATGTTTTGCTCGTCGCCTGCTCCAAGAGGACGCCAGAACCGCGTCTTATCTGCAAGGAGAATACAACATGAATGCGCGTGCTCGGCTCCAATGCCATAGTCTAGACCTCGCGTCTTCAGCTCTCTTTCGAGCGCAAGGACAAAGGCTCGGACTTCTTCGTAGAAAGGTACGTTCTGCATCGAGAGACCTGCGCCTTTCGAGGTGGACGTGCCACAGTATGTAACGCCCTTGACTTCAACGAATGCAGGTAGGGCACGTTCTACGAGGTCCGCGTAGCCTTGGGCTTCGTCGTCGATGTTGAAGCCCTTGACCAGAGTAAGACGGAAAACTGTGCGGTGGGTGTGACGCTTCTCACGTAGGATGTCCATGCATTGGGTGAAGCGCTCCCAGTAGTCTCGGTGCAAGGGCCTATCGATCTTGCGAAGTGCGTCCTTGTTAGAAGCATCAATAGACACGTATAGTTGTGTTACAGGCCCCAAAGCCGCGAGTTGCTCCGGGTGCTGAGCGTTGCATACGAGGAACGATGAGATGTGGCTTGCGTGCAGCATGCCCAGGAGCTCGTTAATGTGTGGGTAGAAAATGGGCTCGCCGACGAGTGAGAGGGCACAATGCCTGATCTGCATCCCTTCGGCGAAGCGCTCCGCTCGCACGCCCGGCACACCTCGAAGTTGCTTGATCTTCTGATAATGCCCGGCTGTCATGCCTTGGAAAATCTCGTCAGGCGGATCGACGGTCCAGCGCCAACTCGTCCCTACCGGATTTGTGCCATGTCGCCAGCAGAATACACACTTGTTTGCACACGCTAATGACGGAGTGGCCTCCATACATTGATGTGAGGCAATGCCGTAAAAGGAGAACTTGTAGCAAGAGCCACGGCCACGCAGGGCGGATTTAGTCCAGCGACAGATTTTGACCCCGGAATGTGATCCGACAATTGTGTAGCCTTGTTTGGTGAGGGAAGAGTAGGTGGGCGACTCTTTGGGCACCATGGCTTTCGGAACAGCTGGTTGAGGTGCTTTCTTGGTCGAGGTGGTGGTGAAGTCGACTGGAATCGGCGCTTTGATGTCTTCGAGATCGTCAGTCGTGCTTCGCTTTGTCGTTCGTCCTTGAGCTGGAAAAAGTGTCTCTTCGTCCTCATCCTCTGAAGCCTCGTCGCCACTTTCTGCAGGGTCTCCACTTCCTATCACTCCAACACCTAGCCCTTGACCTCGCCCTAGATCTTCAATGATGTTGTATACACCCCTCCGCCATTCTTCCAGTCTCATGTCTGCATCGTCGCCCTTCACATCTCCCGTGCCCAATGGATACGCTCGCTTTTTGCCAGTCAGCTTGGCCATCCACCGGTCCACCTCAACCGCTTGACTGCAGTAACCTTCTTCTTCCGTCGGCCATTCTTGACGATCTCCAAAGCCAAAGACGCTATATCCTGCCAGGCCTGATAGCGACTGATCGTCTATTCGGAAATCGTGGTGGGTCTCTTCGAGATGCGATAGGAAGTTCGACAACTCGGTGTCGATGTTGTAGGATGGGAGGAGGACGTAGTAGAATGCGGCGGTGCCACTACGGGCTTGCTTGGGGGCAGAGATGAAGTAGTCATCGTAGTCGATCTCGGTCAGGTCGTGGACTATGGGAGCCAGAACCCTGTCATTGGCTTCAAACGTCGATGCCAATTTCTCTGCATACGCTCGCGTTGACCCTCCAAGAGAATAGTAGAAGACATATGGTTGAATCTGATCAATCGCCCTGACGGGACTGTCCTTACGCTTTGCCGTCCGCACGCCTTTGACGCGTTTGGGCCCTTTTGGTTTTAATGGCTCTGCCGGTAGTGTTTGTGGTATACTACTGCTCGCAGCCTTCTTCTCATCGACCAGCTGTAATGGCTTCTCTCGGACTGGCGAACCCAAAGGTGGCGTCAGAAGCGCTTTTGCTTTCTTACTCCTCCAATGGACGAGCAGACGAATCGCGGCCAGCAGAATGCCGGCAGAGAGGAGTACTTCCACTCGATGGGCGTGATAGAGCAGCAGCGCCTCTCGCGGGAGATCGAGGAGGCGTATTCGGTCCATCGTGCGTCCGAGGTGTCGCTGCTGCTCGCCCCAGCAATTTCCCCTCGAGGAGGTGATCAAGCACGAAATCTGGCGGAGCCAAGCGAGCCCCACGTCACGGATCTGACTCCGCTAAGGCTCGCTCCGGTGCCCGCGCGCGTCACCTGTTGCTACACGCGTCGACCTGACCTTCCGTCTTCCGTCTCTCGCTCACCAGGCTGTCGTTCATCGTCCTCAGCGGCTTGCGACAAGCTCTGTCGCCGCACTGAAAACATGGCACCCAAGCTGTCAGAGCACTGCATCCCCCTCGAACATCCTCACTGGTTCACCGTCACACTCGCAGCCTTCTTGGTCGTTGGCATCTTGGTCAGCTATCTACCACAACACTACAAAATCATCTCTCGCAAGTCCAGCGATGGCCTGTCGCCGTGGTGGATCCTCCTGGGCGGGCTCAGCAGCATCGCTGCCATCGGCAACATTCTCACGCTTCCCACCAGCAGGGCCGACATGCTTTGTTGCCGGGAGATCGGAGAAGGAGCTTGTGGAGCTGCCCTGCTCGGAGTCCTCCAAATTGCAGTTCAGTTCTCCTGCTTCATGATCATGTATGACACTGCATTTCTGCTTGACAACTGCACGATACTGACTACGCTCAGCGTCTTCCTGTACATCACCTTTGCGCCGCGAGAAGAGGACGGCGAGGTGCTTTCCACCTCAACTGCTACATTGACAAAGCCTCCACCCCCAAGCCGCCCACGAGATCCCCTCATTGTCGGAACCGCCATCATCCTCTCACTCCTCGTAGTCGCTCTCACATCGCTGATCCTGGTCATTCGCTATCCTCAGCACACCCAATCCTGGGCGGATCTGCTGGGTTCCGTCTCTGGAGTGCTTGCCGCGATACAGTACCTGCCCCAGATCTACTTCACTGCGAAGATCAAGGATTTGAAGAGCTTGAGTGTGGGAACACTCATCATACAGGCACCTGGCGCTTTCCTGTTTGCGTACAGTCTCTTCCTGCGCGTGGGGGTGGAGGGCTGGAGCACCTGGCTGGTCTATATGGTCACGGGAGCTTTACAGATGGTTCTACTTGGCATGGCTGCTTCATTCCATGCTACGCGACAACAAGAGAAACGACAGGGCATCAATCACGACAGCAGCGACGATGAAGATGCCGCTGACTCGGAACGCACTACCATGGCGAACAACTCGGATGGCGCGGCTGACGAGCGTACAGCTCTTCTAGGCCAACACAGGGACTCGTATCGGCCGGACGAAGATCATGTTCGCATTGTTCCCGGTTCCTAGTGGGCGGGAGATTGGAAGGAAAGATCTTCACGCGCTATGCGCAAAGCTCATCACAGGCTGATCGATTGGATAATCATCGAGGTATTTCTTAACCGTGCACGGCATCCTCTCGCCACAGATGGACGTCTCAGGGCATGCATCAAGCGTCTGCACCGCTACAGAGTAAGAAGCGAACCTGCTGAGAGCGATTCGGAATTGAGCACGACCCACGCTTCTGACAGCCAGCGCGACCTTGCGTATGCTGACAGCACTGAACAATATCGCCGTGGAAGGTTGAATTATCAAGAGGATAGACCCAGGGTGCCAGATGACTCCCGGACAGGACCTCGGCTCTCTCGACCCTTGGTGCTCCGCGGCGGCTCGGATAATGAAGATCCGGCAGATTTACTGCTGTCGCAGCGAGAGCAGCCAAGGCGCAGTTTTGCTACGCAAGCAACTGCGTTCCTACGGCGGTCGAGCAGCGCCATTGTTGCCCGCGCTCGTAGTCTCGCAGAACTCGAGACCTGGCGAAATGCGTACAGGCGCATCAGCGACCCTGCAACATACCGCAGGATCCTGAGACGGCTAAGCGACTTGCTGCTTCGTCGCCGCGATTCAGTGATCGAGAATGATGATAATGATCCGGTTGATAGCAGAGGTTAGTTGCCAGTCTCTGCTCGATAATTTTGTGATCGAAATTGACACCATGCAGCGTACGGGACTTTCGATGGCTCTGCCTCACCTCTACTCTCCGGCGCGCGCAATCAACACTTTACCCAAGGCTTTGGCTTCGGCGAGGATGAACAAATACACCCACGACGTTCGCGTCGTCAAGAGTCCAATGTGCCTCCGGACGTCGTGCCAACCCCACGTGCCACGCCGCCCATTCCCATGCCACCGGGCCCTCCCAACCCCAGGCGGGGCACCATACCACCTTTTCTAGTTCCGGGCACGCCCCCGAACACCGTCGATCCTGCTCATGTTCCAAGCAGCGATGACCTGCCGAGCCTCTCAGGCGTGAACGAGCCTGTGAATCCGCCACCCCAACGTCTCGAATCGCTAGGCCAATTGGGAGTACCTCCACCACCTTCATCGTCTCCAAGACCAGCCGAGCCACTTGCAGGCCCTTCGCACCTCCCGCCCCTGCCTGAATTGCGCCCTACTGATGTCAGAGCCGTTCGTGAACATCGTGAGGGCCTCACGCGTGCTGACAGTCGAGGTCGACTCCTAGCCGTGAACTCGGATACCCTAACCGGGACTGCTCAGGGCCACGATGACGTTGGACGTTTCATGCGCAAGCGACGCGAAGGGGAAGCCGCCACCCCGTCTCCAGTGGTAGGCGGCTGCGAGACGCGTACTCCTGCGCCACCTGCAGGCGCTCCCACTGATGATGGCATCCATCAAGGCGAACTACCTGACAACTGGCTTGAAATGGAAAGAAGACGAACCCGTGAGCGGCGGGAAGCGGAGGCAGAAGCTCGCCTGCGAGCCGCCGCTCGCACTGCACCGAACCAAGAGACCCCTCAACGCCCTGATTCAACTACATCATCTTGGCTTACGGACGATGAGGTCGATTCGAACGAGATCGCTGTCCGCTCGTCGTCGAGTGACGGCGTATGGTTTCCCTTCACTGCTGCTGCTGCTGCTGCCGCCGCTAGGAATGCCAGGGTCGCTGCGGGATCTGCACCGGGGGCACTTCAGCCAGGAAGGGAACCTTCTCCTATTTCGGATGACGAGGCTGCTGTGACTTCCGCATCGGAGGACAGTGCAGATGATGCTGATTATATGAGTTTGGAGGACGCACGACAATTGTGAGGTTGTTTGCACATTTTACTCTCCCTGTAGGGAAGGACCACCGTAGTTGGAAAATAGATGGCATAGAACTAGGTCATAGGAGAAGTTCTGAATTCATCCCTTCCAATAATGTTCAGAGATGTCTTTCTCAATGTTTGCCAATCTCCATACTTATGTGATACAATAATAGCAGAGACTCCAAACCACTGCATCCGCTTGCTGATCTCCGCAACTAATTTGAATAACATTTGCAACGACGATTGCAAAACAATTTGTCATCCTCCTCCATGTCATCTGGATCACCACCAACCATATCCTGCTTTCCTCGAGTCAAATTTGCATCCAGCTCTCAAAAGTCGCGTAAGATATTATTCGATGGTCTAGCTAGACTGTTAGCTAGACCGCAGTACAGATTCGGGATGGGAGGGCTCATCGAACATGCCCTTACGACGTTCTATGTTATGTGTCGTTAGTCAGAAGTATGTTGAACGCAAGCATCATGTCGTCGACAACGGCCTCTGGAAGACATGGACTGTGACAATAACGCCCCGTGTATTCTGATACCGCTTTCAGGTCCGGAAAGAGGGCTTGTACTGCCTCCTATGTATCCATCTGGAAGTCTGATACTAACTAAGAATGGACATTAAGATTTGTATTCCAAAAATTGGGCGCAAAGATCCCAACAGTTGCTCGTTCATCGGTACTCTCCCACGATATCGTGCTCATGCCCTTCTTCGTGTTCAAGTCTTTCTATCGTTAAGGAAACCTGTCGAGAAAGTAGTTAGGTGGGAAGGCATGGAGTCTTAAATTTCTCGCCCACGATGAAGGTTCTTCGAGTGTTTCTTCGACTCGTGCCTCGTTAGGAAGTTCGTCTGAATCTTCGCGCATTGCAACTCCTATGACTCGAACAACCTCGCGAGCGAAAGGGACGCACATAGAGTATTGTTCTATTCCTCCTGTATGTCGCCGAAACATGTTCGACATTGACTCGGTCCAATGTGCGTGTGTGGAAAAAATAGTGTGTAGTTTCGTGTGTATTGGACAGCCCAAAGCGATAGAAGACAAAATCAGCGAATGATCATGATGATGATGATGATGACATGTAGGTATATATACATATACAGATAATGCTACGATGAAACATATGCTCCAAATTCGTCACGAATGGTGGTGCCCCATGAACCTCCGCAAGCAACGCATTATTCCGAAATCCTGGGTATCATGTGTGCGGTTGCGGATGTACTGCCCTAAAAGACGAGACAAGATAAAACATACCCTGCTCCCCAACCGTCTCTTTCTTCTCCTCTTTCTCTCTTTTTCTGCTTCCCATGCCCACAATTCATCAGTGTAGAAGTCGCAGAATATTTATGTTTTTGTCCCTCAACCCACGTGTCGAGTAAGGATCAAAGGCAGACAGAGCAATGGCTGCAGTGGCTCATTACTTATCCTATGCATGGCCGCCTTGCCAGACCGCAGTGAGCCAGCCATTCGCGAAGCCTTGCGAAGCAGCCATGTTCGCCCACTCTGCAACTTCGCCACCATCGACAAATGCCGCGATGTCGTCGCCGCCCATGCGTGTGTCGATGCTGTTGAGCCAGGCCTCTTTAGCCATCGGATCCCATACTTGTTGAGCTTGTGCAGGCGGTTGTTGCTCCACAGATTGATGAGGCTGCTGCGGCTGGGAGGGCTGACCCGGTGGCGGATATCCCGCATGCTGAGGTTGTCCGGGTGGCCCAGGCGGATACTGATGCGAAGCGCCGTTCACATATGGGTTTGGTGGGGGCGGCGCCATTTGGTAGTGCCCATTTTGCGGTGTCCAGTTGCCATAGGCGGGCTGCGAATGGTGGCGCTCGAATGGCGGTGACGGATGTGCTTGCGAAGGAGTCGTGCCAGTCGCTGACTGCGACGCGGGCGATGTCAAGCTCGGCGGGCCGGGTGCGGGACTTGGTCCTTCGGAATAGGAAGGGCGGAAGTTGTTCACATGAGCTTGTTGATACCCATGTGGTGGAGGCTGATGTGAATGTTGACTGGGCGAAGGGCCAGCAGATGGTGCTGGATGATGATGGCCATTGGGCGGGTACTGCTGCGCGTGTTGATGTGCATGCTGCGGCGGTTGTTGCTGGTGAGCGTACGTGTCGTACGCCCTGAAAGGACCACTGGTAGGCGTCGAGATGCCAGGAGGACGACTCGCTGGTGCGCCTGAGACAGCATTGATGGCACTCCATGAACCACTCTCTGGCTTCGCGGGTTCTGAAGTGACGGGAGGACGATCACCTTCCTCGCTCTTGACGGTCGTACCCGAGTTGCTATCGTCGTATATCGCGTCCAGTGGGCGAGAATCAGGGCGCTGTGCATCCGTCATCTCTACATCTTGATCTTCAAGGTTGCCGAAGTCTATGAGCGTGCGCTCCAGCAGCTTGAACTCGTCTAAGCCACCGCCTGAGCCGCCTTCTCGTAGACTGAGATGGCGTGTGCTGACTGGGCTATCGCTTTCAGATGCGCTCTCGACATTCTGGACGTTCTTTCTGTAGTCGCTCTTGATTCGCCGGAAGTATTTGTGCATCCGATTGATCGTCTTAAACCATCCATCCGCCATATGCAGCTTGGTCCGCATGTCGCCGATCATCTCCAGAGCTTTGCGGGCAGCTTCGAATCCTTTGCTCTCGCCAGGCTTGGCATCCGGCTTTCCGGGCTCTGGACGTGTGCACATGTAGCCATCCGGATCCATCCATGGGAAGTTGATACAGTACACGCCCACAAATGACACCGTGTACACGGCGAAACCGACGATGGGTGTCTCCACAAGCTTGCCCCACTCCTGGCACGTTCGGACAAGGTCGATAATCTCGCGCGCGGACCTGAAGCATTCGCGAGCGCTTTCGTCCCAAAAGCCATCGGGCACCTTGTATTTGTCGGCAGGGAATAGTGGCGCATCAACTGGTCCTTCCGGTTTTGAGCAGCGAATGGGAATGAATGGGACATATTCGCGATGCAGCATGATCTGACACAGCAAGTAGACCGTGTGCACCAGCGTGTAAGGCGTTGATGTCTTCAAGCTGATGTGCGCTTGAGTGTTTTGAGGCGTGAGGGTGTTCTGTCGCGGAAGGCTGGCTTTGAAGTCGAGGCATTGGCGCCTCAACTGGTAGAACTCACATCGGTCGTCCCACGGCGGATGCACCTCAACTCTGTGCGGTGTTAGCCAATTGCAGCAATTGCGACGAATGTGCGATCCTTACCTGCGCCCACCAGCACACGACCATTTGACCACTTTGCCATAGATCTCGAGTATCTTCACATAGCGGCTCACGAGGCCCTCGTCTGGACCAAATTCTAGCCTTCCCTTGTCCTCGTCGTCATCTCTCCAAGCACTCCGTGGAGAGGGAGCTCTACTCGTCTCTGGAGTGGCCGCAGTGCCTAGTCGTACCGATTGTTGCCGCTGGCTTTGAACTTCTGCTCGACCAGGACCGGTCACGCTTCGGTCCTCCTCGCCCAGCATTAAAGTGCGTACCCTCTCCGCAAACAAAAAAGATCTCTCGCTGGCCGGCAGCTGAATTCTCAACTCGCGCGCGTGCAACATCTGAGGCCGGTACTTGCCACTGCTCAAGTAGCGATCCATAATATAGCAGCTCCAGAAAGTGCGCCGTCGAATCTCTTGCAAGATGAACGCGTCCTCGGTCGATTTGGACGACGTCACGGAACTCTTTCTCCCTGATTCCATTCCCATGCGCTCTGCTTCAGCCGAAAGGGCCAGTGACCGAGAAAGAGGCTCGTCGTCCAAGTCCATTTCGTATTGCAGCCCCATTGATTGGGCAGCTCGAATCGCCATGCCCACCGTCAACCACGCCTTCGCTCCCCTGCACATACCCCATTCGTGCAGACCGAGCATGAGAGCAGCCTGACAGCGTTCAATGTCATGGCAGCGATTGTCCGTCCAAATCGATGCCAGTTTCTCGTTGGCCGCCGCAGCGTAGTACTCGGATGCTATGAGAGGATTACTCGGACGTGTGGCAGTCGGCGGCGAGTGGTGCGCGACTAGCTTCTTGTGAAACCGAGCTGTCAAGGCGAGGAAAGCCAGCAAGAACTCGGTCGAAGCCGGTGGGCGGGCAGATGCAGTGGTATCCACTGGTGCTCCATTGGACTGCGGTGGTAGCTGACTCGTGAATTGTACGGGTTTGAGGAAGGTCGGAGGATGTAAGAAGGGGAGATCGGCCGAGTAGTGTTGTTGGAATATGTCAAAGAGCTCCTGCCACACATGCGGTGTCAAGAGGCGCGGGTCCAGAGCATCGAGCGAGGGTCGTGGAGAGTCTCGCGGACCAGTGATCGGATGCGATGGGTATGTCGATGCGCTCTTCCTCGGTCTCTGTCGCCGTTCGGCATCTCCATAGACATCGGCCCGTCCTGATATGCTGTCCCGCCGGCGACTGCCAGCGGTCACGGGCGGCGGGTACTGGCATTCCCTCCCCGAGTTCTCGCACGACCGACACGTCGTCCCGACGCCATTGTTGACACACTTGACCTTGGATCGCCGGCAGCGAATACAGGCTATGCTGGAGCGCATTCGTCCTGCGCCGGGCAACTGCCTGGGCTCGGGCCCGGCAGCGGCGTAGGGTGGTCCAGACGGGTCGCTCTGAATGTTGGGGTCGTGGTGGGCGTGCGCGTTGGTGCGCGGGCTCTCGGTGAAGCTGTGCAACAGCGCTGCTCCCAAATGGTTCTCCTGCTGCTCCACGGTGGGCGGTGTCGGGCGTGTCAGGGCAGATGAGGTGTGCAGTCTGCAGTCGAGCTTCGAAGGATGGCGGCGGGCGTGGCAGACGGCTCAGGCGCGGGCGGGATGCACGTTCGAATCGTGCAGTACTGTAGCTTCACGGCGCCCGCTGCTGCTGCTGCCGCCCAGCTTCTGCCGCAGCAGACGACGAGGATCCCCGTGCTTGCTCGCCCTCGTCGGCGGCCTGCTGACAGTGGACGTGGGCGCTGGATGAATGGCGACTCGGGAAGCGTTGCCGGCCCGATTAGTGAGACACGAGCACTCACAACTCACGTCGAGTGTTTGTACGGGATGGCAGGCCTATCCCGTAGGATAGCAGCAGTGGTGGCAGTGGCAGCAGCGGCGAGGCAATGGCAATGGGCAGCTCTGCAGCAGCTGCGACACGCCGCACATTCTTCTTGCTCGGGCGGCGGCCGCGTGAGTGCGAGCCAGAGCCAGATGAGAGGGCCATCCGTGTGCATCCAGTCGCTCCTGCTGCAGGACGATCTCCAATGTGCGTGCATGCCCGGTCGGGAAGAGCCACGCTGCACGTCCATTGTCCCTTCCCCGGCCGAGAGCAGGCAGGCACGCACCGCACGGATGCTGCTTATTTTCCGCTGCCACCACCATCCCAGCAACCTGATAACGGCCGTCAGCAACGCTCGCTCGTCCCTCCGCATCGCCCGTTGACAGCAATCGGATGGTGCCGGCTGCTGCTGCAAATGCCCGTGCGAGTCGGCGACAAATCCAGCTCGAAGCTGCACAAAACGGTGTCCAGCGATGAGAATGCGGCCAGATGCACCGCCGGCTCTGCCCACGCTATCGAATCTGCAAAGCATCTCCTCTCCGCCGCAGCGCCGCCCACCGCAACTTCGCTGACCATCGGCAGTGCTGCAATCTAGCTCAGTGACATCCCCGATTGCAAGACTGCCCCCGTGCCGATGTTCTTGCACGCCAGACTTTGCGCCAACACCAGCGGCCAAACTCAACCGCTCGAAGCCTTGCCATGATGTTAACTTAGAATAAACGTTGTCCCTGTCCACTGCACCCGCCATCCCGAGCCCCAAGCTCGCCACCCAACTTCATTCCTGTCCACATTCTGCTGTTCCGCGCGGCAAAATCGCCTCACACGAAATACGTCCCGACACGACGGAGCCGCGCGCTTTTCCTCCATCATGCCACGCAGAGTCGGTGCGCATCCCAGAAATCACCTGCGCCCAAGGAGAGATCGTTGGATGCTCGCTTGCTTCTGCAAGGCATGCAACACTTCGTCGCACTTACAAATACAGTAGTCGACCGCAAGCTGTTCGCAGAGTCGCGGAGCACAGTCACCATCCGTGCCACATTGGACAACTACTGTCCATGGCACCGGAATACCGACATCTCTCGGCAGATACCGCTCTCGTACCACAAGCACAAGCCTCAGTCTGCATAATCCCTTGCATATACATACAGCCTTCGGACTAAGCGCGAGGTCGGTCAACCTCACGTTCACACTGCGTCTCCGCACCAGAAAACGCTGGCATGGACGTGTGCCCCTGAGCCATCTTCCTCGAAGGAAATGGCCTACCTATTGCACAGACTTGCACCATCTAAGCGCCTGCCTCTGCTCGGAAAAATGGCTCCGATCCCAGTCAACAACCACTTCGGTACGTGAACTGCCTTGACAACCTTAACTGTGGACAGCCCTTCGTTCGTCACTCTTACCGGACAACAATACTTGCCCCCCGGCGTCATGGAATTTTTTGACCTGCTGCGCGGCACGACAACGGCAATTAATGGACCTCGTGTAGAAGTCTTCCACTGTCAACAAAGCTTGAGCCTCCAAATGCCGGCACCCAGTACCGATATATGTTGCATGAAAATGATGCCTCGCATTCATGGACTGACCTATGCCCCAATCATTGTCTCTCGAGGGATCATGCTGAAGTGAGATTGCCGCGCGAAGAGTCCTCGTGCGATTGAACTCACCAATCCTCTTTCGCACCCGAAACTTTTCACGACTTCACCTGTACGCTATAGCCCAGAACCATGACATGCCCCCACGCTGAGCGTCGTCGCTGGTTCGAACCCTTTTTCAACGTCACCACGCAAGGCACTGCATGGCAGTATACACGGCACGGCATGTACCGCCTCCTTACCATATCGACCGATCAGCACCGTGTGACCGGTGAGTACTGTTCGTATGTGCCGTCACACCGCTGCCGACAGCACTTCTCGGAATATTGACTTGATCCGGCTTCTGTCCATTTCGCCATCTCTACACCAATTAGAGTTTTCAGAAAATCCAACAATTGTCCTCCAATCAAGGTCTCAGCCTGTTCGATACGTGGAGGTCACTGTACAGATCATGACTCGTGACGTGCCTTCATGTCACTCGCGCGGGAGAAGACTAATATTCATGTTGTGGCATCTGCGTTGAATAAAACCAACGATACATCCCAACTCCACAACATTTACGGTCTGTCATGTCGAACGCCGCGTGGGGAGACAACTCGACATCATTGGACTACAAAGTATAGTACGACAAATGCACTGATGAAGTCGTGTTAAACTCAACCGTAGCGTCGGGACTGTTCACGACCTACATAAAACGCTCCCAGCCGCAGTCGAAAGACTACAGGAACACTGAGGCAATGGACCTGATGCTCAACGCACGCTTGCAATTCATACCCTCCCGCCGATTCGACTTCAATTTACCACCATCGCCTCCAGCAGACGTTGTATCGTCTATTCATTTGATCTCAAAAACCACAAAAATGATCTCCCGCCAAGATTTGACATATGCTTCTCTCGTTCTTAGTGCCTACTGCAAACGTCCCGTTCGCTGCATAACACTGACTCGCGCGACCCGTTCTTCTAAGCCATGACATAGTTTCCATCATACCTCCTCGCGGAACAGACAGTCGGGACAAGAGCACCGGACGGCAGACGGCCTAGCTATAGTTCTATAGAATTTAACGATATATTCACTCCCTTTTCTCCTTCTTCCTTTTAACATATACTTATCCTACACTTTGACCATCATCAGAACTGCAATCGCGGCGCAAGCCAGAACGCCCATTTTGTACTTCCGTACCTTTTCATCAACGCCTTATGTCTTTTTGAGTTGCCACTACTGCCGGCTCCTCTCAAAGGGGCTCAAGCGTCCGGATTCCGGACGATCTAGTTCGCGGAGGTCGGAAGTTTATATAGTTATGCAGTATGCGCTATGCAGGTTCAGCGGGACGGAAAGTATATGTCTATATCATAATGTGGGGGAAGGGAATACTATGGCCGTGATTTTGAGTAGTGGACGAAGTACATAAACATGTAGGCCTTAGCATTACTCGCAAAGAAGACGGGAGCCTTTTAGGCGCCGCCTGCTCCTTGGGGTTGCAGGTTTGGTTATGTGTCCTCCTAGGGAGTGCCGATGAAAATTTCTGCCCAAGTGGAAAGTGCTCGGTAGGAGGTGAGTGAACAGTGGGAATAGAGCAAGAAAGAGATCGTAGATGTGCATTCTGTGGTAGTCCAACATGTGACAATTCCTTTAGCATATCTATCGCCAACCATTTATTGCTAGGCATGAAGCCGCTTCCAAGGAGCTGCAGTTGATATAAAGATAATGCAGAGTCCCGACTACGATGTACTCACACTCGTGGATCTCTGCTGCTGCTGCTGATCATAGGCATTTCCCTCGCCTTGTTGCGCTGTTGTGGCCCCTTCCTCAGGAGGTGCCGTTGTCCCAGGAGGAGACGCCTTCGGCGCGTGAAGTATCTCCCTCTTTCCATTGGCTTTGTAATATAACACAACATCTCCACCTCCGCGCCAGACATGGGCACGAATTGTCGCGAGCGTCATGGTAGGCGGGAGAATCTGTTAGAGAAAATGTGTTAGCCTCGTGTGCTCAAATGAGAAGAATTTGCAGATGCAGAAGAACTCACCTGTCCCTGACACCAAAGCTCCAAGTACTCCTCTGGTCTCAGGGGACTCTTCTCCCTCTCACTCGCAGGCTCGATCCTCTCGGCGACATAGGCCAAAACCTTCTTCGCTCTCAGCATGCGATTCGCATTGAGGCGATTGTTCCCATCGCTGGCGATGACCGGTAAAGAATTCTGCCACGGCTCCAGGATGAACGAGATCTTAACAACGTCTTTGACTGGAATCTGGTTGCGGAGGAGAACATCGCCAAGCCACATTGGAGCAGTCTTCTCCAGGCTGTCGACCTTGTCAACGAGGTTGCCTACAGTGCCTTCGAAAAGATCGGTCACACCGCCAGCTTCAGGGCGGTCTTCTTGGATCAGAATAGTGGTATTGCGTGGTGGTCGGAGTATCGGAGTCTCGGAGGCCTCACTAGGTTTGATTGCTGTTGGGAGATCGATGGAGGCTCGAGCCACCGGAAGACCATTTTCATAGGCTTGTTGGTTTTGTATTTGCTGTTGGAGCGAGTCCTCGTACCCGAACCGGATCTTTTGCAGGGTGCCGAGAAATGTATCGTCAACTACTCGTGAGTTGTCAGTTTTGCTCGATCGAGAATCGCTTTCCACTTCCTCTTTCTCTTCGACAGGAGTGGGTTTGTCCTTGTCGTTGGTCTGCACACGACCAATCTTCTTCATGCCACTAAACGACATGCCCATGCTGAACTTCTTGCCAAAAAGCCCCTTGCCGCCCGTGTGGCCATCCTTCGCCGGTTCATCAGCGGATGGAGTGGCAGGGTCTGGCAACACACCGGGCGTAGTTGCAGGTTGAGATGCACCACCGGGTGTTGTGACTTCGGTATTCGGAATGCGCGAAGTGGAGAAATAATCCGCACTTCGCTCACCAGACGTTCGTTGTGAAGACGCTTGATTGTCGTGTGATCCACCTTCCTCAGCAGTCGTTGCTAACAGCGGCGTCTGCCTTGCATGTGCTGGAGAGTTAGCAACACTAGGGCTTGCATGACCGATGCCGAGACCAGGAGTGGTTGCGGACCCATTTACACCCGGTCGCACGGTAGATGCAGACTGAGGTCCATTGGCCTCCGGATGCCAGCCATTAGTGTTTTGCGAAGGCATATCAATGCTGGTGGGCGCATTCTCGCGCTGCAACTTTTGTTGCTCTTTAGCGTGGAGTAGATGAGTCCGGAATGTCTCATCTCGACGTATCTCTTCCTCAATCACGTCATTGAAGAGATATCGCAAAACCCATTTGCCCAGATTGATGCGCTGGTCTTCTCGGTACTCCACATCTTCGTCGAGTTCGAGTTCGTCCGCGTACATCTCGGCGTCGAAACATGTGTTCTCTTCCAGGACCACGGCCACACTGCCCGTTCTGACATCTACTGTGCACCAGTTTGCAACTGTGGCATTCGTCGTGACCTCGTCCTTTACGTCTTCAAGATGCCGCTTGCCAAACGAGCGTATCGGCACACACTTTAGGAGATCCCACATCACGACCTCGCCAGCGGTGTCCAGTGTCAACACCCGTTTCCGGTCATTGAGCATAACGTGCTTGATTAGCCCGTTCTGGCCCTCGATTGACAGCTCAGGTTGTGCTCGTATCGGCTGCATGACGGATCCTTCAGGGGGTGCCGTATCTAATGTGCCTCTCCTACCACCAGGAATTGGTTGATCTTCCGGTGGAGGAGTAAGCATTGTAGGAAAGAACACTGTGTTGCTCAGTCTTAGCGCATGCTTCAGCGGAATCCTTCGTTTTGATGTGGGTGCACGTTGCTGCATTGATGGTGTCTGTTCCTTCTGATTTGGCGGACTTGGGTACCTTGCCTTGGCGGCAGTGGCAGAACTGAGCCTGTGAGTAGTGAACCCTTCTGGGACGTCCAACTCGGCATTTGTCGTATTGACATCTCTCCATCTGTTGATACTAGGTCTGCTAGTAGCAGTCCATAGACAGTCGCCAGCAGCAATCAACTTGTGCACGCCCTCGTGCTCCTGGAATAAGGCCAAGGAGAGGCCTTCGTCGAGCTCGATCTTATCCCGTGTATCGGTCTTTGCCACCAGTCCGTTCTTGTCACTGGAGTAGAAGACAGACAGATCTGGGTCGGACGAGAACAGCGACCACACGCTCGCATCGTGCATGGTCAAAGTGAACATGCATCTTCCAGCGATGGTGCTCCACACCTTGACAGTGCGGTCGCTGCTTGCGGTGATAATGGTTGTGCCATCCTGACTGACGAGGATGTCGCGTATGTTGTCAGTGTGTCCGACCAGCTTCGTCACCCGCTTGCCGGTTCTGCAGTCCCAGACCCGCACTGTGCTTTCCGGTCCACCGCTCGCTAGCAAGGAGTTTGTAGCTGCAAGCGCATATATACTGCCCTTCTCTTTGCTGAGCAGACTGCTGACCTCATCTTCGGCCACATTGATTTTCAGCTTCTGGCCTGCGCCGTTCAGGTCCCACACATTGATATGCCGATCTAGCCCACCACTGGCCACCCAGTCACATGTGGAGTATGGCACCGCAAGAGTTTTGACATAGTCGCTGTGCAGTCCAATGGTCTGTGGCGGCTTCACATCTTGCGCCGCCGGTCTCCACACTTTGACTGTGGTATCGGACGAAGCTGACACGAGTGCCTGATTGGACTGGGCGAGGGCGATATCGTTGATCCAGTGTGTGTGCGCCTGCACCTGCTGGCGGAAGGTGGTAGGCTCGGACGGCGGTAGCTTCGCATCGTACTCGGGTGGTGTCGTCGAGTTGAGGTCGAGGTGCAGGTCCCAGGCACAGATGACGCCGTCTCGGCCGCCCGAGTACCTGGTCGAAACTTAGCTGTGTCCCCCGAGTCGCAGAGGCGATGAACGTACAGGCGTGAGTTGGAGCTGTCTACGGCCAGGCCATTGACTCCGAGCCTGTGGCCTCCGGCGGAGTTGGCGAGCGGCAGGACTGGGGGGAGCAGCGTGGTCAGCGTGGCACTTGTTCGACGTGCGCTTGGCAAGAGGGCGACATACCATAGCTTATCCTCTGCCTCGCCTTGCGGGCCATGGATCGCGAAGCTGCGCTGGCTCGACGAGATGCGCGCCCGGATGCCGCACCGTCGTCAGCGGGAAAGTATGCTGCGTTTCAGCAGCGCAGAGCCGTCTCCCCGTATGCTCCTCCTGCGTGCTACCGAACATCGACTGCGCCAGGTGCAGAGGAGATGGTTCTGGCCAGCATGGCATGTATCTGGCTGTTGCTTAGCTTCGGAGGCTACGAGGCACAGCTGCTGAAGTACTGTCGGCGCCCATCCTTCGTTTGGCATTTCCCCGTCTCTCGCCCGCCCACTTCACCTCCAGACGACATGCACAATGACGCGATGCCGAACTCCGAGCTGGCTTGGCACAGACCCTGCTTCTCCTCGTCTCGTCGTCCTCGCTTGCATAGCCAGCATGTTGGCCAGCAATACAGCGCCTCACATCAGCATGTATTCAGAACGTATCGCAGGGCAAGGACAATGTGCGAATGATGTCAAGAAGTGGCAGCAATGGCTGCACGATCTGCCATTACCTCGGTGCAACGTCTCGCTGGGCTGGGCGGCAGAGGCTACACGCACCAGCATGGCAGCCACGAGAAAGGCAGGTCGCGTAGGTTGTGCGAGACGGCGTGATGCAGTGTAGCGGACTTGCTCGTGGTCACAGCTGGTGGCAGAAGCATGCTGCAGCCAGCCACAGCCGCTGTGACCTGGCGGCAGTCACTTCAGCTCGCGTTGGAGAGCTTCCTCCTCGCGCGTACTAACCACAGCTTTGCTCTCCATAACAGACAGGAACAGCATGAAGAAACTCTTCTCGCGCCTCAAAAGGAAGAATGCCAAGCCAAGCAGCAATGGCGAGCATACAGGACCTCCTCGTCCTTCTCCACCACCACTCCAGATCACGACTGCACCCCAGCTCTCGACGGTCATACAGGACCTGGTTCACACTTCACTCGGAGGTGATGCAAGTTCTCTCGCACCAGGAGTCTGCGACGTCTGCTACAACTTGGATCCGGCCAACGACCCGTATTGCGAAGTTGGCATGGCCGACCTTTGCCTGCCAGAGAACCGAGACTCGTTGCGCTCGTCCACTGTGTCAATTCACGTGCACAAGATCAACTCTTCATCGCAGACATGTGCCTACTGCAAGTATATCATGAGAGCCATCTCGACCTTTGTGCCCGAGAGTACAGCTCCCGAAGAGTATGCCACCCTGTACATCATGGAGAACATGCCAATGACAATCCAAGTCTTTGAGAACCAGGTCGCGCAGCAAGAGGATTATGAGCCCCAAGCCAGTATCGAGCTGTTCTTACAGGCTGTAGGCCCGTCCGCAAAGGGCACAACAAGGGCTTCAGCTATGAATGCAGCAGCGTTTCCCAGATCCTCGATCTCAGAGGAACGAACAGGCGCATTGGGCTACGCGAAAGACAGGCCTTCGTCGACTGCGGACGACCAGATTTTCCATTTCTTGGATCAATGCATTACCCGCTGCACGAACGGGCACGAGAGCTGCAAGTCACGTGCGGAGCATCTGCCAGACAGAGTTCTGCAGATACGTGGAGATAGCATTGCTCTTGTTGAGACTGAGGGCCAGACTGGCGACTACCTCGCATTAAGCTACTGCTGGGGCGGTGACCAAGATCTAAAGCTGACCAAAACTCGCCGCGCCGAACTGCTACAAGGAGTTTCTCTCTCATCCCTTCCTATCATGTTCCAAGATGTTGTTGCTATCGCCAAAAGACTAAGCCTGCACAGAATCTGGATCGATGCTCTTTGCATTGTGCAAGACGATCACCAGGACTGGGAAGTTCAAGCGACGAAGATGGGCGAGTACTACAACAACGCTACGTTGGTGCTAGCTGCAGCATCAGTCAAGTCGCCGCAGGAACAATTGTTGCGACCTCGACCCGAGTACTATGATTCTGTCACTCTTGATCAGTTTGACCACCATCGTCGTACCACAATCTGCGCTCGAAGAGATCCGTGGGTCTTCAAGGGGAAAGGCGGCAATTGGAACTCTCCCCTTCTCAACAGAGCATGGGCTTACCAAGAGCGCCTGCTTGCCCGCCGCATTGTCACTTTCGGCGAGGGTGCCGTTAAATTCGAATGCCGGAAGCACACCATGGTTGAAGGACAACTTGCGGGTGTCGAAGGTCTTCCACAGCTAGGCTTTATGGCACCACATCCCGATGACCCTGAGATGTGGTCTCTTTTCGAGGACTGGCAGCAGATCGTGGGCGGCTATTCAGGCCTCAAAGCAACCTTCGAGACTGATAAACTGATAGCTTTTGCCGGTATCGCAAGTGAGTTTGCTCGTGCCACGGGCTGGATACCACGCTTTGGTCTGTGGGAGCAACACCTGCTCAAGCAGATGACTTGGAAAGTACCAGAGGGTGACTTGTCCCCGCGGCCTACGCAAGCTGTTGCTCCTACATGGAGCTGGGCCAGCGTCAACACTCAAATGGACATGTTCAGTAGCATGTTCTCGTCCACTTCAACCAGCTTCAAAGTGCTGTGGGATTGTGTTGTCGCGCCTGCCAGCACTTCTGCAAAACCAGAAGTGCTCACGATACATGGTTTACTAGCGCCCTGTGCGCTCATTTGTCGAGAGCCATACAAGACTAATGGGCACAGCCACCGCCTGCAGTGCGAAGGCTATCAATGGGACACTTACATGTGGCCCGATGCAGCGCTGACAACAGCCAAGGCGGCTTTACCAGGCTACGACATGGATGCCACAGTCCGCGCCACTGCTGAAGAGATGCGTGCAGGTCTCCAGCCATTCGTAGGAGTCTGCTACTGTCTTCTCCTCGCCAAAACCGACGCCGACAACCCCACTTGCATCGCACTTGTGCTAGGACGATCTCGTGAGCACGACGGTATGTTCGAACGAATTGGACTGACCGCTGATACGAATCTTCGCTTCTTCAGCGATTGCATAAAAGCCAAGAGAGTCACTGTGGAGATTGTGTAGTACTGTAGGCACCGAGTATGGCATGTTTTCGGCGAATTCACTTTTGCACTTACGAAGCTGACGCACTACGAAACCACTAAGCTCGATTTTCTGTGGCTTGATTCCCGCCTCATCTTCGGTAGGACCTTTATACATTGGCGCAACACATCATCTGCCACACTGCTACGCCTCTTTTCCATGTGCTCACATGCTCTGACAGTTCAAGTGTGACGTATTTCTCTATTTCCTAGGCATCATATAGGCAGCTACTTTCTTCCAAGACATCTACTATGCAAAGCCATTCCGAGATTATCTCTTGAGTCCGAACAGAACCTCAAGAAGCACAATACAAATTCTATCATCATCCTACTGGAAATAATCATGGGCTGCGGCGGCTCCAAATACGAAAATGGCGTCCCTGTCAGATATGGCATGTACGGCGAACCGCATCCCATCAAGCCTAAGTACTACAAAGGAAGACCGTAAGCTATGAGCCCTCGACGGCACCAAATGCGCTGATTCTAGAACTGTAACAGAGACTGACATGTGATACGACAGATACTACGATGATCGCAGTACTTCACAAAGGTGGGCTGACGAGATGACGGCCAAGACGGGGAGAAAGTGGAAGAAGGGACAGTTGGAGGCTGCTATAGCTGGGGGTTCGGTAAGTCTTTTTGAGATCTGTCATCTCTCTGCGCTTGGTAGTTAAAGCAGGTGCTGAATTTTTATGATAGTCTGGTGGAGGCGGAGGTGGTGGAGGAGGGTGTTGAACGAGCTCCATCCTCGGACATAGCAGATTTGCGGCGATGTGGGACTATTTTGCGCTAGGTACGAGCGAGTACTCACAGAGCTCTTGAGTTCCAGGAGTCCTCTTACGGGAATGGGCGTTCAGGTTGAAGCGTCATTCAGGATACGGACGTGGTGGTATATTTGATGCCAGTAGAATTGTTGACAGCTATAGGGGAAAATGATATATTCCGCTGGAGACCCATACACGATGCTGATCTTCTCGCTCTGGACAATCGATTGATGAGTGCCAAAGGAGTGTCTACTAAACATCGAACGTTGCAACCCATAAACTGACTCCTTCGCCACCATCTGACGGCACGCCCTCGCCATCCACCTGCCCGACCCCGACCTTGATCTCCCGAACGATCTTAAAGCCAACGCGCTTGAACAAATCGCGAGAGCGAGGCGAAGTTGCTTCCAGATATAGGGGCCAGCCGCTCGTTGTTGCAAACCTTATAATGCGTAGTAGAAGCTCGTGCGCATTGACTTTTTTTCTTGTGCGAGAGGATTCTGACGCAGTATCTCTGCCAAGCAGGTAGATGTGCAGAACAGTGCGCCCGGAGTTATAAAGAGTTTGTAGGACCTCGTTTGATTTTACATCCATTTCCACGAGAGCTTGCGGGACCTCATCCGAAGATGCATCACTGGCTGATATGTTCTTGCTCACGACTGTAGGATTGCTTGAATACCCCTTAGCATGGTATTTGTCTCCGGATCCTGCTGCAGCAGTCACCAGATGACTGCCAACGAGCTTCCTGGTATACTAAGGAAATATGCTCTTTCTTTCTCGAGGTCTCGTAGGAGTCTGTCGAATAGCATACGATTCCGAGCTACGTACTCGAGGTTATTGGGGCTTGCTTTCCAAGTGTCAAGAACGTATCGATGGAATGCACCATCACTGAATGCCCAAGTGAAGATTTCCACTGCATCTGATCTGCTGATCTCGCATAGACCAAATGATACCCAATTGATGTTGTTCATGGCTGGTAGAGATGTAGATGTTACCTGCTTCTCGCAGAAATGCTGATCGTGTTTTCACGGATGCCAAACACAAGTTCACATGATGCACTGTGTGTATGGAGGGTGCACTACTTGATGGTACAAATCTTTGTTGTGCACAGCATGGGGTAGCAGCTGCAAGTCAAACGCCACCGGTGGTTGCACAACTGACGCCAGTCCCGTATGTGATACCGAAGATCTCGACACCATACGGCACGCAACGTCATCATGAAGCCTTGCAGCATACGGACTGAGAGCTATTGTGAGAGGGAGGAGGGACATGGTGGACTCAACGTACCAAAAGTCTTTTGATCGATGCTCACGCCAGGTGACTCTTGCTCGATGATCTGTGATGACAAACGATTATACTGCACTTGGCGGATCAATGTTGCAGTTTACGCACTGTTTAACATGCCACTCGAACTGCTCTTCGTGAGACGTATACTTTTGAGCACACACCACTTGTGCGAGAGTCATCAATGTGTCGCTGTTGGTGCTCAACCTATGCGGCAAGATCTTACTTCCTCCTTTCGAGGTCACAAGGGCGATCGGTGGCGTTTCAGGTAGTGCGTGTGACCTCGATCGATCGAGATGTCCAGGATCATACTCAAGGCTGAAGGAGATGTAACCAAAATGATTGCACCAGAACTCCCAAGGTAGTCCATATATAGCCGCTGATCGGTCAAAGATTGGAGTCTGAACAGAAGCCTGTCGGTAAAGACCTCGCCATGGATCTAACAGTCAAGTCTCATGTGGACCGTAGCACTGCTCAGCGAATTGTACCCATGAGATGTCTGGCCTTAGGAATGCCCAGAACGGGCACTAACTGTACGAATCCGACCTAACTGAGTGCAAGGATTTGACCAACGAAGACTGAAGTGTGACAGCACTACGCGATGCATTGAAGATCCTAGGCTTCAATGAATGCTACCATCAAGCCACTCTAGTGCAGAATCCGGAGGATGCTTACTTATGGGTGAAAGCGTTACGGTCAAGAGGCTCCAATCAAGCCTTCGGCAGACCTGAATGGGATGCTTTACTTGGCCACTGTCAAGCAGTGTGCGACGTGCCCGTAGTGCACTTTTGCGAGGAACTGGTAGAATCCTACCCCGAAGCCAAAGTCATTCTCACAACCAGAGATTTCGACGAGTGGCACCGGTACGACCGCAACTTCACATGCTTCCCCTTCGAAGACATCTAATGCGCTTCCAGCTCAATTTCAGAGACGGTAGAGCGGCGATATCATAGTCGTCGTTTATTTCTTCTGTCTTTAATTGATCGCAGCTCCAGCCTGTACGCATCGGTGTTCTGTGAAGGATGGCGTAAGATGTTTGATGGAAACTTCGAAAAGAACAGCCGAGTAGTGTACGATGCTCACAATGAGAGGGTGAGAAGACTAGTACCAAGAGACCGGTTACTTGAGTACCATGTGAGCCAAGGGTGGGAGCCGTTGTGCAAGTTTCTCGAGGTGCCTGTACCTGCGATGCCTTTCCCAAGCGGCAACACAAAAGGTGACTTTCACGCGGCATGCGATGAATTGGATAGGAGCCGCTTTGTTGCCTGCTTGAGAAACATAGCAGTGACTGTCGTAGTGGTGGTGGCCGCAGTGGCTATGTGGCGGCCAAGTCAATGAAGCGGGAAGCTTTGGGACTGAAAAGAAGTCAGGTGTGCAGAGACTACCATGTAGTACACGTTGAATCAGTGGCGCAAGCAGGTGTCCCATTGTCGCGTCATCGAGAACCCACTCAACAGCTTGATCGAACTCGTTCAGCAGGATATAGACAATGCTCGTTGCAGATTGGAGGTCGATCACCTAAGTCAGCATGTTGATACTGATCACTATCCTAGTCGCACTCTTTTCTGGTATCTATTTGATTGGCCAGCGACTTCTCTGGGGCCCGCTAAGCCATATTCCAGGACCGAAACTCGCAGCGCTTTCGGGGTTGTATGAGTTCTACTATGATGTCGTCAGGAAGGGTCCTTTTACCTGGAAGATTAATGAGCTCCACGATCGATATGGCGAAATCGTCAGAATCAGTCCGGTCGAGGTTCACATCCGGGACTCATCATTTCTTGATTCTGCGTTCCCACTCTCTCATGCTCGCCCTGTCGAAAAATGGCCACCAGCAATGCGCATGTTCGGGTCTCGGTCCAGGGCAGAAGCTACCAAAACGCAGGCCTATCGAAACTCGTTACCGGGCAAGTTTTTCAGCAAGACTGCGGCAAACCTGCACGCTGCAAAGATGCAAGCCAGACTTCGCCGTCTTGTTGCACGCCTCGATCCTCTGATAGGCACAGGCACGGTCGTAAATCTCACAGATGTTATCGGAGGCTTGATGCAGGATTTCATCTTGGAATTATGCTTCGGCTGTTGTCATGAGAATGTTGATACGAAAGATTTCGGCAGTCGTCAATATCATATGAACCTGGACCCACTTCGATGGATACATTTCTATGCCAATATCTTCCCACTCATGCGTGTGGTTGAGAAACTTCCTTCTTCGATACTGCGACTCGTTGCACCTGAGCTTGCCGATCTTCCTCTGCTCAGGCAGCAGTGGCGCAGTCTGTTTCAGGAGATGTTGGCTAGTAAGGACGAACAGCACAATACACTGTTCGCTCATTTGTATAGGGAGAGCCCGAGCCTTGATATGCCTGGCAATGAGGAACGTATGATAGGCGAGGCTGCGGCTTTTGTGGGTGCTGGGTCATTGACGCCTACCGAGGCCATCAAGAACACAATTTATTTCGTCTTCGCAGACGAGCGTGTTCGCGATCTCGCCGTTACTGAGATCGAACAAGCCTTCCTTTTCGATGATGTAGAATTGGGACTGGAGAAGTTGCAAAAGCTTCCGTACCTGTCTGCGATCATGCACGAGTCCTTGCGCCTGAGTCACGGCGTACCTCATCGTTTGCAGCGGATCCATAAGCAGACGCCAGTCTTGTACAAGTCACCGACAAGTGGGCAGGAATATCTCATCCCTCCGGGCACGCCCGTAGGCATGACGAGCAGTTTTGTTTGTGAAGATCCAGCCAAGTTTCCAAAGCCAAGGGAGTTCTTGCCAGAGAGATGGACCCACCTCTCACCACCCGAGCAGATCAAGACCTTCCAGGATGAGATGATAGTGTTCGGGAAGGGAGGTCGGAATTGTGTTGGCATTAACATCGCGTACGCCGCCATGTACACAGTAGTTGGTGCTTGGCTTCGTCGATACGGCAATTCTACACGATTGCTCGACGTGGAACGCGCGCGAGATATTGATGCTTCGCATGACTTCTTCATTGCCGGTGTGAGCAAAGCAAGTCCCGGTCTCCTCATCTGCCTGGAGAGATAGACCAATCGACAGCTCGCCGTGTTTCTGAGTACGCCTTGCGAAATATGTAGACATGACTTCAGGGTACCGTATCTCGCACCTGTTCCAACAAACATCCTCCGCCATATCCGCTCGTCACACTCATGCGCGAGAGTCATATCAGACAGCACTCTGTATGCTCTTACGCTAGAGTTGCACTCCGAGAGAGGCATCCTCGTCGGCCAGCGTTGTTGCAACAATGCTTTCAAAGTATCATATCCAGCCCAATACCCCAAGCCGAGACTGCGCTCTCTGTCATCATAAAATCGATCGACAGCCCCCCCTCTCCGCAGAACGTCACCCTCTGCTGTAGGATGTCTTTGGCGATTGGCATACCGTCGCTCGCAAAGAGGCCGGTGAGCAGGTTGAGAGCCAGTAGCACTAGTCTTAAGCGTTCCTTCCACTCCGGCACCTCTAAATCAATGTTGCTGCCCATGGTGCCTGCTAGATAGATGGCATGAACGAGTGGTCGGTGGCTCGGTGAGAGGCTTCGGAGCCATTTAAGAGCCACATCGTACGAAAAGTGTGGTTGGTCATCGCGCAGTGTCTCTGGTCGACCGAATTCGAAGACGATGTTGCCGTAGTAGATCGGGGCTGCGGTGCGTCGAGCGAGGCGATTGAGGGAGAGCTGCCATGGTGGTGTGTACGATGTGTCTGTAACAACGATCGTGGTCTGGCGCGGAAGTGTAGCGACGACAACATGCTCGAGGATCTGGTCCTTCAGCTCGCCGGGCAGCGCGTTGATCAGACCGCTTAGCTTCAGCTCGGAGTCCATGGTGATGCGATGGTGAATAGTGCTCAGGGATTCGAGTCTGCGTGGATATGGTTGTACAGAATCGATGATCGAACTTTGCTGAAGAAAAGCGCCGCTGCGACAGGCACCCACGCGTGAAGCTATAAAAGCTGGCTGAGCTTCGTTCAACTTCTGTCCCCAACCATTCACCACCTTGCCTACCACTTCCTGTGCACACGCCATCTTCCATCATCATGGCACAGTACCCAAACGACGACGGGAGGCAGCGGCTCATCCCCGAGCATTACACGCCGGGGTACGCAAGGTATGTTTTGCTCGCATCCAGTCCCCATTCATTCGGGCATCTGCTTAGGGCGCTGCTCAGATTTCTCGAACTCCAAGCCAGCGGACGCCTCAACATCAGAGTGCAGACCGTGCCAACGTTGGAAGAGCGCATCCAGAGCCTGGCCCAAGAGCTGCAGGATATGATCCTCGACTACACCCTGCTCATCGAGCCCACCACCGTCAACATCACCGACAGATACCAGCCACCATGGCAGCTGAGCGTCAATCGCCGAACTCGTCCACTTGTCGCTGAGCACTACTACTCCACCAGCACTTTCAGCGACATGACCAGATTACACGATCTTCAGCAATGGCTAGACCGAATCCCGGCGGAGTACGTTCAAATGATCGAGAATGTCGAATTCGGCGTGCGCAACATGCACGACGCAAAGAAGTGGCTTAAGATCTACACACGCTCGTTGGAGCAGCATTGGGGAATTGTTCTTGCCCCTGGCGTCTTGCGCGCTTGGTTCAAGAAGCATAAGCGGAGCGGATCGCCCAGTGAGTGGGTGTATGTCAGCTGGAAGGACGCTGCAGCGCTGGATGATCGAGAGATGCGTGCCGAGAGCTTTTACGCTCACTCGCGCCCGTGGGAGGGACGCGAGGTAACACTCTAGGCGCAGGTGACAATCCTAGCCATCATATAGAGGTACAGCACGAATCGAGAACACAGTATCAGGGCGGAGTAAACCAGTTCCAGTAGTCGTTTCTCCGTGTTGTGCCACAATCTGTCAATGACACCTCCTGCTAGCGTGCAATGACCGTGCTGCCCTCGGGGCAGACGAACAGAATGCCCTTGATCAATGACCTCAGAGAGTCCAGCAAAGAGTGCGCTGTAGTGACGGTGCTGGTGGGTGTGCCCGGTGCGCGCTGTTTGGTCTGCCGTAGCCGTTCACTCATAACTGACTTTGCACAGCATGTCGGCTTCGTCTTGCACCTCGTTTCGGTCCACGACAACACCGCAAAACGGCCAATACAGCATCCTCTGAGCAACGCGACCCGACCGGACTGACCGATTCGCCTGCCCTCTTGGCTCAGGGCTACACACTCCTCGAGAACAACACGACCATCAGTCCAGCATCGTCATCGCTAGCCGAATGCTCCGCCATCAGAACAACGACGGAGCCCACCAGCCCGCCCGCGACTCCAGTATCAACAACAGCCTCGTGGCCGAGAACATGGAGAGTCAACCAGCTAGCTCGACCGACCTTATCATCCGCGCCGAGGGCGACACCGCCGTCAATTCGCCAGCCAACGCCGCAGACACCATCACCAGCCTCGCACGGAACGACACGATCGATAGCGCCAGCGACAATGATCAACCATCGCTCGAAATCTTACTCCAGACGCTCCCGCAAGAGCTTCAAGGCGAGATTCTTGCCTTCACCGTCATGACACCGCCGTCCATCGTCCAGATCGAACCAGAAACATACCGCCCACCACACCTACTCCGGATCAATCGTCGCAGTCGTGCCATAGCCGCCGAGCATTATTACACACATACGACGTTCGCCTGCACACATAAGTCTTTCTACCACACCGAATTCGTCAGGTGGCTTCGATCTCTCCCTGCTCAGCACCGCGCCTCGATCAGCAGGATCCAAATCCCACCAGTCGTGTATCCTCGAACAGACGTCGCAGAACCCTTCAAGGAATGGCAGTTTCGAAGGCTGTGGAGAACGGTGACTGATTTGCCTCGTATGCCTCACCTCATCAGGCATGCCGGGCTAGCAAGCGGAATGAAGAGCTTGGATTCGATCATGCTTGCTGACTGCCCTTTGGAGGAAGAGGGCGGAGTCCTTCAGATGGGACTTCTGTCGGGCCCGGAAATCAACATGGAAATCAAGAAGTTGCACGTAGAGCTGGGAATACCAGAGCCGGACGAGGAGGAGGACTGGTAGAAGGGGGCATCTCTGCGGTCGTAGTAGCATGAAAGGCAAGCGGGTCGAAAAGGTGTTTATCGGTGCGGTGTATGCGAAGCGACAAGCAGGCTGGAAGACAACATAACCTTGGGATAACCGGCGAGCAATGTGTCCTGCTCTATTTGGCGGACTTCATTGAGCCCAGCGGTGCGCAGATGGTGTTACGCCGGATGGTGTATTGGGCCTGGAGAAGGAGAAGGTGGCAATCTTTTCATGTAGCGTCGAAGCGTGGAAGGAATGAGCCTGAACCACAAATACACCCCATCTCTGCTAGTCCTAGAGGCGTAAAGGCTGACCAGTATCCAGACGACTTCGCAGTCTTGTTCTGTGCCCAGCACGAGTCCTTGCTAGAGCCAGCAACGAAGTGGATAAGAGAGTCAACAACGTGACGAAAATTTAGTCCAATTGCGGCATACACAAGTCTCCGGCTCCATATTCATCTCTAGACCTGTCAATGCCCACGCGCTCTGTGGAAGCTCATTGACATACACTCGGAGACAAGGACCACGTGGGACTTTTAGAGGTTCTCGTCAAGCTCCCAGGATGGCAATGACATGCGTCTGCTATCTTACTTCCGACTTTTCCATATTTGCCAGCTCGCGGACCTCCAGCCGATGCGAGGCCGCAGCGTGTTGAAGTGATAGAGACGCTGACGCCCTTGAAACCCCGAGAATCAACAGAGGGAATCAGTCGCCACCTGGCAGGCTTGCCCACTTCCCAGCTTTGACCACGGCCCGGGCTCTTGTGTCTCCAGATGCTCTGCCTTCAAGCTTTTGAAGGAACTCGGAGAACGGACGAGACCGGCCAGCCGTTCATATCAAGCGGAACATATTGTTCCTCACACTTCGCTTCTGGGCCACCGGCTTGCCATCCTCGTATTCCACGCCTGCAGCTCCACCTTCGTCCGAGTGTCCGGCCAGCTTTTCCATCAGCTCAGCGTCCGCTTCTGCCACGGTTTTGTGTTTGATTTCGGCTTCTTTCGCGATTTCTTGTGCCTTGGTGGCTAAATGCTGATCATCTTGGGCAGGAGACTCTGGCTTCTCTGAGCTGAGGTAGCGGGACGATGAGGTGAACGGCCTTGTCGAAGACAGTCTCACAGGTACAGGAGCAGCTGCGAGTCGTGGAAGGAGCTTGGTTGTGTTCATGATGGTGACAAAGAGGCAAAAGGGTTTTGAGGTTCAATTTTGCTTAGGACAAAAGGCTTAAACTAGTTGTCCAGTAGTTAACTACGGACAAAGACGAAGTGTATCTGACATAGCGAGAGCAGGACAGCATGCTGTCATCAATGCCTCCTGCCTTCGGGGTGGGAAGTTGTGAATGTTGTCGTCAGAATGAGGTCCGCCCGGGCCTCAGATCAACGATTCACAGCGGAAGTTCCCGTGCGTCCGCATGACTCGGTGCTCCCAGACCTCAAGATTTCGCTGCACAACTTGACTGCACCACGACACTTTACTCCACCACAGCCAAGATGCCCGTCGTCAAAGGAGGAGTCTGGACGAACATCGAGGACGAAATTCTCAAGGCCGCCGTCTCCAAATATGGTCTCAACCAGTGGGCGCGTGTGTCGTCGCTGCTGGCGCGCAAGACCGCGAAGCAGTGCAAAGCGCGATGGACAGAATGGATTGACCCTGGTATTCGGAAGATCGAATGGAGTCGCGAAGAGGACGAGAAGCTGTTGCATCTGGCCAAGTTGATGCCCACGCAATGGCGCACAATCGCACCCATCGTTGGCCGAACCGCGACGCAATGTCTCGAGCGCTACCAGAAATTGCTGGACGAAGCAGAGGCGAGAGAGAACTCGGAGTTTGGACTCGCAGGACCAGATGGAGGTGAGACACAGGCGCCGAGTGCGGATGATGTCCGAAAGTTGCGACCAGGAGAACTGGATCCAGATCCAGAGAGCAAGCCAGCGCGACCCGACACGATCGATCTGGACGAGGATGAGAAAGAGATGTTGTCGGAAGCCAGAGCACGTCTAGCCAACACGCAGGGTAAAAAGGCAAAGCGAAAGGCAAGAGAGAGGCAACTGGAGGAGAGTCGGAGGCTGGCTGTGCTGCAGAAGAGGAGAGAACTGAAAAATGCGGGTATCAATGTCAAGGTTACCACGAAGAAGAAGGGTCAAATGGACTACAATGCCGACATTCCTTTCGAGAAGGCGCCGGCGCCTGGATTCTATGATACACAGGACGAGATGGCGCAGAATGAGCGGGAGAGGGAGGCTTTCGATCCGCGAAAGCAGCAATTGGCCAACAAACGCAAGGGCGACGGGCAGGACCAGAATGAACAGCAATCGAAGAGGCGAAAAGACGATGGAGGTGCCGGTGCCCATACTGCACATCTCAAAGCGGCACAACAGCAACGACTCAGAGAGGCAGAGCAGAGTAGCAAGCGCAAAGGACTGGTTCTTCCAGCCCCACAAGTCAGCGAGAGCGAATTGGAAGATATCGTAAAGATGGGAATGTCAGGCGAGAGAGCACATCAGCTGGCGGAGAGTAGCGAGAACGATGCTACCCGTGGTCTCATCGGGAACTATTCCAATAACATGGTTGGTGCTACGCCTCTACGAACTCCTCGAGCAGCGCCGGAAGAGGACCGCATACAAAACGAACTGCGAAATGCCCGACTACGGACAGAGACTCAATCAGCTCTGCTTGGCGGTGAAAATGTGGATCTCGCTGAAGGCGGTACAGGCTTGGAGGGCGTGGCGCCCTCTAAGCAAGTTTTGCATACACCAAACCCCATGGCTACGCCTATGCGCGGGCAGAATGGTGCAGTTGGTGCCACTCCTATGCGAACGCCACGAGATAATTTCCACCTCAATCAAGAAGGCGGGTCGATGCAGCTCGTCTCACAGACTCCTCGAGACATCCGGCTGGCTCAACAAGCATCGCGGAACTCGTTGCGTGGCAAGCTTGCATCCCTTCCCAAACCACAACAATCCGAGTTTGAGCTCGAAGCTCTTCCTGAAGAGCGCGATGAAGTTGCTCATGCCGCACAGGTCGCGGCCGAAGACGCAGCTGTCAGGGATGCCAGAAACGCAGAGCTCAAGCGCGCACAAGATCTCGCTGAATTTAAACGCCAGTCCAAAGTAGTGCAAAAGGGATTGCCTCGACCGAAAGTCGTCGATGTGAACGCATTGCTCAAAGCGGCACAAGCTATCGAAGACCCTATCGAACGCAGCATCGCGGAAGAATCTGCCTACCTCATCGCCAACGATGCCAAGAAGTTTGGCGGAGCACATGTCAACGGCAAGCCTAAATCTATTCAGCCATTCTCTGAGGACCTTATGCAACGTGCCGAAATGGAAATCGTCCTCGAGATGGGCCAGGATGCTGATCGCAGCCGTTTTGGCCAAGCCTTTGAGCAAGAATGGGAAAAGGCTCACGCTTCAACAATCTTGCCCGGCCTTGCAGGATACGCGGAAGATGAGCTTGACGAGGAACAGCTTCTTACAGAATCCTTTGACAATGTCCAAGAGACTATTCAGAAGGTATCAGAAAAGGGAAGCGCGCTGGAGAAGAAATTGGCCAAACATCATGGTGGTTATATTTCGAGGAATAAAGTGCTGCGGACCAAGATTGTACAGGCTGCGGAGGCTTTGGAGAAGGTCAAGTTACAGCAGACTTTGTCGAGAGACAAGAGTGTGGCGGAGGAGGCTGCTATGGTGGGCAGGTTGGAGAAGTTGAGGGATGAAGTGGCGTTAGTGAGCCGGAGAGAGCGGGAAGCACAAGAGACGTTTAGGAGTAGGAGGGAGGAGTTGGAGGGCTTGGGATAAGCTGAGGTGAAATCGATGCGATGAATGTATATTGCTGCATCCAGCCCGTTCTGCTTCCCGCTCGAGGCACGCAATATGCTAGGTATCTACCTAGGCCTTCAGATTTCAGAAGAAAGACGATGTCTTGTCGATATTGTAAAGTGTTATCGTTCATTGTGCCACCCTTGACTCTACTCGTTCCACGCACCTCGCCGATGCGATGTGCTTTTTTGCCGCCTTTCTTAGACTCCGCAAGATTCGTACTTTTGCTAAGCAGCTCCCATAGTTGGGCAGCGAAGCGCGTGCATGCGCACAACTGAGCCACATTCAACTAACGTGAGAGAACACTGCTCAAGCGAAAATCGTCTGTTGCCAAATTAGCTCCTGCAAGGTGTAGTGCTGCAGTCCACTACGCCCCATTGACGCGAGGAACCCGCAGAACCCGCTGCTACTGCTGCTGTTGTCTAGGATCCCACCTCAACAACTTTCAGTCTTGAGTTGAAGTTGTCATCACAATCGACTTCAAGGCATCGGCGTCGCGGCTCTGCTGTCCGGAGTTCCGCTTCCATCCATTCCCGGAGCTCTCTTCTTCTTTTTCTTCTTTGGCTTTGGCACAACAGCCGGCTTCTGTCCATAATTCGTCATTTGCAAATAGCTTCCGCATGTCAAACACGTATTATCGTGCAAAGACGGTTCACAGAAGATGCTGAGACATATCGAGCACACGAACCCGATGTCCACGATTCTGCGATGGCAGAAACATGCTGCGCGGAAGTCGACACCGGAGTCCCCTTCGCCAGGTAGTATGAGGTGTCGACGGGCTGCAAGATCGGGTAGGTAGGCTTGCATGAGGAATTGGAGGAGTCCGGCGCGGAGTTCTGGGGTGGATAGCGAGAGGTAGATTCCACCTGTTGCGTCGGCGGCTTGTTGGAGGAAGATGGTGTCTCCAGAGATCTTGAGGATATCAATGGGGATGGAGAGCCGTTGACATGCGAAGATACTGTTCATGATAGGGATATACTGGTTCGCTAGGTCGCCAGAGACAGACAGTATGAGTAGACGGGATGTCAGGCCAGAGATGTTGGGACCCGAGCCAGCGGCAGATGATGCGGAGGCTTCGTTGCCGCCAGCGACTGAGGACGGGTCAGAGTAGTTGAATTGTTGAGCTGAAGACGAGCCCGATGGCAGACTCGCAGTTTGTTTAGAGATGTATGCAAGTGCTCGGGTCAAAGCACCCGCCATCATAGTTGCAGGAGTTGATTGGAGTGCATCGGGAGAGGTGCTTTCCACCAGACGGCGCAGGTTCGTGGTAATGGCGTGCTCGATATGAGCAAAAGGTCGATACTTGTTCGCATCATCTGGCGGCCGCACTGGACCTCCGCTGCCAGCTGTGCCGTCGTCCATCATTTCTACATCTTCGCCATTCGAAGTGCCGTTCGCGGTCGCCGAATGTGCTTGCAAGGGAGTTGGGTAAAGCCATTCTGCTCGCTCCGAGTGACTTGCAATTACTGCTACGCGGTTTGCATGATTGATGGCGATGTGAGCGTTGATGAAGACAAGCAGGTTGACAACGACCTTTTGGAGCGATAGTGAATCTTCAAGTAGTGCCCAGGCGTGAGGGTTTGTGTCCAGGATGATGGTCAACAGAGATGGCGCTTCTCCATCGTCTCGCTGACCACTCCGCCCCGTTGCATCGACTTCGTTCATACTGCCTCATAAACAGTTCGGTGTTGATGGCAAAGTAGTGAATGTTTGATGTACCTGGCTAGGTGAAGTAAGGCGAGCGCAGACTTGTGACAAAGGCGAAAGTCGTGGGGCGGAAACGCTCAAAACGCTCCCCGTCCGATGCCCCTACAAAATTCAATGTTGTAGACGACGGTCTGTCCTGGAACTTCACCAGTCCTATCGTTCGAGTATACCTTCACACGCCGTTCTCTGAACATGGAACAAACTCATGCCACAGAGAAGCTGCATCTGCAGTGGCTTTTGAGCCAAGCATTAATAGTTTTGCCGACAGTGACGTCCGTCTTGACAATGGCTAGTTCTACTGCGTCCGCACCGCCGTAGCCGCCAGCTCCAATCGCCATTGGTGACACAGCGCCTCGCGACTCGCGACCTTCAGCGCATCGCACACGACTCCAAGTCTCGAAGCAGCCAAGGCTCATTATCGGGCTGCTATAAAGCAGTCACTTCCGCTTGGCCACGACGCGAGTTGAGCTTGCTCATTCCTTCTAGCGCGGGTTCACCGCTTTAGGACAGTAAAGCCGTCGCCACTTCTGCTCAACTGGAGCTGTACTTTTCTCACCTCGAAAGTCGAGTCTTTCGTGCTCCACCTCCCGTACGGCATTCGAAGATCCAACAAGTGCCTGTTTGCGTCAAGGAGCTACATCGAAGGCACAGCGACGGGACCTGGCCCTCAAACTTGGCACAGCATCTTCATAGTCACCATGAGTTTCAAAGGCAACGGAGGCTCTTCAACTGTGGTGCTGGAGCCAGTAGAGCTTCAACCTGTGCAGCTGAAGAACGTGTCTGATTCGAAACGCCCCTCGCTCTCTGGACGCAGCCTGGCCTCGGCAAGCAAGACCGATGATGAAGACCGCAATGAGACGCTACCCTCACCCACGACCGCGCCCGAGGAGCAAGCAGAAAGATGGAATTTCCCGCGGGTGAATATCTGGAAAGTTAGTTGCACGTTCTGGGCAATGGTGATCATGGGTCTCAACGATGCCACATATGGAGCCATCATCCCATATCTGCAACCTTTCTACGGTCTTGGCTACACGATTGTATCTTTGGTGTTCCTGTCACCTTTCGTCGGCTACACGCTTTCTGCGATCTTGAACAACACTATCCATCTCCGATTTGGTCAGCGCGGCGTAGCATTCATTGGACCGTTTTGCCATCTTCTGGCTTATATCATTAATGCTCTGCATCCTCCCTTCCCCGTTCTGGTGATCTCTTTCATCCTGGCTGGCTTCGGTAACGGAATTCTAGACGCAGGCTGGAACGCCTGGATCGGAGCAATGGCAAATGCAAATGAAGTGCTAGGCTTACTGCATGCTTTCTACGGCCTCGGCGCCACGATTGCACCTCTGATTGCCACTGCAATGATCACAAAGGCCAATCTGCCATGGTACTATTGGTATTATTGCATGATCGGATTCGCGGCCATAGAACTTGTTGCATCTGTTCATGCTTTCTGGCACGAGACCGGAGCCAAATTCCGCGAACGCCACGCGCGTACTTCCGATGCGAAAGGCTCAAGACTACGTGAGGCGATAGGGAAGATGCCTGCTGCAAGAGTCACCTGGCTTTGCTCGATGTTCTTTCTCGGCTATGTCGGCGTTGAAGTAGCGCTCGGAGGCTGGATTGTCGAATTCATGATCAGGGTTCGTGACGCAGCAGAGTTCGCAGCAGGAATGAGCGCAACTGGATTTTGGCTTGGTATGACTGTTGGCAGAGTTGTTCTTGGCTTCATCACACCTCGAATCGGTGAGAAGCTGGCAATCATGGTACGTGCTGCATTAGTCCCACGTGTGCTCATTCGCTAAGACTGAATTCTCTGCTTAGATCTATCTCCCCATCGCCATCGGCCTCCAGCTCCTGTTCTGGCTCGTCCCACAGTTCTACGTCTCCACAGTTGCCGTTGCACTTCAAGGCTTCTTTCTCGGCCCCTGCTTTCCAGCCGGTGTAGTCGCATGCACGAAGCTGCTCCCAAAACATTTGCACGTCAGCGCCATTGGATTCGCTGCGGCTTTTGGCGGTAGTGGTGGAGCCATATTTCCCTATGCTGTCGGCGCGATTGCGCAAGCAAGAGGCGTTCAAGTCTTGCAACCCATCATCCTGGCACTGATGGTGGTAATTATCATTCTCTGGGCCTGTCTACCGAGGATCAACAAGAAGAAGGACTGAGGTTGGAACATTGAGAAAGGCGGGAGTCAAAAGCAATACTCGTTAACCCAAGATTCACGAGGTTGTCGAAGTATGCTCGACAACAGGCACATGGCACGTGCGTCTCGTGTGATATGCAGATCATGATTGTTGACTGATGAAGATATGGCAGAATCCACATATGATCATCGCAAAAGCACGGAAGAACGTAATGTGCAGTATCCTTCTTGCATACCACGCACGCATTACGAAGCGATCAATCTTTTCGTGCAAATGCACCAATTCGGCGATCGAAATCTATGACCGCTTGTTGATCCAAGTCTCGTCCTACAGAACATGCAAGTGAGTGCGATCTGCCACCCACACTGCCTCAGCACTCCGTTTCTGATTCTTCGTCTTGATAGAAAGTCATACTGCTCACCACATCTACACGGTCGTCCCGAGATCTGATCAGGTCTCAAGCTACCCAATATTAGTTCGAGGCCAATGGAATCAAGGTCAAGACTCACCCGCTCGCTTAGCTGCCGTTCATTCATCCAAATCCGCTGCTCCACCACATGAGGGCGTCGTTGGAATAGTAGCCAGTACGTCCTTAGCACATTCTGAGGAACTCCGGCACCGATTTCTTGCAGCTCTCGGTGATACTGCTGCAGAAGCTTGCGCTCAAAACGAAGCGCCGTGCGGCTTATGGCATCCGGGCCCTGGTCAAGCACCTCCATGCGCCAGCCATCTTTGACTCGTAGCTCGGACAGCTGATCCCGCTGTTGATGCGAAAGGGTCTTGGCCCATATCTCTAGAAGTTCCATCGACTGGAACTCGAAGATGGCCTGAGAGTAGTAGAGGTCGGAAGCCTTGCGTCTGGTCAAGCGATTCAGGTTTAGCTGCCATGGTAGACGGTATTTGCTGTCGTATGGCACGACTCCCTGACTCTCACCCAGGAACGATTCGATGCCTTGCAATACGGTATACTCGAGGATCCTGTTACTGAGCTCTGGTGGAAGGTCCTGAATCCTGTCTCGTAGACTGGGAGCATCCATCATTGCTGCTGGACGGACGGCAGCCTGTGATGCAGAGTTGGTATAGGTATGTGAGATGTCGAAGACCGCTTCTCGGCGTCAGAGATATGATGGAAGAAAAAAGAGAAAGCGAGCTAAATTGTGGTAGGTTACTGAGCTACGTCTTGGCACTACCATGCGTAGCCTCGAAGTGAACTTAAGGTTTGTGGTCAACCGCTCAGCTATGAGGTACAGTATTGGCAAAGACTTACGGAACGAGTCTGACATCATGCCTTCACCTTCCAATGCAACCAACGAAGTGTCTCGAACCATTTCTTTGAGCAGAGACGCTGCACCTTACTGTCTCCTTCGGACCAGACGCTGTCAAATTTCGAAGAAAGCCCTGGAGACCGCTGCAATGATCGAAGATTTCAGTGGTACACAGTGGTTTGTGCGCGACTGCAGTCGACACCACAAGTATCTCGACAAAGCCAAAGACTTCCAGTCGGGATCGTGCATTATTCCACGTCAGTCGTTCTTTGTGCACGGTCTATTTGCAATCTGGTTCTGAACCAGAAATGTTTGCTATGTGGCTTATATAGCCGTGCAGTGCCAGATCTTTTGGAAAGGGCACCAAGAACCACCAGCAAATTTGCGTTATGGCAAGTGGTCGACAATCTCAAGTCATGAAGCCCAGTGGAGATGATTATCCATCTGGGACCTCTTCGCTGCCTCCTGTTCATCCAGCCCGGACAACTGCAAGAGAAGACAAACGACAGAAGCGCCCAGCCAGCATTGGATACTCAGATCAAGATCGAGCCGCACCCGTGGAGAGCAACGATAGCTCCTCAGACCATCCTAGTCGAGATCAGTTCGACGATGAAGAGAGGGAAGTGTATCGATACATCCCCAACGGAAACATTAGTCTCGTCGGTTCATCAGGTCAGAACGAGCAGGACGATCCCAAGACCATTGATGGTTTCAGTCGGCTCCCAGGGACGCAAAATGCGGAACATGCACAAGAGCCATCTCCCAACCGCACAGAAGACCACAGGTACAACAAGCAGCTGAGATACAGCTCCATCATCGAAGCACGCGCCGGTTCTCGTTTCAGCGACAAGACTGTACCGAGTATTGGATCTGATGACATTGCCGCGATCAAGAACGACGTCTACATACCGAGATGGGTTGTCAAGCGCATACTCGACGCTTGCCTCAGTCCATCTATTCCGCAATATCAAACGAACGAACATTTTGACGAAGCAGAGTGGAAGAGATGGAATGAAAAACAGAAAGAGGTAGTGCGGGTGATCGTCAAAGGTGAAGGTAACGACCCAGAAGCCATGGCTTGGCTTCTTCTCGAAGAGATCTTCACTGTGCAAGAAAGAGGCATCATGGCCGAAACCAAGCGTATCATCCCCGATGTACATCTCTCCCAGATCAAATGCTCAGAGCGAATCGACAGGGTCATCGCTGCTCTCGAGGTAAGATCTTCACGTAATATCATTAAGCGACTCCTATTCACTAACAGAAACAGAATTGCCCACTCGCTGCAAAGGACATGCTGGAAGGTAAACGCAACAAGCAGCTGGCTGCCGCACCGGAATGGTCGACCGCGCAAAAATGGCAGTTCAAGAGGAACAATAAGAGAAAAGCTAACAAAACGAAGAAGAATGAGGAAACAGGAGGAGCCAGCGCAGTCAATGACAGACAGGCCAAAACGAGGTCGAAGGAGCAGGACGCGGTAATTGAGGAGATAGATGGAGAGGAGTCATTGGAGGAAGAGCAGCTTGAGGATACGCTCGAAGAGAACCAGCTGGAGTAGGAGATGCTAGGAAAGATCATCGGCAGGAAGCTCATGGAGTTGTGTTTCAGACATCACTCTACAGCATCTTCATGCTGCTTCGATATGCCAGGGAGCAGAGAGTGTTTACGGTATCTGGAGAACGAGAGACTCTGATGCGAAAGTTGTTAGCCTCTCGGAAGGCGCCCAGTGGCCTAGTCGTGCTACTTTTTCGGATCGGAAAGCAGAGACCTGCAAAATTTTGCGGAGAAAGATAGGCTTCCAATGCAAAATGGGATTACCACTCAAACAAACTCTCTACAGCACTATCAGGGTCGAAAGTAAGCAAAGAGGCATTGAACGCCATGAATCCTGCAGAGAAAGGTACAACTCGATGCGGAGTATAATCATGTCTCAGAGATATCATTGCCACAACATCTGGCCCAGAGGTAAGTAAGGCGGCCTCGAATGCCTCTGATACTCAGAGCCAGATGAACTGTAACGTGGAATTGAAATCAAGTCTCCGGCGATTTTCTACGGCACAATCGTCTACTTTGTCACGCTAGGGAGCAGAGACCTTCGAATTTTCCCGGAGAAAGGTACGAAATGCACTTGCGTCTCGAACAGATCTTTGCGGCAGCATCTGGCCTAAATTCAAGCACAGTAGCAGTCAATGTTCGTTTGCATCGGAGAAAGACAGACTTTAATGTAATATGCATTGTCGTCTCAGATAGATCTCCGTAGCGTGATCCAGAAGAGAGTGAAGCAAGGAGGCTGTGACAGCTTTGGCAGGTCCAGAGATAGAGAAGCTCGGATGCAAACTGTGGATGTTCTCAGACAGACCTTGAAGTTATCTCATGAACGATGGGAAGATCAGAAGGCAGTGAAGCGCTTAAATGTTCTGGAGAGAGAGAAGCTTGAACATCAAATGTCGTCGCTCTCAGGCAGATGTCTATGTCACCGTCTTGGCTAGAATTCAATCAAGGGGCAGTGAGGGCTTCAAATGAATTGGAGAAAGATCCACTGGGCCAAGAAACGTTATACTCTCCAAGATATCTCCAATGCACCACCCAGACGGGAGGGAAGTAAAGCGGCAGAGATGACCTCTCCGAATTCGGAGAGAGAGATGGACCCTAAGTCTCTGGTGCGTATTGTATTCGCATCTCAGGCAGATCTCAATAGCACCTGCTGGATGGAGGGTAAATGGAGAGGCAGTGAGCCCATCAAATAATCCAGAGGAATTATCAAGTGAGTAAGATCGCCCCAGAACATTCAGAGAGTGACAGATTCTATCGCACAATATAATCGCTTCTCAGATAGACGTCAATACTGCGATCCGAGCCGAAGGCAAACAGAGAGGCAGCCATAGCCTTCAACGATTCAGAAATCATTTACGAGGGCTATTGAAAAAATATTCTGATCGCAGAGTACAATCGTGTCTCAGGGAAATCTGTATACCACGATCTAAACCGAAGGTAAACAAAGAGGCATTCAGGGACTCAAATTCTTCAGAGATCGCGAGAAATGGCTCTTAAGAAGATGTGTGCTATCGTATAACACTACCGTGTCTCAGAATTATGCCTATTGCACCACCTGAATCGAAGGGAGACGAAGAGGCAATAAAAGCAGCTAAAGATTCAGAGCAAGCCTGCAACGATTTTGACATAGGCAAATTCAGAGGCAGAGTACGATCGTGTCTCCGAAACATCTCTATAGCACGATCTGAACCGGAGGCAAGCAAAGAGGCAGTCAAACTATCGATCGATCTAGAGAAGCGTGAAAGAGTTTCGACATAGACAGATTTGGAAGCAGAATCCGATTCAATCTCCGAAATATTCATATAGCCTCATCCAGGCAATAGGGAAGCGAAGCAGCAGAGAAGATCCAAATCAATTCAGAGGGCGTCTGAATGAATTTCGACATAGACGAATTTCAAGGCCAAAAATACCTGTGTTTCTAACAGATTCCTATAGCACGATCTGGATCAAATGGAAACCAAGTAGCAGACAAGATGCAAAACGATCCAGAGGAGGCCTCAGAAGTTAGATATAGACAGATTTTTAAGCATAATGTACTCGCATTTCCAACAGATCTCCCTAACGCGATCTAGGTGCAAGGGATACAAGAAAGCAATGAAAGCCTTCGAAGATTCAGAGAGTGCCTCTAAGAAATAAGACATAGACAAATTTCAAAGCGAATGTACTCGTTTTTCTAACAGAATCATATAGCACGATCTAAGGGGAAGGGGAGCAAGGAAGCAGAGAGAGCCCGAAACTGTTCAGAGTGCCCCAGATAATTCGGACATAGTCAAAATTCCAAGGCGAATATACCTATGTTTCCAACAAATCTCTATAGCATAATCTGGGTAAAAGGGACGCAAGGAAGCAGAGAAAGCCCGAAACTATCCAGAGTGTCCCAGATAATTCGGACATAGCCTAAATTCCAAGGCATATGTACTCGTGTTTTAGAGGGATCTCTTTAGCACGATCTGGACAGAAAGTAAGCAAAGTGGCATCGAGAGCGTTCAGTATTTCAGAGAAGACTGATTCCAGGGTAACTATACTGCCTACTTCTACGAAGAATCGTCTCATTCGACACCCTGCTCAAGACTATTACAGTTGGATAAAGTGAATAATATAGCAAAAATGTAGACCTCAATCGGTCGTATAGTATCGAGTGCGATGCGAGAAGTATGTGAATTGCAACATAAATGCTTTTTGACTATCTCCAAAAATGTTGACTTTGCGAAATGTAGAATACTATTCTCTCGAACCCAAGTACCAAAGCGAAGATGTCGAGTATGTATTATACAAGAAATCGGCTCAAAACTTTTCGAAAATGCAGCAAACCAGTATTCACTGGAACTCATCGATAGGTTCGTTCCAGTCAACGTTTCCATTTCCTCCCGAGTACGACGTCGAGCCCCAGCCATATGATGGCTGGAAAGCCGGCATAAGACCCGTGCCGTACTGGGAGGATGGCTGAGTAGCCGGCATGACACCCGTTTCGTACCGGGACTGAGAAGGTGGCATCGAGAACGAGAATTCGCCAGTGTTCACCTCGTTACCAGCTCCAAAATAGCCTCCTTGAGACCAGTCGACAGCCGAGTCGTGTCTCGCCAGGTTTCCTCCGTAGTTCGTACTGTTACCAGCGGTACTTTGGAACGCAGCAGGAGGAGGACCGGATGCGAAATTGCTGGAGGTTTGCTGCGGGAAAGATTGAGTGAATGGATGTAAATTCGGCAGCAAGGGAGGAGCCTGGTGAGTCTGGTGACCTGAAGCCATTGGGGAAGAAGCCGGGGACGGGTGTTGAGCAGCCGTTCTGCGCTTTTTGGCGGGCTTTTCGGTAGGCTCCTCTGTGGGTTGAGCGGCATTGTTCTCTGCATTGCGCTGTCTTGCCGTCTTGCTTCGTCGCGCGTTCGACTTCTTGAAGCTGTACTTTTCGGACCTCATGACCTCGGGCGCGCTGGCAATTCTCTCGAGGTTCTTGCCCTCCATCACATCTTTGGCCACCGGAGCGCAAGTCTACAGAATCTTGTCAGCAATTGAATCAGACCGGTAATCTTGTAGAATCACTTACGCTCAGCACACGACAAATTTCCCCAAGGCGGTCAGAGCATTTCATGCCGGAGTACTGCGCCTTGACTGCACGGAAGGTGGGCGCTTTCCAGAAATCGACATGCCATCCATACTCGTGGAGGTAATAGACCTCTTGCTGTACGGCTGGTCAGCATGTGGTTCAGAATAGTAGTACGAAGGGCACATACCAGTAAAAACCGCCCCATTCTCTCAGCCTGGCGTGAGAGCCGCTTGGACTGCTTGTCGATAGCCCTTGTCGACGTCTCCTTCTTACACCTCTGGATGTAGGCTTCCCATTCCTGATCCGTGGCATTCGAATCTTCCGGCTTGACGTGATCATACTCCAGCACCTTGATCAAAGATTCTAGGATACTAGTCAGATGAGGAGCCTCTCTGTTTCTCACTGCATCGAGGTCGTCAATTTGTGGTGCACAGACTGTACGACCGATGGGGTCTGCGCGTGCGTCGTCGAGACTTGAGAAGTAGCGGTCCTCGATGTATTGGTCGGCCATGATGGATACCACAGAGGCCGGAAGCCCGTTCAAGAGCCCATCATCGTCGGCAATGTCCAGACCATTGGTCTGCACACCAGAGAAGTCCATGTTGATACTCCAGGCCTTTGCTTCAGACCTTGAGAGAGATTGCTGCAGATGTTGGAAGATGTTGAGGTTGAGATTGAAGCTCAAGATGAAGTGGTCTGCAATGGTCGGTTTTGTGCTATGCGTGCGCTTCGATGCATGTGTGGTGGATACAGGCTCCATAAAGCATATGTGAAGCATCTGCTATCAAATGCTGTTCTTGGCCACTCTGTATACACATGTGTTGCTTGTGATTGTCGGATTCTGCCAGGACTCTACAGGAAGTAGACACCGACGAGGTGAACAACATCTGTTCAGGGCCCCTGTGACAGAGCACATGTCTCCAAATCACGTTCGTAGCAGTGACTTCGATGCCAAGAGTCTGCTGAAGGAGGCTGGAAGTGACTCCAGTATTGTCACAGGCCAGCATTGTTGCGAGGATGGGTGAACCGTGAGTATTCAGCCCTGTGAAGTCGGAAAGCGCATTGTATCTGCCGATCTGCGATGAATGGCAGATGCCCTACGAGCTGTGAATTCATCAGCGAGCCGTTGCTTCACAGGAAGGGTGGCTTATGTCAGTTCGGTGCCTGTTGAGAACAGGACTGGATTCCACTACTGCTGAACATAGAAAGGTGTGCGAGGATGCAACGACTTTACCATATACTGTGTAAACAATCGCAGGATGGATATTGTCAAAAATGGAATGCTTCTAGCACGACCGATTGGTCCTCCAACGCTTCTGATATGTATACTGAGCTATTGAATGCTCTTTTGCTCAATGAGCAAAACGTAATTGGTCTGTATTTGTCAGGTTCTTGATGAAGCGGTACATTCTGCGAATCGTCGAAGATTGGAGGAACGCTTTACAGTGGTGCTCTTCGGTCGTGCATTGAACGTAATGATATGAGTGCTACTCGACCCATGAGACTGTCAGACCTGGGGAAGCAATCATGGTCTTAGTATATCTGGAGTCCGTGGGCGTATACATGGCAGTTCGAGTCACGAATGGTGGTTGGTGAGTACGCGCACAGTTGCAGTTCTATGCGTGTCATGACCAGTCGAATATTCATGCAGCACCGTGCTAGGTCTACAAAACTTGGCGAGATTGATTACGGTTGTCCTAGGATTTGCTGTAGCCTTCGTGCCTGGCCGTTTGATGTCGAACGTACATCTCATTGCGTGCCTGCAATGCTTCTCGGCCGGCGGAAGCATGAAGTATGAAGCACGACAATCTGACCAATCTCATGGTGAAGCTAGTCCTGCACCAGGGGTTTGCGTATCCGGGAAAAGGTGAAGACTTTTCTTAATGCTTGTCTGCAAGCAATGCTGTGAAATGGCGGTAAGGGCAAGGCGAGAGCCTCTATGCAAGGACCTATATTGTTTTGCGTATAGCTTGCAGAGGATGGACTTCGAGGGCGTTGGTTGACTGGTCACTGGTGGATGGCGCGCTTAGGGTTCATGTATTCCGTCCTCGTCTCCTGTTAAGTTAGCTGCGTTGATGTGGACCGCCTAGTTAGGGCAAGGATTTCAGCCACCAGCCGATGCCCCATGCCTCCGGTTCAAGCCGTTGCGGCACATCGAGAGCATTTGCAATTGCGACAGCCGTGAAGACTCTCGAGGAGCATCTTGAGGTTGGCGATGTCCATGAGCAAGAACGGCAGCGTCGTTTCCTACGTCGTATAGAAGAGCGTCGTCAGCGGACAGAACTCCGACCATTGTTGCCGGTCGCGCTGGGCCAACGGCGAAATGTCGATCTGGCGCAGAGCACAACTCTGTATGATGTAGAATATGATATTGCAATATGCAGATGCGGCACGATCGAGTGCGGCAGATACTCCCCGCACGACGATTAAAGTGCCGAAGATGGGACCTAGCTCCGATCGCTCAACAGCGGCTGAAAGCCTCAACGACGAGCGCCATCGCCATCGCCAGATCGCGACGAGGTGGTGGTATGCAATAAGCACGAGCGCGCTCCAGAGCAGGCTGCAGAGCAGAGCAGACCGCAGAGGTCTTCGCCGGCGGCTGTGTCCGTGACGGCCAGCCCGAGGCATTGCCGCAGGTCGTCACCACCCGGGCAGCGACGGCGGGCGTTGCTGACCGGGGCGGGCGTGGCGGCGTGGTGTTGAGAGTGAAATTGTCGCTGGGCGTTGTTGTCTCGCAGTCGGCGGCAGGTCCACTCCAGCATCGCACAGCAGACTGCCGCTCCAGCATGCATGGGCTTCCCGCGCAGTGCTCGTGCTCGTGCTTCGTGTCATCACACACGCGTTCTCGACAACGATCAGCTCGAGCTCCAGACGTGGTGGTGGGGTGGGCGCGAGCGCAATGCGGCCCGCCGCAGTTTGTGGATGCTCGTGCTCATCCCACAGCGCTTCGACTTCCGCTCGGCTT